TTTTTTTTTCTTTTTTCTTTTTCTTCCTCATTTTCATTAAATTACAATGATCTACTACAAAGTACCAACTAGTACCAGCTAATACTAGCTGATTGCGAATGGGATGTACTATGTACTATGTAGTATGAAGTTTGAACTCGTGTTCCGCCTGAGCAGGAGTCCGGAGACTACTACTAGACTACAAGCGCCGAATCGTTCCGTGTAAAATTTCCCATCGACCCCGTTCTGGCCTCCGAGTCCTTGGTTCAACCAACATCCTTGGGGTTGCGATGATCGGCTGTTAGATTAGCTCGACCCTGTCATCTTGAGTGCGCACTTGCGGTATTTCTGTTCTCAGGGTGGGAGAGATGTCAGAAGCGCCACATTTTCCACACCTCCCCCTCCTCTGCTCCTCTTTTTTTTTTTTTTTTTTTTTTTTTTTTTCTTCTTCTTCTGGTCCCTTTTTTCTTCAAAGTCACAGTCACCGTTACTTTACCGAGTAGGGACTCCATATTCCGTTTTGTAACTTGTTTCCCCTCTTTGCTAGACCGACTGCCCGCTAACCCGGGTGTTAGCTGGTGAGGCGAGTGAGCATAGGAAGAGGAAAAAGATGATCCGCTCAGACGACAGAAAGGCCCCCTGATTAGTTAACTGAAGGTAGTTAACTATCTTCGGTCAGTCAGTCGTCAGTCGTCAGCGGTCACCCACCCCGATCAGAATCCACACCGCGTCTGCCAATTTCTTCCACCCGGCCACTGGAAGAGGATCAGTTGTCCTTGTCCGTGGTTTCTAGTAGATCAACTTGGCAAATAGAATTGAGGGAAAATATAATTAATACTGACTATCTACGTAGAGGGGAAAAAAAAAAAATTAAAAATTAAAAAATTCTGTAATTCCATCTTACTTTCATTCTGGCCCAGGTGTACGGTTCACCGTCTGTGGCGGCGTCACTGGTGCATTTTGAGGATATGGACTCCCCAAAACAATCAGACTTGGATACGAAGAGTGTTGGGCGTGGGGACCAATAAGAATCCTTCGGTGACGAAGCAGAGGGGTCGGTGTTAGGTAGTAGCTGATTCCTCCAACCTGGATACGAAGCACTCTGGGTTGTCCAATCATGGGAGACGGATGGAGATCTCCTCCCTCCATGGGTTGTTACTGGACGGCCATTTTTCCCACCACGGAAAGAATTATGTCCTCTGCGACTATATTGTACTCTCTGTAGTTACAAGTTACAACTGCGAATACGGAGTATAGGACAGAAAACACACACAAGATAAAGCTCGGGGTGGGTGAGCCCGAACTCAACTCTCTTACTCCGAGTAATCCATGCATGCAACTGTACGGAGTATGTAACTTAAGCATGTGTTATGTATACCCTGGTCTTCTCCATGTTTACTACGGAGTACGGAGTACACGGCTCAAAGCCTCAAACTTGGGGAGTCTGGGGGAGATTTGCATCTTCCAGACGCATCTCGTCCTGTTTTGGGTGCAGATCTACCCCCCCCTCAGTGGGAACTGCATCTCGAAGTAGGGTAGGGTTCATGTTTTTCCCTTTTTAGTATCTGTCGTCTCCTACGGAGTACCCTAAGCTGGACCAGCACGCTACCAGAGTATGTGATAAGGTGAGAATGCTGCTTTGTCAATGGACGGCTCTTGCGGCTGCATGTAATATAATGGAGCCGCCTTACGTTCCTAGTACGGAGGAGCGTCGTCGTTCTCAAGAATAGGAACTCGGTCAGTACGGAGTACATCGACTTCACAGGGTTCAACCTCCCCAAAATTGCAACCCGCACGACGCCTAGCAGTAGCTAGCAGGTCGTGCGGCTCCCTTACTCCGTCGTGCTGCTTACCCCCTTCCCTCTAATGGCTGATACATAAGTCTCCGAGACGATATCTAGGAAAGTGACCTCCGAGCTCGACCTGAAGGACGGTCTCAGCTATTGAGCGTAATGCATGGGGAAGGGTCTAAGTAGCTACTCGCTGAGTATCGTATCCTGGGTTTGTTCCTAGTTTAGTCCCCGAAAGTCCAAAACTGCTCCAAGGTAAGCGCCCACCTACGAGTCACAATCCTGTAAATGGACAGAAAAAAGCGTCGGGGGTTCTAAGGTAGCTCTTGAGCCTTGACAGTGAGCGAGACCCCCCTTTTCCCCCCAGACAGACAAAGGCGTTCTTTGATCTTCCTCTTTGATAGAATTGAGTTTCAACAAGCACGCGCCAACTCCTGATCGCCTCCAGTTCGCCCACTTTGTCGGGATCTGCCAATCGGGAGTTCAAAGCAAGTCGTCTCTTTTTGAACCCCAGTTCCTAACTATCAGTATCAGGTAGATCAGACACACGGCAGGGGAAGAAAAAGAAAAGAAAAGAAAAAAAAAGAAGCTCTGGTTGGTACCTGTCAGTCCTTGGGGACGAAAGTTTCGGAGACTCTTTTTTTTCTTTTTTTTCTTTTTTGTTTCCCCCCCCCAAGGCAGCAGTTTGAATCAACCCTTTGCTGGATCTACTGAGGATCTCCCGCGAAAGTTTTTCATGAGCACCCCCAATACATACAAGCTCCAGGAACGGGGGGGGCCCCTGAATCCTGATGAAGTTACCGAGAATTTCAGGCGAGTCAACTCTAATCTTCTCCCTGTTAATCCGGATTACGGAGTATAGGAGAAGAGACTTAAGATATCCTGAATTCTCCTTCAATCTTTCATAAATTCGGAGCACCAACGGAACCAGAGAAGATGATGATTCTGATCTACGACAAGACGGAATACGTCGGAAACCGGCTGTCCCCTTTCTTTCCCTGTGGTGGTCGCAATATAATCCCGTCACAGACACTCATTTGTGGTGTCATGCTCAAGAAATATATATATATCTATGAGGAAAACGAGCTCGGACAAGTCTGGCTGCAGGGCGTTTGTGGAAATCCAGGGATCATGACAAAATGACGTTGATGGGTGGGTTCTTGTGTGAGGCAATAATCCAAGCCCATCCCCCTCCATCAGAAGGCCTCGACTCGATGACCAGTGCACATCATCTTATCCTCAACTCCGTCAGGGACAGAGCCATGATTGGCAGTCTGGTCTCCACTTGGACGCAACCCCCTCAGTCAGTCCATCCATGGCCATGGGATCGTTGATTTACTGGGGGCAAGAACGAAGAAAGAAAGAGGGTATTTAGGAAGAAATTCCCCGAGTGACATCGGAAATAGGTGATATTTGAATTTGTTCCATCCCAGAGGTCATCCTGTTCCTTGGCCCCCGTAGTTGAAGTTGGGATTCTTCTTCTCCTTCATCATCTTCTCTTCTTTCCCCTGGTATCCATGGATGGCCCATGACTACCACCACAGTCACTGGCGGTCCAGAGCCTCCAAGACGGGGTGGTTTCCTTGGGACTGGGTTCCTGTCCCTCGACTCTGATCTTCCTCTGAGGGTCCATCCCATTATTTGCTTGAAATTCCAGACCACCCCTCAGTACTACAAGTTGAGGGTTAGTGTAGTCAACGTCATTACTGGTTAAAACCCACGAAAAGAAGAATCCCAGTAGAAAAAACGGGGTACCTGCTTTTTTTGCCTTGATTTTTTTTTTCTTGGGATTTATTAGTTATTTATTTCCCATGACTCTGATATAATAAATAATCCTGTAATAGTAGTCTTGGGATTCACTAGTTTTTTCCTCTTCTCTCTCTCTCTCTCTCTCTCTCCCTTTTTTTCTCTCCCACCCTGGGTTTGCCCCGCCGGTCACCTCTCCTCTGGAGGCTTTAGCTGTCTGTCTCCGTATTATCGATTATTATTTTGAGAATATTTTTATTCTCTTTCTTTTATTTTTTATTTTTTTATTCGTTTTTTTTTTTTTTTCTCTTCATTAGGAAGTGTAGAAAAGCGAAAGCAAAAAGAAACTGGGAAATGAAAAAAAAGGCAGCAATTTTACAATACCTTACTTTACTTTATTAATAGTTATTTGTTCCTTAATAATATATTTCCTCTCTAACTAGTTGGTTATTATGATTATTATCCCTTTCATCTTTCTCTCTTTCTTTTGTCATCCTCCAAAACACGCATTGAACCGTTCAGTCCATTTTCCAGCATAAGCTGAACCGTCTTCTCTTTCTCGAGTTGAGATTTTAAAACAGTAGAGTTTCCCAAGGCCATTTTAACTTCTCTGACAGCCCAGGTTTCTTCTGGCGTGCCCTACAGCCCAAAGCTTGGGAATTCCCGCACTCTTTCCCTGCTCACTACCTTACTGAGTCTTCGATCATAGTCCGTGGAACCTTCCTTCCCCCCCCCCCAAACAGCTCCATTTCGACCCAGGCTTTGCTTCTTCTCCAGAAGATCCATCCAACCTTTATTATTTTATTTTATTTTATTTCCTCCCCCCCCCCCTTCTAGTCCATAAAAAAATAGAAAAAAAAAACCACGGGTCCGTGCTTTGCTTGTCGATCCGGGTCTCCCAAGTTTGGTAGTTTTAAACTCTGTCGAAGGGGGGTTTAAACTTGCGCCGTCCACCCTTTTTCTATGGGACGCTGGTGACTTGTGTGAGCTCCCTCGACCTGTCATTCTCTCTCTCTCGCTCTCTTGCTCTCTTGCTCTCTCTCTCTCTCTCTCTCTCTCTCTCTCTCATCTTCGCCCCGAGGTTTCCTTCCCCCCCCCTCTTCGCAAAGAGGTTATTTTGCCTCCCCCTCCCTGCTCTCTCTCCCTCATTCCCTCCAGATATCGATCGTCCTTCCTGCTCTCTCTGTCGCCAAAGGGAAAGCTACCGTTAAAAGCGCTCACATCCACTGTCGATTTCACCTTCCGGCCTAGTTCCTGCTAGTCTTTCTTCATCAGCAATCACGGAGTTGACGCCGCCATTGCCCTTCTGGAAACTTTGATCAGCTGTGGGTTTCAACTCTGTCCGATTTTACCTCTCTGGCCCCTTTCAACTAGGTTCAAACCTACAAAATTCAGGCAACACGGCAGACAACAATAGCAGAATCCACCACCAACGATCACCATCCCCATCACCACCACACAAGTCCAAAATCTTAATTAATAACAATGGTAAACGGCACCACTACGGTGTTGGAGCCAACCTTCACAGGCTATGTTGCGACAACACACGATGCGCTGATTCTCTTCGAGGCCTGTTTGACTGGAGTCTTGCACCATGTGCCCCGGCGGCCTCATGATCGCGAGCGCAGCCATCTGGTGCGCAGTGGGAGCGTCTTCATCTACGAGGAGAACTCGTCGGGCATCAAACGATGGACAGACGGGGTCACCTGGAGTCCTAGTCGGATTCTGGGCAATTTTCTGGTCTATCGCGAGCTGGAAAAGCCGTTCCCCCCAGGCGAGAAGAAGAGGGCGATGAAGAAGACGAACCGTCGTCCGCTGCCCCCAGCACGCCCAGGAGAGCCGTATCCGCGACAGGATAACAATGGGACCTACTCCCCGTCATCAACAGCCGGTCCGTTTGGCGAGAGGTCGCACCAGTCAGATGTGGAGAGAGCCCTGGTGGGTTCGCTGGTGGATTCATACGGCTTCAAGGATTCCGGCTTGGTGAAGAAGACGATGAGCGTGACCGTCTCCGGCGTGACCCATCACCTGGTCTCGTACTACAGTGTCGACGATGTGATCCGATCTGTCCTGCACCCGCCATCGACGGTCGAATCTCTGCGATACATTCGTCCTCGCGTGGAACTGACGCAGAAGCAGAGCTTCCGGGCTCCGATTGATGATCTGGAAACGGTGGGGATCGAGAACCCGAACGATCCTACCCATGGGCTCTTCCCCTATCGCTCTCCGATGGTCCCAGCCCCAGGCTATTCATTACAAAGCACCCATCCCGAATTCTTCATGCACACGAATCCGTACGTAGCGACCCATGCGCCGCAGTCCAATGCGATTCCCGGATACTCAATGGGTGGCTCGATGCCGGGACAGCCCGCCCCGAATCCTTATCTCCCGACGCCCACGGCTCCAACGCAGATCCCCCAGAAACAGGAGGATTACTCCCAATTCCGACAACCGTCGTTTGGGACCGGGTTTGACCCTCTCACCCATGGCTCTCTGTCGTCGTCTGTTCAGTCTGGTCTGAACGCATCTCTTCCCAGCTCCCTGAGCGACCGCGCGCGATCCCAGTCGGATCACAGCCAATCGGCATATCGAAACTCGTCCATCTCCTCCAGAAGCGTTGCGACCGATGCGACGTCCCCGATTGACCCTGCGACCCCGGGTACTTACTCACAACGGGGAAGCTTTAGCCTGGCAGCCCAGCTCGATGGATCATCGCATCCGTCCTTGGAGCAACGTGGATTAAGCTTCGATGCCAGTATCCCGCGTCGAGAGTCGAACCCGATTACTGCGCCCTATTATCCAACAGCCGACCGGCACCCGTATTACGTAGGTGCTACAGCGCCGGCTGCCCACGCATCGTATCCTGTTACCTCATGGACGACAACCGCTTCGGCGCAGCCCCAAATCTAACCTTTTTTTTTTTTTTTTTTCTCTCTCTCTTTTTCCTTTTAATCAATATACGGTTTCCTTGTCCCTCTTTTCTTTGGGTGGCAATTTGGGCATAGACTATGCATGCTATGGCTATGGATGATTACCTGGATGATTACCCGGAGGCACTGACTGCTCTTAGAGAAGATATTGGTGGCTTTCGTTGCCCTTTTTGTTTTCCCCCATGATGATATGATGCGTACCAAAATTCTTTCACAACAGCCTTATATTCCTTCCACTCTTGTCAAATTGTTTTTTTTTCTTTCTTTTTTCATATTCTCATTTGAAGGGGTTCTTTGGATTTTTTTTTTTTTTTTTTTTTTTCCCCTTTCCGCGTGGCTTTAATGTGTTTACGAGCAATGGGATGGTTCGGGCGGCATGGTCTAGGGCGGTTATCTGATTTCGTTTTCCGTTCATTGCTTATTGCTATCAAATTCTTTCTGTTACCATATGGATGGGCGGTGCAATGAGTTAATGGCAGACTCAATCCTGAGTTTCCTACAGGATACTTGGGATCCTGGACAAAAAGATCCCGATGGATTGAGATTCAGCCTCTTCTACTCTCTTTTAGTTGCTTGTTTATTACTCTTCAGTTTAACTTTTTGCGGTGTAATCCCCAGCGGCAAAGGGAAGGTTCAGGATCAATATTGTTATCATTAACGTTAACTTAACCTTAACTAGTGCTAAATTTGCCGCATGCATGTCGGCAGAAAGAATCCTTGCTTTCTTTGAATTCACTGGTTGTGCTACCTATAGAGGGTGATACTATAGTAGGTAGATTAATGAGCTGTGATTAGAACTAGAAGAGAGAGAGAGAGTTAGTTAATACCTAGTTAGAACTATAGTAGTAGTAGTAGTAGTGGTAGTAGTAGTAGTAGTATGTACGTCAAATGTAAAAAGTATCATCCAACTATCTGATATACACTCCTATATTCTCTACGTTGCTATATAGTATATATACTTCTTTCTGGGTGGATGATGGATCTTCCTAGTCAATTGATGATGCTTTCACCATCCAGGTTTGAAGTTAAAAAAAAAAAAAAAAAAAAAAAGGTTGGCCTGGTTTGGTTTTGAGTGGAAACCATTATTACTAGTCCGTCCGTCCGTCAGTCCGTCAAGTCATGTTTGATCGAATTGCTTTTAGGGTATTATTATTATATATGCAAATGTAAAAATGTAAATGTAAATGTAAATGTAAATGTAATGTACAGTCCTGGTATAATACGGAAACTCCACCAATAAGTTAACACACGCCGAATGCATCATAGCATACACCTCCGTATTCAAGGCGCCCGGGACAACACATCATCGGGCGGCGTTTCTTCGAGCTCGCGCGTCCCATCCGCCGTAAGGACGTCCTTGGGCATCCCCCCTCCCCCCCGCGTTCCTCCGCACATGGAGAAGAATCCGCAGCGCACCGGCTGGAGTCACGCCCTCGATGCGTCGTGCCATGCCGACACTGACAGGCCGGACACGCTCCAGCGCCTGTCGCTCTTCGTTGCTGATGCCCTGGATGGCCGCGTAGTCCAAGTCTCGAGGGAGGAGCACGTTTTCGTCTTGCTGGAATTTCCGCGCCGCCGCGTCTTGCCGCATGACGTATGGCGCGTAGCGGCCCTCGATGGCAACGCGACGTCGGATCCCGGGCGCAAAGGAGGAGGGCTGGTAGACCGTGCCTGTCGGGGTCTCGATATGCGCGATTAAGCTGTCAATGTCGACTTGGTCAAGACATAACAGGTCTAGCGCGGACCGGATGGAGCTGTCGTTTCGTGCGTTGAAGCCCCTGCGAGTCCAAACGCTCGCAGACATCTTCGTGTTCGCGAGGAGAGTCTGCAGCTCGGTAATCTGGGCTTCGGTCTCGCGGAATTCGCGCCAGCGCTTGTCCGTTACGACTCCTGCCTTGCGGGCCATACGCGTCAGACGGAGATCTGCGTTGTCCGCTCGTGTTGAGATCCGGAACTCGCTGCGTGCTGTGAACATGCGGTACGGCTCGGAGACGCCCTTGGTGATGAGATCGTCGACCATGATTCCAATGAACCCGTCGGAACGGCTGAGCGTAAGGGGGGCTCGGCCCTGAGCGGATAGACCAGCGTTGGTTCCAGCAAGGATTCCCTGGCCCGCTGCTTCTTCATATCCTGTTGTTCCGTTGATCTGGCCCGCAAGGTAAAGACCGCTGATCAATTTGGTCTCGAGGGTTGGCCAGAGATTGCGCGGGTCGATGTAGTCGTATTCCACACCGTAACCTGGCTGCAGCATGTGCACATTCTCAAGGCCACGAATGGTCCGCAGCAAAGCAAATTGTGCGTCCTCGGGGATGGTCATGGAGATTCCATTCGGGTAGATGACCTCATTAGGAGCGAATCCCTCCGGCTCTAGCCAAATGAGATGTTGGTTCTTCTCGTGGAATCGGATGATCTTTGACTCTAAGGAAGGACAGTATCTCGGACCTTTAACTGTCTCGCGGATGTGAATGGATTTGTCCAGGTTGTCGCGGACAATGTCATGCGACGCCTCGTTGGTGTGGGTCATCCAGCAGGTAAGCTGAGCTTCGTCGTCCACCTGAACCCGGCTGTTTAGATAGGAAAATGGCTGCGGTGGCGAGTCTCCTCTTTGTACCTCCAGGGCCGCAAAGTCGATCGTCTTCTTATCAAGCCGTGGAGGCGTTCCGGTCTTCAGCCTGCCCAACTGGAACCCAGCCTCGCGGAGAGACTTGCTCAGCCCGAAAGTCGCAGCCTCGCCCATCCTTCCAGAGGGGAACACTTTCATCCCGATATGAATCTCCCCCCCGAGAAAAGTACCCGTTGTGATAACCACCCGGCTCGTCGGGATCACCTCACCCGTTTCGAGCCGCACCCCGACAATCTTCCCGGCCGGCGCAGCGGCACCAGATCCCCCATCCTCCGTGGAAATCACAATATCCGCGACCTTGCCTTCCACAATGCTCAGCCCTTCTGTTCCCAGCAGCTCTTCCTGCATATACTTCTTGTACAAATCACGGTCGATCTGCGCGCGAGGTCCCCAAACAGCCGGACCCTTGGACCGATTCAGAACTCGAAACATAATTCCCGCTTTATCGATGATCCGTCCCGCAACTCCATCCATGGCGTCAATCTCGCGAATCATTGTACCCTTCCCAATCCCTCCGAAACTCGGATTACACGAACACACGCCGATGTTAGAAAGCGACGGAGTAATCAGCGCAGTGCGAGCACCTGAACGCGCAGCCGCAGCACAGGCTTCTGAGCCGGCATGGCCGCCTCCAATGACAACGACATCGTATGGTCTATCAATGAAGCCCCCCCCCCTGCCCTCCCCCCCAAAAAAAGGGAGAGTGGGTGGTGGTTAGTACACTCAGGATCTAGAGAGAATGCGTAAGGAAGACAGACAGTTTCGTACCGTGTGCTGTCCGACACCGTAGCCAGACCACGAACGCTCCCCATCCGAGATCGGGTGCTCTGTCCCCATCTGAGGATTGCTCCTGACCGCGCCCGAAAAGCCATCTTGACAAGAGTGGGCGACGTGTGTAGGAACAATTATCAGCAAAAGTTTATCTCCAACAAAAAAAAAACGATTGCTGACTTATCAAAGTCACGTGTGTTAACTAGCGGAATTAATTCCCAAGGCGGTGAAACATGTGACTAGGTAGTGCTGATTCGACCAATTGTGGGGCTGCATTTTTCACACCCCGCACTCGATTGGCTTCTATTTAAGGCTGAGTCAGGCTGATGCCATTTTAGCTCGTCTTTTGCTGGGAGTTTTAAGCTCAGCAAGAGGGGCACGCTTTTTTAAATCGCAAACACCCCCCCCCCCCGGGCGCTTGCTCACTTACATTAATTGATTCTCAAGATCTCTTACATAGTCTGCTGTCAAAATGAAGGCCTACTGGTACGATAACAAGCCTGTAAGTAACGTTTATGCCGTTTCTATATGAATCATCTAGACCTAGAAGAAAAGAATATGATAACTAACCACGGCATACTGAGTAAAGGGCGATCAGCGTGAACCTCACGACTCCGGTCGATTGGTGACGGAGGAATACCTTGCCTCTCTCGGTGTTATCTACCGACACTTCCCCGAAATCGAGTCCGTCAATGCTCTGGCCCAAGAACGAGGATACAAGAACCGTGATGAGATTGTTGTTGCCCCACAGACCATGGGCGAGGCCTACGAGTCCAAAGTAAAGATGTTTTTTGCTGAGCATTTGCATGAGGACGAGGAGATTCGGTATATCCGCGATGGAGAGGGGTACTTTGATGTCCGGGGCCAGGAGGATGAGTGGGTGCGCATTAAGCTGGCCAAGGATGATTTGATTATCCTACCTGCGGGTATTTACCATCGCTTTACAACTGACGAGAATAATGTATGTTGGTTCTTTCTCTCTCTTCTCTCTCCTTCCGGAATATTTTATGCTAATATGTGTTGGTGTTGTAGTATGTCAAGGCTATGCGACTTTTCCAGGAGGAGCCCAAGTGGACACCTCTCAATCGTAGTCCTGATGTCGACGTTAACCCCCATCGCACGACATATCTTGGTGCTTTCCCATCGTCTGCGGTTGCTGCGAACTAGATGGTGTTTATCGACTACCTGACCACTTGTAGGATAGCAGCCTTTGATGATTTTGTATATAAATAACGACGAGATTGATGACATCGGCGGTGAAATTCGTGGCACCGTACTTGTGATATCTAGAAGATAGATTCACTTTCCCCCATCTTTTCATTGGAGTTTAGTAATATGGTATCATACATTTGACAGGTAAAATATCAGCCTAGTTAGGACCAGAGAGCTCAGGCATAGAGCCAGGGACGTGGAAATCGTCCCCCATACTCCTCTCGCGAGTCAAACTAGGACTGCGATAATCCCCCGTCTCAACCTGATAGCTGCTGGTTCGGGAGAGGGCATCAAATGCCGGGCGTGCACCGAGATTTCCCCGGAACCTTAGTGTGTCTGGTTCCCTGCCAGTATCATCCCCACGGAGAGGACCACTCATATCGACCGACATTGCTGATCGAGAGGCTGCGTTGGAGCCAGTCTCCGAATCATCACCGGTTCGGACACCCGTTCTGCCCATCCGTGGCCAGAGGTCTGGAAGTCCCACCACCTGCACCCGGGGCTCGACCACTCGTTCCTCAAACCAGGCATGCACACGCGCCTCCACAAGTTGCGCAACCTTGGGCACATCCTGCAGTCTGCTGCGTGATCCAATGAGCGATCGAACTGAAAGGTCGAGTCGATAGTCAGGTAAGAATGAGAACGCAACATTGCTCTTCGGTGATGCTGTCTTTGGCGGCACATCATTGGCGGTCTCGTCGGGGGCATTGCCAGACGGCCGTTGTGATTCCGCTGCCGGAGGCGATGGTATAGGAGAAGGAGTATGGAGTGGAGGAGCCGACGCGGGAACAAGAGAGATGCAAAGCGTCCCTGAGAATCGAACAACAGATATAGATAGAGCAACAGGAAGAATCGCAGAATTCGGTTTAGGGTAATTTAGCACTAGTGACGTTTCAACGGCAATGGAGAGATTGTCGTCGCTAAGGTCGACATCCATCAGGGCCTGGAGCCTCCCACCATCGGACATGGGATCATCAACGGCAATGATACGGCAATTGCTAAATATCGGAAATTCCTCGCCCAGCGATATATCTGTGACCGTGATTTTATCGATGAAGGATGGTTTCTTCTCCGGATTGTTCAAAGCTGCGGTCAAGGAACTAAGGATGGAGGACGTTGGCGAGTCCTTGAGAAGATATGCAGTCTGCCTGTACTGGGCGATTGTTTGTGCAATAAGGACGTTAAACCAATCCAAAGACTCTGGTTGATGTGAAGAATGATGCATACGGTGTCTGCCATGTTTTGAGGAAGGGTTCGGGGGAATTGCAGTGTAGTATGTTTTTCGAAGAATGGAGCGCGTATTGGTGGAGGATGACGGGACCGGACGAAGAACATTAGATGTGGAAGGCTTTTCTCTTAACGATCTGGAAGAAGCATCTTGTGAGTATATCGAGTTGGACCGTCGGTGTGTGGAAGCTCGGTGCGAGAGACCGCGGGATGGTGGCGGTGGTGCCTCTCCGAAAATGAAGAACTTGATGAAGGCACCGATCAGCAACACCACAGAGAGCTGTCCTAGGAGAAATCCTTGGGTAAACGAGAGACTGAGCCCACGCAGTTAGATAGCGATCTAAAAAAAAAAAAAAAACGTTGAGAGAAGAGGAGTATACGAACGATGACGGAGCCGGAACAGGCGTAGGTTCATCTGTGTAGTTCGTGACGGTCAGCGAGGTCGCAAGGACAGGAACCGAGGAACGAATAGATTATATCGTACTTTGCTGAAAAGCCATTGTCAGCCGCTGTAGACCCTACCGTCTGTCCACAGCCCATCCTCATGCCACACTGGAGGTGAATGACTCGAATAAATCCGCGTGATGGCGGGGGCAAAGAGTGAGTGATCGAAGGGTTGGAGCTGGGAGGAGGAGTCGGGGTTTTTATCGGGGATACGCTAAGCCGGAGTTTATCGGTAAGGCGATGGATGATAAAAAGAGCGATCAAATTTATTGAATAACTTCAACTAGGAGGACACTAAATCTACCTAAAGCGGGAGACTTGAGTATTGACTAAAACCCTCTCTTAGGAACGATCGTGATTTGATTGATGCTTCCACAGCCTAGTTCTTTTACCAGGCAACACTCCAATGGATACTCTTTAACAAGAACACCTTTCCTTTTGGCCCCTCATCCTCTCCCCCCCCCCCCCCCATACTGACACCTACACAAAACAATACTTGAACGCTTCGCAGGCATGCGCTCAGTGACTACTTTCCAGCTATTTCTGTTTCTGCTTGGCCTTTCATCTCCGGTTCTTTCAGGCAAATCACAAAAGCCACCTGGCAAAAATGCCATCCTGCTCTCGCAAGTACACGCGCTGACACTCCATGGAGGCCGACTCACAAGCTCTCGGCGGGTGTCCCCTGTTCCTCAACTTAAATGTGTGGGCCCGTCAAAGCGCATATGTGATCTATACGAGATTGATACTATGAGGTGCACCAATGCAGGTTACGGCTACGACGAAGACGACGTGCAGTGGACTTGTACTGCATCGCTCCCCCCAGAGCTGAAGCTTGGTTCAACAGACGTCATTTGCGAGGGCTACCGAAACTCGGATGACCCATGGGTTCTAAAAGGTAGCTGTGGGGTTGAATATCGAATGCTTCTGACAGATCTGGGAGAGGAGAAATTCGGCTATAATTCCTATGATTTCGCACAGCGCGGTCATCGACCAGGGAAGCTCGGACGAACAATGGATCGGGTATTCAATGTGCTGTTCACTGGGATTTTCATTGGTGTTTTTCTCTGGATTTTTTGGGCATGCATCAGGGGTTGCTTTAGATCCGTAGGGAATCGGAGAGGTCCGCAACCTGGTCGCCGTTGGGGTGGTGGTGGTGGTGGCGATGGTGGCGGCGGACCCTACCCTGGACCTCCTCCTCCTCCTCCTCCTCCTCCTTACCGTCGCTATTCATACGACCCGAGTACGGAAAATCCAGATTGGAGGCCAGGATTTTGGACAGGCGTACTCACTGGTGGGTCGGTTGGCTATGGGCTTGGAAGTAGGAACAGTCGCTACAGTTCCCCAGCGAGAGGACGCAGAGGGAACTATGGGTCTGGAGAAGGCAGCTCCTCGCGCGTGTCATCCTCGACTACTACAAGCACAGGGTTTGGCTCTACGAGTCGAAGGTAACTCTCAATTTACTCTACTGATGACGCGAGTTTTCTTTATCTCGGCTCATACAACTACATGGATATATATTCAAGTAGTGTTGGCCGCCTTCGCCCATGAGTAAAGAAAGGCCTCATTCTCTATATAATAGTGATTTTCATCGACATGTGCTTCAAGCAGCGGGTCCAAAATATGTCACCACGATTATAATCCCGGATTGAAAAAAAAAAGACAAGTAGGACCGATTTACCTATACATTGAAAACGCCATGAAACGCCTGTCCCATCCAGGTAAACAAAGCCGCGCCAAAAACCAAGTCGTCCTGCGTTTTATTCAATCGTCTATAGAGCCCAAGATTTCTTCTGTTCCACCTCCCAGGCCTTTCGCGAGTTGCTTCTTATTATTGCGCTTGGGCTTGACGGGTCCTTTATCAGGACCTTGGACATTACTATTCCCATTTAAGCCATCTGGATCGCGGAGTAAATCTTCCTGTGCTTTCTTCTCTTTTTCATGCTGTTCTTCAATCCGTCGCCTTTCCTCGTCCAGCTCCTGTTCGATCACGCGAGGGTCATCGTACTCTGTGTTGGTCATCTCAGAGTAGGTACGAATGTCAATAGACTCCCGAGGCCCCATGAGGGTTTCCTTAATTCGTTCCGGATCCCGGCGCTCCTCGTTGTTGAATTTCAGTTTAATCTGGCGCCTAGACCGGCCAGGAAAAAGTTTACTTATCATCATAAAATCGGTCCCAAATATCCGTAGGCCTCGGTAAAACAAATCTGTCAGATCTTCGTCCCATGATTCGGTTTTGGACCGTTTCCCGTATGTAGATTGATTGATCTTTCGGGTCAGCGAGTTCTCAACCACGTCCTCCAATTCCCCAACATTCCTTGCTGCATCTGCATGGCGATCGACTTGAAGGGAAGCGGTATCTAGAACAATCTCCCCATTCACAATTCTCATGACCGGACCAGACTGGGGCTTCTTATCAAGAGTGCCTCGTTCCCCATCAGCTGCAGGGGATGCAGCACTCGGTGTCTCCTTAATTGGGGTCTCATCAACACGTTCTCCCTCTTGCTGAGCCTTTTTCCGCTCAAGTTCGGCCAATTCCAAGTTGCGCAACTCTGTTTCACGTTTCGATTTCTTTCCCGTGCGTAGATCTTTGCATAATTCCGACATCTTAACGAGTGAAGGGGCGATCTCTACCATCTCAGCACCCTCAGGAGTCGGCTCACGCGCCTTGCGTGAGCGCGGTTTTCTTTCTTTCGGTTTATTCCTCCCTTGATCGTTACTGGTGGATCTGCTCGACCTCCTGCTCTTTGTTTTAGTAGTGCTTTGTTGGCTAGCCCTGCGCGTCTCTGATTCGTCACGACTCTCACTACGCTCTCCAAGTGCAGGAACTTGCGTAGGCGGGGGAGTAATGAGTTGGTCCGGGCCTCCCATGGATTCATGGGAGGTGGTTTCAATGGTTGTTCTAAGGCGCTTAGACGGCCGAACTTGTGTCGTAGCTTCAGCATTTCGAGTCGCGGGCGATCCAATACTCCGAATATCATCCGGCGCTATTCCTTCGCCATCTATGTCTTCACTCTCACGGCCGGTTAAGTGCACCGTGGCCTCGGTACTCGACACAGTAGACACAGGTGGCGGGGAGCTTTGTGAGGGGACGGGGACATCTTTCGTAGGTCGAGGAACGGGTGCGGCGAATGAAGCCTTTCTCTTAGGGAGAGGGATCGGAATGGAGGTTGTAGATTGGGGTTTCGGTGCATCTTTAGCATTCGAGGGGATAGACGAGGATTCAGGGACAGATAGCTCGGATGGGATGGATGACTCGATAGTGGTAGTAGGAGCAGGGGTAGAAGGAGTCGGTTCGGGAGTTGCGGTCTCACTTGCGCGTGCAGGTACTTGGGTAGCCGATACTTGTGAAGTGACACTAGCCCTTCTTGAAGGGGCTGGAGGGGGGACTGGAGCGGCTCGTCGGACGGGCGCCTTTGGTGCAAATTTCTTGCCCGACTTATCTGGAAAAATCAGGGAAGATTAGAACCGGAATAGACCATCAGACAACAGAGGGATACATACTGATAACAGAGCTCGAAAACGACTTCATTTCTCAGTGGTAAACCATTTCTAGGGCCGATCGCTTGTCGCCGTCGTCGTCGTCGTTGGAAGCTGACCTGCAGCTGAGGCCCAGGCAGACTTCCGGGGAAAGTGGGTTGGGTCACGTGGGAGGCACTAAAAGCGCGCTAAACTTCCAAGCCGAAAATCCTCCTGGCTTCCCAAGTCTTGCTTATCTTGACCACTCCACCCTCACTTTTCCACTCTCCCTCTTTCACCTCCCCAAGAATTTTCACCGGTCGGATCCTGCTACAGTCCCTGCTACCGGCCAGTCGCTGCTCAGTGGTTACGGCCTCGCCCGACCTATGCCTCTCCAGTAGCCACTGATGCCGGCCGCCGAAGCATCCCCCGTCGCACCTCCCGAGTCCGGTTTTGTCAAAATGGAAGACCGGAAGAGAGCTGCCGCATACGATCACAATGACTCTGCCCCCCCGTTGAAAAAACAGGCTACGTCTGTCAATGGTGGCAGCAAACCTCATCCAGACGCTGATATGCCTTGGAAAGACGATTTGGAGGTAAGCCTTTAACCCTTTAATGTGGGAGGTGACTTTACACAGGGGTCGGGCAGGATTCATCCCATCTGTGTATGGCAATTCACTGACCAAACATTCTTTCTGTGTCCAACAGCGATTCCAGAAAGACGCGATATGGCGTCAAATGCAAGAGTACAAACGCGAAAAGGTTTCTCTGGAGACGAAATTAAATCAGATGTCTAAGGCTACCGTCAATCACAACGATCACCTTCGTATCATCGACGCCTGGTATGGACAGGTGCGTAGAACGAATCCCTGAGCCTCCCCCTCAATTATCTATAGCTAACAAATTCAAAGTTAATTGACGAGATTAAAATTCTCCTTGGCGCTCCTAAGGACGACAGCAAGGGTAGGTACAAACTGTGCCAGATATTGTATTTATTCGTGGAATTGTTAACAAGATCACAGAACGTGCCTCCTTCCAAAGCCTGCTACTTTTCGATGAGATTGGGAAATTTGAAAAACATCTGAAATCTCGCTCTGATGATATCCGCGACATTATTTCCCGCCTCCTTTCTACAACTTCGACAGCTTCTCCTGAGGTTTCAGATTTGCAATCCCAACTTGCCAAAAAATTAGCCGAAGAGAAGGCCACTATTGTCGAGCTCGAGAAAGCCCTATCCGAGAAGCAACAGTTGGAGGAGAGCCTGGAAGAGGCGTCTTTACGGTACATGGTTGCTGAGAAGAAACTTGATCGTGCTCGAAGCTTGACTGTTGCCAAACTGGAAAAACAGTATATCTTCGGTGCTCAGCGACCCGGTGGTGACAGTGCATCCGCAAATCGTGAAGAGGCCCCACCTACTAATGGCACAACCCCTACTGGCGAACGAACTCCGGAATCGGACGAAACCTACAGTAAGCTGTCGGCTATATCCGAGAAACAAAAGGAACAACTACAAAAATTAGAGGCTGAAAACGCCAGTTTGCTCGGCCAAATAACAGAGCTCAGTATCAAGGTAGGTACGCTTTATTTAAACCACGCTCAGTTAATGTGCTAATCTTGCATTTTTTTTTTAGAAATCTAAACTTACGGATGATGATTACGCGCATACGGATTTATTCAAGCAGCTGCGATCTCAGTATGATGATGTTGTTAAGCGGATAAACCACTTGGAGGCCACCAATGTGCAATTACGCGAAGAGGCCGCAAAACTACGATCGGAGCGAACAGCTTATCGTAACCAGGTGGACGAGGAGACACAGAACGTGATTGCTGAGAAGGAAGCCCACCTAATGAGAGCTGAAACAGACCTCGCACGCATACGCAATGCTCGTGATGAGTTACTGGCTGATCAGCAGATGCGAAAGGCTACACAGGAACAAGAGAAAATAGCCACCGTCAAAGTCCAGGAACTCGCGGATGCAGGTCAAGCTCGAATCGAAGCGTTAGAGTCGGAGGTGGAGCGGATGCGCCTAGAACTTGAAACGGAAAAGGCAGCGCAAGCTGGCATCGACGAGACACCGATTGAAGAGTTACGGGCTAAATACAACAACCTTGAACGCCAATATTCTATGCTCAACACTGAATTAGCCTCTATGCAAACAGCCTGCAAGAAGTATTCTTCGCTAGCATCTCAGAAAGTCACCGATTTCAGCACTTTGGAAGAAAAGGTACTCCGTCTGGCGGCAGAGAAATCCAAGGCAGACCAGAAATATTTCGCTGCAATGAAAAGTAAAGAAGCTCGGGATATGGAGGTTCGCTCATTGAGAATACAAAACTCGAAAAGCTCCGACATCGTCTCGCAATTGAAGGAGTCAGAAGCAACCACGCGATCTTTGCTGGCGAATATGGAAAAGCAGGTCAGCGAGACCAAGGAAGCACTGAACTCGATGGGCAACAAATATCATGCCGCACAGCAACAAGTTACAGAGAGCAATATCATTATGGAAGGCTTGAGAGGGCAGATAACGGAGCTTAAAGCGTTATCTGTGTCCAAGGATTCAACGCTAGCGACCACCTCCAGTGCCTGTCGTCAAGCTGAAGCCGAAGTCGAAGGGTTGAAGGCTGCACTATCTGATACTAAAAAGAGCCTGGACAACTGGAAGAACAAGAGTCTCGGAAACTCTTCATCCGAGTATGAAATGCTAAGAGTGAGTCTGCCTTGTCTTTCCTTGCATCCAGTGCCCGTTTGTTTGCTAACTAGTTCCAGACCCTTGCACTGTGCACCGTATGCCGCAGGAATTTCAAGAACACCGCCATCAAGACCTGCGGCCATGTTTTCTGCAAGGACTGTGTAGAAGAACGCCTCACTTCTCGGTCTCGGAAATGCCCGAATTGCAATCGCTCCTTCGGCAATAATGATTATATGCACATCACGCTGTGAACTTTTCGCCCTATATTTTGGTCTAATTCCGCAAAACCTCCTTCGTGTACCATAGTTTCTTTCACCCTCCCCCTCCCCCCCCTTTATTTACTTCTTACTTGGTTTTATTACTTTTTCTTCTTCTTCTCCTTCTTCCCCTGTTTTATCCATTTTGATTTCTCAATCATGGAAAAGGCTCATGGTGCGGTGTTTTGTTGTGTATGATTTAGCAGGATCGGTTCCCAGAGTGGCTGGCTGGCGTTTGATATTTTTATATTCGTGGACCAGGTATCGGGTCATCTGGTCTTTGGGTTCCCTTTTTACCCATACTCATTTTCCTTTCTTCTCTTTTCTTTACTGGGTCTTGGATACCTGCAATACCGTGGTTTCCAAGGGAGGATACCTAACTCGCGAGTTGTAGGATTAACAAGGAAGCAGTGTATGGGGAAGGGAATGATGAATACCGCCATAGTTATGGAAGCATGCCATTAATGACATCATGCAGAACGATTCCATTTTAATATTTTTTGTTTTTATTCCCATTTTAAGAGTTGAAGATTCTGCTGTATAGAAGTTCATGTCGCCCAACCCAAAGGTCTAATGGAGGGACGACTTGGCCGGCATCTTCGACTGCAGTCTCCCACTCTCGGGTTATCCGGCCCGCAATCATATCTTGGAGGTCCTTACTAGCTAAGACACTCTGGGCCTGATAGGGACCCATAACAGAAGCCCGAACCGCCGCACTGAGCACGGCTTTGGCATGATTCAGCATAAATACATAAGCGGTCTGATGCGCATCCATCCCCATGGCTTGACATACCGCGCCCCATAACGGCGCAAAATGCCCCTTCGGGCCTAATTCGTCTACGCCCTCCACCGATGATTTCAGAGCATCTGAAAAGGTCTCAATGGTCATGATCGCTTCCGTAGGGTTGCCTGAAGCATATGGGTTCCGGAATGCTCGCTCCCAGACCCCTAGTAATGCCCTTCCCTGGGCGATGCTTGCGCGCTGGGCGACCGGACAAGGAGTCGATGCATCTAGGTCGTTATCTAGGGCTTCTAAATCGGTAGGATGGCGGTATCCCGCTAAAACGTAGGGAAGCGAAAGACTAGCCATGGAAGCCAGAGATAGTCTTAAAAATCGATGAAAGGAAGCAGCCGGGGTTATTGATTGCGGGAGAGGCTTGTTGTGAGCTATGTAGGATTCCAGGCCGCTGGAGTATGCGAAGGAGCCCAGTGGGAGGGCGGAATCCGATAGGAGGAGGAGCGCATGGGTAGGTGCTAGGAAATTCGAGTCTAAGGGGAGAAAACCGTCCAGCATAGTTCTGTAGATAGTTACTGTGAAAAAAAAAAAAAAAAAAAAAAAAAAATTTGGATTAAATCCGAAGCTTCACAAACAACATACCGGCTTGGAGAGGCAGGTGTAAAGACGGCGATGAGGATGGAGGTCGTGGTTCGGCAGATTGCGCCACGGAGGTTTGTGCTAGACGAGATTTGGCATTGCGCAAACGATACTCGAGATCTGCAATCTCTTTCTCTAGATCCTGTACGTTGGCTTTGACGGTCATGGAGTCATGTTATGTTTCTGTGTAAGGGACATGATGGATAATAAGCGGGAAAGAGAAGGACTTCTCTGCCCTCCTCCTCTCGCGCACTGCGATAAAACCCCTCCCGGAACTGATAACTGCAGGCCAGTCAAGAGAGGACAGACAAACACCTGTGGAAATTCCCGGCGGAAAACAGCCGCGAGGGCGGTGTAACGTGGCAGAATAGAGCCTAGGTGAAGGAAAAAAGGATGACGAGAGATGCAATGACGAGGTACTAGTTCACTATGCGAGTACGGTAGGAGAAAAAAATTGAATCTGGAAGAATCTCCTCCCATTTTACGGCCAAGACGATGTCGGGTAAGCGTCTACTCGACACAATCCAATTCCTGAACGTCGCAAAGTCCATTGCGGCTAAGCACCTTGCTCTGCGTCAGAGACAGCTCGATGTGTTTACCAGGACATCTTCCCTGACGAAGGGAATAAAGAACCAAGCAGATGGCCTGATACTCACAGCCAAAGCTGCTGCTGCGCTTGCCAAACGATTCGAAGACCCGAGCCCTTCCCCGTCCACGCAGAATGCTACCAGCACAGCCGAACCCTCCCGTTCGACGCAACCAAAATCGCACACCGAGTCCAAAATACCTTCGTCTGTAGCAGGTGTTAGTGGGGATACAGGGAACGACAAGTTAAATGTTAGTCTGCAGCAGGAGGTTTTCTACCAGCCCTCCAAGGATGTGGCTGCGGATCCCGGGAGTTTACCTCGCATAAAGATACCGGAAGTTACGAGCGATGCGCAAAGCCAGCTGGATAAGGGGATCAATGCGGATTTCTACAATTCGCCTGTGAATGCACAAGAGTCAAGCTCGGCGGCACAGTCTGTAACAGAGCAGCCGGAACTTCCCGAGGAGATGATGAAGGATATATTCCATAGCCCCCGAGTCGCTAGGGTACTCTCTCGACAGGCAGCAGCGGAGCAGAGATTCCGTCCGCAGGAAATACTCAAGGGAGCGTCTAGTCAGACTGGAAATCAAGATGTCGAGCCCGTCGGCTCGACACTTGCAGAGGAGGTCGTCCCCGCCTCAAAGGTAAGTCGGAGATTGTATATCAATACCAAACAAACTCTCTAACAATTTCCCAGATAGATTCAGATATTGCAACCGACCTCAAGCAGGCGGAAGGCACTTATAAGATGGTAGAGTCCCGTGTGCCGTCTTCACGTCTAGGCAGATTATGGCAATACGGAGGGCTTGCCACATCAATGGCTTTCGGTGCCGTTAGTGAGAGTCTACGAAGGGTAGCAGGAAGCGCAGAAGATGCTGCTGGGTCTATTATGTTCAGTCCTGGGAACACAGAGCGACTTGTTGCTAAGCTCTCCAAGATGCGTGGCGCTGCTTTGAAGCTAGGTCAGATGATGAGCATCCAAGGTGTGTAAACCCAGGGCCTTTCATCATCTACTCCTAGTTCTAACCATAACAAGACTCAAAAATGCTCCCGGAACCAATGCAACAGATTCTCCAGAGAGTCCAAGACCGGGCCGACTACATGCCTGCTTCTCAGCGGGACAAAGTTCTAGCAGACAACCTAGGCCCTAACTGGCGTGACCTCTTTTTATCCTTCGAAGAGATTCCCATCGCAGCTGCTTCCATCGGTCAAGTCCACGGCGCAGTCCTCAAGCGCACAGGACAGCCTGTCGCCGTCAAAGTTCAATACCCAGGTGTTGCAGATTCGATCGACTCCGACCTCAACAACCTCTCCGTCCTCCTAACCGCGTCCCGCCTCCTCCCCCGGGGCCTGTACCTCGATAAAACCATCGCAAACGCACGCATAGAACTCGGCTGGGAATGCGATTACACCCGCGAAGCCGAATGCAGCAACCGCTTCAAACAACTCCTCCAAGACGACCCAGTCTTCCTCGTCCCAGAAATCATCCCCGAAGCCTCAGGCAAGAACGTTCTCACCATGGAGCGCCTCAACGGCGTCGCCGTCACCAAAATCCAAAACATCACCCAAGCCCAACGCGACTGGATCGGAACCCAGATCCTCCGTCTCTGTCTGCGCGAAATCGTCGAGTTCAAGTACATGCAGACCGACCCCAACTGGACCAACTTCCTCTACAACACTGCAACGAACAGACTGGAGCTGCTTGACTTCGGCGCTTCAAGGGAGTTCCCGGCCGACTTTATCTCAAAGTACGTGCGGACTCTCCGTGCGGCGTCCCACGGCGACAGGGAGACCTGCCACAAGCTCTCGATCGAACTGGGCTACCTCACAGGCCATGAGTCCCCCGCAATGGTTGAAGCCCACGTCACTTCGATTCTCACCCTAGCTGAGCCGTTTGTGAATTCCTCGCCGGACGTGTATGATTTCAAGGACCAAACGATTACAGACCGTGTGCGGGACTTGATCCCCGTCATGATTCGCGAGAGACTAGCCCCGCCTCCGGAGGAGACTTATAGTTTGCACCGCAAGCTTAGTGGAGCTTTCCTGCTGTGTGCTAGACTAGGCAGTCGGGTGCGTTGTAAGGAGTTGTTTGCAGATGCTATGAAGAAAGCGGATGAGAATCACCTCTAGGTAGGTAAACCTTTGATTTAACCGCCCCCCCCCCCCCAAAAAACGAGTTAAAGAACGGCCGCCTGAGGTTGAATGAAGTTGGGGGGTCCCCAATTTCATATGTACTTTATGTAGAGAAACATCACCACCCTGTATATTATAGAGCTATGTGCTGGTATAAAATAAATGTATGGTACAATAGAATATGCATCAGCTGCGAGGCCATGTTCGGGGCCAGGAGGAAGTGGATCTGAGGCCTGCTCATGTCCACATTTTCCTGTCCTGTCGCATCAATATGGGGTTATATGCGCGGCTCATCTCGTGGAGAGAGCCTGATCCTTCTCAAATGGGGTACAGTTAGCTTTCACGATGCTGGACGCCGTTCCCCAATGAAGATCCTAGGTCAACAACTCTTGAAATCGCATTTCAATGGAGAAGAAGTCCACTGACAAACTCCAAACGACCGGAAGGAATAGGGTACGAGATGGAACTCATTTTACTGCTTCCCTTTCTCATTTGCAAAGATGGCGTTCCAGTATCTCCTTACGTCCTTGCAGATGCCCTTCTTACCCCTCCAGGTTTGGAACTGGTTCTCGAGCTCGCAAGCCGTCCAGAGAATTTCTTTCCAGTAGTGCTTCTCGATATCAGTTCCAAAGTCCTGAATCAGGGTTTCGGGAACAGTCCAGGCACGGGTGTAGCTGCCGTCATCTGCGAATGCAGGGTTCACTTCTCCCTTTTCGAATATCGTAGCCGGATTGAATTTGGGGAAGTTGGCATGAATAAAAAATGCTCGGGGAGTAGGCGCATCGGCGTCACGGCTGGCACCATCGCGTCTTAAGGCGTAGTCTTCTGTAGGGTCGAACTGGACCATTGCTGAGCCTGCAAGGCCACCAGCTGTCGGGTGGCCGATTGCAACGATGCCTTCGGAGACTTGGTAGTACGGCTCATCGACGGCTAAGGCGGCGGCGACAAAGGTTTCTTTGTCACCTTCTCCTGCAGCGCCTTGCGAGAGCAAAGGGTAGTAATATGAGGGTCCCCATAGGTTGTAGTAGGTGCTAAGAAGGAGTGTTTTTTGGTGGGTTTTCTTTGAGATCAGCACCTCGCCCGATTCTGTCGACTGCCGAAGAGTGTTTTCGGGCTTCGGCTGAGAGGCAATCTCATAGTAGTAGGAAGAGACTGTGGATGCCCAGAAGTCAGGCCAAGTGACCATCTTCCTCGATTTGAATGGCTCGTTCGTAAATAATGAATCTGGTGGGAGCAAAGGGAAAGAATCGGCATCCAGAAATAGGATCTCTTCGAAGGAAGAAAAGAGCATCGCGAAGAGCTTGAATTGGTATTTCTCGATTTCCATAATCTTGGGGACCGCATCCAGAATGCGGGAGAGCACCACGCATCGCGCATTCAAAGAGGGGAGAACTACATCGCAGATAAAAGGTTCATATTCTTCGTCAGAGGCTAAGAAGACCTCGACGGGGAGTTCTGAGCTTGTTCTCCTAAGCATTCGGAGAGAAATCACCAGCACGGGCAGATACGAGCCTCCAGCGGTAGAGACGAGGCCTTTTGTATTGGGGGTATAGTGTAGATGCGGTGGATTACTTTCAATTGCCTCGACAAATCGGGTATGCGTGTTCTTCATTTCCTCAACTTCATCGGGTAGCATGTCCAGCATCTCAGGTCGATTATTCGGATCTGATTCCTCGACTCTGATAGACGGAGCATTTCCCATCCTCATTGGCGACTCGCATTTTGGCGTAGAGAGAATTAAAATCGGTTGAAATTGGCGCCAAAACTCAATGTGGCCCTCAGGCTCATGCACGACTCTGGCATATCCACTGGAGGATGACGAAGCTCCCGCAGTGCTTGGAGACCTGAGGTTTGGGGAGGACTTTCTATATCGCGAAAGAGACCAGAGAGAAAAGAGAGTTATTATTGTAGCTAGCAATAATAGTACGCGCACTCGCGCCATCGGTCGCCGTGGAATCATTACTTTGGTGTCGTGCGTGAAAGAGGCGGCTGTGTCGATCCTTCCACGCTGGCCTTCGATAAGCGCGGCGAACAATCAATTGGCGATTGTGGCCCGTATGTATTGCTTGACTAATTCCGGTCGCACTTGGTCGCACAGACTTCTCCAATTCGCCAGGAATTGGAAATGGGAGATTCCGCTCCTTTCAATGTGTCTAGTGAGGGCAAAGGAGTGGACGGTCACCAGGAGCAGAAAGACATCGAACTCGAAGGCAAGGTGATGTCTATGACCTGAACCCAGGCGGAGCTGGCGGAACAGGGAGATAAGTATGAAGTCTCCAGCTGCAATAGAAGCTCATGGGACAAGAGAAGAAAGGAGAGGGAGAGTAGTAAGAAGGAATAACATGATAATAATGATAAGAATAATTCAAATGAAGAAGATATGTTCCCCTTCCAATTGTTGGAAGGACAAGTAAGCAGCTTATTGTGATGAGACTTTTTTTTTTTTTTGACTGTTTATCGAACAGCGTCACTGGCACGTGTCGGGTCATACGTCATACTTGAGCGCTGGATTTCTTTTCCACGCAATGGTTTTTTTTCCTGCTTTTCTTTTCTTCTTTTTTTTTTTTTAACAAAAAGGTATGACATATCATTTTAGAAATGAATGTTGTTAAGATCATTCCCTAGTAAACAATTAGATTGCTGTAGGAAGCACCAACGCCATGTTTCATGATACATTAAAGTCAATTTAAGCACCTAGATAGCTCCATGATCTAGAACTCCTAGTCAACCTCGAGAAGCACACATCCAATTTTATTATTATATTAAAAGACTTCCTTAGGATTTGCTCTCGAAATTAGAGTCCTGGCTGGACTCTTCTTCTTCTTCTAGAATCGTTCCTGACAAAAGTCCTCCATTGTTCAAAAGACTCGCCTCTTTTTGCCAGCCCCAGCCCATCCAGGAATCATCGTTGGATAAAGTAGAGTCACCTTGGTATACAGTCTTAGCATCCTTGAGCGGACGACGTAGACCGTCCTTGGATCTCAATTCGAGTCCCGGTCGAGTCCTTGATGATGCGCCCAGGGCACGATTTAATAGATGGACAGTGAAAGTGGTGGCCAAATAGAGGAAAACCCCCAAACCAACGCCTGTCAGCAAAGCCACTCCGAGGTAGATAAATAGTGCCTAGAAATAAATATCCCAAAATTAGCCCCTAGTAATTCCATCCCACGGACAGCAAGCTAGGGACAGTCGAGCAGCACCGCGTACCTCAAATTTACTCAGTATTCGCAAGGGTATCAGGACCAAGTGAAGAACAACGGAGCAAATTTTTATCACCGGTGCTGCCAGAAGCACCAGGAGAAAATATCCGACGGATGCTACATATACCAGGGGGGAAATGAGGACAATGGAAAGGCCGGTTGATAGACCTGAAAGCCAACCCATTGGTAGAATAATGGAGTTGTTCAGGTTCTAATGTTGGTTTAATAGTGGAAGAGTGGACTTGAGTTACTTACTCTGAAGCAACATAACATGTCATAGGCGGCCAACCCTGGCAGAATAAATATATCTTCAAGCTATACAAATGGTGGCCAATCAGAGAATGTAGGTACTAGGTAGCTGGTAGCATACCTCTAAGTACCTAACCTACATCCTCTTGAAGTACTTAGTATGGGTGTATTTCGGTCCTTCTCCCTCTGCCAACTGGCCTCTATCTACGGGGAAAATTGAGACCGTACTAACTATAACTTGGTTTGTAACCAACGCATGCCAGGTCATCGAGTACCCGCTATAGCACCATATTCGCTAGAACAAAGTAAACTAAAACTGTCAAGCAGTAAATTACATCTACATCAATTTCGATTTCCATCATCTACTGTATACTCTCCCCAGTGATACTCGAACAATAAGACTTCAGCAAAACGGGAACATGAACAGTTCGAGAGCGTAGAGCCCTAAGCCCTAATTTGACGTTTTGGGCCAGACTCTGAGGTTGTTCCTATTGTCTTATCGACATCATCATCGCCGCCAACTTCAGCAATACTGTCATTCCTGTCCATTTCTCTTCGGTCGCTCGGGTATCCCGTTGTATGAGTGTTTAATACTAGCTTAGATAGATTATCTTCCCCCTGCCTTCTCATCTCTCAGTCTTTCACTGGCCGAGTAAACCCTTTCCCTGATCTATCGCGTCTTCGAATCCGTGCTCTGCCCCTCAGCCTCTTCGGATTGGCGCTCTAATGCGGGCATCTTGATCTACACAATCTCATCGCCCACTCGTGTCTGTTCCATTTATCACTCACGGGAGCCCTCAATACTGGTCTTTTCGTTTGATTCTTCCATTTATCCCCGTCCCCCCCCCCCCCCCCCCCCTTCTTTGTGACCCAGGATTCCCCCCGCCCCCCCCCGGCAGATGGGCAATAATCCTTCCAAAGGCCCTCTCGGAGATGGGCCAACGACTTCGGGCACTACGGGCCTGACGGCTTCGAGAGTGGCTCGTCAGCCATCGCTTAATGCCCTATCAGGCAGCGCGAAAGCCTCTGTGGCCGACCCATCTGCCTCTAGAGAAAATGCGACCGGCCATTCATCCTCCCAAAACCAGCCTTCAGTCCAGCATCGCCTGCAATCACGAAATGCCACGGATTCGCCTTCGCGGAATTTAGATCGGCCGGATCGACACGAGCCTAGGAAGACGGAATATCGCTCGAGAGACATTCAGTCTCCCGACCCATCTAACCCTGTCCAGGTCCCCGTCTCCCGGACCGCTCCTCGACGGGATCCTTATCAGCCTGTCGCTCCTTCTGGTCCTCCCCATAAGATGTATTACAGTGCTTCGACACATCTCCAGCGTCCCCCACGGATGCCATTGCCGATTGGAGATGCCACAGCTACCCCCGGGTCTCCGATTAGCGGCCCAGAAGAACCCGGTCTGCCACCTAATCAGGTCCTAGACGATCAGACAGATACCGCAAACCATCCCACCACCATCGAGGATGACGATACACTGGATGAGTTGCAGCCATACACTAGCAGCGGCGTGGGCAGGGCAGTTCCGACAACTATAGAATGGACTGGCGGTGGCGACAAGCTGTATGTCACCGGAACATTCGTTAACTGGGAGAAGAAGTTCCGCCTACATAAAAGGTATGCGATAATCCATGTTTTTGTGACCCGTGTTCTGGTGGCATTTATTCGCGGACTAATTGAGATTCTTCGCCTTGGATTAGTGAAAATAAACCTGGGGTTATGTCGGCAAAATTAAATCTCCGTCCAGGCACACACTATTTGAAATTTATTGTCGATGGTGAGATGCGCGTCTCCGACAACCTTCCAACTGCGGTCGACTTTACAAATCATCTGGTCAACTACATCGAAGTGAGTGCGGACGATGTCAACCGGTCGAGGCGAGAGAGTGATAAGGGCGGCGTTCCTCCTGGAATCCACTCCCCACAGGTTCTACCTGGCCTTGCTGGAGGTGACAAACTCGAATCCAGCGTGGACGACGAGTCCGACAAGGAAGAACCTGAAGAAATCCCCCCTGGGGATTTCCGTAACATTATCCCACCATTCCTTGTGGACCTTGACAAGGATGAGGAAAGCCAGAGTTACCAGCAAGCCGTCAACATCATCGGCGATGCGCCCACCCCACCAAGTCTTCCCCTTTTCCTTGGGAAGTCGATTTTAAACGGGACCACGCCAATGAAGGATGATAGCAGCGTTCTCAACTATCCCAATCATACCGTCCTAAATCATCTGGCCACTAGCAGCATAAAGAACGGTGTTCTAGCCACAAGCGTAACAACCAGATACAAAAGAAAGGTGATTTGCTCCATGTTAATCATTATTTGGAAAATAAATCACTAACATACTTGGCTGCAGTATGTTACAACAATATTGTACAAGCCCACTGGGGACATTGGTGAATAAATAACGCGCCAAGGTGGATAGTCCCAATATCACCCACCCCTCTTTCAATTCCTGGGTAACCATAATGTGATATATCTGCTCCCCGATCGATCCGAACTGCATTTGGTGCTCTGCCTTGACCTCCACTCGGAATTTTCTGGGGTTTTTTTTCTCTTGTCTCCAAAATTCCGACTTGCAGAAATCTTTATAAAGCCTTGTTCAAGGCATCCGCTGCACTCAGAGCTCCTCCCTGGGGAATGAACATATCCGAGGTCTTGCATCGGAAACCTAGCCTTCCGGAAATTTGCTGTTACCTTGACTTCTGAGGGGTTCTAATAACAAAAGCCATCTGCAGTGGTTGGAGGGTCATCTTTTGCCTTGCTTCTTTCTCATTTATTTGGCGTTTTAGGGCAGCGCACGGCAGCAATGCAAGTTATTTGGTTAGGTGTCTCGCTATTTGTCCTTTTTTCTTCTTCTTCTTCTTCTTCTTCTTCTTGACAAATCCATGTACATACAGAAGAACCAAAGTACAAGGTCTACTCTGGTTTAGATACAGGAGTCGGATTTGACTAATATAGATGTTTTTGCTGTTCACTGAGAGTGAACAAGTCATTTAGCATTTCCTAAATCCAATTGCATTTAGTCACATACAATGGGTTGTTTTATTTTGTTGAATTCTAAACTCTATTATATTCCAATATTCATGGAAAAAAAAAAAAAGGCAGGCTAATCCCTCCATTTCACAAACACATCGTCCGTTCGAAATCGTTGCGTACACGTAGATTCCTTCAGCGGTGTTCGGAATCCCGTTTTGTATGCAAGTAAACCAGCCTGCGCAATCATGATGCCGTTATCAATACAAAACCTCTCATCTGTTGCATGAACACTTCCTCCACGGTCTCGCGCCATAATTCCCATCATTTCCTGTAGTCGTTCATTACAGCCCACGCCTCCCACGATCAAAACCTCTTTCGACCCGACATGCGCCATCGCACGTTCCGTGATCTCGACTAACATAGAGAACACCGTCTCCTGGAGTGAGAAGCATAGATCCGCCCGTGTGGGCTTAACATTATCAACGCCATCCGACATTGGGGTATCTGCAGTTGCGTCTCCTTCCTCGGCTTCCTTTTCGGCCCCGTCGAGACCATGTGTAACAGCTAGGGCATCGATCGCAGCTAATATTCCGGACATCGAGCAGTCCATGCCCTTCACGGTATATGGTAGATCAACCAATTGTTTGCCTTTCTTTGCTAATTGCTCGATGTTGTATCCCGGGGCCGGGTCATTCGAAATGTGTAGGGTTCGGGCAAACCGGTCGAGGCAGTTGCCGACTGCCATATCGAGAGTCTCGCCGAAAATGCGGTATCTTTGAGAGCTGTAAGCAATCACTTGGGTGTTTCCTCCGGAGACGTAGAGGACCACGGGGTTTGTAGCTCCAGTGATAAGGCGCCCCATTTCGATATCTAGTGGAATGTGTCAGGTTAGGCACTAGCTAACCCTTGAATCTGTAGAAAATATACATACGTCCAACACAGTGATTAACACCAATCAACTCCTTCCCCCAGAGTAAACTCAACATACGAGCGGCCACAGCTACACTTTGAAGCGGAGCTCCCATCCCGGGACCCTTGGTGTAACAGATACAATCCACATCATCGGCGGATAGACGAGCTTCCTTGAGCGCTTTCTTCACTAGCTTTACAACCCACGCTCGATGATGCCTAGCTGTGTCCTTGGGGAGGAATCCCTCGCCTGGAGGGGAGACATATGTGTGACGAATATTCGCGAGGACCTGCGGGGTGCTTCCATCGTCGGGATGCAGCATGATGCCCACACCAAGCTTGTTGGCGGAGCCTTCGAGACCGATAGCAATCATGACAACAGATAAAACGTGTCTATGGGGTGGACGAGAAAACAATAAATAAAATCATATAAAGGTAGATAGGGTTATAAGAGGTCTGGATGTTTGTATAGAGCTTTCACAATCCACAGCGGTTGAGGGGCAAATCCAGATCCAAGAATCTTTTTTATCAGCAACGCTTATCGATTGGTGCGTGGACGTACCTTTTGGGGGGGTCTCTTACGGCACTTCCGCTGCTGCGTTTATCCGACGGTACCTATACAATACTCCTCCTCTCCCTCCAGCCCACTTTTGGAGGTCTTCCTACTCCTCTTCCCCCGTCTGCTGTTTCTTCCCTCTTCCCATAATTCCGGTGCGGTTTCTTGTTTCCTTTTATGATTCTCCATCTCGGGCTCTTGAATTTATAATTACCTGTCTCGCTCCTTTCTTTTCCGGAGCTTAAATTGTCAGTGTGTGTGTGTGGCTTGGGTTTGATTTTCTTGCTGATCTCCCACAACCAACCTTTCTTGTCCCCCGGCCATGTCATCCTCAGCCCATTTTACTGAATCTGGGAGTTTCCAACGTCAGTCCGATGAGTTTGCTACCTGGCTGGCTAGTAGACCCGGTGTCAGGGTGAATTCAAAGATTCTTATCGCGGATTTAAGAGGGAACGCTGCCGGAAGAGGTGTCGGTATGTTTTTGGACCCTCCCGAGTTTTCCCCTCCCTGAGCAGCCCATTTCTAGCCTGATCGAGTGTTTTCATTGTTGAAAGTGACTCCCAATCTGATTCGTTGGTGTCATCATATTAGTCGCTCAGGCCGATATTCTCGAAGGCGAAGAGCTTTTCACAATTCCCCGCGGTCTCGTTCTCTCGACTTACAATTCGAAGCTGAAGGATCTTCTTCCCCAAGACGTGGAGGAACTTGGCCCATGGCTGTCGCTTATCCTAGTGATGATCTATGAGTGTCTCCTAGGCGATCAGTCTGCCTGGGCCCCGTACTTTAAGGTTCTTCCCCAAAATTTCGACACCCTGATGTTCTGGTCACCGTCCGAGCTTCAAGAGCTTCAGGGAAGTGCGATTGTCGACAAAATCGGAAAGCAGAGTGCAGAGGAATCTATTCTTGAAACGATAGCCCCAATCATACGATCTAATCCTTCTCTTTTCCCGCCCATTGGCGGTCTGCCTTCGTACGATGGTGATGTCGGCGCCCAAGCCCTTCTTCACCTTTCCCACATCATGGGTTCGCTTATTATGGCCTATGCGTTCGATATCGAGAAGCCTGATGACGGGGACGACGAGCGTGTTGGTGAAGATGGATATTTGACTGACGAAGAAGATGAACAATCATCCAAGGGTATGGTGCCTCTCGCAGACATGTTGAACGCAGACGGAGACCGGAACAACGTGAGTCCTTACTGCGCTTTGCCTTTACTACCTGTTCGTTCTAATTTTTGAATTTCCAGGCCCGTCTATTCCAGGAAGAAGATTCCTTGGCTATGAAGGCCATCAAACCCATCAAAGCAGGAGAAGAGATTTTCAACGACTACGGAGAGATCCCCCGTGCTGATCTTCTGAGACGCTACGGCTATGTGACAGATAACTACGCCCCTTACGATGTTATTGAATTATCACTCAGTCAACTCTGCAACGCGGCCAGCCTTCAAAATGCCAGCATCGAAAGTCAACCCTCCGTATGAACCTCGCCTCTGCTCTTTTTCTCCCAGAAAATCCCTAACTCTAAACCGTATAGCTCCAACTTTTAGAATCCCTAGAACTCCTTGATGACGGATACGCCATTCCCAGACCTTCATCCAAGGACTCGCTGACAGATATCCTCCCGGATGAGCTTCTCTTACTTCTCAAGACCCTGGCATTGCCGGTCGAGGAACTCGCGCGCCTCCAGCAAAAACAAAAGCCCCCGAAGCCATCATTCGGACAACCAGAAGCAAGAATTCTCTCTAGAGCAATCCAGCTCAACCAATCTCAATACGGCACAACATTGTTGCAAGACCAAGAACTCCTGGCCCAGCTCAAGCAGTTAGAAGCCACCTCCGGCCCTGCCGAGGGATCTACCCGACGACTAAAAATGGCCATCCAAGTTCGACTCGGTGAAAAGGAGATCCTCCAGGATCTCTCTGCCAAACTCGACGCCTATCTAGCCAATTCCGCTCCAGCTGCTCACAAAAGAACCGCGAGCGGGGATGACCACGATTCGCGGAGAACAAAAGCGCAAAGAACCTAGTCCATCGTCCTCGATTTTCCGATATACTCTATAATACCAGGCGTGGGAAAAAGTTTTCTTTTTTTGCGTTTTATTAGAATTGATTAATTATTGTTTTTTTTTTCTTCGTTGCTGACCTCATAGCTCCGCTATCCGTACATGATTCTATCGACCCATCCATCCATCGACTGCAGGGGAAATAAAAAAAAAAAAATTCAGAGCAAGAGAGAAAAAGAAAAACTGGCTATGTACACTAACATTCGCATAATCCTAGGTCGTTAAAAAAGGGATAAGATAACCATCAACGACATTATCCTGAAATTTTCGAATACTTCGCGGCATTCAAGTGAGAAAGGTGGTGGTGGTGGTGGTGGTGGGTGGGTGCGCGTCTCAAGGGTATGCGATAAAGGACAACTAAAAAATGCAGCCCCACAAATCAAGATCTCGAAGGAATAAAAGTACACTGGGGGGTAAGCAAAGATGGCGCAGGTCGATATGGAAGAACGCCCGCTAAAATCGACTTCGTGGGCGCGGAGAGAAGAGACAAACAGGTTCAGGGAGGGAAGAAAGATGAAGCCCGGCTCATGTTTCAGATGTGGGAGCAACGGCGCCAGGCCCGAGATTGGATCCCGTTGTTTGCCCCGGATTTGATGGGTTACTGGCTGCAGCTTGTTCGGCCTGCAACCGTCGTTGTGCTTGCACTTGCGCCGCCTGCGCGTGTGCTTGATCTCGGGCTTTCGCGATCATGATCGCCCGGTTTTGCATGATCTGAATATCATACTGATCCATCTCATAGCCGAGATCGTCCTCTGAATCTTCCTGGTCATACTTGAATCGGTCTGCTTTCCAGGGATCCAATTCCACTCTACAACGTGCGGCAAGATTACGACGGTCGATCAGCAGGCGACCACCACGCCCGATACGCCTTCTAAATGAAGGCATCTTGCTGGTATCCTCACTCATCACCAGATCATGGGCAGCGAGTTTATCACGGAAAGAAACGGGGCCTGCAGTATCTAGGGCCGTATCCATCATATTGTCAGAAGATTCCGAAGACGGAGGAGTCGGCAGCTGTGTGGTGATAGCAGGACGGAAATTCCCATCAAATGTCCTCTCAGGAGATGGTGAAAGGGGGGATCTTGTGAAATCCACATAGCCCTCGTTCCATTTGACATGCTTCGCGATATTTTGCTTGATATCTCGAACGATATCGTTCTCCTTCTCGGCCTGGACATCTTCCAACAACTGCAAATCTTCCGCAGACTGTGTTCCAGGTTTTGGAGGCATGCGCAGTTGGGGGGCAGCTGGGCGCTGCATAGGCGGTGCTTCTGTTGGCTTTTTCTTGGGCTGTTTGCTTGATTAGCATCGTGATGGGGGTGTGATACTCATGAATGATGCTCACCTTCTGATTGATGAGGTCCTCGTCGTCATCCTTGATGTGGAGTTTCCTCTTCATCTCCTTGACTTCAGAACGCTGAAGGAAAACGAGCCGCTCAGTGGCGAGCATCTCCTTCCTTGCTAACTCTCGTTGACGGACCAATGCAACCAGTTGTCGAGCATCCTCCAATTCCTTCCTGAGCCTCTTCAGTTTATCCGCACTCTGAGCATCTCTGCCACGAGTCTTGCGAATCTGACGGACTTCACGCCTACGGAAACACACATACGGGTCTGAGTCATCGGTATCTTGGCCAGTTTCAAACTGCAAGAGCCGGTTAGTACTTGATAAATGGCACGATCATGAAAAGTGACGCTCACCTTGAGACTAGCGAGGAGTGATTGGTTTCCATCGATGGACCTCTTCTCCTTCCAGTGCTCATATATGTCCTTTGCAAAACGTTTTACGCTGTCCTCTACGGTGGCGTCCATCGCTTCCTGCATTTCTGCGAAGCTCAAGACAGGCGGGTTATCTACCGCGGCAAATGGTTGTTTCAATTGCGCCGTCTCCTCGAAGAAGTTCATTGTTTCTTCGAACTGATCCTCGTTGCATCGACTGGCAGCATCCCGCTTTTGGTTCATGATCTTCAGGAATACCTCATCCTCTCCAGTCATGTTGTACGGACACCCGCAGCAATCCTCCACGGTGGAGGAAAAGCGAATGTACGTCGCTGGCTGCGAGAACACCGGGGGATAGAGCTCATCATACCGAAGGTTACTAAGGACGGTCTCCGGTGTCGGGATGTGGGCTTCATTTGCTACTTTTCCCTGAGCAGTTGCATTTATTGCGACTTGCAAATGGAATTCCTATACAAAAAAAATCAGCATTAGCGGGGGCTGTTGGGGGCCGCTATAGCCCGGTGCAAAAATTTTCACCATGGGGTGAGGTCGGGATGATATCACGTGATATAGACAGGGATGGGGAAACACGGTCGGGGGGCAACACTCACCGACTCCTCAGCCTTCTCAACACCAGTTTCGATCTGCTGTAGGGCATTTTGGATTTCATCTTCAATAAGATCTATCTCCTGCTCCCTGACAATGGGGATAGACGCCTTGGAGGTGAGCTTTTTAGGGCGCGTCCTCCCCAATCCCCCGTATCGAGTCATGCGGACGTTTGGGGCGTAGAAGGGGCAACGACCATGGGTAGGGGTCCCGAAATTGGTATCAGTCGAAAGGTCTGATCATGGAAGATCGCGTAGAAGTATTTTTTTGATAGCCAGCGATGGGTGGTAGAAGATATTGACGGCGGAAATCTCGTAGCAACAGCGCTGGCGGATGGGTTGACGTTGCAATGTCACCTAGCCGTGGCCTGTTTTGGGCTGGCGCACGGGCTCAGGGGTTCGCTTGCCTGACCGAATTGGGTTAGTGCGGGGCTGGCCGATATCAAATTGCTGGGACGGGCTCTTCCCTTGGCATGTTGACCTCACCTGTGTTTGGCAGCTGCATCACTTAACTAACATTGGCTCACCATAATTCAATAGAACTTCTATCTATAATACATTCGCTTTTTTTCTCTCTTTTCCGCGCTTTCTTTTCACTTCACTTGACTCTGACCTCAATTCCAGACCTGTGCGCACCGTCTACGACATGGATCAGCCACACGAGCCCAACAACGCCGCTCTATATGCGCGGAGGCGACGGAGCTCTCTGGGGACTTCCCAGCTTTTGGAGAACATTGTATCCGCATCCAACTGTAGGCTCCTTCGTCATCACACTAGGGCCCGCTCGATACTAACTGCCGTCGACCCCGCTAGTCGACAAGGACGAGGTTGACCGACTCCGCAAGCGATTCATGAAACTGGACAAGGTCAGCCTTCCCGACATCGCACCGACCCAAGATCTATCTAACTTGTTCAGGATAACTCCGGCACAATCGATCGCGATGAGTTCCTCTCCCTCCCGCAAGTCTCGTCCAACCCTCTTGCCACACGGTGCGTGTCCGACTCCTCGCCCCCCCGGCTAGGCTCAAGCCGCCTTCAAAACTAACAAATATAATGGGAGGAACAGAATGATCGCAATCTTCGATGAAGACGGCGGTGGCGACGTTGACTTTCAGGAATTCGTCTCGGGGTTGTCCGCCTTCAGCTCCAAGGGCAACAAGGAAGAGAAGCTGCGGTTCGCATTCAAAGTATACGATATCGATCGCGACGGGTATATTTCCAACGGGGAGCTGTTCATTGTGCTGAAGATGATGGTGGGTAATAATCTGAAGGATGTGCAGCTGCAACAGATTGTCGACAAGACGATCATGGAGGCGGATAAGGATCACGATGGCAAGATCAGTTTCGAGGAGTTTACGGATATGGTTGAGAGCACGGATGTTAATTTGAGTATGACTTTGAGTATGTTCCCTTTTTTTTTTTTTTTTTTTTTTTTTTTTTTTTTTCTTGTTGCCTATACTCAAAACATCGAGTGATAATTGTTTGTGTTTGTATCGGTATTCAGATATGGTGACTAACAAGGCATTCAGATCAAATTTAGCGAAACTTGGCTTTCTTCCTCTTATGCTTGTGCTTCTGCTTCTGCTTCTCTTGTTCTTTGATTCCGCCTCTCCCCGCTACGCCGTTTTGTATTTATGCCTGTCGTGCCGATTCGATTTGCTATGCTTATGATCGAGACGACACACTACCTACAGTTTAGAGACAGCTGGCTTCTCCCTTGGGATGAATGATGTACTATCTGATCCATGCCGATCCATTGCGCTACCCCCCTACCTAGGACACCAACTAGTAAGTACTCGTCGGCGTACAACACACCGTATACATGGTAGAATGGGCATAAACAAAAACTATCTATCCCAACGGGTCCTGAGAATCCCCAAACACCGAGTGTTCGATTTATAACGAATCCTAAGATCGCAGACGATACGTCAAGCAAAGCGCAGCAATTTCATTAGGTCCCTTGCGAGTGCTAGGAGTTTACTACCTACTAACTACGTAATGAGCACGGGGGCGTTTAATGTTTCAGGCGATCTCTTTCTGAAACAGATCAGAACTCGGATGAATATTGTTACTACCAGCCTAACTAGGTAATAGTAATAGTACAGTATGTATGTAAGTTAAGTAAGTAAGTGCTGAATAACTAACTAACTAATTTATCCTTGACCCCTTAGTAATGGTTAATAAAAAGCCATCATCTCGTCAGGTACAGAGGTAGAGTACGCCGTCCCTTAGGTAGGTATGTAAGTATATGAGAAAATGATGACTGGTGGGTAATGCCACGCCATGCCACGCCATGCCCTGCCATGCAATCAATCAATCAATCAATCAATCAATCAATCAATCAATGCATACATGCATGCATGCATGTATGCACGGTCTCTTACGTGGTAGAGGTAGTAGTATAGTATTTCTTCTGGATTCTGATTGAGGGGTTTTTTTTTTTCTCCGCAGACTGGTTGTTGCATGACGACGGACGGACGATCTTTGACTGACTCGGTACAAGCCTAGGGAGTAGTAGTTAAGTAGATACGATACTGTATCTCGGTAGGTAGGTGGAAAGATAGAGTGGCAGGTGTTCTTGTTAGGGCTAAATCCACATCCAGATTCCAAGTTACATAGTGATCAATGTACCTAGGTAGGGAAGGGGGGGATGGCGGGAAACTCCGAGGTTCGGCTTTCGTCGTCGATCTGCACGGATGCTACAATATAATACTAGTACTCTGTTACGGAGTACGGAACCTTGACGGGTCGATCATATCTGATCAACGGTGACGAATGGAAACTAGATCTGTTTTCGGTGAATTCTGTCGGGTAGAATAGAGTGAACTTGATAACTTAATAATAACTTTCATAACTAACTCTAGGTAGGTGGTGTCTACTGGTGGTTATATCAGTATCGTACAAGACATGAATATCGAACACAGGCTTAGTTAGTCCTTCTCTTCGAAGGAAGGTTGAAATCAGAGATGGAGGAGTCAAGGATAACAACACCAAAACAAGGAAAAGGAAAAGGAAATTAAAATCAAAGGATAATAGGACATTATGATTCCTCAATAGCGTTGACGATCGAGGGAGGCCCTAAACAAACCCCTGTCTGCCACCCAGCCGAACACTGAATCGTAAACATTCAATCACTCAATGAGTTAATATCGATAATGGAGAAGAACGAAAACGATAAATAATCAATCCCACATTCCGAGTACTGCCGGGATATCAAATCAAATCAAATCCAACTAACAAACCAAATCTATGCCGCTAAAATTCGATTCAACCGGTGCGCCTTAAAAGAGGTAAATGCAAATGCAACAGTAGTGGTATCTACAACCCGACTCGAATGAAAACAGGGAACTGACTCGCCCTCTTTTGGGGACATTATTTCGGGTTTTGCTTTGGTGAACTTTTGTGAAGTTTTGTCGTCACATACTCTGTAAGACCGCATCCGATACAAGTTTGAAGTTCTTGGTGGTCGAATATCCCCATGAGGAAAGTCGTGGCTTTTCCGACGTTTCGCCGTCACGATCATATTTGAAAAAAAAAAAAAAAAAAAAGAAAAAGAAAAAGAAAAAGAAAGGAAAGGAAAGGAAAGGAAAGAGAGAAGAGGGGACAGGGAAACGCGATTGAGGGGATCACAATTCGCAAAGAATCGAATCGAATCTATCAATCGATAGCGCTTCCTATTTCTGGTGCTATAGCCTCAAGGGTTAAACTAGCCCCTGGTTTAGTCTCTTAGGGCGGATCCTGCCCGTCCCCAAAAGTACTGGCGCGAGACGAGTGGGTGGGTGATGCGCACTAGAGCCCGCACTAGATCCCGGTTCTTAGAGCTGAAAGCATCATGCGCGCGAGGTCGCGACAGGGCGGCTGCGGATGAGCTCCGGTCGACTTTCGATGAGGTCCAAGCACTGACCTAGGGCTGCATCGGAGGGTCAGCAACAAAAAACTCTCAAAAGTGGGGAGCCGACATTTGGGCAACCACCTACCAGACAGAATTTCTTCCTCCCAAATGCCCATCTGGTAATCTACCAGACCGTGTTGTTCCATTTGATCACACAGTCGGATGAGTTCATTGCCTAGGTTCTCCATTGCGTCGGCGCTAAGAAGGCGGGTTCGGGAGGATTGACGGCCGGTTTGCAGGAGTTCCTGCGTCATGTCTTTTTGTTTTTGGCAGAGAGCAAGCCAGCAGATATTGAAGTCATTCCATAGTTTCAATCGGTCGGAGTGGAGTACTTGGTCATCGCGAAGAATCCCTGTTGAGATTAGTTAGCCCCAGCACCGCCGGTGCATCCCCGAAATTAGCCCCCTCTAATTTACATTCTCAAACCAGTAGGAAACCCGCAGAGGGGGGGGGAGAAAAGGGGAAAAGAAGAAAGCACGAGGATGACCAATCCATTGGGACGCAAGTTTATGTTGCATGTGGGTGGGAACTTGGGAAAGGTGGAAAATGGATGGGAAAAATCATCCCCAACGCTAAGAGGGAAAACATACCAAGCTCCCGCGCACTAGCCACTAGCCACTCGGAAATTTCCAGTAATGATCGACTAGCCTCTACCAATCGTCCGGTGCGTGTATGATCGATCGTTACTCGCAATGCTTGTTGAAATTGTCGATAAGGTTCATTCGAGCCAGGCGCTTCTAATGAGGCTCGCGCATGCGATTGAGGTTGTGATAGTGCTTGCTGTTGTCCCGCCGTCCCCACCGGGGTCATGTCCGCCATAGTTGCGGGAAAGGGCTGCGTTGCGCTGGAACGTCCAATGGGTCCCGACTGGTTATAAGCAGATAAAGAGAGCTGCGAAGCCAGGTAAGGTGGCGGGACCCCCCCTGTGCCTGCCGACTCATTGGGAGAGAAATACTGTGAAACGGCAAATTGGCCGGGAAGTGAGTCCATCGCTGCAGACTGCCGTGATGAGTATGGTGGCACGACCTCGTACGGGGTTTGCGACGGGCCCTGCTGACCGAGGTTGTATACCATCTCGGGCTCATATGGGGAGAAGGGTTGCTGACGCTGTTGGTCGCGCAACGTCGGCGGATACGGTTGCAATTCGTCCTCCTGCAACGCACTGCCCTGAAAAGCGCTGTCTGTGTATCCATAGTCCATGTAGGCAGACATTCGTGGCCTCCCTGCGCCTGGGTACGGGTCTCCACGTGTTGAATGGAGACCAACCTGCCTGAATCGGTCTGCCGCGCCACCGGATGACCTCCCAGCGGAGCGACGGGAGGACATGCTCGACGCTGTCGCGTAGTGGGCTTGGCGACCATGTTGCTTCATGCGTCGGGAATCACCATCCATCCCCCCGAGAGCACCCCTGCGCACTGGATCGAGGTCAATGGACCAATGCGTCGGCGGGGAGAGCGGAGGACTCGCGTAGGATTCCAGCTTGGCGAGAGTGATTTGGGGGGATGTGTGGAAACTTGGACCAAATGTTGCGGACAGAAAGGCTCTCTGCTCTCGATATTCTTTTAATTTGTCCCCTTTCCTGAAAGGAATTGAATAGGGACTATGAAGAGAATTGTAAGCGCGCGTTGGTCTTACGAGTTTTGCCTCTGCGCGGGGACTTGGTACCACAGGATATAGTCCCAAAATCCAATCAATAACTGCGCATATCAGAACCGATTGCGCAGAAAACTAAGGCAAGCTTGGTTTATTCGCACCTCCCGAGCCAAACGAATACCTGTTTGGCGACAGAATTGACAGTGATTCCAATGCGCGCAGTAGAGCTGGAGAGAGGGGTGGGAGAGGAAGTGTAAAGAACTGTCTTTGGAGAGAAAGGAGGGGGGAAACAGACGCGTTATGGAGAAAATAAAAATCAAATAAAAATAAAGAAATAAAATAAAGCAAAAATTTAAAAGAGCTTCACACGCAGGCAGTCTGTAGATGATTTAATTTCCAAATGCAATGCAGGAGCTTATTAGTATGCCAGAGCCTGGGGGTATTGCAGCCCAAACATGGGAGTTATTGGAAAATGGGGCACGGAACAGGTGGGGACGGATAAGAAGGAAGAACAAGTAGTAGTAGAGAACAGATTAGTATCTCTAGAACTGGGGATTCAGCGTGATACTTATAAGAAAGAAGAAACCAGCTGTTCGAGAGAGAAGAGTGTGTGGACAGCAAGGCAGGCTCTCTTTGACTGAGGACTTGGAGGAGGGGGAGGGAGGGGGGAACGAAGATCTTCGGGTCAATTATTGAAAGCCTCGAGAACGAGGCGATGGAAGAATCTCTAAACAGTAAAGACAATAAACCCGATATCGCAAATGTAATGGGCTTTTCCCCCCCCCAAGGCCTTGCTCGGAAGTGTACCGGTGTGGACTCTGTGTGGACTCGATGTGGAGAGAGAGATAGTAAGAGAGAGAGAGAGGGTTTTAGAAAATTGACAGAATCATGTAAGCAATAGGAAGATGTAAGAAATAAAATGAGGAAAAAGAAAAGAAATAAACTAGCAGGAAAGAAAAGAAAAAAGAGAAAGGATATAATAGAGAGAGAGAGAGAGAGAGAGAGAAAGAAAGAAAAAAAGAAAAGAAACAGTCTATAGTTGCTCTCTATTTGTGTTTCGATTCCTTTTCTTTTTCTTTCTTTTTCCCTAATATTTTTAATACTATATTGTCTATAGTATAACTCATCCTTTCTTTTAGAAATACATTGAAACTACTGGAGTCTAGTATGGAGTAGGGTATATACTATATAGAGCACGAGCAATCGAAGCTTGTCAGTCATAAATAACCCAACTGGAAAGGAAGGTTATTGAGGACTTCTTCCACTCCCCAATTTATTTTGTATTATTATTTAATCTACAAGTTATACTGTGTATGTACTCCGTACTCCAGTGGTCAATAGTCTTTTGACTTCAGATAAAGCTGATGACCCCTTCCACACTAACAATCCTTCCCAAGACTCAAGTTAGTGTCGAGCCTAGTTGTATACTAGTACCTCCCTAAGAATAATAACTAATAGGATGATGGCATCTCGTCCTAGAAAAATGACCTCCTTCCGGAAGTCTATTCCCCTCTTTTTCCCAGATGACTGACCCAGACTCTCGGAACCTGTGCTGAATTTGCAGCCCCGGGAGGGTATTTATCATCTTATTGATTAACTAGTTAGATAAAACTAGCATGAAAAAGAAAACATCATGCGTAGTATCCAACCAGAGATGTCAACTCGAAACCCCTGCTCTTGGTTCGACTTTTAACCGGGAGAGGTGAGAGGTGAGAGGTGAGATCGCCTGGGGTCGCGCAGGAGGAACCGAGTAACAAACGCATTGCAGCATCTATGGAAAAAGGGATTAGCTGATGATTCTCAACTCTTGAAAGGTATAGTTGAATAAAATCCAAAAGACTAACCCCCCCCCTCCCAGTAGAGAGAAAACAATTCCGTGGAGTTGCTGTGTGAATGTCACCGCACACACTGCATGAGTTCCATCCATGCACGTACCTCGATTCTCCACCAATATCTGTCATCTTTGCCGCTCTAATTTGACTAGTACAGGCAAGACACCCTGTGGTTATTGTTAGTAGTAGATTAGCACTACCAGTAGCGCGCCTTGGAGACAATCCGGCTGACGTCGCAGCCTCGTCCGGACCAAAGGGGTGGATCGCCTAACCACCAGGGGGATCTACGGTGCTGAAACTTCTCCAGAGGGACGTGCTGGATCTGACTCTGACTCGGGACACTGGGACAGAAGAGGAAAATTGACGTCGAATCATGAATGAGGAAGAGAGAGAGAGAGAGAAGAGCGAGCGGCCTTTTGGTGGGGTTTTGGGCAGATCATCCCAGCGCTAGATCCAGCATGAAAAAAAAAAAAAAAAAAAAAAAAAAAGATATAACTTGGATAACCAGGACCTTGCTGAGGGATTTCAAATTCCAATGCTCATCATCGTCATCAAGACTGAAAAACCAGATATTAGTTATTCTTGTCAGAAATTCTCGGGTCATTGATTAACAAGTGAGGCTAACTCCGCCTCATCCACCGTCTTGGGTCCTAGCTGACGATGCTAATTCATACTAGGTCGTGGGAATCAATAGTTGAGGATCCGGTCCCAAGCACCGATCTAAAAAGGGTTATGGGGTTCAATCTTGGAGTCCTCACTGGTTGATGAAGTTTTTGACAGGTCTTTTTTCCTCTCTCTCTCTCTCTCTGTGTGTGTGTTTTCATAATTCCCATCGCATATCTCGTTTACACTTCCATACATATCGTGTTGGATTCGTATACTTCAGCCCTAATCTAATACGGAGTCTGTACTTTGGATATCCTTCCTTGAGCAATATTCCTTCAAAAATACTATTCTGCACATGGGAGAAAGGAGGATCGATATTTATGGCGTTTAGGGAGACTGATTAGAAACTAATCTAGATGAAATTTGAAATTCCCCCTGCACAAAAGCACCGTCTGGCAATGTTCCAACTTTCCCTCCTTCGTCATCGGAGAGAGGAGAGAAGTAATTAAACACGAGGAGGAGCAGGCATCCCATCTCCACACTTCATGCGAAAGACAATAAAACCGCAGTCTTCACAGCCCCATTGCAATCAATCCAGCATGATCTCATGCCCCCCCCCCCCCCAATCCCATTCTTGTCTACAATTAGTCGAACTCTCCGACCTCGTGGTTGTTACTTCTTAGCGAACCTCTCCTACGCCATCCCGCCAGCTCGTGTCTCTAACACATTAGGTAGATAAAAAAAAAATACCTAGATAGGGACGCTGATAGGATGATCTCGATCTCGATCACATCACAGAAGACATCAGTGGAAAATCAAGGAAAGAATTCCCAATCGAACGGGATGGGATGGTGCCGATGCAGCGCTAGATTCGATCTATCTAATGCGCTTCTCTCCTCACGATCGAGTAGGCATTGTCCGGTGACCTAACAGGAGTCCCGGATTTCCGGGAGAGACTTTGAAAGGATCTCTCTAACTTCACTTGGGTTAACTCTGACCCTGGACCTGGAGAGATATATATGTAGAACTACCTACTAACTGCTAACAGGTACATGCTCCGTACACCCGGATACGCCTACTCATATCTTTTTTTCTATTTTGTTTTCTTTGCATGACTCGAGCATCCATCTTCAAGATGAACCCCCTGCAAACTCAGTGTGATTCTTGTTCTTGTTCTTTCTATTCCGGGCATCTGATAATCTGAGCGCCTCGTTGTGTTGTTGTTGTTGTTGTTGATATACATACATCGCATGCGTTAGAGCTTACAGTATCAATGTACTCTACTCTGTACACATGGCAATGGTCTCTCAATATCTTCACTCTCTAGTCTCTTTCTAGGAAATTGAACCTTTCTACCGGATCCTTAGTTGCAAAGACCTACAGCCAATGGACCCCGTCCCACTTCCAATGTTTCCTTCTTCTTCTTCTTCTTCTTTCAGCCTAGGTACAGAGTAGACTTTGATCTACGTACGCACTGTTCCCGGTTCCTGGGCCACCAAAAAAAAAACCAGCAGGAACCAATAAAATTAATCACGACATTGCTAGTAGTACAGATATTCTACAATATCATCGGTCCAGTTTAATCAGACGGAAAGAACGCCAATAGTTACATGCGGGTCGCCGAGATCATACAAGCCTCGTCGTCGTGACACCGGATAGAGGGAACAGGGAACAGGATTTGCTTTCGTCGAAAATGGAATAATACAGGGTGGGAATGAAAATGCGGGAGAGAGAGAGAGAGAAGAGAAAGAAAGAAAGGATATGTCCAGCGTAAGCAGAAATTCCCGGACAATGCCAAAAACTCGAGAGGGTTGCTTTTTTTTTTTCACCTCTTGACCCATGTGGGCATCTTCCGCGCTTTGACATGACCCGGCTTCTTCCTTTCCACGCGACGAGCGTCCACCGTAATAACACCGGCTAAAGAATAAGATTTCCATGTTAGCCACCCAATCATCTTCAGGTCATCGCCGTCGTTCCCCAGTGGAGACAAGAGATACGTACCCTTCCGCAGAATCGGCTTCAATGCAGGTTCGTGGACCAGCAGCGCCCGTGCGAGCGCCAACGTAATGGCCTCTGCTTGTCCCGTAACACCCCCACCCCTTACTGTCGCCCAAACATTATACTTGTCCAGTCTGGATGTACTTCTCAAAGCCCACGTTGCACTCTCACGGTCATGCAACCGGGGGAACACCTCAGCCAAGGTTTTCCCATTGACCATCACCTCGCCCTCGCCCTCCACTAAGTGCACAACTGCCGAGGAGGTCTTGCGCTTACCCTTTCCACGGGCACGACCCATCTCATCCACCACCGGCGGAGTCGGCTTGTTTCCATACGGATTTCCCGGGCGGAGAAAGTCCTTGAGTGTGTCACGGACTTCGTCCGGAGTCACATTAGGGTCTATCCGGTTCAGTCGCTGCAGGATCTTCAGCAGATTTTTGTACTTCTTGGTTGGCACAGGTTCTCCCACAAAGTCACGGAACTGCGGGAGCTTGAACCACGCCATTCTAGGTGCTTCAATTGCGGACACGGTCGGTAGTGATGCGTATTTCGCTAGAACATATTCCAATCTCAGTAAATGATCGATGAATTTGGGACTGCCGGAAAAGTAGGACGGAGACATGGGGACGACTCGGGCAGGCCGCGCAACGAATTTGGAGAAATCGATCTCGGGGGCAGCAGGCTGGAGTTCAGTCGCATAGCCTCGAACATTCTTCCGTGATTGCGGTTGTGCCGATAGAGAAGCCCCGGAGACGGCGTAGGCAGGACCTATCGAGCGTTGGGAAAGGAACGCCCGGAGGTTTGATGTTCGACGAAGGGATTGCATGGCGTGCACAACGCAATTAGGGCTCTGCAAGGCCATGATGAGACAGACCGGCTGCCGGAAGCCTCAATTCAATATGGACCTCAGGGGGGGAGGGGCGAAAAGGAACAAGATGGGTGAAAGGGAGCTTCCGTGCTTGGATTGCCATCTTGGGTCATCCTGAGGTTTTTCGACGGTGAATCCACGTGATTCGGGGACATGTTCCTCCGAAGCCGAAACTCCGTCTGATTCGCACAAAATTATTTCATCCGCTCAGAGTTTGGAGGTCTTCATCTTTCTTTCTCCCCTCTCTCTCTCTCTTTTCTTCTCCTTTTTCTTTCTTTTCCCCTCCATCCCTCAAACCACCTTTCAAAATGGCCTTCGGCAAGCTCTACGGTCTTCCTGTATGTTCTTTCTCTTCCCAGTTAACCCCTATACTGTGTTCTCTTTATTTGAATTTGCTGCCCCGGCAATTCCTTTGGACAGCGTGGCTAATTGTGCCTTCCAGGACAACACTCGCTCCATCGCCATCCTCGTCGCTGCTAAGAGCAACGACCTGGAGCTGGAGCTTGTTGAGACTCAGGCCAACCCGGCTGCTGACTTCAACACCTCTGCTGAGTACACCCAGATCCAGCCTCTGGGCAAGATCCCCGCTTTCGTCGGCGCCAATGGCTTCTCTCTGTCTGAGGCCATTGCCATTGCTGTCTACGGTAGGTTTAACTCTTGTTTTGCATCCATTGGAGTCCCTTGGGTTCCTGTTTCCCTTTTTTTTTTTATGATGAGCAATTTTATTATTAGTTATCCCTGTCAGAACTACACTGTTGATAACGTACACCTCTGAAAAAAAATTTGGTTACCCCGCCTTTGGGCGAATATTTTTTTTTCCAAAACCTCCACTCTTTTTGACTCACGTTTTATGGTCTTGGTTTTCTTGGGCATCTCAAGCTAACTATTAAAAAGTGACCTCCCAGAACGAGAAGACCACCCTCCTTGGAAAGACCAAGCAGGACTATGCTTCCATCCTCCGCTGGATGTCCTTCGCCAACTCTGAGATTCTCCCCAGCTTCGGTCTTTGGTACCGCCCTCTGCTGGGTCTCAGCCCCTACAACAAGAAGAACGTTGAGGATGCTTCCAAGGTCGCCCTGAAGAACATTAGCGTCCTTAACACCCACCTCACCGCTAACACCTACCTCGTTGGCGAGCGCATCACCCTGGCTGATTTCTTCACTGCCGCTCTCCTCAACCGCGCTCAGGCTACTGTCATTGACAAGCAGGTCCGTGCTGACCACCCTGCCTTCTCCAGGTGGTACCAGACCATCATCAACCAGCCTGCCTTTGCTGCCGTTGTCACCCCTGTCCTCGTTGAAGAGGCCATCAAGTACACTCCCCCCAAGAAGGAGGAGAAGCCCAAGAAGGAGGCTGCCCCCGCTCCTGCTGCTGCTGCTGCTGCTCCCGCTGAGGAGGAGGAGAAGCCCGAGAAGAAGGCCAAGCACCCTCTTGAGGCTCTTGGCAAGCCCACTCTCATCCTCGATGACTGGAAGCGCTGCTACTCCAACGAGGACACCCGCTCCACTGCTATGCCCTGGTTCTGGCAGCACTTCAACGCCGAGGAGTACTCTCTGTGGCGTGTGGACTACAAGTACAACGAGGAGCTTAAGCTCACCTTCATGGCCAACAACCTGATCGGTAAGACTGTCCTGGGTCCTTCTTTATGTACTCGAACTTTAGCTAATCAGATTTATAGGTGGTTTCAACGCTCGTCTTGAGGCTTCTCGCAAGTTCCTCTTCGGTTGCCAGGGTGTCTATGGTGCTAACTACGCCTGCGTCATCAAGGGTGTCTTCATGGTCCGTGGCCAGGACTTCAAGCCCGCTTTCGATGTCGCCCCTGACTGGGAGAGCTACGACTTCATCAAGCTCGACCACACCAAGGAGGAGGACCGCAAGTGCCTTGAGGACTGCTGGTCTTGGGACGCTCCTGTGATCGTTGACGGCAAGGAGCTCCCCATGGTTGATGGCCACGTCTTCAAATAGACGAATTCCTTTAGATGCCGTAGTAGCCAACTCATGATGATATCCAAAACTTCCTTTTTTTTTTTTTTTTCCCTGGTTGGAGAAACTCGGCTTTAAGAATTCGGATCAAAAGCATTTTCCCCTTCTAATATCCGGTGGGAAGTGTTGTGTCTCTGTTGGATGACATGTCTCTCCAGATGTGCCCCTCTTTCCACCAATCTATTTTACCCACATTTTCATGTCTATGCCGCCCACGATGCAATGGTTTATGTCTCCGACTGAGAATAAAAATACATTTCATTTTGTTTATTATTCCCGCGTCGATCCTATCATGTCACGCCTATAATTTGAACTAACAATAGGTAGTTAGTTAGCTAGGTAGTTTGTAATCAACTGGTTACCTAACTAATTGATTGTTCACTCTATGTATCAAGTATGCCCCCCTGTTGGATATATTCTAAGAAGGGGAATGAACTATTCAACTCCTAGAGAATTTTAACAACAGCGAAGCTACCTGTACACGCAAATATATATATAATCAAAAAAAAAAAAAAAAACACTAAAACAACCCAAGCAAACAACCAAAGGGATAGATAGATGCCTAGCAACAACATCATATTTTACACTAGAAGAAATAACTACCTTCACCAACAACATATATTCACCAAAAGATGTCACATTCTGGTTGGGTTTGCCCAAACTCTTTACAACTAGTAGTGTCCTAAGATATCGTATGGAATTAACATTGTCTACTTTGTAATATATAATATATTATATTATACAACTGCGGCATGGGTAACAGAACAGGATCCTGTAGGAGGCCTTCTAATTGAGGTCAAGTTTTTTTCGATGGAATTAACAACCAACAAAATCAATCTATCGTGAGGTAGGTAGTAGGTAATATGCAATGCAATGGGTCTTTCTTTGCCGCAGAAATCAAAATCATGCCATGTCATGCGATAATATGCGATAGAAATAGTAGCGTAGAGTAGAGTAGAAAAGGCCGTTAGATTATTCGTCGGGTCTCGTCCAGTCAGCCAAACAAACATTCAGAGATCTAGAGACTCCTCGAGCCGATCCAGGAGGAAATTCTCTGACGGCGCAGATGACGTCGCTGGGGAAGGCGATCGATTCGTTTTCTGTTCCATTTTTGTAGCGCTAGGACTAGGACCGGATGATACAGAAGGCGAGGGAGGCTTGCTTTGATTTGCCTCTGTTTCTAAATTTGCTGTCACGGTTGCAGTTGTAGTGATAATAATAGAAGAAGAAGAAGCAGAAGAGGAGGCGGCGGCGGCAGCAGCAGCAGCAGCCCACCGTGCGGCTTTCTTTTCCTGTTTGCGAGCTTTCCGTTTCTCCTTGCGGGCTTGGGCTGGATCGACTGGAGTCGCAGCGAGGACTTTGAGATCAACCGTAGAGCTGATGTCGAGGTCTAGGATACTTGTTGTTCCCGAGGCCTTCGAACTCCATAGCTGGAGCATTTTACTGACGTCGTCGCATTTTGATAGAACCTCAAGTTGTTTGAGGACCTTAGGGAAGATCATGGATTCGTCGATTCCCGCGGCGTTCGTGAACTCGGGGATTTCGATGAGGTTGTAAGGCTCGCTGAGGGCTTTGAGTTTGCTGTCGTCAATAAGGATGGTGTTTGTTTGGTCCCAGCGGGATTTAGGGGGTGGACCCTTTTTCGCTTTATGGGGTGGACAGGCAGGGCGTTGTGGTTGTTGTAATTTCGGGTAGGACGCTTGGATTTCCTGGCTAGACCAAACGGTATCAAGGGTCTTGTAGACTTGGATCTTGGATTTGTATTGGGCGTCTGTAAGACCGAATTTATCTCTACCCCATTCTGCTACCAGCTTTTGTCTTTTGGGCTCGGGGAAAAGTTTCTGGCAGACGGCTTTAACCGTTGGCGGTTGGGAGCTAGACCAGATCATGACTTTGTATTTTTCAATCAAGGTGTCCAAGAACTGATCTAGGCCAACTCTCCGTGCGAATGTAGGTGGGAAACGTCTGGTTTTGCGGTATATTAATGTGCCATTCAAGTCAAGAATGATGAGAAGAGGTTGCGGGGTTGGTGAGAGTTTGGGTGATAGAGATGATTGATGGAGGTATTTCTTTGTTGCCGACGGTTGCTCTGGGAGTTTTGGTGACTTGAGACGGTCTGTGAACGGCGCACCTTGGGGCTGATGCCCTGAAACCATAGGAACTGGTCCTCTGACGGGGTTGGATAGGTTGGGTGCTGACAGTTGACCAAAGCCATTGATATTGATCATGGGCTGGGGAGCTGTCTGGCTCAATGGACTAAAGTTCATGAAGGGATTGGGCGGTAGAAAATGCGGTATTGCTGTCATTTGATTGCCACAATTCCACGGAGAAGGAAGTAAGAAAGGGTTCACTGTAGATTGATCTAGAGACTGAGGAAGCTGCATGTGTTGCTGCTGGTTGGCAACGTTCGGCGCAAAGAGTGGGAGTTGGAATGCTGTTCCAAATGGCGCTTCTACAGCCATAGGAAAGTGGTTCGGCATAGGAATCGAATTTATGACTGAAAACCCGGGAATTCCGTTATTCGCTAGCGCCTGGTTCGGGTCATGCTGCGATTGGGGCCACTGTGACGAAGTAGGCGGCGGTTTATGCGGCTTATGCGGAGAAAGCGATCGCTCCGGGTGATCTCTGTAGAATCCTGTCCCCATGTTCAACTGCCTCTCGGAACTTCTTTGATTGTGCCGTGGACGCCCTCTGCGCGAATTGTAGTTATCGCGGGACCGTGCTGCATCAAGACCGGCGTTCTCCCGAGCCGCCCCCTTGGAGTTCCAACGACCTCGGTACGGTCGCCATCCTCCTCTCGAATTAGGTGCCATATCGCCCTGCGAATTAATCTTCTCAGCCCGATTGTCAACTGACGACGTAGTACTCGTTGACACTCTTTGTGAGCCCATTGCGGGTTTCGAGGATTTTGCTGTGTTTCGGCTAGCTAATGAATGCTTTGCGGACGAGAGTAGCGGGGAATAAGACGCCAACGTCAAGCGATGCTTGGCCGGATATTTCAAAAGGAGCTTATGCAAGTTAGTTATCGTGTATTGTTTGCAAGCGCAGTTGAGGATACTGTACATACCTTATACGAGGCCCCACCACGAGACATGAGACCATAAAAGAAAAACTGAACCTGGGGGGGGAAAAAAGAACTAAACAGAAAAGAATGTCGTTGGAATATCCAGCATATAATCTATATACAAATTGAAGACAGATCAAGTGAATTGGCCGATGAAAAAGGAAGGGAAAGTGAATATGAAGAACCAGATGGTTTGGGCAAAATCCAGATCGGTATCCAATATTCCGCTCCGATCCTCGGGTGCATCACGTCAGCATCTCCACCTTCTTCCTTCCATCCAACTATCAACAATGGCTTTTACCACTTCAACATCAGACATCATTATCATCACGGGTTCTGGTTTAACTCCATAACAAAATCAAGCTACCAGCTGATTAAGGATTATGGCCTAGAAAAACTTGGGCAGAAGGATTATATGCCTGCAATGCTAATCTATAAAACATTCCAGCATGTCATGCGCAATCAAAAGATATCTTTCTACACTTCTTCTTTTCATACATTTATGACTGTCTGGAGTCTATAAATGAGAATACTACTGGATTTGATATTTCCCTTAAGTTAAACTATCTTAATGGGTTCTTCTCCTCCTTTAATCCAGATCAGAAAAGCAAAATCCACAGGGCTATGGAACATTTTGCTAATTATATGGTCGACAATTTCCCCCCCTGTAAGTTAATTACTCTGCATGGTTAAGAATGCTCGCTTACTTAAGTAGTTTATTAGTTAAGGCTTCATCTGCAAAAACACCAGTGATTTCACCAGTAGGTACAATACAACATGTATCTACTCTTCGACAAAGTTGTCTTATCCGGGATCATCATTATTACGTTATCTCCCACTAGTTTGATTGGGAATGAAGACGAGAGGCACACCGAGAAGACCCTTCGAGAGACAGATGAAGTCTGTGTGAAAGAAGATAGATCAACAAAAATTTAGGACATTCATTGACATTAAGACTCGGGGGTTGGTTGAAATCATTAACTAGTTAGCTGGATTCCGATTGCTTAGTCCAGCACGCACCCTCGTGGAATACCTAGTTAGCTAGCTTTTCTCTTTCCAGTCAGAGCCAGAGGAAGATAGTTAAGTGTCAGTTATACCGTTCAGCTAAAAAGGTGTCAAGACGGTCATTTCTAGTCTAGCTCATACAGTGTTATATTGGACCACATTAAGGATCTATTGATCTTCGGCCTCACTGTGTATTGTGTATGTTGTGTGTTTCAGCAAAGATAGGCTTCTAATTAATAGTTAGTTGATTCAAAAGGATTACTTTTCTTTCTCTTTATTATTATTTTTAGGAAGTTACTTGATAGAGAGTAGGAGTAGAAACAAAACAAGACAAGAGAAGACAAGCACTTGTTGGTTATCCAGGCTTACGTAACAATTCTTTGCCTTGGGTGATTATATCAGCACATCACGTGACATAAAGTATGACCTTCTTACCGCCTACACAAAGCGGCAGAATCTGTTTCATTTTTTTGTTGCGACCTCACCGCCGTCAAGATTTGGCACGTCGAGAGAAATTTCAACGTCCGTGCTTGTCCTTGATTATATATATATATATACATTAATTGGCCTGGCTTTTTGAGAAAAGCAGAGAAGGAAGCATGGCAATTTCAGATTTGCTCAATCGGCGCATGCGAGCCCGCCCAGATGAGGATGACGACGGATATTCAGATCCATCCGGATCGGAAGCGAGCAACGCGAATGTTGGTCTTTCGGATGAATCGGGGTTGGAGGGTGGGAGTGATGATGATGATGATGATGATGAAGGCAGTGACCAGGTTTGTATCCCTCCCCGGGCCATCCCATGCAAGGAATAGATAGAACAACTCCTAACTATGTCTAGTCTCGCGGGTCCGAGTCCGAGTCCGAAGATCCAGACGAAGAAAGCGACCAAGATAGCAGCGAAGAGGAGGATGACGGCGAAAACGACGTCCAAGCCTCACTGAGCAACATATCTTTCGGCGCCCTTGCCAAGGCCCAGGCGTCTCTCGGCCCCAAGGCCAAACGGAATGCCAAAGCTCTCAAGAGGAACAAGGATGAAGATGCCGGCTCAACGTCATCGCCACTAGACGATATTCGAGCCCGAATCCAAGAGGCCAGGGAACAAAAGCGCAAGGCGTCACTCAAGTCCAAAGATGCGGACAAGCCCGCACGGTCGTCCAAACACGCACCCGCGGTGCAGTCCTCTAAATACGCCGTTTCCCGGAAACGCACTGTTATCGAGGCGCCCAGTTTGCCCAAATCCCGAGACCCGCGGTTTGACCCGACGGTTATTGGTGGCCGACATAATGCTGCGGGCCCGAGCAATGCGTACGCTTTCTTGGATGATTATCGCGCTTCGGAACTTAAAGAGATGAAAGAACAACTTGCCAAGACGAAGGACCCTAAGCAGAGAGAGGCGCTACAGCGAGATATCCGCTCGGCTTCAGATCGTCTACGCACTATTGAAAACAATAAACGAGAGAAGGAGATCCTGGCGGATCACAAGAAGAAAGAGAAACAGCTTATTCGTGAAGGAAAGAAGAGCACACCGTACTTCTTGAAGAAGTCGGAGCTTAAGAAACAGGTGTTGTTGAAGAAATATGAAAGCATGAATTCTAAAGACCGGGCAAAGGCACTCGAGAGAAGACGGAAGAAGGCTGCTTCGAAGGAAATCAAGGCAATGCCCATGGCTCGCAGAGGATTTGGCGGAGACGATGCCCCTGACTTTAGTGGAAGTCGGAAACGACGACGGGTAGAATGATGTCGCTATACGAATGGCTAATTAGGAATATTCGTCTTGGTCCTGCGCCGAAAACTGCATAAATTTCGTTTCTTCAAAATACTACCAAGGTGATGCTCAAAGCATGTATTAGGACGACCAAAACATTATTAGTTGACATTATCCAAAACTACCCGCATCCCTTCCTTGTCACATAATGAGACACTAAATGAGGTCTCAGGATTACCGTGGTCCTAATAAATCCAAAGAAGAAGAGGAGAAATGATAATGAACAAAACTAATGGTATCGCAACAAAGCATCAAAACCATGACAAAGATCGCCGAAATATGAGAGATCTGGAACGAGGTATGGACGTAATGTAATTCTTTGGGGGGGAAATGGGGGAGGGAAGATAGAAAAACTCCTCAGAAACGCCATCAAATCCATCGAAATGGAGCGAGATAAAACAAAGTGCCTTAGTCTTTTGACCTCAATGGTATAAAAATGATAACCAGCAGAATGGGATGGGATGGGTAAAGAAAAAAAAAAAATGAGACAATGATAAAAACAGAAAAAAATAAAATAAAATAACCCCTAAACCTTCCTTTGGTTTAGACGCGACTGTTCATGCTGTTCATATAGATAATCATAGGCTTGCGCATTCATCTCATTCAAAGCGCAGGTGATTCGCAAGTCACCTGTCTTCACAGACATCTCTCGGAAGCCGCCGTCCAAACCGTAACTTCCAATCTCTCATGTAAAGAGTGAACTTCTTTTTTTCTTTTTCTTTTCTTTTTTTTTTAAACAGAACCCTTGTACTTCGTAAATTAAGTTGATTGCGATTAGGAATGGAACAGATCCCATGCCCGGGAGCAGAGAGCCAAGAATTCTTCTTTCTTCTTGCGCTGTGTCTCGGGGGAATCGCGACCAGCACCGAACGGGCCGTAGGAGGTACTAGGTGGACGACCCATAACAGGATTAGGGCGATGGTGAGGTTCAGGACCATGCCCCAGAGGAGGGCTGCCATTATCTTGTTCATATTCACTTCTGGGCCGACGACGAGAAGTTGTTTCAGACGGGTATGACGCAGTTTGATGGACTGGAGCATGTGCACTGGCTAAGGGCGCAGCCTCAATGTGCGATACGGTGGACTTAGGAGGGTTCGCAATGCGTGGAGAAGGTGGAGTGGGTGGCTGATGTCCACCATAATGCACAATACGTGGAAGAAGCTCCTCACGTCCACCCGACATTTCTTGAACAGCCTCCTCAGCTGAACGGTATTCTCGGGGTCGGTTGGATGGTTGTGCAGCACTGCCTGGCATCCTCGGGGATGGGAGCGGGGGTAAGTTATTCGACTGCGAAGCGTTGGAAGCAGTTGCGCCCTGGTAAAAAGGACCCCGATTCGTATCCCGGTCTCGTAGAGCATCCGACCCGAATACGTCGGAAAGTGGCGGCAGTCGATTGTTCGTTTGGGTTGCAGGGACATGATGAATATGGGATGTTGAGCCTAGAGCAGGGCTTTGGTTGACAACATGGCGTGTTAATGGCTGCGCTTGATGCCGGCCTGTAAAGGTTTGATGCAATGGCGCGGATTGAATCACGCGCTCATTAGCGAATTGCGCCGCCGACGGGGGGACGATAGACAACCCGGGGGGAGGTCTCCTCTTCGAAGAGCCAGCTTTCGGGAGACCGAATGTGTGTGATTCGGACGGTTTAATGCCGTCTGGGCCGTCATCCTTGGCTGATTTCTGTAATCTGGATTCAATAATCGATCTCTGTTGATCTCGTACTGATAGGCTCCTTTGTAGTTGTTCTCTCATGATAGGATCCTGCGTTTGAAATCCAGGAGACAGGCAGGCAAGTCCAACATCTTGCATGGTAACCCCATCCCGAGCTGTCATAGGGCCGCCGGGAGGTCGAGCGGATAATCCTCCGGAAGAGGGAAGACTTGTAGAAAGGTCTAATTTTCGAGGTCGGGGTCGCGTGTGGGTTTGCATTCCAGGGGAAGAGGGCGGTTCTTTCTTAACGATCACCTTTGGAGGGTTACTCCCGCTTTGTGACCTATTTCTTTTTTTTTTTTTTAAAAAAAAAAAAAATATTAGTTACCCATCTGCAAGATTGCATTTATGTTTTGGGTGGTAGACTTACGATGGTGAAGTCAATTTCTTTCCCGCCGGTGAACTCTTCGTAGAGGAACCATCGCGAGAGGCACCAGATGCGCGAGGCGGCGTGGAGCTTGACTGGATACTGGAACTCACTGGCGCCAGCCGTTTTGGACTTGGATCTCTGTTCATGTGCGGAGACGGTAGTGGTGCGGCTGTGGCAGGCGCGACGGCGGTCGACATTATACAGGGTTAATGGGAGTATTCGAACGAAGAGGTGGGATGGCGGAACCAAAGGAGGGGTATATTAAACCGGTCGTATTCTTCAAAGGTATGTTGGGGCCGAAACCGAAAAGGGTGCTGCTGCAGTGATCGGGATGAGAGCGACTCTGAAAATCCGATCAACAGGACGGGGAACGAAATAAGAAGCCTCCTCTGGAAGTTTTCCCTCTTGTTTGCACAGCCTCTGTATATATAAAACTCACTCCCTGCGAGTGAATGACTGTGCCACCCAATGTTGACGGTCTGGCTTCTGACGGACGTTTTGTTGACAGTGGGAACGACCGGACGAGACGGAGTCAAAGAACGCGCGGGTCCAAAATTCAGGCGGCTAATGGGTGCCTCTGGAAGGAGGGGAGAGGGGGAAAGAGATAGTCAAAGCAGGCTAAAGAAGGCAAGCAAGCTTGGAACAACCAACTACTACAACCCAAATAGCAACGGACGAGAATGACGAGCTGGGACGCGAGAAGTTGGCAGGGAAGGGAAGCCAACACCAAATTGGGTGTACCCCGGAGCGTCTCGTCGAATCGTAGGGGCGGAAGGAGGAAAGAGGAGTGGTTCGACACCTGTTTGGGAGACGGAGGGGGGAAAGCAGGCGGTTAACTAAGGCTGGCTGGCGGCAGTGTGACAACGATCTGAGGTCGGTCAGACCAAAGGCAACAAGCGAAAGAAACGGACGGGGATGTCAACAGGCCTGGTCCAGAACGAACGCAGGTGGCCGGAAAGGGAGGGAGAGAGGGGGGGAAAGGAACGAGGGAAGAAGAGCAAGACGTAGAAGAAAAGAAAAAGAAGAAGAGGAGGAGGAGGAAAAGGGATGGGCAGGTGGATAGGAAAACGGGGAATTAAGAGAAGAAACAGCCTAGGTAGAAGAGGAAGAAGAGGATTGATTAATTGTTGATAATTCGACCTCAGGAAAGGAATAATAATAAATTGTTGGGTCTGGAGGAGGATCGGAGAGGAGAAAGACAGATCAATTAACCTGATGAGACGGTGGAATGGGGATCGAACTAAAAGCACCGACTAATAGTAATAATAATAATTAAATCAAAATCTACCAAGTATAATAATAACATTTAATAAATCAATAATAAATCAATACATCTTTCAAACTGCTGTTTCAAAGGTAGAAGCAAATAAGAAGCTGAAATTGGGCTGAAAGATCAGACACTTTCAGGTATACTACTACCTAAGTACTTGATAACTATACTCCTGTATACCTGTATAGCAGCATAGCTATATGGTGCATCCCGTCCACTCAAGACCAAAAGTACCTCATAGAATACTTATTCAAATAGTCGGGGTGGAGGTCATCCCATCTGATTGGCAACTCTCTGAGACACTCTTTGTTTCTGCCCAGGGCTTGTCGCTTATGATGTGACACTTTTGTGACAATGTCCCAGTAGGGCGTAGTAACTAGGACTAGTTAACTATTTTATACAATCTTATCTCCTAGTGAAATAGTGGAAACTGACTCATTCTCATGTTCTCGCGGTCTCAAGAAGGGGGCTCTTGAACCATCCCGATCCAACCTATGAAGATCCTGGCACTGACGCTTGAAGTCATGTCATTTACTGGGTATAGCACAATTCTTGACTTTTTTCCCCCCTCTTTTTTCTTTTCACTTCATTAAAGTCTTTTGATTCTTATTATTACTTCCCCATCTTCCCCTCCCCTCATGGTTATGAAATCAAAGCTTAAACAAAAAAAAAAAAAAAGGTGAAACATCAGGTAACCTGTGACACCAGCGTCCCTCACCATCCCCGAGATCCACCTGGCGCCAAACTGGTGAAAACAATAGTCTTGGTTCGATCCATGAATCCAGCCTCTCTTGTCACACACTTTCATGTTTCTCCCTCCCCTCATCCTGTAATTACTCTCTACCCCTCGTAAACTGACATCGTAATTTGTTTTTGTTTTTGTTTTTTTTTTTTTCTTATCCTTTTCCGAATCGACGTCTCATATTCCGCCCTCCCTCCCCCACGTTCCTTTTTCTTGCGGGTTTTTCGATTTAATTTCCAGACATCGGATGAGGTGAGATTTCCCTGAACTTAAGTCTGCAAGGGTTGTAAAATATCACCATCTACTCCGTACACAGTATGTAAAAGTCGCAGCGTAATAATTTTATCCTGTGGGCCAAGTCGTACTGTACGGTCAATGTTTTGATATAACACTAATCCGATAGCAAAAATAACACCGTCTCTCCAATTGTCAGGGTTGGAAGCGAAAACATCCAGCCAACGCATCATAAACCATCGGTTCCCAGACAGGCATGGAACTCTTCCTCGTAGCTGTCAAACTGATCTTCCGTGGCTAAAACGTTGATCCAGAGTCTGCCGTGTTGATCACAGGCCTGGATGGCGTTTCTGCGTCAATAGTCGTAGGCTGAGATCCGTCTGCAGGTGTAACTTTATACGATGATATTATCTCATACTAGGGACTCCGTAGAGTATCTATCTAACCACAACAAGTGCTAATAAGTAGGTAGTAAGTGTTATACCAGAACTTGTACAGTTGTACATGGTACCAACTCACTACTGCTGTCTCGAGTGTGCTAGACTACTCATGCACCTGCTAGTACTTATCAACCCACTAACTAGTAGCGTATGGAACTACTAGTGGTAGTTTCCGATGTCCACCTTAACAGCCAGCGCTGTTCGTCTCCAGGCGGAATGCAGGCTGGTGGCCAGAGTCAGACTGCTATCAGACAAGGAATAAATGAATGGATCCATCCTTGTTGTGGTTGCAGCACCAATAGTGATAGCTGCCACACCTTTTCCTGGGATTTGGCCCCCGGTCGGCATGGAGGTAGTAATTAATTGTAATTGTTATGTTAATTAAACTCCGTTTTGTTGGGTTTATACAGAGAGGTGCTAAAGCACTACTACTTTCTACTAACTACCACCACCTACGTAAGAACTGTACTGTGTTGTGCTTGGGTATTTACTTCAAGATATGCTGGGAGTTGTATTTATATATATATATGGATATATCAATGATGACCTAGGCACAAAATCTTCCTAATCCTTGGTAATACTCCTAAGTACCGTAATCCCAACATTTCCATATCAAACACGGAGGCTGGAGGGTGTGATATGATTACCAGATCTGGCATAGCAGTTGTGACATTGAAAAAAAACATACATAAATAAATAAATAAATATGGAATCACAGGATGGAAATAACCGACAAAATAGCAAATAAGACAAAGAAAAGCCTGCAAGTAACCATCACCACCAGGTAGAAGTTGGAGTACCTAGATAGATACCTTGCTGTCACTTTTTCATGTCATTTCCCTGGTTAAAATCAATAATAGACCCACGAGTGTTCCTTGCAAATAAGATCGAGGACCGATGCGGCCGCTGCTCACTAGTTTACGGGTCTGTCACTTTCAATCCTGGACGGTCTCTAGGAATTATTGATCCACTCAGCGTCGAGGTCTTTCAATGCCTGTCTCTCTGACTGGAAAGGTGACGAGATACTACCTACTAGGTAACTAACCTGCCTGCTCTGGACAGACAATCAATCATTGCAGGAGGAACTGGAACTGCTCTGACAGTAGACTTGAGAATAGGGATTAACACGATACGATATTCATCCCTTGCTGGTTCAAGGTTGTATTAGTTCTGTCGCACCTAGGTACAGACGTCCTTCAGAACTTTTACAGGATCGGATCGGATTGGATTATCTGTATATCTCCATAAAATAAAATTGAAAATACGCAAGTGAAATTATGAACGCGCGCAAAACCCCAAAAATAACCGCCGTCCGCTTGACCTCTTGGCCTTTAATTTGAAATTCGAAAGCGGAAGAGGGTTTTCAATCTGCACGGACTATTGCTAAGATTAATTTCCATGTGGGCGTGTGGTCGTTGCGCAGGAAGAGTCGATCGCAATAAAGCTATCACGCACTGACTTCTTGCGTGATCTAAATTGAGAACCCCGTGTTTCGTGCGAATCGAACTCGTGGCTAATTAGGGTTTTTTTCAGTCTCTTTCTTGGGACGGTAGGCAAGGTAACCTAAGATGGATAGCGACCTGTGGTTTGGATTTGGATTGGATTGTTGTTCTGTCGACCATTTCGTAGCATCCTTTCAATCGATTGAGCTCCCAGTTCAGAGGTATGTAACTATTTATAGTTACCTAGGTAGTCTTACACAGGAACAATTGCACAAGAGGCCCGCATAGACCGCCGTACTCTCAGATCAAGCCGGCAATATCAAAGGCGGTCAGACGCTATCGATAACCGCTTTTCACTTTTTTTCACACCGCAGCCGGACGAAGGAGCAGCATGAATATCTGAGCAGAATAGCAGCAGTCAAAGCCTTGAACCGATCAATTATCTCGATCTCGACCTAGCGAACCAAAGTGCAATCTCGATCAGGTTACGGGGACCGAAGCACAATCCACCCAACTTGCGGACTGCCTGCCTACCTACCCACCCTCCAGCGTCACAACCCACTGACTCGGCGATTAGAGCCTGCGTTACTCCCAGCAAACGACACTAGACTGCTTCCTCTGCGATATTCTTCTAGCTGGCCAGTTTGAAACATACCTACTTACGCCTACAATGCCTGCCTCCGTACACTCCCAAGACAACGACCAGTCCATGATGGACGCCAACGCAGCTGAGCAGAACGAAGTGCTACAGCTCGAGGAGAAGCGGATTGTTGTTGTTCGTTTCCCCTTACCTCATAAAACGAACATAGTGCTAAGACCTACCTACCTATGTACAGTTGCCCGGTGCCACGGACACAGCAGCTTCCTTCCAGTTCGAAGGGGAAGGACACACATTAGGAAATGCCCTTCGTTATGCGATTATGAAGAAGTATGGGTTTTCTCTCTCTTCCTTCCTTTCCACTCTGCATCCCGGAGCTAGGAAGAACCTAAACGAAACGAGTACTAATTGGACTGAATTGAATGACAGTCCCGGTGTTGAATTCTGCGGATACACTATTCCCCACCCTTCAGAATCAAAGATGAACGTTCGTATTCAGACTTATGGTTCGCCCCCCCCCCCCCATATTCTCTCTCTCTCTCTCTCTCTATATATATATATTAAAGTGACTGTGTTTAATATCTACTAGATACAACGACTGCAATCGAAGCTCTCGAAAAGGGCCTGGACACATTGATGGACCTTTGCGATGTCGTGACGGATAAGTTCACCACTGCGCGGGATGCGTTCAATGCTTCCCAGGCGGATAAGATGGAGTCATGATTTCTGTTTTCCCCCGTCTCTTTTTGATTTGCTTTTCTTCTTCTTCTTCTTTCTCTCTCTCTTTCGTGTACTTGGGCTGTACTGTATGCTGTATATATGACTTGGATGGCGTTCTTGTGCAGAAAAAGTTACACTTCCCAGGGATTTCCATAGACTCTTTCTTGAACTACTAGTTCCTTATTCATGCATAGCAGAAGATATCCAATAAACAATTTAACTCGGTAAACTTGTCTTATACTTTAAAAGTAAACTGCGCTCTTACTTCTACGACTATAAAGAAAGAAAGAAAGAAAGAAAGAAAAAAAAATAACGAAAATGACGTTCCTATTCTGACAATATATACATAATATAATACCCTCTATCAATGTTACGACACGAGGACCCAAATCGAAATCTCAACTCAATGCTAAGGAAAACATTAAAAGAAAACAGCAGCAATCAATTGCGGCCCTCCAGGAAGCCCGAAATGAAGTTAGGAGGTAGCCGGGCACCGGGGTCCTCCTCTGGCCGGAAATACTTCATCACATGCGAGAGCTGCTTCCAGTAGTTGAGGGTTTCCTGGGAGGGGGAACGTAATTAGCTTGTTGTTCTGCGGGTGAGGAGGCCAGTAGCGCGTCTCAGACTTGGAAGGGGAAAAAAAAAAAAAGGTAGCAACTCACCTGGAACTCGGCGTGGCTTTGGAACAGCAGCACATCCACGACATTGAGCTGGTTGACGTAGCGGTGCTTCTCGAATTCCTGGCGGACCTTTGTGCGGATGGCGGAGACGGGGATGTTCAGGGAGTACATGGTTTGGATTTCGGGGGACTGTCGGGTTTGCAAGCGTAGCTGTTAGTATGGTGGACTCATCTCATCTCATCTCATATTATATCGTATTGTAGGGTGTCATGTCATGTCACAATGGAGTTGATATAAAAAAAAGGCCGTCGGCGAAGGCATCGACACCATTATTCCACTCCCCTCGTGACACGGAAAGGGAACCAGAAGGAGGAAGAGGAGGACTACTAACAGCTCGAAGCCACTCCCTGTAAGACCTCAGAACACGAGTCTTCGCATCGCTCCAGTTGGCAGCTATACAACGCAAAAAAACAAGTCAGTCAGCCTGGGATTCTAGTGCAGCCATTGACATCGCGGCAATTTCTAAACCGGTCGGACGTGCTCGGGTAAGGTGCCCTGGAGAAAACGTACAGGAGCGAGTGCGCTGCGCAAGGTAAGTAGGATTGATAGTCATCTTGATATTAAAAGAAAAAAACCCGACGTCCTTTGTGAACACCAATGGCGTACGAGGGAAGAAGAAAGACTAAAGAGGGGGACAGAACCGAGAGGTCGAGGTTTCTATGGACGGATGGGACGAATTGGTGGAGGTTGGAATTCGGAGACCGGTGTTCACCGCCTGCCTATTTCAAAAATTTCTTTTTTTTTGCAGGCTGGACCGCCGCATTTACGATCTTCTTCTTTTTTTTTTTTTTTTTTTAACACTGACCTTCAAGAGTCTGATTTTCTTTTCCTTTTATTTTTTTTTTTCAGAAAAAGAGGCTATTTGGTGGATATTTACTAGTCCCTAGTATTCATATCTTGGGGGGCGCGCTTTCGGTTTTCCCTTTCGATAAACTCCCCATCCCCTAACGAATTCCCTCGACCCCATTTGAATTCCCCCCATAACCACCGCGATGGCGCCAACCAGTGGTCCAGCTAAGGCCAAGTCCTCATCAAAAGGCGATTCGAAGAAAGGTGGTGTCCTTGGAGCCAAAGTGAACAAGAAGAATGTGAAGCGTCCGCCGCCAAAGGAAATGAAATCGAAGGCGCGCACTGAGAAAAGTCAAATGAAAAAGACAAAGAAGAGAGAGTATACGGAGGCGGAGCTAGATCTTCCTCAACTCAATATGATTACCCCTGTTGGTCTTGTGAAGCCGAAGGGAAAAAAGAAGGGAAAGATATTTGTTGACGATCCGGTACGTTTGGCCTATAATCGGCGAATCGTGTGGAAGGGTCTCGTGATAGTGCTGACGATGCTTTTTTTTTTTTTTTTGATGATGTAGGAGGGTATGATGACGATTTTTGCCATGGTCAACGCTGAAAAGGAGGGTCAGATTGAGTCTAAGATTATGAAAGCCCGGCAACTGGAGGAGATTCGAGAGGCGAAAAGGAAAGAAGCTGAGGCTAGACAGTCCCAGAAGAAGTCGAAGCTGGTACGTCGCTAAAGTTCCTATCCCCCGTTGTTCGATAGGCTCATAGAGCCCTAAGGCGGTCATGGTAGCTAACGCGCTTGAGAACAGGAAGATGTCAAGGAATCGATCCGTCAGAAACGGAAACGCAAGAGTGGCGACGCCCCCGATACCAAGTCAGATGCTCCCGCTTCCAGGTCAAGCGGGAAGAAAAAAGCGGTCTCCTTTGCGTGAAGCGTTCTGTAAAAAAGTAATTCTGTCTATAGCATGGTTGAATATGTATTTAGAAGGGTCGCTGGCGTTTCTATGGGTCTATCTATATCTTTCGAAGTATGACATGAATGACATTCGCGACGAACATCTAGTCATCAACAAAAACAACAAGTCTTCATCCAACAATATATCCTCTAAGGTCTAAGAATGACGCTGAATTAAATGATTGGCAAGCTTAGCTTGCGGCGCATCGGGCTGAAATTGGCCTTCTTGAAGTGTATATCAGTGTCGTCATCAGGCTCAGACGCCTGTCCGGGTACCTGCCCCGGAAACTCGACCACTGGAGCAGTTTCAAGGTCGACTTCCTTGGCCATCATGTTCAAGAAATTATTTACCTACATCCGGAGTTAGTTCGTTATCTTCATGCAAGATGTGGCAACTAAACGTACTGGTTTCGCAAACCATCGGTCTCCTCCGAATTCAAACCAACCAAGATGACCACCCCACGAGGTGGTCATCATGACACCGTACGGAGTTTGGCCCATTTCCTGGAATGGAAGAGCCTGGACGCAAGCAATCTGCTGCGAGTTAGCACTGAGACCTGAAGCCAACGCGCTGCTGAACTAACTGGATCGTCCTCTGCTTGCACAACAAAGAAAGGGATTCTGATCGCGAGCAGTGAATCGACAGAAGATGCATCGCGATAGTAGGTACCTTCTGTAGGATATCCCCACAAGGCGCATTGCAAAGCCCTAGATACAACGGTTAGATCAATGTAGAGTCGCGGCAAACCTTATAACGGCATACCTATCAAACTCGTGCAGATAAGTGATGCTTCTGATAGCTTCCGCATCGACTCTGGGATGCTTGGAAATCTCCTCGCTATGTCTGAAAACAACAGTTAGTCTATTTCTAGACAATTGCATGACAACACATACTGCTCGAAGAGCTTTTTCATGCTAATTCCCATCACCCTGCTGTACACCTGAAGTCCCATGAAGCTGCTCTGTAAAGCCATGGAGCTGATTTCCAAGTTCCAAGGGCTTGCGCAGATAACCGCTGCTTTCAATTGACAAGCATCTCCCTCCTCACCAAGGTACTAGGGATCGTTAGTCGGCTCTGTTTGAAAAGTGAACTGTTGCAGCTTACATTGGTAAGAATGTTCGCCCCCAAAGAAAATCCAATACCAAAGAGAGGTCGGTTGGGGAAAGTGGCTCGCAACCACTTCACAGCCTGACGGACATCCCAAGTAGCACGGGCATTGTAGAGTACACCACTCGAGATCTTTGTCTGAGCACAGCCTCTAGAATTTACCACACAGGCTTCCCAGCTTCGGTCTGCGACAAGGGGGCTAACTACATGGCGCAGGTAAAGTTCATGCGACCCACCACTGAGGCCATGGAGAACCACGAGCATTGGCTTCGTATCATCTGAAGGCAAAGCGGCGAACTCGGCCTCTGAAAACATCGATGTGCGTTCTGGAAGTCCGGATGGCAGAGTGTACTTTCTCTCTTCATCGATTGCTTCGGCAGTCTCCGGCACCTCGTACGGCTCCACGACAAAATCGATTGCGAACTGTCCTTTGAAACGGGGGCTATCGGCCTCGAAGATTCGTCGCTTGTAGTAGACAGGGACATTATCAAACTTTACTGAGGTCCAACAGGTTTGCAGGTGGCCATTGAAAAGCAGGGGGTTCAACTGGCATTTTGTTGGAGTAGCAGTGCGGCAGAGCTCCGCCAGGGTAACATGTTCCTTAACGCCAGATTTTGCAGATTTTTTAGTCAAAAGAAGATTATTCTCCTTTGCGCTAAAGAATGAAATCCGTCCGCTGGGACGGATCCACGAGAAAAGTCCCATTGCGACCAGCAGACCGGACAAAATAAGAGACACCGGGAATGAGTTGGTGAGAGGTACCGAAGTGGGAAATTCAGCCGAGGCAGCCATGGGCTTTCAGGGAGAGAAAAGAACGAGAGTTAACGGAGAAGAAAAACAAACGAGCAAAAGATGTTGGTCCGCTGGGGTATAGAATATGAGAGGGAAAACCAAGGGTACCTGAAAGTTCCTCGATATAGTATCGATGGAGGAATTTGTCAATGTCTCGTGGGATCCTCTTTTGCTCAGACAAGCTACGAATCAGTCCTACCAAACGTACCAAACGGGTCGGATGTCGAGCTTGATATCGAAGCCTGGAGATTGGGGGGGGGGGGATAATGTGCAAGAGGTTGACTTATTATCTACAATGTACTCCTAGATCTTCAGAGAATTATTCTCAGCCTGCCAGGTGCTCGGGAGTTGATACCAAAAGTAGTGGAGCCTCCGAAGAGCATATAATAATGCCCCAGGCATAATTTTAATGCAATCTTTCCGTGGATTTACTTTGAACACGACCAACCCTTTGGATACAAGCAATATGGCACTAAAGAATACCCATACTTGAAGCTACTTGCGTGATAAGCCTCACAAGTATCAGGAATCAGGATCAAGTTTAGGGACTTTACTTTCCTCTATGATTCTACATAGGATGCTGAATGGGCCTGTATAGTCATGTGACCTCATCTCAGATGTGCCACCATTTCCCCTTGTCATTCGCCGCACATCAGATCAAAGTCGTCACTAGTGTACTTTGTCAGGTACAAACTTCCGGAAATAAACCAAGTAAATTTCCCTTGAGTATATACTATAGTCTCTTGATATCAAAATGTTGTATAGTCAGGTACCTCGCTTCCCAGTTAAGGTATGACATGACATAAGCGGCACGGGACGTAACTAACCATTTATGTACAGTCGCAGCTTATCCTTATCGCTTATCCTTATCGCTTATCGCACGGGTTGATCAAGGGGCGGATGACTCAATAATTGGTCACTTGATGCATGGAATACGAGAAAAAAGGCTGCTGGAGACATTGTCATTTGATCGCTCCTTGCCGTTCTTCTTGTGTATGGCAGTATGCAACTACTCCGTACTCAGATCGCAAACAGCCTTGGTGCTAGCTTCAGAATGTCCTGCTAGGATGACCATTCCTTCCGTGCGAACAGGTGGGCTCTTTAATACCCCGCCAGATGATGCTGCTTGATGCGGGAACAACTGGAGGCCGCATGCGGACGTCAAGGGGCAGGTCTAACCCCGACAAGCAGCGCCATAGAAACCCTCGACGATCCTCGCTGGTAGCAGAGATCTGAAACTAGAAGCATCTGAGGTGTTTTCTTTTTTTTTTCTTTTTTGGAAGATGGTTTTGAATGCAGCCGATGTCGATCGAGATTTTGGGGGGCGAGAGGCTTCGTCAGGTTTATATCATCCGCCCAATGGGTTAGTGGTGGGCACGGATCAGGCTAAACAAAGAAAGCGGTATTCCCACTGCATGAAGAGGTCCTGATAACATTGTCCCTATCAATGTTGTGATGCTGTCCCGTGCTCCGTTTGCGTGCAAGATTATAACTATATGCGTAGAGCACTTCAAGGTCAAAAGGCCCGCCTTCCTTCCTTCGACTCGTTTTCTGATCTTGAGCTTTTGTCACGCGATGCTATTCACCATACCTTCTATATACAACATGATGCCCCAGAGTGAGCAAAAAGATAGCTCTTTTCGATTCCACTCATGAGGTTATATCAGACCCCAACACGCAACGATCACTCAGCAACACCTGCAAGTCAGCGACGGCGCTTAGGAAAGCGGTTGGTGGCGGCTATAGTTCAGACTGAGAGACCAGACTCTCCGACCGACATGGCAGATAGCCTCCATCGCGCTGGAGTAAAACTAAAGGCCATGATGAGAATGACCCGTTGGTCGCGCGGTCAAACCGAAAAACGATCTGGAGAGCAGGACTCTCCAAAGCGAAGCTACCTCCTTGAACTCCCCACAGAGTTACTGCTCGAGATCATCTCGCACCTATCAGTCTTACCAGAGGCATGTCTTGCCCTGACGTGCAAGAGATTATTTGCAATATCCAGTACTGTTCTGGATTCGAAATCCCTCCATTTCAGTCGCGACTTTGCTCCCCTGTTTCACCACTATCGCAACGGACATAGCTTCGTTACTCCACGGTGGCAGCTCATCAAAATCCTGGAAGATAGCAGGTGGTGGGCCTGCTCAAAATGCTTGAAGCTGCACCCACGAAGTTTCTTCCCATCACGAGAGCTGCGGCGAAAACCCGAAGATCGAACCTGTAACTTGGGCAACCTGGCTGGTGTGGTCGATCTATGTCCCTGCAAGAAGCTCACGTTCCGCGACAAGATTGACCTGGTTGAGCTTTTGAAGGTGCGACAAAAGTCCATAGCGCTCCTAGAATCCCAGTTTGGCTCTGGAGTCCAAGAGCGCTTCTGCTGGCATGATTGTACCGAAAGCTACGGGTCTACGCAGCTGAAGATAGAGATTTACCCCGAACTCGATGCAGAGGACCAGTTGATGATCAAGACGGAATATCACTTGACTACAGTTCCAGGACAGCTTGGCAAAGAGGAGCACATGACAGCTCGGTTCGGATGCGCTCACCGGTCTGTCGACTTGTGGCTCGCAGGTGTTTGCCAGACCACCATTTGCCGACTGTTTGACAATAGCTGTGCGTCATGTAAGCGAATAACGGTATGCAGATCCTGCAATTCTGCATTAAAGTGTTCTCGCAAGCAGCCCTGCCACGTGGATGAAGAGGCTCGCACCGCGACCTACTCCTTCTGGACCGAGAGATGCCTTGGGGGTGCATCTTTGATCCCAGATACTAAATGGGCAGTGCAGCGAATTCACCCTGCTGAGACCTTGGTTGATCTCGATAATTGTAGCGAGCTTTGCCCCTGGACTGTTCGTGAACATCCTCCTCTTCTTGACCCCCCAACCTTGGGGATGGACATCCTTAACCCCGCCATCAACGATCAATCGATGAACCAGATATATTCATCCATTAATATGTCTTGAACGGTATGGGTGGCAGGGTTGTTACGAATTCACGTATATGATGTCTAAAGGATTGGTTAGAAATGGCGTCCTCGGAAGATTCCGTTTCGGGACTGTTTCTGAGCTTTTGTCCGGTAAAGGCTGGCGCAATCATGAAGGAGTTACTATTACATATGCTGTTACTTTTATCGGTCATAGTAGTTTGTTTGATTTACATTACATGTACACTGTCTTCCTTGTTTTTGATGAACTAGGTATTTGCATATAGATTGGAGAGATCGCCCTAAGGAGTATATTCGGCGTTACTCCGCCACATACTATGATCTTGTTTTCTTGGAGGCACCAGAGCCCCGCAGACTTATAGCAGATAAATAACATAGTCGCTTGCGCTCTATCAACTTCCTGCCACAAGTTATAAGAGTAACTTCAGTAAAAAGACTTACCTGATTGTATCCCAGAGAGAGAGAGTGGCCGTCATGCTTCACCCACACTATTCCATATTTGTCGACCGCTCTCGGGTTTCTCCGACCCGAAGCCAAAAAGGAAAAGGCCTCACGATCTGCTGGAAGGGAAACAACCTTCCAGAATATTGGCTTCAACTCGAGATACTACGGGAAATTTAGCAAATTGCAGTAGTTTTGATGTACAGCATCCGCGTCCTGGGGCGATGAGCTACCCACCATCCCATAACGGTCAATATCCCCCGCAGTATATGCAACAACCCCCCGATCTCCATCCACCCCAGCAGACTATTCAACCGCAGCAGCTACTGTATAATAATGTCAACGCGAATACCTCGCCATATCAGTATGGCAAATCGCCTGTTTACCCCCAGGTTATGATCCCGTCCTACCCGGCTTATAATCAGCCGTACGCTCCTCAACAACATCAACTCCCTCCGCCGGCGCCACCACCACCACCGGCGCCGCCGCAACACCACCAACAACCACCACCACCACAATATGTCAATCCGTCCGATCTGTTCCAACAGCCTCCCCTTCCTTCTCCCTCGCCCTCGTCATTCAGCAGCCATGGTATGTCTCAGTATGGCTTGCAAAACGCGGTCTCTGTTGCAGGCAACAACCGTTCCCCAGCCCTCACCACCTCCTCCATCCCAGCCCAACCGACAACGACATATTACCCGGCGCTTACTCCCAGCCAAAGGAGTCAATCATATGGTAACACTCCTCAACCTGCGCCGACCCCATTGCCTCAACCAAAACCAAAAGCTGTTCCAGCAACTCCTCCGATTGCCGCTATTCCGCCCGCGACACCTCCAAAACCCGTCCAGGTGTTGATTCCAGCCCCTGCACCGGACATACAGCACAAGGTTCCGCGCCAACCTCCTAAGAAGCCAGCACAAAAGCAACACAGCCAGCAACATGCACAAAAGCCCGCCAAGCCTCCGATAGATTATCAGGTTTTGCTGCTGGCAATGGCGGATGAATACCTCAATGCGGCTCATAGCCATGGAACAACAGTTGCTTTGTTGAGGAGGGAAATGGAGATGGAAGAATACTACAGGCTTGTTGCAACTGGCCTTGGGTGTTTGGAAGCTGTTCTTAAGGTATGCGGTGACCGTCGCGTTTGGAATCGATGTCGTGGATGATCCTAATCGGAGTTCAGAATTGGAGGCTACAGCCTCGAGTAGAGGCGTTGGTCCGCTTGAGATACGCCCGTATTCTCTTTGAAGAAACAGAGAATGATTTGGAGGCGGAGACCGCGTTGAGTAAAGGCGTATGTATCCCCTTTATCCAATGTCCGTAGTTTAGATACTGACAAATATGCTCTAGATCGACTTATGTGAGCGAGTGAGTTGTTTCTCCCATCTCCCATCTATCTTGATCTGCGCGGCCATACTAATTGTCATTAGAACCGTATGCTTGACCTGAAGTATAGTATGCAACATCTACTTGCCCGGATGTTATACAAGACAAATCCGAAGGCCTCACTAAAAGCTGTCGATGGAATGATCCAGGATGTCGAAGCGTAAGTTAATTCAAATGTGACCCTTCGATTGTATTCTAAATGTTGCAGTTACCGTCACTGTGCCTGGGAGTATGCGTTTCGATTTCTTCGTGTGTCGCTTTCGCTCTCATCTTTTGCCCACCAAGAGTCTGTTCCAGCTCTTCAACATCTTCATAAAATTGCCAACATGGCTAATCGTAACGGGGACAAGGCCGTTTCTGCCATGTCTGCCATAACGGAGGCTCTCGCACATCTTCAGCAAGGGTCTAGTCTTGACTCTATTGAACAAGCTCAGCGTGCAGTGGCGTTGGCACGAAGCCACCAACTCAACGACGAGTTGCGTCATATTCCGCAGCTGACAACACTAGTTCAGATCGTCGACATCTGCTGCAGTCTTCTCGAGTATGATGTCAATCAATCTTCTCAAAAGCTCAAGGTTATGCAGGATCTGATGGATGAGCGACTGAATGATTCCAATTGGCGTGCCGATGGGTCATTCTCCATCCCTTTGAGCGGCAAGTCGGCAGGGCCATCTTCTATTGATACCGGAGATATCCTCCAAGTCCAGAATGGCACCTTACTTCTGAGCTTTAACTGGTTACCCCAACATGACCTTTACGCCCTTTGCTATTTCCTTAGTTCGATCACACTGAGTTGCAAAAATTCATATGATGGACGCAAGGCGGAAAAGTTCCTTCAGGAAGGGATACATATGGTAAAGGGTGAGTCATTTAATTCGCACGCTAGAGTTCACAGGTCGTTAATACCATCAACAGGAAACTTTAAGGCACCTCAGGAAATCACGGAATCATTGGTCAATGCAAATAGACGTGTGGAATGGCGCAGGACGCTATACTGTAATCTACTTATCCAACAAGTGTTCCTTGCATGCGGCCGTACAGACTGGGACCTCGCCAGCAGGACACTGAAAGAACTTGAGCAGGAAACTCAGGCTCAGGGTGATTTTCTTCCCGACGCAATTCACTGCCTGATGGAGTACGCTACGGGTACGATTGCGCAGGCGACTGGCGATGTCAAGGGAGCCCTGGCTGCCTTCCAATCTCCTCTCCTCTCACTATCTCAGCCCTTCAGTAAGACTGCACGCAACGACCCTCGTCGCGATATTGCCATTCTGGCCGCCATCAACACCGTGCTCATCCTCCGCGATCCCAACCATCCGCTACAGTACCACCTCCCCAGTGTCTTGTCTACCATCGAATCCTTCTGCAAAGCAAGCCCGAACAAGTATATCCAAGCGGCTTACTACCTTCTCTGCGCAACCGTGCAAACAGACTCAACCCTGCAGACAAAACAGCACCTACAGCAAGCGCTCCAGTCCGCCACTGCGATTGGAAACAGCCAGATAACTTGCATGACGTTAACATTTATGAGCTGGAAGTACTTCCGCGGTGTGGTCGGGGAACAAGCGGAAAAGAGCGCCCGAGCCGGTCGTGCAATGGCCAAGAAAGCCAACGACCGGCTGTGGGTTAGCGTTACAGACGAAATGCTTGCAGAGACCTTGGAACGGCAGGGTAAAAATGAAGAGGCCAAGGGTGTTCGCCAAGAGGGTCATCGAGTGATGATGGGACTGCCACCAGCACTACGACGGCCCGTCTAGGTACCTAACATCATCACCTTTGTAGTTCACTTTTTTCTTTCTTTCTTTTTCTTTTTCTTTTTTTCTCTTTTCCTTATAATCTTTAGTAGTTTCGTGATACCATTGTCAAAATCGTGGATTTTTTGTTGTGGTACATGGGAGGGAGGTATCTGGCGTATTTTGAGCATCATAAATCGGACTGGGTTTAGTTTAGGGTTGTGATGGATGGATACTATGTAGTTTTTCGAGGCCATTGCCGTTTCTATGGATGCTTATATATCCGAGGATCCATAGTTAGTGTATGTGTGTGTGTGTGTGTGTGTGTGTGTGTGTGTCTATGTCAAGTCAATTAGAACCGGGCACATATCAGGCTTGCATTTTCAGTGATTCCTTTATTTCGGGGAACATCCCTCACACCTATCATTCTAAAACAAAATACTCGTCGATGGGGAAGAGAACAGGTCATACAGAGTTCAAGTATACTCTTGATTCGTTAGGTATCCCAACTCGTATTCATGTCACCCATAGGGACATCTCTCATCTTGTATATGTAAAATACAAAGTATAATTAAATGGCAATCAACTCAGGAACAGAAAGCGGGGGGAACAACGATAAGGCAGAATTGGGAACGAAAAAAAAAAAAAAAAAAAAAAAAGGAGATAGATAGAAAAAACCAATTCCATGCTCAACGAAGACTCCTTAGCCCACCGTACGCCTATGCCATATGCACCAACGAAATCAAGCAACTCGGATTAGCAGCCCTTGAGGAAATAGGGTTACCCCGTGGGTAGAGTTTTCTCGTCTTTGTATATGAATATGAAGAATTAGGAGTGCTGTCACCGAAAGCGAGAGAGAGAGAGAGAGAGAGAGAGAGGGAGGAAGAGAAGGAAAGAGGGGGGGGGGACAAAAGGGATTTATCCCAATCCACCCCAAGCACCACGGATCCTCCTTGCAAGTTGAATGTCCTTCTGCATAATCGTTACCCGTTTCGCGTGGATGGCGCATAGATTTGTATCTTCGAACAAATGGACGAGGAAGGCTTCTGCGGCCTCCTGGAGTGCGAGAATTGCATGCGACTGCCATCGCAGTTCTGCACCGACCTCTGTGGGAAGGAGGTCCAATGCGACCTCACGGACGAGCCGTGCGAAGGGAAGTTTCCGGAGGAGAAGGTCATAGGAGCGCTGGTACTTCCGGATTTCCTTTAACGCGACGGTGCCGGGTTTGTATCGGCGAGTTCGGCCGTGGGGGGTTGGATCGCCAGCTATTGGAAGAGGGGGGGGGGGAGGGTATTAGTTGGGAAGATTCATTGATTGTGGCTGGATGGTGGGAGCTTACGCTGAACATTGGATGTCCTTGGTGGTCGCTTGCCGCCCTTTGCTGCTGTTCGCGGTTTTCGGGTTGCCTTGGAGGGGCCTGCAGCGGAGATGATTTTTGTACCTTTGCCGGTTTTGGGGGGCATGTTGGTGGAGTTTTAGGGGGTTGTCCCTGGGAGGGTGATGTGGGAGGATGAGGAGACTTGTTTGGCGACGTTTCGTCTTAATGCACAAGGAATTGCACCGGATACTGAGGGGTAAACTTGATGGCGCTTCTTTCCATGTGCGGCGCAAAGCAATTGAGTGGTGTGGCCCGGTACCCTTTCCTCAGGCGATCCTTCGCGTGGAAAATTGGTATGGAGTGGAGTATATACTGTACAAGCTGCGAAGCTTTGTCTGCAGCTGCAAGCGTTAGAACCCCCTTGGAAATCCGCAGGAGGGAAGGAAGCTCCTGACACAGTACGGAGTACGGAGTAGACAAACGATATTCGAAGCGCACTTTGAAAGAAAATCGAGGGGGCTGGGGAGAACTGGACTCGAGCTTTCGAAATCCCAGCCTTCGAGTTTTGACGCGTAGCGCGTCTCTCTGTCGTTTCCCCGCCCAAGGCGCGCGGCTGGGTGGCACGTGACCGCACGGGTTGAGGCCGACATCTTCGACTGCCTCAGGCTGAAAGGCCACTTGGAGCCGCGGCGCTGGCTAACTGGGTGTTAGGTGTCATTTGTCATTTTTATCATTCTTTCTTGCCTTGGTTGTCCCTCGTATCCTCTTTGAGGGCACACGCACCATAAATACACACACACCCCCTCTCGTCTCTCCCTGCTGTCCCTCATTCCTTTTCTCTGTTGATCGCTGTCAAGCTATATAGCGGCCTGCACGGCTCTTATCTCCGACGGCATGGCCGCCATCTGGGGCAATGGTGGGCAGGGAGGACAGTTTCCCCTGGAACAGTGGTTCTATGAAATGCCCCCTGTGACTCGATGGTGGACAGCAGCTACGGTGGCGACCTCAGTTCTGGTTCAATGTCACATTTTAACACCGTTTCAGCTATTCTACAGCTTCCGCGCAGTCTATGTAAAGTCGCAGGTGCGTCATCGAAGGCAGATCCAACCCGAACCAGCAAAAAGCTGTTCATATGAGATAAGAGTTGTGGAAGCTAAATGAACTCGCAGTATTGGCGTCTAGTCACAACTTTCCTTTACTTCGGACCGCTTAATCTGGATCTGCTTTTCCATGTTTTCTTCCTCCAGCGATACTCGAGGCTCCTCGAAGAATCATCCGGTCGATCCCCGGCAAACTTCTCCTGGCTATTGTTCTACGCGATGGTGTCCCTGCTCGCTATGTCTCCGTTCCTCTCACTCCCGTTTCTGGGTACCGCCCTGTCCTCGAGTCTGGTCTACATCTGGAGCCGACGCAACCCGGATACTCGACTGAGCTTCCTTGGCGTCCTGGTCTTCACAGCCCCATATCTTCCTTGGGTCCTGATGGCGTTCAGCCTAGTTGTCCATGGAATTGTGCCCAAGGATGAAATATGCGGTGTTGTAGTGGGTCACATTTGGTATTTCTTCAACGATGTCTACCCCTCGCTCCACGGCGGCCACCGGCCATTCGATCCCCCAGCGTGGTGGGTGCGGTTGTTTGATCCTCGGGCAAGATCTGGAGAAGGCCGAGGTACAGATACGGCTAATATCAACCGCGACTTCGCCGCGGCTGCCGCGCCGGAAGTTCGATGAACTGGTCCTGGAGGATGGCTTCAACCGCCATGGCCTTTCTCGGAGAAATAATCACGAAAGGGGGATCAATCATCTTTTGGATCTGGATCAATTGAGACGTCCGTCCCTTGTAGCGGGATCTTCTGTGGGCCGCACCTTGCAGCTTAGGCAATCCACGGTGGCACCGTGGACAGAAGAGATGCCGTTGTACATTTCGATAGCTCGTTCTATTTTCCCGGGCCTACCGCATTCCGTTTCGCAATCAGTTAGTCGATGCATTTCTGGGAGGTCCTTACATAGGAAAACGGTCGGATGCTTCACCTGCCCCGCGAGGATCTGGGGATCGCTTGTGGGGAAGCATTGGAGTAGGGGATTCTGGGGTTGTTTTTTCTAGCGTCGTTGACTGTAGACCGCAGTTTGCCTCATTAGCTTGTTGGGAAGAAATTGTACGGTGTATAATGACTCGAATCCTAAATTGGGTTGGTAATATCCTATGCAACGAAGATCCCATCTCGTGCTTATCTCTGTTTCCTCCACGCCACGACAGCGACAGACTTAAGGAGGTGCCTAGGAGAGTTTCCCTTCCCCATCTTCGAAGGCTACATACAGTACAGTATATTATGATACCACGGTCCGGACTACTTCGTCGTCGTCCTCCTATTTGGTAGGGGATAGATTCAAGGTTTGATTCCCTAGATAGTATATCCGAGGTCTAATCACCCCTGCTTGTCAGTTTTCCCAAGACAGTAAAGTAAGTACTGCGCGATCTAGGATAAAAATGGAGTCGTGAGTACATACATACACTGTATGTTCCTTGTTCGTGTCGGGAATCGTATGTCGTCACTGACTACGAGGAAGATGAACAAAACAAGGAATAACCCGATACCCGCCCTTCTATCTGTTCAAGTTCTGATATCATAGGCATTCATTCACTTTGGATTGATTCGGGGGTTGTGATGATGGAGAACAGACACGGTCTCACGTCACTCTGGTAACCTCTCTGGTGGACGAGGGCCTTACTACTTTCGGTAGTACGTGCGAAATAATTATTCTTTCTTAACTAGTTATTATCCGAGGTAAGAGTAAGCGAACGGATTCTTGTTTAGTAGGAGGATATGGCTGTGCTGCATTGCATTACGCATGCCTCTTCAGCTGCCAAGGTACTACTACTCAACGTCGGGCAGTGGACGGACTACCTGTACAGATTACAGAAGAAGAGGGTCCTATGTTTAGCGCACGATAGAGTGGGGGTAATGTGTTTCAGGCAGGATTCTTGGATTAGAATTCAGAAATGCATGGTATAATTCATGTACTTTATTGCAGGGGGCCCCAAGATACCAGGGAAAAGACCAGAATAACTGACTGGTCCAGCTGCACTTTCTTCGTGCCTTAGTTGGTTTTCTAAGTTTAGGACGGAATCATAGGAAGATAAATCTCTTCTGGGCGTCGGGGAATCGGCCAATACACGGTCCGTTGTTCTTTATTCATCCTATCCAAGTTCGATGCATAAAGTTGAGCGATTAAAGTATAGGGAATTTGTGGATGGTTCTTGGTAACTATTGTGTCTGCCTGATAATAAATGGTAGAGCCCTCTGGTAAAGTGACCTCAACGGTGGCTACGAATACGATAGGATAGACCCTCTTCAAGAGTCCCTTAACAAGAACCACGGAAATAATTCGTGGCGGAGTACTCCATAGCTTTGGTTCCAACTTAATATTTATTTATTTGTTGTTCAAACTCAGAGAGAGAGGGGAGAGCCCCTTTAACTAACCATAGACCGTTTCTCGCTGTTAACAAAGGTATCGTGACTTGCCGACTACTCTCTTGTCTTTTCTCTTTCTCTTTCTCTTTCTCCCAAAAAAAGTCTACGTACGTCCGTACCACTACTTCTCCCATCCTGGATGCCAGGCGTCGTTCGTTCCTTGTGTTCTCTGGGGCTTGTACCTTACCTTCCTTTTTTATCTCTCTCTTTTTAATTTTATTATTCTTTCTTTAATATATATATATATATATATATATTGATTTTTTTTTTCATTCTTTTGGAACTATTTTACCCTCATTTTCCATTGCCTCTTATCATCCCAGACCCCTCCTTCCCCAACCAAGTAGAGCCACTCCTCCATCCTACAACCAAAATCTCTTTTTCCTTATCTGACCCTCTTTCCTGGATTTCATTTCTCTACTGTGCTACTACTAGTAGACATCTACTTATTGTTGCAGTGCTTGTGATCAACCTCCTTCCAATCCAAGTTCAGCACTAGCCAGGTTTAGGCTTCTTGACTAGTTAACTTACTTTCACTGCTTCAACCCTAACCCAGCTCGTGGAAGAGACCCCAGGAACAAGAAAACAAAAAGATTGACTGACACCTGCTCTGCTCTTTCCATTGTCCCAATCTCTCGAACCGTCGACTGCAACTCTCCTTTCCCCCACAAAGCTCGAAGCGCTCCTCTCACGACCCCGAGTATCGTCCGATTCGCGTCTGCATCCCCCGGCTTGTGCTTGTGGAACACGATCGTCGTCAAGCCCATCTCCTTTTTTTTTTTTTTTTTTTTTTTTTTCTTCTCTTTCCCCCCTCCCGCTGAATTGGTTGGGATCTTGTCGTCCGGAAATTGGGTTATTGGTTATTCTTTCACTCTCTCAACCACTTTGTTTCCTCCCCTGCCACGAAATTACGACGCAAGGCTGGCATCAATTGGCTTATCTCGCCGGCCCTCGGACACTGTGTTACCCTTCTCCTCGTCTGTCTCGTTATTTTTGAACAGGGGCCGCCCAACACCACCTCCAACCAGCTTTCACCATGCGGCGCGGGCTTCTGGTTTTCCTCGTCGTGAACCTCCTCATTATCACCTTCCTGATTCGCAGCGTGTCTACACTCCTGTCGTTGCTGTTGGAGGATGCCGCGGCTGATGCGATCCACCGTGCGGAGCTCCCCTCGCCAAACTCGTCTCTGATCGAACAACGTCCCCAGATCATTCCCAAGATCATCCACCAGACATACAAGAACGAGTCGATCCCGGAGGTGTGGCAAGAAGCCCAGCAGAGTTGTATTGACCTGCACCCGGACTACGAATATATCGTACGCGCCCCTGTTCCGGTTGAATGCGACGCATTAGCTAACCCTCGCCTTCCTGTAGCTTTGGACCGACGACAAGTCACGCGAGTTCATCGCCGCCGAATACCCTTGGTTTCTGGACACCTTTGACGGCTACAAATACCCCATCCAGCGCGCGGACTCCATCCGATACTTTGTCCTGGCTCATTACGGTGGAACATACATTGATCTTGATGATGTACGCGTCACTACTTTCACCCATAATGACACCCCATGATTTACTGACTTTGAGGATGCTAGGGTTGCAACCGTCGTTTGGATCCTCTTCTCGCATACCCCGCGTGGGTTCGTCGCACCGTCCCCACGGGAATTTCGAACGACGCCATGGGATCGGTTCCGCAACACCCATTTTTCCTCCGGGTAATTGAGTTGCTGCAGGCATATGATCGCAGCTGGCTTCTCCCCTATATCACCGTCATGTACACCACCGGCCCGCTATTCTTGTCGGTGGTTTGGAAGGAGTATATGGCAGAAAATCCCGGCGAAGCGGGCCGGGTTCGGATCCTCATGCAGGATGAATACAACCGACACTCGTGGAGTTTCTTCACTCACCATGTGGGCAACAGCTGGCACGGCAAAGATGCCAGGCTAATCTTCTGGATGGGCCAGCACTGGGTGTTCCTCACCCTCTGCGGATTCATCCTTGCTGCTGCCGTGGGGCTGTGCCTGTGGTGGGCCTATGGACGACTGATCCTGCTGGGCTCCAAGTACCGCTTTCGCTATGCCAAGCTCCCCAATCTCCCTTCGATCCCCGGTCTGTCTTCGCCAAATCGTCGTTCCCGCCGCATGATGCCCACCCTCCTCCGTCGCGTCAGTTTCAAGGAGGACGAGGAAGCGGGCCATGTCACCGAGACATCTTACGAATTCTTCGACCGACGGGACTAAATTCGGCTGCTGTATCAATTGTAATGTGCCTGCTTTTCCACGGCCTTTTGACACGAATTTTGCGTCCACCTTTTTGCTTACCTTTTTCTCTCATGAATTTATTCCCGTCGCTAGGGACTTGTCCCGGGAATTCGCTTCAGTGCATGTATGGAGTTTTGGGAATACCGATCGACCGCAGTGCTTTTCAAAGCACTTGTACATGTTTTGACATTGTCTTTCTGATCTGTACGCGGCGCGATCTGCTAGGCAGCGCAGCCGCATAGTATTTCTTTCCTCCCCCTTTTTTCTTCTCTCTCTCTCTCTCTCTCTCTCTCTTCTTTTTGGATGTTTCATTTAGACCTTTCCTCTCAGCCCCTTTGCTTCTTGTCTCTTTTTACACCTACTGTTTCCCTCACCACATAGACTCGCTTCCGATTAGGTAGAGAGGTCAGCGTTACAGATGCCTGGAGCTACCTGGAGTCGCGACAATTATAATAGTGCCACAATGACATAAATCAACTTCACTCGCCTCGGTAGTAGTTGGTAATCTGTAATTGCATGGCACCCTGCCTCGGTACGGTTATCTCGTATATATACATGCCGAGTACTGGTATATATCCTCTGGATATATGTAGGGTACACGTGTTGACGTACTTATCCCCAAGTGAGGAGTCTCGCGACGATGGTCAGATATGAAATATCAATATCATATAAGTACATATTACCTTGTCCTACGATGAAACAAATATACTCAATTACCAGGTACATAGCTAGCCCTACTAAGTACTATTTACTATTTACTAGTTTGGTATGGATGTACTCGAGGCTTGACAGGACTTCGGAACGATCCTGACCGGCCCCAGCAAAGATCTCGAATCCCCATCCTGTGCAGACCAGAATAGCTGGTTCGGTAGCTCTCCCTCGGCAAATTACGAATACCTTTGGTTGTCGGACCTCAGAACCAGAGAAACGATCGCTGATTTGCATCCACCGTGGGGAATGTGGAGTCAGGAGAATCCGTGATTGTTGTTGTTGTTGTTGTTGTTGTTGTGCGGTGGCCCCCTTGTACATAAGACTATTATTTAACTATGTATAGTTGTCTGATATGGATATAAATGAACTTTTTTCTTTCTTTCTTTACTATACATCCATCATACATACATACATACATATTCTATTCTATTCTATTCTATTCTATTCTATTCTATTCTATTCTATTCTATTCTATTCTATTCTACAGAGTATAGTATAGTATAGTATAGTATAACCATGAAACCATCCTATCTCCTGCTAAACACCCTCCTCCCCCTCGTCATCAGCGCCATCCCACTCCACTCTACCTCGCACCTCACCACAGAGATCGGTCCCGATTCCACCAGTACAAGCATCACACCCAGCCAAATCGAAGCCATCGCCCCAAAGGCCAAGGCCTGCGAGAACCCGCCCGCGCCAGACGAATGCGCCACGGCCGCGCAGGCCGCGCCCTACATCGCCAGATCCTTCGCCACGTACAACGTGACGGCCAGGGCGGAGCAGGCGGCCGTGCTGGGGCTGATGGCCTTTGAGAGCGTGGAGTTTCGGTATAACCGGAATCATTCCCCGGGGGTGCCGGGGCAGGGGAGTATGTTTGTTTTTTTTTTTTTCTCTATCGGTTATCTGGCTAGCTAAGAAAGAAAGAAGAGAAAGAAGAGAAATGCTAATTGTATGGCTATATGGCCTATGAACAGCGAGAAATATGCAATCCCCCGGGTTCAATGCGGAATATGCCGCTTCCATTCCGGGGCTCAAGGAGGCCCTGGACGGTGGTGCGCAGGGAGACGTCGTCAAAGTGTTGGATTTGCTGCGCGGGAATGCCGAGTATGATTTTGGGTCCGGGGCGTGGTTCTTGACGACGCAGTGTTCCGCTGAGGTTCGGGCTGCGTTGAGGACGGGGTCGGAGGAGGGATGGGCTGGGTTTCTTACGCGGTGTGTGGGGACGGATGCGAATGAGGAGAGGAAGGGGTATTGGGTTCGGGCGGTGCAGGTTTTGGGGTAGTTAATATTATTATATATATATATATATATATATTGTATATTGTATATTGTATATTGTCTATTGACAGGTTTAATTTTGATTATAATACTCCCTTGGTACTAACGACATCGCCCGCGCCAACTTCACCCGCCACTCTTCGCGCACAAGCGGCCCGGATCGCAACCGCCAGCGCCTTGAACGCGCTCTCTGCCCGGTGGTGGTCATTGTCGCCGTACGTGCAGCCCACGTGCAGTGTCACGCCCGCGGCCTGCGCAAAGCTCTCCAATCCATGCGTGATCATCTCCGTGCTGAGGTCGCCGATCTTCTCGCGGCGGAATCCAAGCTGGATCACCGCCCACGGACGGCTGGAGAGATCGATCACCGCCCACGACAGGGCCTCGTCGAGAGGCGCATCGCCGCGCCCGAACCGCGCAAGGGACTGCCGCGCTCCGAGGGCTTTGGTGAATGCGTGGCCAAGCGCGAGGAAGGTATCTTCTGTCGTGTGGTGGTCGTCGACTGTTGTATATTAGTTTTCGACTTGTAGGATAGGGGGGGGGGGGGAAGAACGCACTGTATAGATCTCCCTTGGCCCGAATGGCTAAACTCCATCCTCCGTGCTTTGCCAGCGCATGCAACATATGGTCGAGGAATCCGATTCCCGTGTTGATGGTGATCTGCTGGGTTGGGGTGAATTGCGTCGCATGAGGGGCGTTCTTGTCCGGTACGATGCCAGTCTTTGCGGCTTCAGCTTCCTCGGGGTCACTGGGGGCGGGGAAGTGCTGTGATGGCTCGTAGGGAGGGAGGACGCCGCCGTCGAGAGACAGCGAGATCTGGATCTTGGTCTCGTTGGTGACGCGCGAGATGGATGCGGTGCGTGGGGGGAGGGGCATTTTGTCTGTCGACTAGTTCTTCTGACTGGTCTCTGACTGGTCTCTGACTGTGTGTGTTGATTGATATGGAGAGAGAAAAAAACCTAGTTCAATAGATATCGGAAATCAGGATAAATAGTTGGTCCGGTAACTGCGTCATGGTCTTGTCGCCAACTACATATATTTTCTACAGTTATATCACATCACATCTGCGATATGATCTCCTGATTTTCTATATCGATTGTGATTTCTCCTACAATGCCTCCACCGTCTTCGCAAAGAGCAGACATCGAGCCTCCAGAGGAAATCACCACCGAGGCTGTTCGTGGCTTTCTAACGGGTGCTTTTCGCGTATGTTGGAATCATTTCCCCAGGCTACAGCTTCGATATGATTAAAACATGCTAATACATGCTATGCTGCCTAATGTCCTGTAGTTTGGCTCCGTCTCCATCTTGGCTCATATGATTATGATCCTCCCTCATCCCTTCAAATTCTCGTCGTCCACCGCCGCCGGGACGGGCCCGTCACATCCTCCGGTTCAGCCACATCTGCAAGAGCATCGTCGTCGGCCACCGCGGCCATCCCCCTTTTCCCAGGAGTTTATTCGATCGAGGCTCTTCTACCAGCCGCTCGAGGGGGTTTCCGAGTGGCTTTCCCCGACGGCTCGGATCTACAGGGGGTTGACGCTGCAGTTCAAGGTCTTTCTGCAGATCGCGGCCATGACACTGGGTGGATGTATCTATGCGGAGAGGAGGGTCAATGATTATATTAATATGATTCGAAAGGTTAAACGGGCAGAACGGTTGCAGGCACAGCGCGAAGCCCGGTAGAGAATCGGAGGTGTGGTATGTATGATTATTATGGATAGAGATCTTGTTTCATCCCGAGGTCGTTCTCTTAATTTTACCCTATATGGAAAGATATATCCTTCGATTCGGTGGTTCCCCCCCCCCCCCCCTTTTTTTTTTTTAAACAAAAAAAAAGGAAGCCAAAGTCCCCGAAGTGGCTTGACTTTTTCCAAACTCTTAAGAGCTGGACTGACTCAAGTCAACTTTTCCTTTCTACGGGATTACCGAAGAATCTCCAGAATCCATTTGCCCAATCTGTATAGTTCAGCCCTCTAGGGAGGATAATATGACCAGGTTGGCCCCGAATTGGGACAGGTTATTTCCGATCTCTCTGATGGCGTCGACGGTGCGCTCGGGAGAACTGTTCAATGGTTCATCTGATTGCGCTATGGTCGTTAACCCGGATGGTTCGTGGACCCTTAATTAAAGAGTTAGTTATATGCGAGTAGTAGAAGATACTATATAGTATTATTGAATCGTGGGTGAGAAACTCACTCTGTGTGGACGAATTCTATCTTGTATAAAACACTAACAATTGCTTTCTTCTGGGGTTACATCTCTTTGGCATCATTGTATTATCTATCACTGACTGTTTTCATCGTCCATTTCCTCATCCGGCTCTCTCTCTCCGTCTTCTTACGCTGGTATCTTCTTATTTTTTTTTTATCTTATTTTACTATCTAATTTGCAATTTGCCCCAGGGTTCATTTCATTTATTTGATTTGGTTCCTGTTCCAAGTGGGTGGTTGCCTGGGATTCTTCTAATTCACCCGTTTTTTCTTCTTCTTCTTTTTTTCCGTCTTGAGCTGTTTTCTTTTGATTACTTTGTTATTATTATACTCAAACAATCCTTCTTTCTTTCTCTCATCTCTTCTCTTCTTCAACCTCTGCTTAGATGCTACTGCTAGGTATGTTCCACCTGCCTCCCTTCTTCCTTTTCCTCCTCCCTATTTGCCTTCTCCCGACTTTTCTCCACCTTTCGTCGTCACTAGTCACTTTCTTGGTCTCATCCCCCTTAGCTTTTTGTCTTGCATCATCCAATGTCTATCCAATATCCGTTCCCTTTTTATTATTATTATTATTATTATTATTATGGTCTTATCGTTCGGTGATAGCTAACGTTGGCCCGTTTCTCTCGCTTTTCCCTTTCTTCTAGTGAGAGCAACACCGGCGTCGTCGATGTAATAGCTCCTGCTGGACAATTCTCTGCCCGCGGACTTCCTCCCTCGATCCCTCTTTTCTCTCTTTCTCTTCCTCGCCCTCTCTCTTCGCTCCGTCATGGCCGAGAGTTTGGGGAAAAGGGAGCGGAGAAAGAGTCTGAGTCTGTTTGGGCCGTCCTCGACCACCTCTTCCCAACCCGGTCCCTCGCCCATTGACCAATCGCCCACAAACGAGGTTAATGTTCTGAGAAAGAGACAACGCCGTAATTCCGGTTTCTTTGGGGGCAGGAACCCCAGTCCCGTACGTACTCCGGCCGCTTTGCCCCTTCGTCGTCCTGAGGCCGCGGATTTCGAGGCCGCTCCCGCTGTGACGTCGTTACCCGCTATCGCCGTCGACGGCCCTCGCGCGCGCCGCAAATCCCTCCAGAGGAAACGGACCTCCGTCTTCGACTCCCTGCGGTCGCTTCATTCTCTCGACGATGATGACCCGTCTCGAACGCACCCCGATGGAGAGGACGCCGGACATGGCATCGGGTCGATGATTTTACACCATGGCGAGATGCAGATCACCGGGGGCATGTGGAGGAAGAAAAGCCAGTACCTGGTGCTCACAGATACCCATCTTGTCCGATTGAAAAATCTCAACAAGGCCTTGGAGATGTTTCCCTCAATTCCTCCCTCCATGGCTCGCACGGCTGCAAATCGCCAGTCGATCGCATCAATCAGCTCCCTGCAGGATCCACAACTCGCGGCCATAGGAGATGCCTCAGCTGGGATCCCCCTGAACAGTATTGTCGCCGTGTACATGCTGGATGATGGAAAGCCCTCCTCAACCGTGGAGGTCGCCTATATGGACGAGCGTGGACAAAAGACTACCTTCATCCAAATGCAAACCCCGGATTTCGAGGATCTCAACCTATGGATGGTGGGGATTCGATCCGCTGCGGAGATGACTCGCGGCGCGGAGCCGATGCCCTTTGACCGCCGAGGCCTGGAGTGTGTAGTCAGGATGCTGGAGCATGAACGAGATTATGATCCGGACACCTTTCGTATGTTTCGCGTCATTCAAATGGCCTCCAGCAAGTCCCCGACGCGGGCGTCGTCGGACGAACTCACCAAACTGTCACCGACTGGATGTTATTTGGCCCTAGGAATACACAAGCTTCACTTGGTTCCGCTACACAAGGTCCCGAGTCGCAGCTCAGCAGTGTCGCTGAGTGACTTGGATACCTCGTCATCCTTGGGTCTGATGAACCTGTCATGTCTGTCCATGGAATGGGGCGATGACAGCCTCCATCTGACGTTTCGGTATGTATACTCCCGAGACGGCTGCTCCGGGTACTTACTTGCTCCATTTATTAACTGGGATCCCAGGGTTCCACTTCAAAGGCCCTGCTCAATCTTCCTCGCCTCCGTCCATTCGCTTGAAATCGCCTTCTGGATCCGACAACAAACGGAATTTCTGCGTCCGTTGTGGGCCAAGCAACCCTACGAATTTATCGTACCCCGCGATCTCAATAACGACGACAATTTCCCCCCGGTGTGCCTTGACGAGGACTATGGCTGTTTCGACCGGACGCTGGTAGCATACTGTGCGAGTTATGACATCGACACGTCCAACATTCGATACACAATCGATACCCAATGCGATGACGCACCTTGTTTCAAACTCCTCCGGCCCGCCTCCCTCCATCAAAAGAAATATACGGCCCTCGAATTGATCGCTCTCTTGCGCGCCCTGCGGTACAATGAATCGTTCCAGTCAATTTCGTTTAATGGTGTCAGTCTGGATGCCCTCCAAGGCTTGCGCGATTTGTACGGCAGTGATAAGGATGCTCTTGTGACTCGCGCAAACACCCCAGTTCATATACCCGGCCAGGAAAATCTATCGGTGCTGTCCCAAGAAGTCCGCGCTTTGACCTTGAAGAGTAAGTGGCTCCGGCGCCTCGACTTTTCGTACACTCTCAGCCGAACGCCCAAGTCGGATAGCGAGAGTCATGACCCGGGATGTGGCATTCCTGAAGCGATATTTCCCATCTGCCGGCGCGAACTCACCAGTGTCGACTGGGTTGTCTTGAATGGAATTAAACTGGGAGACTCAGATCTCGATTACCTCGTCGATGCGGCCTCTCAACGGGGAAGCCACCTGCGAGCCCTTGAAGTGGGTAATTGTGGACTATCTGTTCACGACCTTGATCTTCTTCTTTCGACAACTATCGCTCAAGTCTCGACGATGGAATCAATCAATATATCCGGCGCCCAAGGCCGTGTAAAACCAGATATGTTACAGCAGTATCTCGGCTACTTTGGTCAAATCAAAACGCTTGACCTATCTCGCATTTCCCGGACCTCGGGGTTGGAACCCCTCATCAGCGCTGAAACACTGTTTCATTGGCGTCTCGAAGAACTTTCCTTGAGCCGGACCACCCTGAACCGGGAAACCGTGGACGCCGTGGCCACATATTTAGCTAGCGACCGCTCTGAGCGGTTGAGGGTGCTGCGACTGGATCAATGTGGACTCAGTGGACAAGATGTTGCCATTTTCCTGCATTCCTTGGCTGCCATCGAAGAAGGGCGCGACCTTCACCTCCATGTTAATGACAATCGACTCGATCTTGGCTGTTCATACCTGAGTGATGCAATTGCCCACAATAAAGCCCCTTCTCACATGTCCATGAGAATGATTGATTTCAAAAAAGAGGAGCAATTCCAGGAGTTAGCGGAGGCCTTGCGCAAGAATCGCACAGTGAAGTACCTGGACATCTCGAAAGCATCGCTGCCATACGATGCCGGCCCAGAGACCTGCAAATCCTTGCAATTAATGTTTGAGGAGAACGAAACCCTGGAGGATCTGGACATCAGCGGAGACAGTGCCCATCTGGATGTGGCTCGCTTTGGAATCGGTCTGAACTTAGCCCTGACTGGTTTGAAAAAGAACCAGTCACTGAAAGTCCTGAGGATCGAGCACCAGAAACTGGGATTACAAGGTGCGAACACTTTGGCCTCGGTTCTGGAACAAAATACTAGCCTGTTGGAGGTTCATTGTGAAAACAATGATATCAACCTCCAGTCCTTCACGGTTTTAGTCAATGGGCTCCAAAAGAACAAATCTCTCGTGAGCTTGTCGAGTATGGATCATGACCGACTCCACTCTCTCGAGAAGGTCCGTCGGGAGATTGAGAATGTGAAGCGGGATCTGAATCTCTGTCAAACTTCGACTACAAGTTCTATCCGCCGATCACTCCATGCTGCGATCAATGTGAAGCATATGTCAGTAGGACATAAACTGACCAAGCACCCTCATGGACCTGGTTACGGTCGCTCTATGGCCAACTCCCTTTCCGCCGCCGAGGCCCCCACACTCTCTGTGGATCACGATGTCGAGGTTATCTTGCGGTCATTGATCCAAAAGTGGGATGCAGAGGTGTCCCGTCTGCATCGATACCTCTTTCGCAACTACCACCTCGCTAACGGGGTCGATGAGAGTCTCGCAGGACTTTCAGGTGATGATGCTGCTAGCGACGGGCGTCCTGCAACAGCAACGAGCCTTGGGACCATGCTGGGGAAACTCAGGTTAGACATGACGATGTCTAAAAGCGAGGATCATTCAATACCGTCACCTAGCACGCAGGTTGCTCCAAGAATCGACGAAGAAGGCCAAATTGGTCATCTGGATCCCCTTCAAGGTTCTGGCGCGGGGAGTAGTCAGGAGGCTGAACTCCAACACGCCTCCCAGATCCCGCTGTCCGAGTATGCCGCGTCAGGTTCAGGATCGTCCAGGCTTGCAATGCTAGTTCCCTCGATGCCTCCGCCGATCAGCAAGTCCAGCAGTGTCCGGAGCGCTCGTAGCTCCAGCACTGTATCCACCAGTACAGGTACTGGAAGCGCGAGGAGTGCATATGGGACGGCATCTTCCACACTACGAGGCTTCCTCAGTTCGTCAAAGGATCGCAAGAAGATGGAGATGATGAAGTCTGGAGCGGTGTGTGTATCAAGTGATAGACCGCCTACTTTGGACTGGTCACCGCCCCGCTTCGACCTAGGGGACTTGCGGTAGTTCCTCCTCCCTCTTACAAAGACATAGGATGTCTTGAAATGATTTACGAATCCAAATGATATATCATCTGAACACCATCCCTTGTTCACTACCTCACTCTCCTCCTCACTTGCAGGGAAAATTCTTCCAGGCCTTGGTTTCCTTGATGAATAAGCCCATGACACACCCTCATGCCACCACCACTGGTTGTTCATCTACATTCACTTGCGCTGTTTACTTTGTCTGCGACTTAGCCAGCTAGCACTTTACTCCCCCCCCCCACATAACCCTCATTGCTTTCCTTTTTCTTTATCTATTATTATCTGCCACCGTCCAGGGAAGACGGTCTATAACCCAGAAGACAGATGTATGTCTACGCCCGGGGTTGCATATCGCGTGTTTGGCGCATGGATTCGGCGGCGTTTTTTTCCCCCCCCCAGCACATCCCTCGAGCAACCCAGCTTGACATCAATTGGAGGACCTGTGCAAATATGTTTTCTTTCTTTTTCTTTCTTTTTTTTTTTTTTCTTTCTATTTCTGGTTTTTGCCATCTCTCAACATGACTTAATTGTTAATGACAGAAGATCATCATCAGCTTTGGGGTTCTGTGTCTGTCAGATACCATGATGAATGCTTTCCTGTATGGCTCTCTGTTTCCCAGCATGTTTGTTACAATTGTTGATATTCTAGGCCGGCGTTGGATATAGAGCGTGTACATAAGAGTGTTTTTGATACACACACACATATATATATATATATATACAGTTATATGGCATGGTTGGTTTCATCTTTCTCTCTTTTTCTGTCCTTTTCAACATTCTTTCTGCATCAGTTTAGTGAGTTGCGCATCGTTGAAGATAAGAAGTATGCCGATTTTGCAAGGTATGCATTTCGTTGCGAGATATACTTGGGAGTAGTCCTGGAATCTAGACCTGGTCCTTGGTTTAAAATGAATAGACCGTGATATACTATGATATGGTGCCCATTTGGGCTCGAAGTTAGCCGTTAAACTAGAGCCAAACATACTACTACTACCACCACCTGTACCTAGTAGATTAATTAGTACAAGAAAAAAAAAAAAAAAAAAAAAAAAATCCATAATCCATCGAATCAAGCAAGAACCCCCATCGGATCCCACCGCGGAAGAACTTTAAAGAGACGGGAGCCGTACTTTTGGACCAGGTTAGCCACCAGTAGGAATACTTGGAGGTAGTATGGAGGCTAAAAGGATTACAGGTAACATATGTTGTAGGTATATATAGCTTGGATATCAAAAAAAAAAAAAAAAAACAACAACATTTCAGTGGAGGCGAGGGAATATTATTACAAGGGCGTCAATAGAAGAATAAGAGAGAGCTTTCAGGGTCTAGAGCTTTACATCATTCAAGACAATGACGCCATGGTCCTTGTCAAGGCTTTCCTGCTCCTTGCGGTATTCGCGGCCTTCCTCGCTCATCGCCCGTAACTTGCGGATGTAATAGTTGCCTGCGACGTCTGAATCATCCTCGCCACGAACCGTCAGTTCCTTCTGGCGACGCTTCAGGCACGCTTGATAAAGAGCATAGGGTTGATATCCTTGCATCGCGCTTAGTTCATATTCAACGGTCCACCGATCCTTGGCGCTGAGATTTTCGGGTCGCTCCGTTTCCTTTCCGTTCACAAAGGTTTTGATCATGAGCACCATGCCAAAGAGCTCTTGCTCACCGGCTTGCGAGGTAGCAGACGTATCGTCCGGAGTGGCCGCGTCCGCTACCTCATCGGCCAGGTCGTCCGACGTCTCATCTGTGACTTGAGATGGGGGGGCCTCGTCTGCGTCATGGGGTGCGAGGTTTAGAACCCGTTGCTGGTAGGCATCAATGGCGGCCTTGTTCTTCGTCTGAATGGTATGGATCTCGGCATCCGTGACGGGAACCGCGAAGATATACATGAAGGGAACCTTGGCGTCCCTGGTCTCAAAGTGGAACCGAAGAGACTGCTTAGGAAACTTTGCGGTGGCTTTTTCGAGAATCTTGTTCCAAAGCGCAAGACTTAGGCGAAATTCAGCATCGCCCAATGCCGTGTCGCTCTGGCCATGTAAAGTTCGGTCCATTTCCGGCAAACTAATATACTGGAAACCAAATATCCGCTCGATGTTGTGGAAAGCCACAAAGATGCCATCCATTCGTCCAATCCGCACCTGAAGTGAATACTTGAGGAACGCAGCACGGATCATGTCAAAATATTCCCGCTCATACGACTCGAAAAGACCGTACTGAGATTTGATCTGATAACCTAGACCATGCTCAAAGTTACGTGCATCCATCCGGATAGACACAACGGCGCGGGTCTTCAAATCGAACATCCCCGTGCCTGGAAGACGTGGGTCATAAGCGTCTAGCTGAGACCTCATGAGAAAATCTCCAAACGTGGAGTAATGATAGGCTTCTGGGACTGCCTGTTCCTCCTCGGGGGTGATCTTATTCGCACTTGATCTCCGGTAGCGCTCAAAGTCTTCCTTTGGTAAGGTCAGAAGCTTCTCCATAGACTTGCCTAGATTCATGAGAATGTTGGCGGAGTCAAACTCCTTGTCAGCGTCAATTGCGTAGACGCCATCTTGATACCGAAGGAACATGGCAGCGGGAGCTCGCATCAGACGTGTGAAGGTGCGCATTTTGTCAGAAAACCCTTGAGACAATGTCTCCGTATTAATGGGGCGCCACGCCGAGAGAAGATAATGGAAATGCGAGAGTACAGATGTCATGCTTGACGAGGATCCTATGTACTTCTTTTTCTCCTTGGTCGCGATATTCCGCAGGATATCGTCCTTCGAAGATGTAATGTATTCCTTCAAGGCTGCAAAGTCGAATTCAGTCACAGGCATAATGGATCCTAAGTACGGATCGAAGTTGAAAACGCGAGATCGGGGATCGCGGAGGTGATATACCCCAGGGCTGGAGATCAAGAAGGCGGTGTTAGATAGCACAGTTCACCTAACCTATCTTCAAGGACGTAGTGATGATTTTTAGCTTACTTGAATAAAACTCTCTCCAACCCGAAAGAAAGTTCTGGAACCGGGGGCCGTTCAACGTCCAGTGCTTTAAACCAGTTAGCTCAAACCCTCCCATTGGCACCCAAGAAGTCAAGATTCATACGTGTTATAGCCATTCCCTCTGTAACTCCCAGCCTAGAGTACAGCTTGCCATGGTCTCGGGACCCAATGTGGGCTAAGGTGAAATTGGGGGGTTGGGGGAAGTCTTGCGTAGGTGGAGGAGGAGCTGCTTTTGTATCGGGAGCACTGGCAGCGGCGGCGGTAGCAGTTGCAGCGGCAGCAGTCGCAACAGCCGCAGTAGCAGCAGTAGCAACAGTCGAGGGCGTCTTTGGCGGTTTCACTGCTGAAGACTGTGATGAACTATCCGCTCTCGCTATCGGCTTCAGCTGCTTAAGACTTTGACCTGTGGATAAACGAATCTTCGGATTATTCCCTGTCCGCCCTTTTCCAGTTGGCTTCCTTGGTTTTGTGAATTTCTTGTCCCCGTCGCGGTCTGCACCTTTATCATGACGTTTGCTGGGGTCCTGGGGCCCGGAATTTCCCTTATGAGACCGGGGTTTCTTCTTCGCAACAGGTTGATGCTATTGTTGGAGCTCCGTTAGTGATCTTGATCAAGCTCCGCAAGCGCAAAACAATCTGAAAAGTCCGGATCAGATGAAGCCACACGGGAATAACCACGCACCTTTTTGAGTTGTTCAGCGGCAACTGCTAGTTCCTTAATTTGCGCGCTACCAGCGTTCTCATCTTCTGGCTTATCTCCTGATTCCGCACGCGACACACGGCTGGCGTAGAAAAAGCGCGCCTGGGGACGAGCTCCGAAGCTTCGGGCTAAACAGGAGAAACAGACATGATCACGAAGAGGGTCTGAAACAGACCGCAATGAGGCTCGAAACATTCGAGTCAAATGTGTCAGAGAATCCCGTCACCCAGCTCAATTAAAGACTGAAGAGAGTGGGTGGAAGAAGTTGGTGTTTGGAAAGCTTTAACTGTCAAAAGTGCTGCTGTTCCCATCTTTTTTTTTTTGCCCTTGAGAATTTCTCACCGCCTTAGGATCTTATTTACCAGGTAACGTATGGTACGGTATGATACGGCCATACAGTGTACCTTCTAGAATGAACAATAAGAAGGTCATTCATGAGGTTAGACAGGTGAAGTCTGTAGGTATTTAGAGAGATTAGGTGATGATTGACTACATGGGATGAAGATAACCCCAAGTGACATCCAAATTGCAAGTATACAAATTGGCCTCGTCGATAGCACATAGAAGTATACAAAGTATGAGTCACATGACTTGTCTGCAATGGCGCAATTCTGTCGATTTCCAGTATTCTTGAGGATATTCTCATGCTATGGTGGGACCTTATCAGATATATACTCTACAAAAAGGCCTCCCCCCTTCCAGATGCTTAATGTCATGCAAAAATGGCCGTAAAGTATCCCACTAGAGGCACGTAAAATCTCAAATCAGTCCTCCGAATCCGGGGATGATTCGGAGAAAAAGCCCCGCCGGCCCGCAAACCATAAAAAAAAAGTGAGGGAAAAAAAGGTGACGAACAGCGCAACCAAGTCAACTTTATCACTTTTTTTTTTTTCAACAGCTAATCTCGCTGTCTCTGCAGTTTGGTCTCTCTGGTCAAGTCTCTTCTAGAGGTGAGTTGCATAGTTTTCTCTGTCACTGTCTTCGCATGCGTTTTTCCTGTCTCATCGAAATTTCTGCTGGTATGCGTTGATGGAGGGGTCGAGTACCCCTCCACCGAACCTGCAATACTGCAGATTTCCCTTCTCCAAAATGCGCATCAATTTCGTTTACTAATATTTTGGGCGATTGGATAGGTTTACTCGAGAAAGCTGCACCGCAATGGCTCAGGAACGTCTCCGCGTCCTTGTCGTTGGCAATGGCGGGCGTGAACATGCTTTTGCTTGGAAACTCAGCCAGTCTCCCCGTGTCGATGTCGTTTACGTTGCTCCAGGCAATGGAGGAACTGCACTAGGCGCCTCTAGCAAGATCGAAAATGTCAACATCAAGGGCGACGATTACCCTGGATTGGTGGCATTTGCCCAGAAGAACAATGTCAACCTGGTGGTGCCGGGTCCAGAGGCACCCTTGGTGGATGGTATTCAAGGATATTTCCAGGCAGGTTCGTATATCCTCTGGTTTTGGACGGTCGTGGATATGGCGCTGATTAGCCGAAAGTTGGAATTAGGTGCTTTGGCCCATCTAAGGCCGCGGCCCGTATGGAAGGCTCCAAGGCCTTCTCCAAAGACTTCATGAAACGTCACAACATCCCCACTGCCGCATACGAGAATTTCACAGACTACGAAAAGGCCCGGCAATACATTGACACTGTGTCCTACAATATTGTCCTCAAGGCTGACGGATTGGCCGGTGGCAAGGGTGTTATCCTCCCCACAACCAAGGAAGAGGCTCACCAGGCTCTGAAGGAGATGATGGTTGATCGCCAGTTTGGCAACGCCGGAAACGAAGTTGTTATCGAAGAATACCTGGAGGGAGATGAGCTGAGCATCCTGACCTTCAGCGATGGCTATACCATCCGATCCCTTCCCGCTGCGCAGGACCACAAGCGGATTTTTGATGGAGATAAGGGCCCGAACACTGGTGGTATGGGCTGCTACGCTCCTACACCTATTTCGTCAAAGCAGGTTCTCCAGGAAATTGACCGCACCATTGTGCAGCCTTCCATTGATGGCATGAGAAAAGACGGTGCGTATTACATACATCCCTTTGACCATTTTGGACCACGCTAATAAACCGCCAGGCTTCCCCTTCGTTGGTATTCTTTTCACCGGTCTCATGATGACCAAGAACGGCCCTAAAGTCCTTGAGTACAACGTCCGTGGCGGAGACCCAGAGACCCAGACCCTGCTGCCTCTGCTTAGCGACGATACCGATTTGGCGGAAATCATGGTCTCCTGCACCGAGCACTGGCTTGATGGTGTTTCGATCAACATCAAGCCCGACTTCTCGACCACTGTCATTGCGGTTGCAGGGGGATACCCTGGCTCCTACGCCAATGGCAAGAAGATCACATTGGACGCTGCCCCAGAAGGTGCACTGATCTTCCATGCCGGAACCAATCTGGCTGGCGACGAGCTGCAAACCGCCGGTGGACGAGTAATTGCATCCACCGCGACCGCTTCTAGTCTCGAAGAGGCTCTCCGCAAGAGCTATGCGGGCATTGATACTATCCACTTCGAAGGCATGTTCTACCGCAAGGATATCGCCCACCGTGCCTTCCGACAGCGGGACGCCCAGTCTCTCACATACGCCTCCGCTGGTGTCTCCATCGATGCTGGCAACGACCTTGTGAACAAGATCAAGAGCTGTGTCGCTAAGACCAAGCGTCCCGGAACAGATGCTGTTATTGGAGGCTTTGGAGGTCTATTCTCGCTGGCCGCCGCCAACTCTGCCTATCACCCCGAATCCCCAACTCTGATCGGAGCCATCGACGGTGTGGGGACCAAGCTCAAGATCGCACACGCTGCTGGCGTGCACAACACCGTGGGAATCGATCTTGTGGCCATGAACGTCAACGACCTAGTTGTCCAGGGTGCAGAGCCCCTGTTCTTCCTTGACTGCTACTCGTGCGGCCACCTAGACGTGGAAACCGCCGCTGCATTTGTCACCGGTGTTGCTGAGGGTTGTACGCAAGCAGGCTGCGCCCTGATCGGTGGCGAGACCGCCGAGATGCCCGGTCTTTTCATCGACGAATCCTACGATGCCGTCGGGGCTGCCGTCGGCGCCATCAACACCTCGGGCCCCAACGCCCGCACCATCCTCCCTGACACATCCGCCATGAAGCCCGGTGACGTTCTGCTGGCCCTGGCCTCCTCTGGCCCTCACTCCAACGGATACTCCTTGGTCCGCAAGATTGTGGAGCACTCCGGCCTAAGCTATAACGACCCCGCCCCTTTCTCGATGCCTTCCGCTAATGAAACCCTCCCCCTTGGCCGTGCCCTGCTCACTCCTACCCGTATCTACGTCAAGCCTCTCCTCAAAGCCCTCTCCGTCTCTTCCTCCGCCATCAAGGGTCTCGCCCACATCACCGGTGGCGGTCTCCTCGACAACGTGCCTCGTATGCTTCCATCCTCCCTGACAGCACACATCAATGCCTCTAGCTGGCAGCTTCCCTCCGTGTTTGCCTGGCTCAAGAAGACCGGCAACGTCACCGCGCACGAGATGACCCGCGCTTTCAACTGCGGTGTGGGCATGGTTATTGTCGTGGAGAAGGGCAGCGAAGCTGCTGTGAAGGACCTCCTCGAGAAAGAGGGTGAGACCGTTTACACCATTGGAGAGCTTAAGGCCCGTGCTGCCGGCGAAGAGGCCTGTGTTGTCTCCGAACTGGAGACATGGAGTGCTTAAGTACTAGCTAGGGCTCTCAGCACATGGATGCGATTTGCGGATTCCACGAAGTCTTTTTTAAGTGCGCCAAGATTATTAAGAAAAAAAAAGTTATCAAATAAGACAAATGCGAAGGGCGAAGGCGAAGACCAAGTTATGACATTGCGATATGGTTAGAAGTACACTTCTTATTTTTATTTATTTTATTTTTATTTTTTTTTTTTGACCTGGGATTTAGAAATACAGTATTGACCACGCTATGCATATGACAATACTGTATGGTACAATACGTTACAAGCCAATATACCTCCCTATACTTCTACTTCTATATATACCTTGTTCTGATCTGATAATAGAACAAACAAACTCTGAGTACCTAGGTGAGTACAGACTACAGAATATAAATTAGGCGAGCATCATAATTAATGAATACTCAATGTAAAAAAAAAAAAAGTTCCTCCCTGATAACTAGTTAATGCCACCGCCACAAAATCAACCCCCGATTTCAACCCGAGTACCCCCCCCGTACAAGCATCAATCAAATCAATCATTTCACTCGAACCTCTCGAACCAGCCCAACAACCACACGCAGGAAGTACGGAGTACAGGGAAGGTTTTTTTTTTTTTTTTTTCTATGCGGACTAACCCCAAGCAGTGAAATATGTATCTCTTCTCTCTCTCTCTCTTTCTCTCTCTCTCTGTATAATTTACTTATTTATAGAGGGAGACGAAGTTGGGTAAGTCAAGGAAGGCATATATATCTACTACTAGTAGGCGTGCATGTTGCTTGGGGATGTATGTATGTTTGGGTATGAAGGTTGAGTCCATGAAGACGACTTAATACCGAGCGGCTAGGATCAGTCGGTCATACGCTACACGATGATAATGTCTGTACTGTGTATTTTGCACTACTAATTCCATACTATACTGATATCAAGCTCGCTGGTTGCAACGTGTTAGAGGGAACGTCGACAATTCCAAGGTTCGAAAGGGTGAAAAGGGTTTGGAGATGAGATAAAGAGAACAGGAAAACAAGCAGTGGCTAGAGATACCAATCCGCTCACAGGAAATCAACATTCTCAGCAGCCGTGAAGACGTCACCCAGTCCGTAGATTGAGCACTTCAGAAAAAAAAAAAAAGGAAAAACGAGAGTCCAAATAGGAAACAAACGGATTCAAACAAGGTTGGAAAACTATATGAGAGGAGCTGTCACCGCACTGGCAATAAATCCATGTACAGTATTCCCTTCATCGGCTTTTCTTGCCTTTGGTCCCCACAAGCTGCCTTCCGAAATTGCCCTCCCCCCTGCGCCGAGCGACAAAGCATCTCAAACAAATCATCTCTATTCCACAACTAAAATCAAAGTTCCTTTTTCAGGCAATCTTCCTCCTAGTGCGAGTTCAGAGAAGGCCTGCAAGCCACCATTTGTCTCCGTGTGATCTTTTAATACAACAGGAAATACGAGAGAACGATAAGGTACAACGCAAGAGCTAATAACTGGTGTTAGCTGGATTTGCTGTGATAGGCACGGCAGCGCAGACATACCTTAGAAGCACTTGCGGTGAACGATCGAAGGACCGCTCTCATCGTACTCCTGCTTGGAGATCCACATCTGTTGGAAGGTGGACAGAGAAGCCAGGATGGAACCACCAATCCACACAGAGTATTTACGCTCAGGAGGAGCAATGATCTTAACCTTCATGGAAGAGGGAGCAAGGGCGGTGATTTCCTTCTGCATACGGTCGGAAATACCAGGGTACATAGTGGTACCACCAGACTAGGAATGTGTTAGTAGGCGCCAAATAAATCGCAAAGAAGGAACGTACCATGACAATGTTGCCATACAGATCCTTACGGACGTCGACATCGCACTTCATGATGGAGTTGAAGGTGGTGACGTGGATACCACCGCTCTCCAGACCCAGGACGGAAGGCTGGAAGAGAGCCTCAGGAGCACGGAAACGCTCGTTACCAATGGTGATGACCTGTCCATCGGGCAGTTCGTAGGACTTCTCCAGGCTGGAGCTCTGGGAAGCGGTCTGGATCTCCTGCTCGAAGTCGAGGGCGACGTAGCAGAGCTTCTCCTTGATGTCACGGACAATTTCACGCTCAGCGGTGGTGGAGAAGGTGTAACCGCGCTCGGCCAGGATCTTCATCAGGTAGTCGGTCAAGTCACGACCCGCCATATCGACACGAGAGATGGCGTGGGGGAGAGCGAAACCCTCGTAGATGGGGACAACGTGGGTAACACCGTCACCAGAATCCAGGACAATACCAGTGGTACGACCGGAAGCGTACAGGGACAGGACAGCCTGGATGGAAACGTAGAAGGCGGGGGCGTTGAAGGTCTCGAAGACGATCTGGGTCATCTTCTCACGGTTGGACTTGGGGTTGATGGGGGCTTCGGTCAAGAGAACCGGGTGCTCCTCGGGAGCGACACGGAGCTCGTTGTAGAATGTGTGATGCCAGATCTTCTCCATGTCATCCCAGTTTGTCACAACACCGTGCTCAATGGGATATCTCAGAGTGAGGATACCACGCTTGGACTGTGCCTCATCACCAACATACGAGTCCTTCTGGCCCATACCGATCATAATACTGTTGCGCGGGTCAGTATGCTACCCGAGTTGGGGGGGGGGGGGGGGGGGAAGAGGGATATTTACCCATGATGACGGGGACGACCGACAATGGAGGCTTTACGAGATGGTTAGCATTCTGCTGAGATGACAAGAATAAAATGCAAGCTAATCACCCGGGGATAAAGCCAGCTGCGACGCAAGGGCACCCGTGGCTTTATTTTATCGAGATTTTACCTCGATGACCGCTGTGACACGGGGGAGGGGTTGTGCATAATGAAGAAATTGTGGGGTTGACTTACGGAAGACAGCACGGGGAGCATCGTCACCGGCAAAACCGGCCTTGCACATACCCGAACTGGGGGGGGAATCAGCGTCAGCATATACCAGGCAAGCTCATTAATTGCGTGAAACAGAAATTCTTCATCCTCCAAACAAGCACCCCAGCTCGAATGGAGACCGTCAGAACGCCGATGACCATCGTGATCAGAGCAGAAATCGGGTGAATTTTAGGTTGAAATTTCTCTCTGTAGGAAAAGAAAACAACGGAGGATGGACTGCATCAACCAGCATCCAGAACGGAGTCAAAACATACCCATTGTCGATAACGAGAGCAGCAACTTCCTCTGTAGAGAGCAAGAGAATCAAGTTAGCGCAAAATTGTCATAATAATTCAGTGTGAAAGGGAGGGTGGGGGGTGCAGTTGGGAGACACGGAAAGGGAGAGCAAGCGAGTGAAGCAAGGTGTTGTTGAGGTGGCAGGAACCTTACCTTCCATGGTGACTAAAGTGGATTAAGAAGTTAAATAGAGGAGAAAAGAAGAGGACTGGGGAAAAAAAAAGAAAGAAAGGAACGAGAAGAGTGATGAGAAGGAGAAGAAGAGGGGAGGGAGATGATAGAGAGAGAGAGAGAGAGAGGGAAGAAAGATAGAGGAGGTGAGGTGGTGGTGGTGAGAGAGGAAGAGAGAGGGGAGGAGGTCGAGGTTCAGGTAACAGCGGCGGCTGTGGTTAGTGGAATGGATTGGTTCAGGGTTGGCGGAGAGAAGGGGGAGAGAGGAGTAGTAAGCAGGCTTTTAGTCTAGTTTAGGTAGTTAGTTAACTAGTTAGCTAGTCTAGTTAACCAAAAAGAGTCTTGACTTTGACTCCTAAGAAGAATTGAGGTGATGCTTCTCGAGGGGCAATAGAAGAAGTACCTCGTAGTGAGAAAGGGGCAATAATAATAATAATAAGAGGATGTGATGATTAGGCGACAAAGGGGCTTAGTCTCGTCTAGTTCAAAGTTGCTGTCACCGCCACACTATTACAGAGTACCAGAGAGAAAAAAAAAAGGGAAAAAAAAAGGGAAATCTTCTCTACGTCCTTTTATATGTTTCCCTATTGTGATTGTATTTATATTTAACAAAGAGAGTAAGGAAGTAAAAGAGAGAGAGAGAGAGTGAGTGAGAGAGAGAGTGAGTGAGAGAGAGATTGGTGCCTTCAAGGCAGAATGATTCTAGCTGAGGTGTCCTTTCCACCTTTCCAACCTTCCCACTTCTCCGGAGCTGATGGCAAATCCGCCGCTACCACTTGCGCATCCTCGTGGGGCAGATCCTGAATCCAAGGTTGTCCCTTCACGAGAAAATGGTTCTGCCCGCGCTGTTCCAGTGAACCTGCTGCTATTATTGTTGTTATCGTCTCTCGGGAAGATGATGACGACTCTTTTTTGTTTTTTTTGGCAGGCTTCCAGATTCCTTGTTGCCCCATCCCGAGTAGAAAGAAGGGCTGGTGCCCGAGGCCACCATCTCCAACCTATCTTCACTATCTGAACCATATCATTTGTCTTTATTACAGTAGTAGTAGTAGTAGTAGTAATATCTTCCAAGTAATAGGAAAGAATCTAGTTATACAATTTGTATCCTCAGGTAATAATAGAATAGCCACAATAATTCATTCCCACACTTGTTGGGCTTACCGCCTTTTTCATCCTCAATAATAATACCATCCGGTTTATCTCTCTGCCTACTTGGAACGACGAAATATGAGATTCCAAATGCCTATTCCTATCAATTTCGCCTTGGTTTTGATTCCAGATCTAAAACAATTGCAAACACCTAACCTCAAGAGAAATGTGTTATAATTCCCTTAGGATGATCAATTAGCCGTATACGAATACGTAGATGACAGCATCGCGGGGCTCACAGGGGCTCACAGCATCGCGGGGTATTTATTATGTATGATGATGTATACACAGGGTTCACCTCTTAAGCACTGCAGTTTTGTAAGTCAAAGTGAAGAAATTAGAATATCTCTGAGGTGTGGACTGCAATTCAGTCGGGTAGAGGACTGTGGAACAGTGTGGAAAGTCATCGCCGCTGGGTGAAGCATCTGGATTCGTCCCGAACTCTGGTCACCTTCCAATTCTTGGACCTTTTCAGTCTTCACCTCTCTCTCTCTCTCTCTCATAATATTTAATAAGATTTTACTTCAATTATTATTTTCCAAGTGACTACTCTACTCCTACTCAAAACCAGTCAACCCCATTTCACTCTACTCTGTTGTGGAAAAAGAAAAAAGAAGAACAAGAAATTTGCAAAAAAAAAAAAAAAATTTACTATACTTATCTATCTAACCTTCAACCTCAAAATGGATCCCAACATGAATAACCTCCTCAAATGGGGAATCCAAAACTCCACCCAAAACGGCGAACAACCCTCAGATGATACCAATGCCAATGCCAATACAACTACCACGGCCAATGGCACGGACACCTCTCGTGGCCTCACCCCCCAAATGCTCTCTGCGCTGTTCGGTGGTCCCTCCGACGCCGATCTCATGAAAGCCGCCATGGAGGCCCTGCACTCCGACGAAGTCGACCTGGAAAATAAAATGATCGCCTTCGACAACTTCGAGCAGCTCCTTGAGTCTATTGACAATGCGAATAACCTGGAACCCCTGGGTCTCTGGACCCCGCTGGTCCAGTTACTTCAACACGAAGAGGCGGATATGAGACGAATGGCTGCATGGTGTGTCGGAACGGCGGTACAGAATAACGAGAAAGCCCAGGATAAGGTATTTCCCCTTGCGTCTATGATAGTTCGTCTATCAAGCTAACGAGTTTAATGTGAAAAGCTCATCGTCTTCAACGCCCTCCCCACCCTCGTCTCCCTGTCTACCAAAGACACCACCCCCGCGGTCCGCAAGAAGGCCGTCTATGCCATTTCCTCTGGCGTGCGCAACTACCAGCCCGCCATGGACGAGTTTGTAAAACACCTGCCCGAGGGGTACCCCACCGGCGAGAAAGTCGACGCCGCAGACATGGAAGCCGTTGATGCCATCATGGAGAAGCTGCGCGCACACTCTGTGGCCTCGTCATAATCACTTTCTTTTTCTTTTTTCTTTTTCTTGTCCTTTTCCTTTTCCCCGAACGCCACACAACACAGTTATATGGCCAAAAATAAGGGACTTCAATACGAGGATTTCCCCCCCCCCCCGGTCCGCGACGTAATCAGTCACGTGCACTGTCTGTAAAACAGGCAGAAACAGGCAGACGGTCTTTTCTCTCTTTTCACAGGATGAATCACACAAGTCCGTTTGTCCTCCAAGGAGGATTTCACCGTCGTATCCCGGGACAGGCTCCCATTGTTTGAATGAATCCGAGCGAGGGAAATGGCTTTCAAGGTTCGCCAAGAGCGATGGCGTACGTACGCAGCTCGCATGTTTTTCTGGATATCTATGTATATACCTACTCCTAGCACGTTGTGAACCGACAGAAGGTCAGCACTTTTTGTTGTTAGTCACCGCTAGCGTGCTATTTCAGATATAGATGGGAAAAAAGAAGAAAAAACATCTAGAATAGTTCTCTTTCCCCCGTGGATAACTGCTGCCTGACTTTGACCCTGATGTAATATTATTAGTCCGAATGTATAAAGAATAGTCGCCTAGATTAGGTAGGTCCCTCAAGACACAGCCTATCTACCTATGCATGACAAGACATATCGTAACATCAGGGCATAAGAAAGTACGAGCCACAAGTATACAGGTACAGCTGGGAATTCAAACAAAACAACATCCTATTATTAGTAGTAGTACAAGAACATGCAATAAAGAAACCCAACTACGCCATCCACAAACAAACAGGATAACAATAGCAGCAACAACCACCGGAAAACTGTAAGAACAATAGAACATATCAATCATTGAAGCATCATATCAAATAATATACTCTCTGAAGCAAAAAAAAAATATCAATCTCCTGATCATTAGTGTAGTCCCCCGAATACTACACTAAACAAAACACCCTTGACATTGGACATTCCCCTACAACGCAAGGTTATAGGTATAGTCATCTTCTATGTTCTGCGAAACCCACAACACAATTGAACTGCGAACACAGCGTCAGCATGCAACATGATGACATCCCACACCAGATAAGAAACCTACCTAAGCATAACCAATCCATTCGCAATGACATTCGCAATCCCAAAGTACAGCGTTGGAAGCGGATACTGCTTAATGAGGTATTTGAGGACCATGACCGTCTGCAAGGGGAAAAAAAAAAAAAAAAACAACCGTGAGCCCACACCTTCCAAGCATAAATCATTTCTTTTCTCCAAAACAATGAAGAAGAAGAAGAAGAAGAAGAACTCACCACACTCCCCGCCAATCCACCCGCCAACAACGCAAACCCCAAGAACAGCACAAACCGCGCCTTCCACGCAACCCCATTCCCACTATAACTGAAGCTATCCGCCTGCAACCGGGACTTCTCAATCGAGTTGATAACCAGCATTCCCAGCGCCGAGCAAATCCCCGGAATCCAGTCGACGAATTTCACGTGCACGTCGGAGCCGTTGCGAGTGCTGTGCGAGAATGCGGCGGCATCAACGAGGAAGAAGAACCCGAGGGAGAACTATTTTTTGTTTTGTTTCCCCCACCGTCCAGAGTAAGTTAGATAGAATGATTTTATCCCGCCTCTGGCACTTCTTTGGAATTTTATTTTTATGTAGACTTGGAGATGGGGGGTGCGTACCAGTGCGCCTGAGGCGTAGACGCCCGCGTTACGGATGGCCGAGTTGTTGAGCCATTCGGGCTTGGAGAAGCGGAAGAGACGGTTCTCGGAGTCGTCCATGGTTTTTGTTTTTGGTTCGTGTTGCGTCGGAGTTCTATCCCCTTCTTTTTTTTTTTTTTTTTCTTGTCTTGTCTTGTCTGTTCTTTTCTTTTTTTGCTTGTTGATTTGGGGAGCTGATCTCTAGGTAGTCAATATGCTCGGGGGGACTGGAGATGGTTGGTGATGATGGAGAGTTGCTCGGGCCGGAAAATCGTGGGTCCGAGGTTTATACTTATGTAACTATAGAAAGAGAGGGAAAACATTTAACTATTAGGTACGGAGTAGTTAGGTCGAATCTTACTTTTTGACTTCATTTAATCAGGAAGTGTGTCTAAATTATCTGCCCGGTTCGACCTTAGTCCAGGGAATAAATGGCTGTATATACTTCGTAACGTCATTGCTTCTTAGCCCCGGTCCGGCCGGCTCAATTCTCTTCCTCGCAGAAGAGTTTCAGAAATCCATCAATATATGTCATCGCCTTTTCTTTCTCCAGGATCGGCGGCAGACTCTTCGAACCAGTCTCACGCACTGGGGACTCCTTCAAGTACTTTCTTAGGGCAAATGTCGACGCGCGATAGGTTGCGTGGTACATAGCTTTAAACTCGTCTTCGCCATGCGCGTTGGAAGCAGGGCCCTCGCCAACTGGGATTTGTGAATCTTGTGTTTCGCTGTTCAAAGGAATCACATCATGGTGATTGCCCATGGCCGGTGGCTTGGTAGAAGTAGCAGAGCGCGGCGCTGAGCGATTGAACCCATATAATCGCATACAGGTCAAGATTGTGCGGGTGATAATGTTTTTATTCTCGGAGATTACTGTATCTGCATCCTTCGGTCCTGACCGAAGCTCGATCTTGTCTTCTGAAGATAACAAGCTCGGCGAAGCTCCACGGTCTCTTCGTGTAGAAGCATCGGAAAACGGAAGAGGTGTACCTCTTTTGGAGACGAGCTCGCGGGCATGGCCGCGGTTGCTACTCGATCGTGGATGTTCTGGACGGCTCTCGGCCGCTTTATTCGGATTGAGATTCGAAATAGAAAGGGACCTCGACCGGTGAGAAGCGATCTTGCTCAATATAGGGAGGCCCGGTTCTTCGGACTCTCGTTTGATTCTAAGACCTTGTAGCTGCTGGGATGATTGAGAAAGGCTATGCGCCATCAACTGGGACACGGCCTCGCCTCCCCTCTCCCGTACTCGCTTGTGATGTTGTGCAACCGATTCAAAAAGAGTAGCAACGCGTTTGCGTTTCGGACTAGGAGAATGGAAGTCCGGGAGGAACTGACCAAATTGCTCATCCCCAGTTATTGCGCCGGAGCCCTCATGACTTGTGGCAAGGGCCTGCGCTTTGGCAATGAGTGATCCGGAGATCGGTGCAGCATATATCCTTAGTTCCTGTTTAACGACATCGGAAATGGGTTCTTCGGTCTCTGGCGAAGAGGATACAGGCGGAGTAGGCGGCCGTTCGAATGTGGTTACGGTCGACAGAATCCCGTAGACCAGCAGATCGGTCGTGGTCACTCCTGAGCTTCGCGGTCGTGCCGCTCCGTCAAGGCTCACGAGAAACCCAACTGGGCATTGAATTGTCTGAAAACAGTCCAGGTCCTCATCTTCCAGCCAGATATTGCCGAGGAATTTGTGCTTCAACCACTGCGAAGTTTCCGGGTCTGTCGTGTGGAGTTCGAGATTTGGGCCAATGCGAGCGTAAAGTGGAATTAAGGCTGGGTTCACAAAAGAACAAAAGCTTAGGGTTGAGTCCTTGGGTATATCCGACTGCCAGTTTGTCGATCGATCGATAAGTTGTACGCCTGGGGTACAGTTTGTGAGCAGAGTAGGTTTGATGTGCGCGTGGAGAGTTGTAGAGCCTACCTCGAAGTTGCGACTTTTCATCTAGCGCAATAGCACCGGACCAGACATTCATTTTCGAGGCTCTCTATACCAAGCAGTATACATTGCAAAAACGCATATCAATTTCCGAGGGCAAAGCTACTGAATAACCTGGGGGTCGAGAGCATGAAATCGACACGACGCGCGGGAAAAAAGGCGCGTGGTCATGTGACGAACCTGCTCAGACCTGTTGTGCCTATGTTCCCCAGCTACGAAGGCGACAACTGTCAAGAAAATACTTAGTGATGACAGGAGAGTGAACTACTTTGAACCATCTTAGAGAAAACGCTCTATATAACCGCACAAGTGGCTATAGTACATCAATGAATCATATCACCTAAGAACGGACTGTAGAATCAATGACGGAATTTCATGTAAAGTCGACATCAAGTGCTCTTTGCATACGTCAAAGACAAAAAAAATATTCATGAAAAATTGAAAAATAAAATGGGAAAAATGATCCGTATTATAGACCAAAGGTCACCGGTTGTTATAGGGGTTACTATAGGGTAGCGATGAAAGTACCCAGTAACTAACCTTACCCTCCCTGCATTCAACCGACCCAACCCTTTAAAATTCCTCCTGCTCACGGAAAAACATTGAGAAACTGATGATCGTTCCGTAGATCAAAAGACCACCCAGGATAGACATGATCATGGCGGGAATTTCAATCTCACCACTGTGCGCAAGAACGGCCGGAAGGGCTGGATAAATCAAGAAAGTTAGCTCAGGGTACACTAGTCATAGAAATATCACAGAAATATTACACCAAAAAAAGAATCCATCAAAGCAGGGCATTATAACCACATCTGGGAGAGCGAAAGACATACCAATACCCATAAGAACCAGGAAACCGGTAATGAAACGGCCAAAGTCTGCGACAGCGCTACCAGAGCTATCCATAAAATCATCTGGGTTTGCACATCGTGAACAAATCCAGTTGGGGAGAGGCGCAATAACGTAAGTTGCAACGACGGTCAGCGGCAGGAAGCTGGGCCAGAGAGCCGACGAGAGAATAACAAGGAGGAATCCAATGGCGAGGACCTGAGCAAGAAGAAATAGATTAGCAAGATGTCTTGGAGAAACGCGCGAATATCCCATCGGAATAGCCAGCCATACAAAGGAGAGAGCAATGATCGTCTTAAGACCGGCCGTCATGACTGCGGAGACGCAGGTGCGTCCAACTCGAAAAAGGCAGAAGGCGGAGGGTGTAACAGCTCCTGTTGCGCAAGCGGATATCGACGAGAATTGTACTTCCCTAGGGAAGATAAAACAAGCGTAGAGTCCCGACCGATCTATCCGATCGATCGATGGATGGATCAATAATGAATGAAAATGAATGCGGGTGACGTGAGAGGTTGGAGATTCAGGCGGCAGCACCATCCAAGGAGGGCAGCCTTGGCAGCCTGAGGCGCCCAGGCCACCCTGCCATCGTCGAGCTTCCCTTCGTAACTTCATGTTTTGCGTCAGTCGCTGTCTGCCTGTTGTCTCCCCCTCATCTTTCCCATCAACTCTTCTTCTGTTTCTCCTGCCAGTGCACTTTCTCTACATAGGGCATTGACCTGGATTTGATTCAATCGATTTATCCCCATACTTTCGCCCTCTTAAAGCTCCCAAGATGTTCAGGAACAACTACGACAACGATGCGGTCACCTTGTACGAGCTCCCCAAGCATCTATCTAATCACATCCAGACTGACCCCTTTTGCTTTGAAATAGCTCCCCGCAAGGTCGGATATTCCAGGTAGAATACGCACAGGAGGCTGTCAAGCAGGGTTCCGTGGTAGTGGGACTGGTCAATAAGACACACGCCGTGCTGGTCGGCCTCAAGGTTCGAGAACCCACCACCACCACCACCATCATTATCGTCGTCGTTGTCGTCACGCATTGATCTCTACAGTCTAACATTCTGCAAATCTTAGAGAAATGCCGAAGAACTCTCCTCATATCAGAAGAAGATCATCGAAATCGACTCGCACATGGGCATTGCCATCGCCGGTCTGGCATCGGACGCTCGAGTCCTCTCCAACTATATGAAGCAACAGTCTCTCGGTTCTCGTATGACCTACGGCCGTCCGATCCCCGTTGACCGTATCGTCACGCAGATTGGCGACCGTGCCCAAACAAACACGCAACAGTACGGAAAGCGGCCATATGGTGTGGGCTTGCTTGTCGCCGGCGTTGATGAAGCCGGTCCTCATCTATTCGAATTCCAGCCCTCCGGAGTGACCCTGGAGATGGTGGCCTGTGCCATCGGAGCCAGATCCCAGATGGCCCGTACTTACTTGGAACGCAACCTGGAGCAGATTTCGGAGAGTACGCGGGACGAGCTCATCACTCACGGCCTGCGGGCTCTCAAGGAGAGTCTCTCGCAGGACAAGGAGCTGACAGTGGACAACACATCTGTTGGTGTGGTCGGTCTTGCAGGAGAAAAGGCCAATGGGAAGCTGGAAAGCTTCAAGCTCTACGAGGGACAGCAGCTCGTACCGTTGCTGGAGGCCCTGGAGCGGACCGATGCGGGAGAGACGAAAGAAGAGGAGACAATGGAAGTTGATTCATAAGTTCTGGATTTACGCCCATAGACATGACGGCTTGTTTTCTTTGATCTGGAGATTACGTCCTTCTAAGTACTGGTATATCGGGGATAATGTGACAAGATTTCATTCATTCATTCAAACATCCATGCCATGCCATTGTCATCTATCCGTAAAAAAAGAAAAAAAAAGGAGGGGGGGAGGGGGGCGTCTCCTCTATAATAATAATACCTTATTCCTAACCATGTACGTACCGTATATACTTACGTATAGGAGGCCTCAAGGAGGTTGGTTTGGTTACCCGTAGACCAAAACCTACCCAACGGTACCTATTTCTCCCAGTTCAACTCCATCCGCTCACTGCTAACCTGATACTGCACCAACTTCGGCCAAACCTCATCTACATCCTTCGCCTCGACTAGAATCCCCCCATTGCCTTTCCCAATATACCCCTCTGCCACAGCATTCCTCACCCAAGCCAACAGCCCATCCCAATACCCCCCAGCATTCAACAACACCACCCCCAAATGATGGATCCCCAACTGATTCCACGTCGTCATCTCCATCACTTCCTCGATGGTCCCAAACCCCCCAGCCAACGCAACAAACCCAGACCCCGGACCCCCCTCGCACACCTTCTCCGCCATCAGTCTCTTCCGCGTATGCATGTCCGCCACGATAGTCGTGACCCCGTACTCGGACTCGCCGAGGCTGCTGCTGCTGCTGCTGCTGCTCGAGATGACGATGCGTTCGGCTTCTTTGCCCGCGCCCGCTGGTCCCGGTGTCGGCGCTGCTGCTGCTGCTGCTGCTGCTGCCTCGTCCTCCTCCTCGTTCTCTTGTTTTCGGGCGCTGTCGTACCCTGGTTCGATCCGGACCAGGGCGCGCGGTATGATGCCGTGCACGGCTTTCGGCCCAGATAGGGAGACCAGCGTGCGTGCGATCTCGCCCATGAGACCCTTGGTGCCGCCGCCGTAGACGAGTTGGATGTTGTTCTCGTGGAAGATGTGCGCGAGGCGCCGTGCGGTTTCTATGTGGATTGGGTTGTTGCCTTCGACGGATCCGCAGCTGTGCGAGGATTAGATTAGTTTTTTTTTTTTGGGTAGTAGGGTTAGGGGGTGGAGATTGTATGGATAATTTCTGCTGGAGATGGGGGAAGGTATCTAAGATATCTTCTGGGAAGTGTAGGGTAGAGTGATTGCGGGGGGGGGGGGGGAAGAAGAGGAGAGGAGGGGTAATAATAATAATGAATTACTTACAACACGCAGACAACCGGGGGTTTTGATTCACGACTCGCCATGTTTGGACTCTGTAGATTGGGATCAATCAATTGAGTTGGAATGAGGGGGGGGTTTGATTCTTGCGCGGTTTATAGAGTCTGGAAGAGTTGTTTTTCTCTTTTGTTTTTCCCCCAGAGAAAGAGGGGAGAAGGAGATGCTAAGAGGGCGGGAACATACTATACTGACTTCTGGCTGGATTTCAAGACCACGTCTACTACTATCTCTAGGCGGCTACAGGAACAGCTACCTGACTATTCGTACTTTTTTGTCGGGCCTGGATGCATGCAAGTTGATTGGTAACGGGTATCATGAGCTTTTTTTTTTTTTTTTTTTCATTTTTTTTTTTACATTGGTAGAACGACCGATATACAGTGGCTAACTGCCCAGTTTACTCTTCTTCCTCCGTAGTTTGGACTCCTCTGCGCCCGATGGAGCAGCTTTCTCGGATGTCTTCCCCGGCGTATCCACCTTGACTTGAGGGGTTGCAACACGCCCGGGAATCGTACTAGGCGGGGGCGGTTGCTTTGCGGTCGCTCCTCGGTCGGTGTCGCCGGCCTTGGAGAGAATGAAAGACCCCGGCTCACCCACCAGGGGATTCTCGTCCATGAACTCATCGCCATACCGGGAGAGAAGATTGAACGACTCCGCGAGGGTCTTCAGATCTTGGAACGTCGAGCCAGAGGTCTGCTGCGCCTGCGAACTAACGAGGGCTGCTGCCGCCTTGCTTGAAGCATCGACGTCCGGCATTGGTGTGTTCTCCTTGCTCCCTTGCGACTGAACCCCAGGCTGACTGGGGTCCGTAGATTTAGGCGCTGGTGGAAGGTAGGTGTGCCCATGCGACGGCGTAAAGATAGGCAATGTCGACGCGGTCTTGAGCAAACTGGTCAGAGAAGTCACGGCCGAAAGCTATGCCACACCAGGACCAGGACGATGTTAGCTGCGGACGTGGAAAAGAAAAAGCACCCTAAGAGTAAAAGTTCACGTACGATCCGATTCCCCACAACACTCGCAACCGAGGGCGCCATGTAAATACAGTCTCCGACCACGAAGAACGTCGCCAGGACCACCACCTCATCGTCAAGACCAGCCCGTTTTCGCCGGGTTTGTTTCCGGATCACCCAGATGTTGGACGGGTCGCGTGCAAACTGTGTGTTCGACTGTGCTGCAGCCTGCAAAGGATCATACGCCACGACAAACTCGAGACCCTGCATGGTCTTCAATCGGCCTTCGAAGGCTTCCCGTGTCTCCACGAAATGACGGAAGGCTTCATTGTAGTTGGCTTGAATGGCAAGGGAGGCATTGTTTGAGGTGGCATCGAAGAAGGGAGATTCGGCAAAATAGAAGAGAACTATTCATGAAACATTGTTAATGAAGAGGACAAGCTCCGGCAATCTCGAGATCCTTACTGTTATTCGAATGCAGATATCCGCCCATCATCTGGACGTGGGGGGGGGAACGCCACAGAATCTCCTCCAACGAGGAGGGTTCCTGGGTTCCGGCCATTTCTGAGTTATCGCCGTAGCTTAAGAGATGGGCGGATCTGGGTGAGATATTTGAAAGGAGTGCTATCCTAAAGGTATGAGATTTGAAGCTCTGACGATGGATTTGTTCCTGAGCATCTCTTGCGGGTGGATTTCCTCCGCGGAGGAGAAGCTCTGTTTGCTTGGTTTGCACCCCGGTCTACAGATGATAAAAGCCATAGAAAGAGAGAAAAGAAAAGGTATCGTGGAGGTATCATTGAGAAGTGTTGAATAAAATAAAACAAAATGGGAGAGGGTCTTGAATCTCCGTATCAGCAATGTATATATATATATGTGTGTGTTGCAACCAACGCCGTCTTCCAATCGCTGAATGTTGAATCCCGTCCATATCGCATAGTAGTTCACATAACCCCCAACCATTCCTGCCCGAAGAGGTATTTGTTGAAGATTGTTGTCATTGAATTAAACGCCGGTATAAAAGCCAAAGCTCTGGGTATTGAAGCACATGCCGATGAATTAGAGCACATTACTTTCCATTAGACGATTTTGCATCTAAAGGCGTGAAAATGCCACAGACAGTTCGTAACTTGGTGAGCATCTCATCCCACTCCCCTTCGGCAGTACTCAGAATGGTGACTGCACCACCGGCACCGATTCGCCACTTTTGAACCGGCGAGTTGTCATCGGAAGAGGTGAAAGCTGTGCGGATAAGCACGGAAAAGCTCCCCCCGCCTCCTAGGTCAAGAAAGCCCATAACGCCCGAATAGACCCCGCGCTTGCGACCCTCGATTGACGAAAGGTGTACACATGATCGTTCCTTCGGCGCACCTGTCATCGAGCCTGGCGGTAAGCACCGTTGCAAGGCTGTAAGTCCGTAGACAGACATGTTGGGGGATTGTAATCGTGGCATACTCCTCGCGGCGTATCCAGGCCGGCGCTGGTCCACTACTCCCTTGACGTGGGTAATCATCTGATACACTCGTCCATGATCCTCTACCTCAAGGAGTTTCTCCACATGGACACCACCGGTTCCGCAGATACCATATAGATCGTGTCGGATGAGATCCGCAATCATGAGATTCTCAGCCATCTCTTTCGTCGATCCCAAAATCTGGCGAGCTTTCTCTAACGTCATTTCATCGGATTTCCTCACGGTGCCTTTCATTGGCTTCATCTCAAGAGTAGACTCGCGGTCCCAGTTGAGAAAACATTCGGGACTGCTGCTTATGATCTTGACATTTCCAAGTTTTGCGTAAGCACTAAATGCCGCAGGGTTGTACTTCCAAAGCCGTTTGTACATCTTCCAAGGAAACATACTGCGGCCTTCCGTCGTTTCTGGGGAAGGTAACGTTATCGAGGTTTCGCCAGTGAGACACAATTCGTACGATTCGCCCGCTCTGAGCTCATCTTTGCAAGCCTCCACCCGTTTGAGGTATGTCTCTTCATCTGGAAAATGGGTTATTCCTCGCCGCAAAATAGGATCCAAGAATTCTGCATCAGCTGCAACATTCTTAGCGGCTGTGGGTAGGTCAACTTCGGCAAGGTCCTTAAGATATTGGAGAGTTGCATCCAACCATGCGGATGGTTGGTTGTCTTCCTCCCGTGTAGACTGTACGGTGATTCGTCCTGTTTGATTGTCGACCACAATACTTCTATCCGTCCATAACAGACTGACATCTGCAGGGTCTTCTGTGAAAGAGCTGCTTTTGGTGCAGCAATGTTCTTGTAAGCTATCCTCGGCCTTGGGATGCGCAAGACAAGCCAGTCCTAGCTCGTAGGAGAAATATCCTAGGAACCCTGCCCAGAAAGGGACCTCGCTATCTCCCGATTCAACCTTTTTCATGTCCATCAAGTACCTTAAAACGTCCCAAAGTTGGCATACTGAGACGACCTTTTCAAGCGATTGGTTTTCATTCAAGCCCTGGAGGGTTTCCATTCGAAGTGTCTGTGTTTGAATATAATACTCCAGTCTCCAGCTGCCAGGGCTGGGAACAGACATGACACTGTGTCTTCCATTCGATTGAAACAAGACTAACGGCGAGCCTGGAGAATTGAGACTTTCGCATATCCTTTCAGCGTCCAAATTTTCCAGGGTAAGAGTCCGAAAAGCAGAGTGTTTGGAAGAGGATGTACTCCAGCTCAACATACTGAAGGCGGCATCGGAAAGCGAATTCACGTCACTTAGTGGTCGGATAATATCGGCAGGTAGACGCCCGTAGCCTCCCCGACCATGTCTCTTATTATAGTTCAGAGACATCTCCCACCATTTGCGAAGAAGTTCATCGCAGGCAGTGCGGTCTGACTTACAGGACTCGGGGTGAAACTGCACGCCCCAGAAGGGCTTCTCCATGTGACGTACTGCCATCGGAATCTGGGTTTCCGTGAGCGAGGTGTCATCTGGTTGAATAGAGAGCCATGCCAGAAAATCAAGACCGTGCGTTATTACCACCGTGGAAGTCTCTCCGGGTAAAGTCGAGTGTGTTCCGTCCTTTAATTGGGCATAGAAGGAATGATACAGCGTGACTTCTAAGTCTTGAACTTGTTCAAAGATGTCTCTCTGCGCCGTGGTGATTCGATGCACCTGCCCGTGTAGAGGCTCCGGCAGTCGCCCGATAGAAATGCCATGATGCAGACACAAACTTTGAAAGCCTAGGCAAATCCCCAGGACGGGCAGTATGTTCGCACTGGAGAGATTCCATATATCCGCCATAACCCCAACGTCCGTAGGAACATGCGGATCTCCCGGTCCAGGCCCCAGGACAACAGCATCGTAATGCTGGAGAAACTCGACCATGTTGCCATCCGGCCATTCTGCGTCAATCATCATGACCGTCACTTGGGCCTTGAGCACCTCCTCAAGCATAGCTACCACATTATAAGAGAATGAGTCATAAGCATCAATATAAAGGATGCTTTTCTGAGTAATGCCCTGGCTAGCCGCTTGTGAATCAGATCCAGCAGCGGACGCACTCCAGTCCCCCAGCAATGGTGCCATTTCGAAAGTGAAATGGGCGATACGCAGTGTTGGACGCACTGGCAAGAAAGGAATAAAACGCAAAGGAAACAAAATAAAGAAATAAATAAAAATAAAAGAAAAGAAATCCGGTAGAATAGAATCGATCCTTTGCTATACCCAAAAAAAAACTCCGGGTCCGCAGCACTAAAATATTACTACTGCAGCTGTCATTTGACGAAGATTCCACCACGCTGCTGGGTCTTAGTATGGCCCAATTCCGGCGCAGAAGAAAGAAAGGAAGCTAAAAAAAATGAGCCAAGGTTGTGAATAGAATGATAGCAGCAAAGAGAAAAGTAGATTGTTGGGAGTGGCGGAGAAGGGATAGAAGAAGAAGAAGAAGAAGAAGAAGAAGAAGAAGAAGATTTCCACCGAGGGGTGGAAAAGATAGGAGAGTGGAGAGCGGGAGAGTCGAGCGAATTCCCATGGGTCTGTCTCCCCATAACCTTCTCGAACACTACCGGACCACGCTTACCATCGGATCTTGAACTGGAGGAAGTACAGAGCTGTAATTTGAATAGAACCCAATTCATTTACATTCATGCTAGCCGCTCATCTATCTATATATGAAAGAAAGAAAGAAAGAAAGAAAGCAAGAAAGAAAGAAAGGGGGAAAATGCGAACAGTGATAGTGGAAGATATTGCAATATATATCAAACCACGCACGTTATGGGTGCATTGGTCTGATCCCCGTCTCAAGAATGGGTGGATGTGACATTACTGACTTGATCCCTGGCCTTGTGTACTGGCTTGAGTACCAGGTTGTGCACATACGGCAGCGATTTTAGCCGCCATCTTGGGGAAGTATTGGGTGACGAAACCCTCACTGCAGCGAGATCGTTAGCATAAACACGAAGGGTACAACGCTTACAGATAGCCGTAAACCATACCTATAGAAGCTATGGGCAGAGCTGTGGTCTCCAACCAGGTTATGTGCCAACTCGTGACATAGAATCACCCACCAGTAAGTCATAGCGTCGCCGCGACTTCCCGATGGGGTCTTGATCAGTTCTGCCTCGTGTAGCTGCTGGAAAAAATGGTAGTTGCAGAAAATGCTGCCTGAGCGATTGAAAGCGATGGTCTTGGATCCTGGCTCGTAGAACACGCTGAGGCTATCAGACCGTAAAGAGAAAACATCCGCACAATCAATCAGAATCGACCCAAATATGTTCATGCCGGCAAAATTCTTCGCTAGGAACGCACTTCTGTCCGGAACAGTTTTGGAAAACAGAACATTAAGTCGACAGGGGAGATTGGCTACAAACTCTAGATCATGCCCGGGTTTCTCGTCACAATAAGACTTCATATCTGCGATTTGATTCGTCTGAGGTCGCGAGAAGACCCCAGACGCACCGTGCGGACGGCTGGACTGAACAGCGGACATCAATTTCTTCTGAAGCTCAAGGGGTGAGCCGACAGTCACGGGGGCTTCGGGGAGAGGGGTTTTCGGCTCTCCAGGAGGAGGAGCGGGAGGAGGGCTAGAAGAGGTAGACGGAGGTGAAATCTCGCTGAAAGGGTTCCAAGATGATCGGTTTCCGTCCTTGAAATGTCGGGTAAAATTGGAAAACAGACCTCGACGCTTCTCCTGGGCGCGCTCTGATCCGTCTTGTGGGGAGGAAGAGCCAATGCTCTTATTCGAAGGAGAGTCCGGAAAGACACCGGGCATTGCAGGTTGAGCATGCTGTTCCGGTACCTGACCATGAGCCTGTTCCTTCATCCATGTATCTTCCTTCTCCTGAAGGCGCTTGCGCTCTTCTTCTAACTGTTTCTGACGCCGGTCTTCCGCAATCTTGGCTTCCTGAGCCTTCTGCCTGAGAATGCGTTCCACATTGTACCCCCGAGCTCTTAGCTCCAACAGATCGGTTTTCAACAGCATTTCTAGCGTCAAAGTTGAGTGAAGCTTGGGTCGCGAAAGAATGAGATGTGAAAGAGCTTGACTGATTTCATAGAAGTCATACCTACCAGGGCATATTCGCATGACCCAGGTTTTGGATAATTCGGTCACTATAGCCCTCCGTTCTTGTTTGTAAGAGATGCGGCGATCTTTGAGTGATCGTGTAATGGCGACGGATTGAACAACCTGGACCTGAAGGTGATTCTCCACCCATCGGCTATCGTGCTGGATTGTATCTCGTGGATGGTCGTGGAGGAAAAGCCTTGTACGTTCATTGATCAATTTCAGCAATTTGGATGCAGGGCGTTGGTCAGCAGCTATTGCTCCCCAGTGTGCTCGTTCTTCCACAAGACGACTCAGAGGGACTGCACCTAGAGCGATGTAGAAATTTTCTAGCACCTCTTCCTGGGGAGCCGCAAGAACGTGTTCCTTGAAGAGAATGAAGCTCTGGATGTCGTCGACAACGACCACATCCTTTGCCGCCGTTAATGTCCATTCCCTGATGCTTTCCTCTCCAGTCTCATCATCATCCTCCTCCTCCTCTTCCTCTTCACCAGATTTAATGATGCGCTCTTTCGTGGGCTTCTCAGTCTTTTCCTTGGCGGCTGAGGTGATGTCCTTACTTGCCAACAAAAAAGCGGATCTTTTCATTTCTTGAAGAAGCTCTTTGTTCTTTTTGAGAGTAGAAAGGTCTTCAGCAAGTGTCCTCAACAATTTGAGGTATTTATCTGCACTTTGGAACGTAGAGGATATCCTGGCTGGCTCCTTAACCACCATCTGGGCGAGCTCGATTTTGGTTGGCTCTCTCTTCGATCCTACTGCCATGAGAAAGAGGTTTGCTTCATGTCCAAAATCCACGAAATCGAAGATATCTTTATAATCCTCACCCTCTCCAAGATAGCAAAACTTGGGTGCCACGCGATGTGGGGGTTGACCTTTGGCAACTTCATCAGTTGTGGATACTGGCACGATTTCAGCCCTGCTAACACGGCCCATATCTCGTGTCGTGAGTTCCGAGGCTCTTCCAGCCAGATATCGGAAAATTACTCTTGCATCTCGTTTTGTCGATGGTGGATTTTGGATGACAACATCAAGGCAGTCGGGGAGCCTAGGATGTTGTTTTACACCTAGCTTCGACGCGTGACGGTGTAGGTCCCCGCGAAGAATCCTAAAACCGAACAAGGCAGCCCCTGGATCTGTGAAACATTTACCCGGAAGGCTAACATCATAAAGCCCTTCAGCTGGCACGCCGAGCATAGCTGCATGTGGGCTAGTTGTATTCTCACCGAAAAGACCAGGATCTGGTTTTTCGATTGGCAGGAATGGTTCGGTAACTTTGTTGTAGTCGAACGTGCCATAGCCATTAGCATCGTATTCCGCAAGGAAATACGAAAGGGCTTTTCCGTGCAGAGTCCAGTTATTTGAAGAAGCTGCTTTTGCCATGACCTGTATTACCTCGGCGGCTGTCGGAAAGCCTCGAAGGCCTAACCTGGTCAAGAATTGGCCTTCGTTGCTGTTCGGCAGATACTTTCCGGGCCACTCAAGTAACGGAAGTCCCAGGACCCTGAGAGCGTCGTTGGGCTCAAAGAGGTCGAGGACCTTATAGCGTTTCTGGCTAGGTGTCTTGGAACCATTCGGACTGGTGCTCAACTCGGCCATGCAGAAACTAGTGTCCTTGAGCCTTTTGATATCATTTGTGGGAATGTCATTGCTCACGGAGGCCAGATAACGTATTAAGTCAACATGGCTCCATTTTCTCCGGCCGGAACTGTTTCCGTCAGACGGCTCCGGTGCATTCAGAAGACGTTCAAAGATCACACCAAGTTCAACGGTCTTCCGTACGCCCAGAGCGGCCAGAAACTTTTCTTTCACTCCCTGTACGCCGTGGACGACGGGGAGATCATCAAACAGGCGAACAGAAGGGAAATATGTTTCTGCCGGTCGTTTCATCCCGACTCTGGTTGGAATGACGGTATGCGGCTGTAACTGATCAACCAAGAGTTGTTTGTAGTTCGGACTGAGGCTCTCCCATTGTTTTGATAGAACCGGGAGCACCTGTGTCGAGAATGAGGGAGTTTGGGTAATATCATGATCCACAGGAAGGACGTCTCGATTTGCAGCGTTGCTAACGAGCCAGCGGACCCAAGGGACAAGTGGTAATTCTATCCAGTCAAAAGCTTCTAGTTCTTGCTTTGCGAGGGTTTTGGTGTATTTGAAAGGGATTACAGTTGGTGGCAATGGTAGATCTGCAGGAATCCGCTGCGGGTTCAGGAAAGAGGTGATGCCTGAAAAAACGATCAAACCGGTCGTGTTGCCATTTTCGTCTTCTGTATTCGCTACTGCAACGGTGAGAAGACTCTTCACAGAATGGGGGTCGAGTTGCCCTGTCAGAGCCCTTCGACCTAACCATGCCAGAAACTCGGTGATCTGATGGGAGCGGAGAGTGCTGGCCTCCAGTTCACGCTTAATGTCAGATACTGTGACCTCATTTACCAGCCCTAGAACGGTCAATTTTTTGACGAACTCTTTCGCTCCCTCCACAAACTCATCTGGCAGGACAGGAATAGAGTCTATAAAGTTCAAATCTTTTGACGCAATTCGCGCCTCATGGTTTTGAACGATACCGCACGTAGACAACACCTCGATAGCTGCATTTTTATTGCAAGTCCAAAAAGCATCCTCCATCGTCTGTCCGAGTAATGACGAGGGTGTAGACTCGCGGAATACGAACTGATTCGCTGCATGGATGGCCTCTGGGATCACACTCATAATGTCGTCCTTTCGAATTTTCGACCGCCTTGCCGGGTCTTTCGCTGAAAGGATGCTTGACTTGATGGAGGCCATCTCCGCAGACCAGGCAACTCGGCAGACTATACCCGCCGCTCTCAGCATCTCCATATTCCATCTGCTGATATATCTAGTATTTAGGTCGATGCTCTCGCGCTCAACGGTTGGGATTACTGAAGGGGCCGAGATATGGGCGTTGAGGCCAGTCGTTTGGTGTGTAGGGAAACCAATGAAGACTCGGCCACCCTTGGAAGGAAGGATGGATGACAGAAACTCGGGCTGCGATCCCGACGCCGCCGAGGCCATGCTTGTATCATATGAAGGTGTTAAGACGGAGAGGGAGGTTTTCTTAGGCGGAGGCTTTCGAGTAGCTCGTTCTAATTCGTTACTTAAAGACTGACTGATCGAAGCCTGAATGCTCGCAGTGTTAATGTGCAAGAACACAGAGGCCATTGACATCTTTGTCAAATCCCCATTGTTACCGGGATGGTCCTTCTTTTCGCTGCTCACTGGCTTGTCCGAGACACCCTGGAGAGTGAGCCTGGATAAGAAGCCCCGCAAGGAAACCGTGGTGTCCCGGATCCCGTCGCGGAGTAAGCTTCCATTTGGATTCCATTCAACAACCTGCATCCAATGGGCATCAACCTGGGCGACCTCTCGCGTAACGGCTGTAACCTTCATTAGACCATCCTGCGTTTTTGTCTCAATATCCCGCGGAAGAGTGAGACTAAGGCTGGGGGCGGTTTTCTTGCAGAGGCGAAGAACATTCCAGTCATCAAGCCATAGCTCTATGCATTCTAGGCTGACGAATGTCAGACTGCTGGACAGGAACTGACATAGCTGCATTAGGGACGGAATGGGGCTCGTATCATTCCGATAATCCAGGACAAAGGTCGTCTCAGGGTTTGCCTTCTCGTTCAGTTGTAAGCGACGAGTAAAGAGCGCATTGCCTTTCCAGTAAAAGGCCATAGCATCTTTTCCTGAAGATACAAACGGTTCCTCGCAGTCATCAAAAACGCTGTAGAATCCGACTCCAAAGGCTCCAATCTTCGTCTCATCCGGGTTGCCGTCCGCGATACGCTTAAGTCTCGCCCAGTCCTTCTCACTGAAGGGAAGACCATTATTGGAGATCAAGAGGCGTCTGAGAGTATGGTGAGATATCGTGTGCTTTATCATAGTCGTGCTGTCGGCAGCAGAAGGCAAGGGAACCGTCATCGAGGGTAGAGTTTCGAATCTGACCGTGACTTTTGTAGCATTGGCATCGGCGGCATTTTGGATCATCTCCCGCAAGACCGTCCTTAAACCCCGTCAGTAAGTAAGGACAGAGAAGCGATATGCAACATACCATTTCCCCGAATACCGTGCCAGAACCTTGGAAATCAGCCCGCGCGTGTCAACGGTGACTGCTTCCTCGTCATCCCCGGACCCCATAGTGCGCGCTTTGAGCGCATTAAAATCAATCTTCTGTGCCATCCTGTAGTCTTTCAGAGCTCCAAAACACCTGCGCTGGGTCTATTATGCAAACAAAAGCAGAACAAAATCACTGAGACAATAAGAGAAGACAAGTCACCGCAACAAACAGGAGAAAAGGACTCTATTCTAAAAATAGACTCAGAAAGAGCAAAGAGGTGCGAACAGAGAGTGCAAAGTAAAGCCAAAGATCATGGCACAATCAAGACACAAAAGCAATCAGCTGGCAGGGGAATTTGCCATCCATCATAACATACATGTCCTTTGTATGAATGATGCGGCTGCGGAGTTAAGAAAAGCTCATGCTGTACTTATCAGCAATTTTATCAGCAGTTGGGCTTACAGCTCGGCGTGGGTAGAAAAAAACTCCGCGTGGGTAGAACCCCGGAATGGATTAACTCTCGGCGTGGGTAGAGATTCTACCCATGATGAGGTTGGCCCATACTAGCTCTACCCACGATGAGCTATTTATCTAACTATAATAGGGTCTCGCTTAGAATTAGTACTACCACACCAAAATTTACTACTACTACTCCGTACCATTAATATAAAGGCTAATTCTAGCTAAAAAAAAGCCTTTTTCTAGCTAAAAAAAGAATAATAAATAATAGTAGTATTAAAATTACTATTTCTACCAAGTATATGCCTATTACTAGTATATTAGAAGTAGTAAATATTTTATTCGTGTTAGGTATATACCCTAATGATAAGAGATAAGCTCATTATGGGTAGAGAATTGATTTTCTACCTATGGTGAGGTTAGACCGCGCTAGCTCTACCCATGCCGAGGTCCAGAGTTCATCGTGGGTAGAACTAGCGCCACGCTAGTTCTACCCACGCGGAGTTTTTTTCTACCCACGCCGAGCTGTATCCCCCAGCAGTTGGTTATCAGCGGGAGATGCCTGGATGACTAACCCCGTGCCCCAATACGGGAATTTATTCTTGTATCAAATACGGAGTATACAACTACGTAACTCCCTGGGAGAAATCAACTCACACTCTACCGTCTGATTTCTAAAAGTCTGCAGTGCCCGAATGGCCCGGAACTACCCAAAGCTAAGCCCCCACGAAAAGCCACGGTCTAAGAAGCTTCATGAAAAGACCTCGGCTGCCTAAACAATGCTGACATTCTAGGTAGCCATAGGATAACCCCGATGAGTCGGATGTCTGGACTAGTGGTCTCTGCTTCCCACTAGTGAGCCCATATATTGTTGGACTAAAGATCGACAAACTGGTCGTACGTCAAGTGTTCTTCCAGAACGTTTTCACGGGCCTGCTGCATCTTTAATGGAACAATTTCTTCCAGCCCATCCAACTCTTCCTGCGACAAAAGCAAAAGCCTATCCTCAAGAGACCCTCTGCCAAAGTATTTCTGGTCAAGAAGTGTCCAGTAGATATCATCAAACATAAAACTTTTTCTTGCAGCAAGGCAAAACCAGAAAGACTGTGCCATCTTGTCAGAGAGTCGTTGAGAATCATCCATCTTCTGTAGCTGAATCTGCTGGTCTTCGCAAGACCGAAGTACTTTAAGAAAAAGTTGTAGGCGAGGAGTGTACCGAGATAGGAACTCGTTCAGATCCGGCTCCCAGGCCTCAGGGCTCTCAAATAAAAGCCACCACGGGGCAGCGTATGTGAATTCATCGGGTGCCACATATGTATATTCCCAGTCGATGATACCGGCGACTGTGAAGTTTGGGTCTGAAACAAGCACATTCCCTGGATGACATCATTGCGTTGGTATTTGAGGTGAAGAAGCTGCTGTGCTGCTAGCTGCTGAAAATAGTCGTACGCGGTACCAAAACTCCCTCCCGCGAATTTATCCGGGGGAATGTTTCCTACACGCACAAGCTCATTCATATTGAGAGTCAATGGTCTGTTCACCACCTTCCACACTCCCGACTCTTGAACAAGAGCCCCAATACATGGGAACGTAGGTTTTGATAGTTCAAGCATGATCTGGGCCATTGCATGAAAAGCATTCTCAATGCCAGGGCCTGAAATGGTTGGATCTAAGCCAAGTGAGCTTTCGACGCGCTGGGACAACAAGGTCCCCTCGATGAAGGTCATGACAATGTAAGGCCCGCAGCCCCAACGGCCCGCACCAAGGACAATGGGGACAGGGATATTGGTCTGTTGAGACAGATACCTCATCACCGATATTTCATTTCTAGTTTTCTCAGTGCGAAACCGGCTCCGGCCTAGGATGGGAAACCGAACAAGTGCACGGAATCCATCGTCGAAAGTAACCGTACAGCAGATGTTGTAAGCACCAGTACTGAAACCTGACACGGCAATCGCCTGTGCCTTTCCACGACGATGCTGATTTGCCAGTCTCAACGGCAAGGCAGGTGACTGTTTGGACAACAGCTGAAGCCAGGCCGCAAAAAGCCTTTGACCATTCTCTTCGGCTAGATGGTCCCAGTCCATGGCATGGGATTATGGAATAAATATGCGGATAGAAAGAGACCTGAAATGGTTCTTGATGCGAAGAGGCAAGGGAAAGAAGATCAAAGAAGATGGGTGTTCTGAACAATGTACCAAGCGATGTACAGTCAAGTAACTACCTGTTAGTTACCTAGGTAGTTAACTAGTTAGTGAACACAGTAATCAGTCAGCCAATGTAAACCAGTTTATCCCATAAGTACGGGTTATACGCAGCGGCCAATGACAACACTGCCGGTCCTCCGACAGGAAGTGAGGGGAAGTTGTGTACTATATAGGCCTACTTCAAGCACCTCCTGTTCTGCTTAGCCGCTTTTATCTTTCCTGGCTTCAGAATCAATGATGAGAACCATCCAAAGTAGAACAACAGCTTTTCAACCATTCGTCAATTGCAATGAATTGGAACGGGGAATACATTACCATGCGGCCAAGCAGTCATTAAAATCTTTTCCCAAAAGCATCCTAGCTGCAGTTTCAAACATAAGGCCATATTTTACCATGCAGTTCTCTCTGCTCGTCGTTTTCTGCCAAGTCCACGAATTTTTGTTTCAATATATCGTTCACTCCCTTCGCATGCTCATAGTCCTGCCGGCGTACCATACCACCCAGTGGAATAAGTCCTTCGTCTTGTAGCTGGTGCATGATGCCCGAAACCTCCTCGATAAGTTCCATCTCACTTTGGTGTTCTGACAGTTCCGCGTCTGTAAAATCGATTGGACATGAATTTTCATATATGTCACCCCAACGAGCTATAACCATGATCAAGGCATTGCGTAGAGAGAAGAGATCTTCCCAGTCCCAACAACCAGGTACCAAAGAAATGGGCTTAGTTACAATCTTGAGAAATGGCTCACAGAGAGCCTTCCACCGTAATGGGTCTGCTTCCTTAACTGCATCAAGATAATGATCAAGGAGTATCCTCTCATCCTTGTATTTATCTGACTGTTCAGCAGCCGACAGTTCGAGCATCTGTGGGTAAAGGCGTTGCATAATTGTGGGGGAAGCAGAAACGTGCTGCCAGTCTATTATACCAGTGATTTCGCTTGTCGTAGGATCAACAAATATGTTGTCAAGATGCAAGTCTGGGTGTGAAATCCTGTTGGCCTGCTCTATGCTCATTGAAGTAGACACCAAATATGGAGCAAGCGTTACGTAGCGTTTAAGGAGAGAAATATAATCATGTGGTACTTCATGATGCTCCAATGACCGATAGAAATTCATTCTCGGCTGCGCGTAGGATTCTGCCCATTTTTGTTCGTTCTTTCCGATGGCTATGGCATATTCAGCAGCGGTGTTCCCTGCACGTATATTAGCCTGTAAATATGATAATTCTGCGTTATAGAAGCATACATGGACCTCTGTCAAGTTTCATGGTAGCCCTTTCCCCTTCCCAGAATCTTGGATTAGTTGATGGCCCGATTACGAAGTCAGGCAGGGCGCTTTTTGCACAGAGCGATGACACCGAAGACGAACCAATTGGGATGTCAAGCCGTTCATAACTGAGTGACCTTGACTTCAAGTCCGATTCGTAGTAGATGCATCCATGCTTTGGAAAAGAGATAGTTGCGAGTTTCTTCTCCATGTCCACGACCTGGTCCACTATCTCCAGGCGTCTTGCTGTGGATAGCCCATCCCACAGTTTCCCCAGTGGCTCTCCTCTAGCTTTTTCCTCGATGATATATTCAGCACCAACTGGATTAGACGGCTCAGCTGACCAAGCATAAACACGAGGGATAGGAATGCCCATGACGTCCCGCAGCTTTGCACTGTATTAGACCTTGGAAAGATCCAATGGTAAGGCTGATTTTACTTACAAAATGGCGTGTTGCAACCTCTGATGCGATTGTATAGAAGGCAGACCCTGCGTTGGGATTTGGTAATCGAGCGACCAGTTCATCGCCACGACTCATAGTCAAGATGAAAGCTTTGTTGAATTGACCTTCGACACATTTAAGAAGCTTCACGCCTGCGATAGAAAGATCAGATAAGAGTGCTTTAACGAGGGGATGCTTCTACACTTGTTCCCATCGCTTCCACTCGCCCTTGAAGATGCACTTATTGGACGCGCACTCGGAATCGTACTCGAAGAAAAGTAGGGACTCAAGTTGGAGGAACACTTGATCTGCTGTTTATAGAACTATACTCCAAGGTACCCAGGCAGTATTCTATATTCTATTCTATAATTCTATAATTCTATTAATTAAATAATATATGAAAGTCCCCCAAACACCCGTGGTATGACCTGTACACCGTGCTGTAGAACCTGGGGATATTGGTTAACCTGTTAGCTATGGAGATTCCTATCTTATCTACTTTTATAAGCTATTACTATGCTAATACCTACTTGAATGCCTGCTTCAATGCCTACTTGAATGCCTACTTGTGACAATATGTCAAGATACTGCATCATCCCTTTGCGAGGGCCCATAATCTCCTCCAGCCTTAGCGCAGAAGTGCAAATGCGCTTTCCGGTCCTTCGGATGAAGAATATTCGGGTCTCTGAAGGGCTGCTAAGAGCGGCGAGACGCCCATGACTACCTAGGTAGCCTTGGGTATGTTTTTATTTATTATTCTTTTACTTGTTAAGTTTAGCCCCCGTGCCGCCCTACCTCCCCCTACCGGATAAACCTATAAATCCGAGATGGCTAGAGATAGTTGCCACGGGTCTACAGCAGCGCAAGGTCCAAAACATGGCTATTTCCTATATCTTCTTAATATCAAATAGCAGTTATACAGACAAGGAAGAAAGGGAAAAAAATTGTCTCCCCTATGTGATACCTCATAAACATTCCCTGTAGACGAAAGCACAACCTACTTCACTCTTTGGATGGTTGGTCACGTGTCGGGATTGTTGAAATAGTGGCCAAGTGGGAATGGCCTCCGGGTAAACAGCGTCTCTGGTCGCTATTTTCGGGGTCGAAGATCTCGTGGAAGGTATAGAGAAGTTCCGATTGGACTTACCTGTGGCAACCTCGATTTCAAATTTGCTTCGCCCTTTTGATCGATTTTGTATGCCTGAAAGGCACTTGTGTTTCCCCAGGTGGAAGCAGTGACGTCCCACACGCCCGCCTCCTTTCAAATGTCACGATGGGTGTTGACCCTCTTTCGCCTATTGCGCCCGCGCGCCTGAGGGCTTTGATTCTTCCCATTGGCAACATCAAACGGTCCCGGTTCTTGAGTTTCGCTGCCAGACTCCAGGCCGAAAATGTTGTCCGCTTGGGGGACATTAGCCCCGATGCGCGGCCCAATCGAAGTAGGTATCCCAAGGAATACATGATAGACCTCTTACTAGGCGATTCACAGGCTCGTACAGGAATCAAATAACTAATTACTGGTTGTGCTTTGAATGTAGATATGTTCTCCCCCCTAGCCTTCCCGACTGGCATCATTCTCTACGACCTCTCCTTCTCCATGCCCCCTATCTCGCATTTGGAACTGTTCCCTTTTGAAATCTTCCGCGAGCCCCTTGTGGTCCTTGCCATAGCGGATGGAACTGAACTCGGTGGTTCTACAAAGGAAAACGGGGTAGGGCCGTCCCCAAACAAGTCGCCGGCTCCGGATGGCCTGGACCAGCTCCGGCAAGAACTAGAACTCGTGAAAGAGAAGAACCCAAGAGCATTGGTCCACCAGCTTCTCGTATTCGATTATGATGGAGTTGATAAACTATCCAATGGCCCGGATAATGTGCTATGGATTCCACCCCCGCAGGCCTCCAAGGCAACCACGATGAAAACCGTTTTATGCGATATAACTTCTATACTCCTTTCTGAAATGGATGATTTTGCGAAAACCATACAGGGCATACCTTCGATTGAATCACCCAAGGCATCGTCTTGGGGTCCGCATCGGGGCCCCGATCTACGCCGTCGGCCAACAGACAGGCTGTTTCACAGGATGACGATGCCTGCGCAGCTTCCCTCAAACCCATCGGGTGGCTCCGAGACGCCCGTGGGTTCTACCCACAGTTCACCTACCCCAGGCGATCATGAAACCCCAACAACGTTCGACGAAATCACTCGATCCATACAGCTCACTACCCGTTCCAACACTGCCGTGCGCAAGCCACATTCCCTGCCGTCATCCAAAGAGCATAGTCGGGATCGAATGTCTGTGGGCGGCCTGAGCGCAACAGACCGAACCAAGAATCGAATAAAGGGGCGTGCAGGTGTTGTCATTGGAACTCTGTTTCTTCAAACCGGCAGATGGCCTGACGCCTTGAAAGAGCTTGTTGAGGCAGCATCGAACGCACGAGCAACCAGCGACTATGTGTGGTATGCCAAGGCTCTCGAATCAATCCTCCTTTGTTTATTGATGTTTGCTTGGGCTGGCATGGATTTCCATGTATTTCCCCCCCCCCCCCCCCCTCCTGTATAGATCAATGCTCCATGTCACTAAACATCTTCACAGATTCCTCCAATCTGCTATCCTGTAGCGGAGAAGTCGTCTAAATCATCCTTGAGCAGTACCTTCGACCCTAGTCAACCCACACCGGGGAATCGGCTCGTCTCTTTGCAAAATCTTTCAAACCTTTTGCCTGACCTGACGAACAACATCCTGAACCTTTACAATCGTGCGGCCAACATCACGGATGAGCCACTCCCTCAGCTGGTTTTCTCTGAAACCGTTATACGCCTATCAAGATTGCTCGTTGCCTGCCGTATTCGCGATGGGGCGTTGGATGACGATGCATTGAAACACATTGTCATGAATGAACGCCTACGTCCCTTGTACCGGCCGGAACGGCCACGGGGATTGACCATCCTTCGAAAAACGGAAATTGCAAACTTTCTCTTTCGTGGGTTACCCCTTTCTGCTGGCTCAGATTTACCCGCGACCGATGCCATACCCATCTTAATTGGGATCGTCTCCGTTTTGAATGCCCTTGACCTACCACGGAAGAAGGCTTTCATCCTAAGGGAACTTCTTTCCATCATGGTCCCAGCTCTTGTCCAGGCTCGAAAGATTGGCGCTGCTGAAGTTGGTATTCACCCCGCAGCCGGCCTATCCTCCCTCAGCGAGAGAGCCTTCGATATGAATGCTCTTGATGTAGGACCAGGGAACATGGAATACAGCATGCGTTCCCTTCTTGCTACAGTAGGGGAGATATACGGTGTCCAGTCCTCTTCATTTACTGAATGGGGGAAGAGACTGTCGTTGAGTGCTAGCGAAATCCATGTCCCTGAATATGACTCGGTAGCAGCGATCATAGAAAGATCATTTCGGCACCTCGTTCTAGATCATTACGGGGATCTGAAATTGAAGATTGATGTCCTCAGGACGTGCATCAACTCCTGTGAAGCCCTGCCGGATTTTGGCGGTGTTCTTCGGTTCACTGTTGAGCTGCTTCAGACTATTCGAGGAGACCTTATGCTTTCTCACTCACTCTACATCTCCCCTTGTTTGCCGCCTGACGAGCAGAACAGGCTTTTGAACAATATCAAGCGAACTGTTGGCGCAGCAAATAAGCTCGGGGCATCTGGATTGGAAGCAGAGTACTGGGATGATTTCTTAATTCGCGGTGTCCAACTCTTGTCCCTCCCAGATCCTCGAAGACCTGTTCGTCGGTCAAAATCTGAACTTGATGCTGTGACAGCAAGCCGTGAAAAGGTCACAAAAGATCCGTTCTTGTACAACCCTTTCTCGAAGCCAAGTAATAAAGTCTCCGAGCTTCTCATGGTTGCTGGGGAGCATGCAGCCTTTCGGGTGACACTTCAAAACCCCTTCGAGTTCGAGGTCGAAATCGAAAGCATCCGCCTTGAGGCTGAAGGCGTGCCCCTCGATGCTGTTGCAGAGTACATACTGCTTGCCCCACTCTGCATCCAGGATGTCACAGTGTATGGCATCGCGCGCGGGGAGGGTTCTTCGAAAATCACTGGCTGCTCTGTCAAAGTCCGGTACTGCAGGGAACGGAAGTTCCCGATATTCAAAGATCTGTGGCGACCAGAGGTGGAAAGAAAATTCAAACGAACCGGCTTAGCAGCCAAAAAGCCCTCGATAGACCGTCCTATGTCTTGGAGCTCGACAACTTCGAGAGACGGGAAGCTGGTCCCCAAAAAAGGGCCTGAAACGTCGTGTTGTGAGATTAAAGTCATTGGCGAGCAGCCATCCCTCCTCATAGAGTCGTTATCTTTATCACAATCTGCGATTATGGTCCTCGAAGGCGAAAGGGCATCCTTCAGCATTACACTGCGAAACACTTCATCATGTGCTCTCGACTTCATCCTATTTTCTTTTCAGGACTCCATAACGAAACAAGTTCAATCTGCACTGAATAACAAGGACTTGCTCCCCGTTGAAGTGTATGAACTAGCACTTAAATTGTCAAGGCCAGCTTTGCGATGGCGTAGAGAGGGCCCGGATCCGAGCGATCACTCGATAGCAGCAGGACAGCGTGCTACCTTTACCATTGATATTATTGGCAATCCTGGGTTACAAGAGGCGACTGTGCAGATTGATTATTCCCGCATCGGGGTCTTCCATGATGCTCTACCTGATGTGTTTTATACCCGACAACTGTTTATCCCCCTGGCTGCAACTGTCAACGCAAGCGTAGAGGTGGCTCGTTGCGATATCTTACCCTTCACAAGCGACTTTGCTTGGTGGAGTAGTGAGGAAAATGGGGGCAATCCACCCGCCACTACCAACGTTGAATCCTCGTACTCCAACAATAGCGACCACTTTTCGTCCGTTCTGTCTAACCTCGCGCGGGGTACTTACGGATCCGATCATTGTATTCTCCTTCTTGATCTGCGCAATGCTTGGCCAAACCCGTTATCAGTAGCTCTCCAAGTTAGCGAAAACCCGGTTGAGGCGCCAGTCGACAGCCTATCCGAGAATAAGGACGGCCAGTATATCGTCCGGGAGATTCTTCAGCCCGGACAGATGTCACGCTTCGTTCTCGTTTTACCTCGTGTCTATGTACAAAACCCTCATGCTTCGATCCCATCACTCAGCACTGGGTTCAAGAGGCAATTCGTCGTCAGTGCCAATAAGCTTACATTTGAAGCAGAGGCTGCGTCCCGAGAAGCGTTCTGGTATCGCGAGGAACTCCTCAAAAGGGTTGCCGGATTCTGGACCGAGGCGTGTGGCGAACGAGAGGGAATTATTGACCTCAGGAACCTCCGCTTTACCGCCCGGATGGTAGATGCATTTCGGCTCGAGGATGTCGAGATGAGCTTCTCGTTGAAGTCCTCATTTTCCGGGGGCGATGAAAACCAGGAGCGTAATAGCGTCATACAAACGGGACGATCGAAGTACAAGGTCCAAACCGACGAGATGATGGACCTCACCGTTACCGTTTCTAACCGCTCCTCCAAACCTATCCACCCTCTTTTACGACTCCAGCCCAGTCTTCGGCACCAACCCAGCAACGTCGCGCTTGATCTTCCAAGACGCCTTGCCTGGACAGGCATGTTACAGCAGGTGCTTCCCGTGCTAAACAGCGGAGAGCGCACCAGTACTACCGTGGGAGTAACGGTTCTCTGCCGCGGCGAATACGAATTCGGCGCCACCGTTGAGGAACTACGACTCTTACGCGCATCCCCCGAAGGCGAAGGAGACCAGAAATCAAATATTGCCCCAGGCCCCCCGATAGCGCCCTCCTTTGACGATGAGGGTTTCATCCAGGATACCTTTGGCGCAGATTTGGCCAAGAAACGACGAATCTGGCATGCAAAGGAAACATGTGTTATGAATGTTCATGATTAACGGCCATAATCAACCACTATTTGTATTGCTTACTTACTGTCTTTTCTCTCTCAACCCGAACAACGAAGCTTTTTTTTTTTTTTTTCTTTTTTAGCGCAACACAGCCCCTACCAGTGGTTTCATGAATGAAATGAAAAAAGAAAGAATGTTTTGTACAATCCCGATGCCAGATATGATGTTGCTCTAATGCTGTTATTGTGGTTTGGGGAAGGGAGTCATTAACTAAGTAACTATATCAGACCTCTCATTAATTGAGATGTTTAGTGGAAGGTGAAGGTATCAAGTGAGATCTAGAATAGAAGCTGCAATATTTTGATACCAGGTAGACTGATACCGACGCTTTCGCTTGCTGGTCAATACTTGGAGTTGTATATATGATATAGGTTGTTGTTGATACTGTCTAATGGGTTTTTCTTTTCTTTTCTTTTTCTTTAATTCATCTTTCTGTACAGATAGATTTGTTTGGTTCCATAGTGGTGATTCTGTACATACCATGCACATCAATCCATATAATGTAAAGTATGTACCCCTTCTTTGGTTCCCTGTTCATCGTTTCCCAAAATCGATCCATGCACATGAGTATATGGCCGTTATCATCGTCATCATCATCGTCATTATATCATATCGTATCGTATCGCAACCCTGGTGCTCTACTCTTGATCTTGAGAGGCCGTTTCCCTGGCTGGTCCTGCTGAGGGACCACCACCACCACCACCACCACCACCACCACTAGTTTGCGGGTCCCCCGTGGGAAAGCTCAGATACTTCCAGTCCTCGATCTCCTCGATAATACACTTGAGTCGGTCACGAATACTCTCAACAGCATACGTGCCCAGAACCAGCCGAAGAGGCGGATAAGAGCAATGACCTAGCTGCCAGACCAGGTAGGCAGCTTTGACGGCACTGGCGGGCTGTTTATCCGCCAGCCACATCAGCATACGCTTCGCATGCGCAGCAGGGGCCGTAGGCGTGCTGTAGGGGTCGCTGGGCGGCTTGACCAGGAAGTGCCCGTACAAGGGCAGAGGCGAGGAAAGGTGATGCACGCCGTCCGAGCTGCTGGGGGGGACAAGCTCAGCGGAAACAAGATCCCCGGGATCGTCGCGACGCATGTGGCCCGGTTCAACCAGGGTGGCTTTGATATTGAAGCCATCGACCTCATACAGCATGCTCTCCATCAGGCCCTCGACCGCATACTTCGAGGCACAGTAGGGTCCCAGCCCCGGAACCCCGAGGGCGCCCGACGTCGAGCTGAAAATCAGGTACCGGCCTGCGCGGCGCTCGCGGAAATGCGGCAGCGACAGCTGGATGATGTTCAGGGTCCCCGTGAAGTTTGTCTCGAATTGGTCGCGGATGTCGTATTCGTCTTGGTCTTCGCAGGACCCGATCACGCCGTACCCGGCGCAGTTGGCGATGATGTCGATGCGCCCGAAACACTGGATGGTGCGGTCAATCGCCTGGTGCACGGTTTCGCGGGCCCGTACGTCGCAGAGCAGACCCAGGCAGTTTTCGTGCTCTTCTTCGAGCTTCTTCATGCTTTGTGGGCTGGTTTCGAACGTGCGCCCGACTGCTGCGACCCGGTCGTCTCGGGACAGAGCTGTTTTCACGAGGGAACGGCCCATGTGGCCGGTTGCACCGAAGATCTAAAAACAAGAAAAAAAAAAAAAAAAAAAAAAAGGATAGTCATTAGTCCGTGGTTTGGTGCTTGTGCATATTTGAGGACTTCTCTCACCAGCCAAACTAGTGGCTTGGGCGGATTCTGTGGCCCTGGGGGGTCAGTGGTGGAAGGAAGCTGGAGCTTCGGTTCTCGATGGACAGTCGCAGATGGTGACAGTGCCATTATCCCCGTGGTGGGGGAATCGTGAAGCTCCATCGAGCAAGAGAAGAGGCACAAGGAAGGCGGGGGAGGGAGTAGTTGACTGGGAGAGAGGAGCAGATGAGGTATTGTTGTAATCTTGATTGCATCGTGAAATTTGCCGCCAAGTTTAAGCTCGAGTTTCTCCGCAGCGGGAAAAATCCGGGGTCTCACCAGAATCCGTCCTCGCATATAAATAATAGCCTATCTACTTCAAATTCCTTCTTTTAATTCTGTCTCCTTTTTGAAGATCTACTGAATATATATATTTATTTATGTGTGGTTGTATCATAAATAAGACTATTAAGATACAAATACTGCTACAGAGTCATCGCAAGGGATATATATATACGCCATGCTATCAAACCTCATCCAACCCAACACCCAGACCCCAGGAAGAACCCATTGAAAAACAAAAAAAAAAAAAAAAAAAAAAAAAGAATTGGAGCAAAGTAGGCTAAAATCTAGCGCCCGATCTCTCTCCGAAGCCGTCCAGCGGCGGTGGAAGGGGTAGGTTCAGGCCAGCCGCTTACAGCATCATCAACTTCCTCTAGGAAGCTCTTGCTATTGTGAATGCCTGTGCCACCTAAAACGACCCGGACTCCCGGTGAACTGGCATTGACCTGGGCCACCATTTTGGCCTCTTCATACGTTGCCCCGCCCACCATGAAAATAATGATATCTTGAGGTTTGTCCCGAATATGACCCACCCCCTCCAGAAATGGATACTGGAGCTCCTTCAGTCTGCCTTTGATCAGATTCTGGAGCGTAGCTTCTAACCGCGGGGAGTGCTGGGTGTAGACGTTCTCCACTCCTTTCAATCCTTTGAATCTGTCCCGAGCGCCGGAGAAGAGCGACGTAGATTCGAACAGGTCCGAGAAGCCGCCCGCAATGGGTGGAGCCTGAAGGGAGTGGTGATAAGCGAGCAGCTTGGGGATGATATTGACAAGACGCGAAGGCACATTGCCTGCCGTTACCAACAGGTCGAGAAGAATTGGAAGGGAGTTTGATGGCTGCTTCTCGTATCGAATAGCATACAATGCCACTAAGCGGAGCTTATTTTCAGCTGGGACAGAAGGTAATTGAATGATTCGTTGAAGATTCTACCCAAACAGTTAGGAGATGGGATGTTGCCGGCGGTGCAGAGGAATACTTTTCTCATACCTTCAGGTCGTTACTGTGGTTATCGCTGCAAGCCAAGCTTTGTTCCAGTTCACTCACATCGAGAAGGTCTTCTTCTCCCACTCGTCGACTAAGTTCCCCAACCAAGGTGACATGCTTGCTCACGTTTCCAGATAGTTTCCGGAACTCAGGATAGTCCTCCACGAAACGTTTCATATCCGCAATAGAATCAATATTCATGGTGTTCTTAGTCTTAACCTGGTACTGTTCAACGTACTCCTTGATATTCTGGCCAAGATCTCCAAAGTTCTGGTACATATTCTTCTTGAAGAATGGGTCCTGATCTTGCGAAAGGACGATTTCCCGTAACTCGGGCCGAATTTCGGGCACGTCTCGGAGGTCCACCCGTCCATTGTGAATTCCGATCTGCTCGTGCACCATCGCTTGATATGTCCACTGGGTGAGGAGCGGAGTGATAGGGTCATCGCGGCGATCGAGAATCATAAGAATCGGAGGGGTATCGGTCTTGCGGAAGTTGAAGAGCTGCTCCTCCTGCGTGAGTTGATACCGAACCTCCGTAGCCAGCTTCTTTGCCAATAAACTATTCTTCTCGTATCGAATCAAAGGATTCTTTTTAAGAGAAAGAAGCATTGCGATCACCCCTTCTGTGGTTCTCTGCAAGGCATCTGCATTCCACACATCGGGCGAATTGGCCCAAAGTCGTTGTTCGGGGTACCCTAGATTCAAAGAGCAGAGGTCGGGATTGATCACGAGAAAGTCCGCAAAATGTTCTTGAACCACCCGCACCACTTCATGGACGTCAGCTTCAGCCAGGCGTTCGAGGGAGGACTTCCGGATGATATTGCTCAAATAGATGTAATATTCGCCGTACTTCGGTTCGCGTAGCTCGTCGATAAGCAATTGGATGGAGGTAGGGGACGGTCGCACAAAACAGAGACAGCGTAGGTGTCGCATCCGTTCCCGGGCAGCGTTATCCAGTCGGTCGATCAGGTATACCTCATGGTTCAAGAGGGCAGACTGTGTGATTGCGGTCGATACGATAGGCACCTACGGTTCAACCATTAGCTCCCAAAAGTTACTCGCAGCCACCGAGGATAGAAGCGCGTGTCCCACTGTCTCACTATCAAGAAGCAAGATCTTCATCTTGGAGGATGAAGAGCCCGAAGCCGATGGATCACCAGCGGTGACCATCTTGGATATGTACCCAGACACCGCCGCGACGACGTCCATTATGCCTGAGCTGAGTGACAAGGACAGGGAGGGAAATTAGAATATAGCAAAATCACGGGCAAATCATGGAGGAGAAGAAGAAGAAAAGAAAACAGAACTGAAGCTATAGGTCGGCCCTATGGAGATTGTGATGATGGAGGGGGAAGAAGAAGAAGAAGAAGAAGAGGGAGTGTGGCCAAGTCACGATGGGAAGATCGCCCATGTGATTCCGTCATCCTTCGAAACGAACATCGCCAACTTTTTTTCTAGCCTCAATTGCGCCTTTCTTCCCTCGTCCTCTTCTTTTCTTTCTGTCTACCTCTTTAATCTCCATGGTTTTTGTTTTTCTTTAAATCTCTCCCCCCTAACGGGCTCTTTTAACCATGTTACCAGGCATAGACCTTTGTATGTTTCTTTTTCGGCTTTTTTTCCCCCTTCCACCTACTCGTTTGACCCCGAGGCTTGGAGCTTGAAATCGAATAAAGTCACCTTCTAACTTGCCTTTCTGTAGTGTTCAGTTATCCTGCTAGGATTACTGGAGCTTCCGCTGATGAGTGTATGTTCTCTCTTCTTGCCTGAGTGGCACACAACCCCAACTTTGATCACTCTTGCTAATCCACCACCGCTCCATTAGTGAAGCTTATTGCCTCCTTCCTTCTTTCTTATCCTTTAGCGGGGCTGCTGAAGAGAATCCCGGATGGGGAGCCCTGGAAGAAAAATGCCTTCATTATTGCTGTCTCTCTCTTCTATCTCCTTGGGTTGTTTGACTTATGGGATGGCCTCCGAACCCTCATCTACAGCGCTGCTGGCGTCTATGCCATTGCTTACTACGTCGATGGCTCGCTGATGCCCTGGATTGGTTTTATCTTTCTCATGGGCCACATGTCCATCAATCACATCTACCGTCAGATTGCCAATGATCCGCACTCCGTCGACATCACCGGAGCCCAGATGGTGCTTGTTATGAAGCTCTCCGCCTTTTGCTGGAACGTACACGACGGCCGGCTGCCTCAGGATCAACTCTCGGATGCTCAAAAATATGCAGCAATCACTTCGTTTCCCTCGATCCTGGATTATACGGGTTATGTTCTGTTCTTTCCATCCCTCTTGGCTGGGCCCGCGTGCGACTATGTCGATTACCGCCGATGGATCGACACTACGCTCTTCGATGTACCTCCAGGTACAGATCCTTCCAAGGTGCCTCCAACTCGAAAGAAGCGCAAGATCCCCCGAAGTGGCACCCCAGCTACTATCAAGGCTGCGACCGGCCTAGCGTGGATCTTTGCGTTCCTCCAGCTTGGCTCGTTCTACAATGAAGGCAAGGTGATGGAAGCCAGTTTCTTGGAGAACTCCTTCCTTCGCCGCGTCTGGATTATTTATATGGTTGGATTTACGGCACGTACGAAGTACTACGGCGTGTGGTCATTGTCTGAGGGGGCCTGCATTCTCTCTGGAATGGGGTATAACGGCTTTGATCCCAAGACTGGCAAGGTATTCTGGAATCGCCTTGAAAACATCGACCCTTGGAAGCTCGAGACTGCTCAAAACTCTCATGCCTACTTGGGAAACTGGAATAAGAACACCAATCACTGGTTGCGAAACTATGTCTATCTCCGTGTCACTCCCAAAGGAAAGAAACCAGGATTCCGTGCTAGTCTTGCAACATTTGCGACGAGTGCCTTCTGGCATGGCTTCTATCCTGGATATTATCTCACTTTTATCCTAGGATCCTTCATTCAAACCGTAGCTAAGAGTACGCGATAATCCACAATTCCTATGCCCTTTCCGCCCTGCTCGTTTGCTAATAGAATCATCTAGAATTTCGACGCCACGTTCGACCCCTCTTCCTGTCTGCCGATGGCAGTAAGCCTGGTCCATACAAACGCTATTATGACATTGCCAGCTGGTTTGTGACCCAAGTCACCCTCTCATTCACCGTAATGCCCTTCATCTTCTTGTCCTTTGCGGACTCTATGCGAGTTTGGCAAAGCGTCTACTACTACGGCATTGTTGGCGTCATCGCATCTCTTGCATTCTTCTCCTCCCCTGCGAAATCCATCCTCGTCCAGAAGTCACCAGCACGCTCTCGACCCGACATCGTTCGCTCTACGAGTACGGAAAGCCTCCAAGAACCAACGCTCGGACTACCGAACGACCCAATCCAGGAGTTTGACGATGCTGTCCAAGAGATCAAGGCTGAAATTGAGTCCAGGCGTAGACGAGGAAGTGTGGTCACTATGCCCACAGGCGAAGAATTGAGAGCCGCCGTCGAAAGCAAGCTTGGTCGAAAACTCCCATGAGCGGGCGCTCCCTTCTTTTCGGGTTCCAATGTCAGGTCAATAACTCCGGCAGCCCCATCAGGCGGACTTGGCCGTTTGCTTTCTTTTCTTCCTATTTACATGCACAGTATTAACCAACCAGTGGATGACCAGGTGAATTCCCCGGTGAGAAATGCAGTCGATATAGATGATCATGTGTCAATGTGCACTACCTAGACGTGTTGTTGTTGTTGTTGTTTTCTTTTTTTTACACGGTACAAAGCGGCGCCCTTATACTACTTTCCCCAGCCAGATGTTACTGCAAATCGAGTTCTGAGGCTTATTTGCGCTTTTTTCGTATTAATTCAGCGCTTTTGAATACAGAATAGTTATATATAGTTACATCTCCTTAATGGACTATTGTAATAGTAGAGGTTGCTACACTGGTGAGCTTCTGCCCTCAGATAATTTACCTAGTATGTGAGTTAGCTGTTCGTATATCCCCAACAACCCCGATGGCATACCAGTAGTCAGCAGGCGCTTGACTCTTGTCTCCTTCCACTGGTCGTCCAAGTCAACCATAAGACTACCTACCTAGGTACCTACCCTACCTCGCCTACTTATATTGGAACGCCTAGTAGCAGCTTCCACGAGAACGCAAGGTCTTGATGGGGATGGCTCTTTCATCAGTGGATGTTCGAGATAATATATAATTGATATTCCCCCTCTAATAAAGCCACGGCCCAATATATTTATACATAAATACATAAGTAGGGTAGAAGAGAACAGAGAAAGGTAAAGAAATCTAAGAGATAAAAGGGGTAAAGGGGGGTAAAAAAAAAAAAAAAAAAAACATGTCCATAATCTGTCGTGAAAAGTCCGCCATGGATCCATTACCCTTTCCTCCACAGATATAAAAGCTACCTTCCATACGCTGAAATGCGAGGAGAAGCAAAGGTCAACGCCGGGTATGATAGAAAGAGAAGTAGAAAAAAAAAATAATAAGAAGAAGAAGAAGAAACATTATGTGCATCACGTCGTGCAATCGTGTCGAGTAATTTTTTTTTGACCAGAAACAAAACAATCGGTTGGGGGAAGGTAAGCGAAAGAGATGATGAGAAGAATCCAAGAGAAGAATAAGAGGTAAGAAGAAAGATGACCGAGATAGGGATAAAGGAGGAAAGATCCGACTTCTAGAGGGAGAGGGAGGAGGGAGATAAAAGTCGATGCAATCGAGAAAGGAAAATGGCGGGCATAGCCTGCTAGAAGGACGCAGAACCAGCCGGGTGAAAAAAGAGAGGGGAGATAAATGAGGATATTCAGTGTTGCTTCTTTAAAAGCCCACTGTCGTTCCTACAACAGCCAGTGTAACCTAAAGAAATGTTAGTCATTTGAAACATACAAGCCCGATTGTTATTATGCCTACAATGATAGAGATAATCACCAGCCCCAACGGGTTCATCCAACGATTGAGGTTTCTCCACCACCGAGCGTTCAAGTGTCGTTTCCGCTCAAGGTCATAAAGCCGCATTTGGAGTGTTGTTTCAAGCTGAGGCCCAGAGTTTTCCTCCATTGGCATCTCCGGTTTCTTTGGCAAGGGAAGAAATGAGGCAATAAGCCAGGCTGCAGGAAGGAAATGTAAGCAGAGTATAACTCTGGAAGCAAGACCAAGAATACTTACTGAGTGGACATATGAATCCCAAGCAAAAGGACCATACTTGAATGTTCCGCCGGCCAAGCAAAGGCTCTGTCCTTGAATCCATGGAGGGAGCACGCCAAGCGCTCGATTTAGGTGCAACAGCCCGCCTATCAGGATAGAGATGAGGCGACCAACTGTGCCGTAATCGGTGAAAAGACGGCCCAGATCTTGTTACAGACGGCTCTGGAGCTTTCACCCAGTGGTTTCGAGGATCCCGGGGGTCGGGTTTCCAGCGTATACTTTCGCGCGTTTCATTGGTGAAGGTCCTAGCTCTACTAACAGCAGTAGCGAGGCGTTGAAGAGGGTTCGAATTAGAAGCTGCCGGACGTGCCGATGCCGGTCGAGTACCCTCCACCATGGACAAGGTGGAGTTACCGGTCTCGTCTTCCGCGCTATAATACATCTTAGCCCAGGTGGGAAGAATGTTCGTAACAAAGCTAGAACTAGTGCCCGGTCGCTTGTTGCTCCTTACACTGCTGCTCCTTGAGCTCGAAGACTGACTATTAGGAACGCCTGGATTTGCGGGACGAGGAGGCAAACTGGAAATATTGTCAAGGTATTCGTCGTCATCCTCCATGTTGTTCACTAGCCAGACCGATGACGACGTTGGTCGCTGGCGCATCAGAGCAGTGGGAGGTGGAGAAAGCTCTTCCGACATACTCTCAGAGTGATTGTCTGCAGGAGAGGGAAAGCCAGAGTCACCTTCAGCCGACCATTGGGACGGCACAATTGACAGATGAGACCTAAATCGATCAGAGGAATACTCTCTCAGTGGTTCATGCAGATTATTCTCCGATGAATCCGGAGAGTGTGATACATTATCGAGTCTCGAGCTAGACGATGAAGGTGCGCGGATCGTTGGATACTGAATGAACACTCCGCTATCAATGGCCGGTTGGATATCTGATGGTGGACCACTGCGGGAAGAAGAGGTTCCGGATCGAGAATGAGTTCTAACACTGGGCCGGGTGGAATTAGACCGTACTGAGGGGACCTGATGAGGCGGGCTTGAGCGGAAAGAGTGAGAACGTGAGCCGCCAAGTTCAGATGATGAGCCATGTGTCCATTGGGCTGCACCCGCATATCTAATGACTGTTCCCAATGAATTCAAAGATGACAACGAATTGGAGCGAGACCCAGAATCCTGATTAGAGGAAGCGCCGATGGGGACAAAGTTTAGACTTGAGCTATCCAGGGCCACAAAATTTGGACTCGAAGGCGGTCCAATTGGGATGAAGTTGGGGCTTGAGTTACTTGACGAGACGTTCTCGGAACCAGACGCTTGGCGCGAGGCAGTCTCAGAGAGCACGGGTTTAATAGTAGGAGCAATTCTTGGGAGGGAGTTCGGCTCGTCATCAGAGTAGGTAGCGGGGGAGCCATCATCGGACAGGGGGCCGGCTAATTTATGTTGTGGTAGATCAGGTGTTGGGAAAGAGGATTTGCCTGAGTTGGGGTCATCCTCCCACACTGGTGGAGGTGTGTTCGCAGCATCAAAAGTCGATGAGAGATCCCAAGGATCAGAAATTGATTGATCAACCAAGCTGCTGTCACCAGTAAGACTGAGATCCGTCGAGTATGTCGCAGAGGATTGGCTTGGACCTTCGTCGACATGAAAGCGGGAATCTGGAATAAACTCTTGGCCCTTCCCCGGGCGTGGAAGAAGAATTTGCTCTGGTTTCGTTGGATATGGAGTTGCTGTATACACATGGAACTCTTCATGATCGGCATGCTTATCGCTGGCAACTCGTACGGATGGTGGTGGAGAAGTTTCATTCGTATGGGACGGGGTGCGTTCATGAAGAGCCCTCCGGCGGGGAGAGGAATTAGTCGAACGCATGTTGAGGTGACGATTAGTTCATTATCAATAAACACCAGCAGAAGTAGAAGTATTAATAACAGTGCAAGGAATGTAGTCCCCAAAGGGGTAAGTTTCTCTAAAACAAGTGAGAAGGAAAAAGGAATGAAAGAACGAAGGCTCCGCAAAATTATCAATTCGCGGGAATATAAGAAGTGAAAGAAAATTAAGGGCAATCGGCGATGGCTGCTTGAACCGAAGCGGATAAGAAAAATGAGGAATGGCGAGTCTGATAGTTCGACGAAACGATCGACACTGTTTATGTTGTGATGGTCTATAAATTTTTGTGATGTAATAAGGAATGACTCGACACAAAACGACGTGAAAAAGAGCGACAATGGGGCCCAACAGACACGGGATGAAAAGAGTGTAGATCCGACCGAAAGAACAACAGGAATGTTGATTATCAAGTCATGTCAAACGACAGTCAGAGAGAATGTGAAGTGCAAGAACGAGAAAAGAGCGTCTAACCGGAGACCCAGGAACACGGCGGAACAGTTTCTAAAAGAGCGACAAACGACAGAACGACTGGAAGCAAAAGGATCCCGATCTGAAACGACGAGATGCACCGGCAATTATGTATTTAAAAGCCTTTTCCCTTTCAGCCCTGGAATCTGGTTGCCCAGCGGTGAGGGACAGCAAGACTAGGCCTGAACCGATCCAGGGGCATGCAGGCTGCACGCTCGAGGACATGGGAGTCTGGCGCACGGGTTGAAACCGCACGATTGGCCGATAAGGAAGGGGAAAGGATGCTCATCGCTTATTTTAGCTAGATGCCCACCTCTCGATTTGCGAGAAGGTTTTGGTTTGATTGCTCCAGCGGTTCCTCTTCGTCATCTGAAATCAAGGCCTGGATGGAGATCGCCTATGTCTAACAATAATTGACCATCCCATGCTGATGCTTCGATTAAGGATTGCGTTCATATTTCGCCGGCGGTGGAGCTAGTGATTATGAGCCTGTTCTCTAGGCTACACGGTCAAGTTGGACCGTAGTACTCCGTAACTATACAGAGTACTTTGTGTCATCGTATTCCCTTGATCCACTCCACGAGTCCAATACGTGCTGCTTCATTTTCAGGAACGAGTTGGTTGGTGGAGAGGTCAAAAAATCAACAATCGGACAATGCAAGGTACCCCTCCATCATACATACAATGTGCATTGGTAGCACTGTGTATGTAATATCCATGCACGGAGGACGGTCCATCCCACTCCCTGTATGCCGGGGAATCCCATCACACTTCCAGTCTTGGGTTCGCGCGGCCACTTTTCCACGAGGATGCCAATTAAGACGATGTGACAAGTCGCAACGGTGGAGTCTAAGGCCTCGAACGAGTCGAGGTAGCAAAAAGGAATCGGGGATCGGTCCACCCGTGGTGGCTGAGTGCGCTAAAAGCGGATTCTGGAAGCTTTCATTGGTGTCATAGAAGGGGATTTGGACTTTGTAATCCAATAAAAGGTCAGCTTCAGGGGTTTAATTGAAAACTGGGCAAATATAATGATGCTTGGGTATGCCTGTACATCACGAAAGTAAAGGACCACCCTAAAACTGCCAACTCATCCAAAGTGGAGTTGCGAGAATTGCTTCTCACGGAGTTCGAAGGTTAGTACAGAGTATTTCTCCCACGAAAGAAAGGACATGGGATTGGACATACTTAACCGATTGGAGAGAAACCCCAATGAAATACAAAAACATGATAATGATAATGATGGAAATGAAAGAATAAATGATGAAAGGACGTTAAGATTCGATGAGGTACAGAACCAAAAATACCAGCGAGACTCAACCATGGAAAGTTGGGTGTGGGATTGATGCCTTGCTTGTCAGGCATTTTTCGTGCCTTTTCTTTGTCTGTTTCTATCAGCTCGACTCAGCAAAGAGACTGGCCTCATCAACCACTAGACTTCGTCCAGCACAACTTGTCTATATTTTCATCTAAACTGTTTGGATGCAGTTATTTCCCTAGGGTGGTTAATCCTCATATATTCATTCTTTAGCTACGGATTGTCTTTCGTTCCGAACGTCAACCGTGTTGCCTGGAAGAGAGGGAAATGGCACCCGTCGGTCTTGTTGCGCGTCTGAAGACTCTGTACTCGAGACAGGATGGTAGGTTACACCCCAGAAATGTTGATCTAGTTCTTCCTATTTTCATTTGATCGTCTTCGTTGTTTCATTTTTTTTTAACCGTTCGTCCCAGAAGAACCGGTTATTTCGGCCCAGGCAGCCGCTGGTATTTCTGTAAGTTCTGCTGGTCCTAGCGTTAATTCTCGGCGCTTCTATAAAAATAGTTCGGTTGCGCTGCTCATAAAAGGAGAAGGCAACATAGGTAAAGGGGTAGTCGGAGCACACTGGATCCGATTCCTCTTATTCCAAAGATTTGTCTTCTTAAACAGGTGCTAATGCACGCGTTCTAGATCTGCTTAACGCTGATCTACGTGATCCCATTCTACGTATCTTCCGCTACGCGGCCATCCGCTACACTCAGTCGAGATGCACCCTCCGTGATCAGAGCCAGGATCAGGGCGGTAACCCTATCATGTATTATCTGTACCTTGGCTGTTCTATGGCTCATTACTGCGAAGAACAATGTCTCCTTCTTTGGTGCCCTCAAACTCATGGGATGGTGGCCCATCGGCTTATCGGAGGTCTTTCAGAGCTTACTTCTAACGGCCATTCTCTTCACCGGCCCCCTTTTCGAAAGGGGGATTGCCGAAGGAGAATGGAGAGAATGGGTCAACGGAAGCAAGGTCTCCGAGACACTTCGGGGCTGGATCGGATGGAGAAACTACGTCGCAGTAAGTCTAGTCCACAGGCCCAGGATGGAATAATAACCCGACTTACGATGAGATGCAGGGCCCGATCACAGAGGAGATCATGTTCCGGTCTGCCATAATCCCTCTTCATCTTCTCGCCAAGATCAGTCCAGGCCGCATTGTTTTCATATCCCCTTTATATTTTGGGATTGCACATGTTCACCATTTCTATGAGTTCCGATTGACTCACCCGGATACCTCAATTCTTGCCTCCATGTTTCGCTCCATTTTTCAGTTTGGGTATACCACCGTCTTCGGTTGGTATGCAACCTTTCTTTATCTTCGAACTGGTTCTCTCCTGGCTGTCATCTTGGTGCACACCTTCTGTAATTGGTGCGGACTTCCCCGACTCTGGGGAAGAGTCGAGGGTCCCATTGCGGTGAAACATCCCCTGGTTAAAGGTAAAGAATATTCTAACCAGGGTTCCGTGTATACATACGGTCAGCTAGGCATTGGTTGGAGTACTGCATATTACTCCCTTCTCATTACAGGGGCTATTGGCTTCTATTATATGCTGTGGCCCTTAACAAACTCTGCCTATGCACTGGTTGACTTCACGAGCCAGACCAAGTGAGCAGGATCCTCTTGTCTACACGTATCGTTGTCTTTATCCTTTCGGTCCCATGTTCAGTTCCTGGTCCTCTTATCGGACCTGATGCTTCCGTAACCAGTCAGCCTGTAGGCATTGGTAGGGAGGTAATGACTGGTGCTTGGCTACGAAAATCATGATAATGGCTGCCCAAATATGTTATTATAATTCTACATCATATGAGTTAATGTTAATATTCATTGTACAAGATTTCAAAGTTGATGTTATTGTTTGAGAAGCTTCGAGTACTTATAGGTGTAGTTTTATTTTGGTTCTCGGCGGGCATCTTTTATCTCCGACTCGGCCTCGGAGTGCTCGGGGTGTCTTGTTTTTTCTCATCCATCAGATGCACTCGGGTTACCAACCATTCACCCTACTTTAAAACGCCGTTACTCCCTAATGCCTTTTTAATTCAGTAGATTCGATCTTGCGCCTTTCTCCTCAAATTTAATATAAGCGATGCGGGCACGATTCACGAGCTTAATGCTCCCGGCTCCTTCGTGCGCCAGGAACAAAACCACTAGAACAACAGCTGCAGCAATCCGGCCCTTCTCAAGCACCAGGTGCCTTTTGGGCTCTGGACGGATCCCCCTTCACATCCCTCCGCCGTTTCCTGTCGCGGAAACCTGTCCAGAGCCTACCTGCTCATGTCCTACGACCCCGGCAATGCCCGAGGGGCTTCCGCTAGATTATGACCAAGCGCTAAATGGGACGATGGCAGCCTATGCGCAACAGATAGTCATATGTACGGGACAAAGAGATTGGACAAGTCGCATTGAAGATGATGGGAAGGACCAAAGCTGGGGAGAGCTTGTCAGGGGTTTGAAGGGCCTAATGGGCCGGGGGGGCATATACGCGGATGTAAGTTGCATCATTTTATCTCACTCATATAGTACGTGGCTAATCTGTACGCGGGACCAGCCGTTCAATAATATTATGATTTCCAATTCTTCTTTGTCGCCCTCTCCCAGCTCTCCTCCCTCTGCCAACACCGCCTCGGCCTTCCTCTTCCCTAGCTTCAAATACTTCCCTTCGATCCCTGTCCAGGCCCCAGAACCATCGAATACAATCCCTGACCTCTCGACATTCGTAGAGGCGTTTCTTCTCCCTACAAGACTCAGCGCAATGGCTGAGTCCCTCCCCGAATCCCGACAGCATGATCTACTCCGCAAGCCCGAGTTAGCATCTAAATTCCCAGACGCGGTCGAGCTACACCACTCCCCAGTCATCCTGATATGTGGTCATGGCGGCCGGGACATGCGATGCGGGGTGATGGCGCCAGTTCTAGAAAAGCAGTTTCAGGAGGTTTTAGAAGCTAGGGGAATATTCACATCTCCCGGCACGGACGAAGGCGTCGTTGATAGTCCCGATCGTGCTTATATCGGACTAATCAGTCATATCGGCGGACACAAATATGCTGGTAACGTCATTGTATATATCCCTAACGGCATGAAGTATGGAGATTCGACTGTTCCTCATCCGCTGGCGGGCAAGGGTATCTGGTATGGACGTATCGAGCCAAGGCATGTTGAAGGCATTGTGGAGGAGACCATATTGAATGGAAGGGTGGTATCGGATCACTTTAGAGGAGGGATAGACCAAGATGGGACTATTTTGCGATTATAGATGGGTATCTTTGGACGTGTACAGTCCCGAGAGTCCGTGTATGTATATAGGTAGATATATAGTGTAAACTCAAGAAAATTTTCTAGAAAAAGATGATGACCACTTCATGACAGAAACTTGATCCAAATCTTCCGTCCGTATAAGCTAAAATATTAATAATAACTAAATAACTCTTGAATCCAGCCAGATAACCCATAAAGCTGGTGAATAATACATAGTTATCTAAGAGTAACTACAAAGAACTCCGATATATATTGGAAAATTGCGCTAATCCCTATTAGGTTAAATATCTCCAAAAAAACAAGCGTCACCGCGATTGAGCAAGTTTATCACAAATGCAATTCCTCTCTCCCACCTCGTCCGTGGCCCAATTCCATTATCCCAGGGCAGGATGATTAATCGGATAATATGCAATACCTCGCCCGATTCCGATTGAGTCCGTCCCGGACGCCCCTGGCGCCCGGCGCATGGAAAACCAACCTATCCCGTCCACTACCGTTCCTAGGTTCGAGCTGTTACCACCGCCATCTAGCCTCTACGACCACACCCGCGAAACCCGGGAGACTCGACCTACGAGCTCTGGACAAGAAATGGCAAGCGAAATGGCAAGCAGATGGAGCGGGGGGCGTTGGATTGACCGAAGGAGGATCCTCCCACACGCAGGGAACCCGGGAACCCGACGGAAGTGAAAAGCCCAAATTCTATGTTCTTTCCATGTTTCCTTATCCGTCTGGAACGCTGCATATGGGTCATTTACGGGTGTATACGATCTCTGACCTGTTGGCGCGGTTTTATAGAATGCGTGGACATGAGGTGTTGCATCCCATGGGGTGGGATGCGTTTGGGCTCCCGGCAGAAAACGCGGCGATTGAGCGAGGGATTGATCCGGCGAAATGGACCATGGATAACATCGCGAAGATGAAGGAACAACTACGGAAGATTTCGACTTCGTTTAACTGGGATCGGGTATGTGGGATTTCTTTCCCTTTAGCCAAGTAGGCTAGGCAGTTGAGAGATGGGTGGGTGTCTTGGGCTGATCTGGGCTGCTAACGGGGTTTGGTTATATTAGGAAATTGCGACGTGCAATCCGGAATTTTACGAGCACACTCAACGACTGTTTCTGAGGCTGTACGAGAAAGACCTGGCGTACCAGGCTGAAGCTATGGTCAACTATGATCCGATAGACAAAACGGTGCTGGCGAACGAACAGGTCGATGCGAATGGCTTCTCATGGCGATCCGGAGCGAGAGTTGAGAAGCTGAAGCTGAGACAGTGGTTCTTCCGCATTACGGCATTTAAAGAAACGTTGTTGAAGGATTTGGATTCCCTGGCCGATGGATGGCCAGAGCGCGTGCTGTCTATGCAGCGGAACTGGCTCGGGAAATCGTACGGCGCGAAGATCAAGTTTCCTCTTGTTGTTGAGGGCAACGGCGGCCAACATGTAGATATTGAGGTTTTTACTACCCGCCCTGATACGCTCTACGGAGTTGAGTACCTCGCACTCGCGCTGGATCATCCCATTGTTCTAGAGGCGGCAAAGAAAGACGAGGGATTGCAAAAGTTCCTGCAGGAGGCAGCGTCGTTCCCACCTGACTCTAAGGCTGGTTATAAACTGTCGAACGTTAGTGTGACACATCCGCTGCGCGCCATTGACCCGGAAAGTCCTCACATCGCTCCATCCTTACCGGTGTTTGTAGCACCCTACGTTCTGAGTGATTACGGTGAAGGTGCTGTGATGGGGGTTCCGGGTCATGATTCTAGGGACTTCCTGTTCTTCAAGGAGAACGCGAATCCTAGCTCGATATCTCTCGTAATTGAGGCTGAATCTGGCTCTGATAGCGCGAAACCCATTACACAGGAAGGGGTTCTAAACTCAAGATGCGGTAAATACCACGGTCTTCACTCCCGCGAGGCTGGGAAACAGATCGTAAATGATCTCAAGGCCACTGGTGGCGGCGACTTTGTGGAGCAGTGGAGACTAAGGGATTGGTTGATCAGTCGACAGCGTTACTGGGGAGCTCCAATCCCCATCATTCACTGCGGAGACTGCGGTCCTGTCCCCGTGCCAGAAAAGGACCTTCCAGTAAAGCTACCTGAGATAGAGGGTGACTGGCTAAAAGGGAAACGAGGGAATCCCCTCGAGTGGTCTGAGGAGTGGGTGAACACCCAGTGTCCGAGCTGTGGCGGAGCAGCTAAGCGGGACACTGACACGATGGATACATTTGTCGATTCTTCGTGGTATTACCTACGGTTCCTGGATCCTAAAAACAAACAGGAGCCTTTCTCTCCTTCGGTGGCACGGCCAGTCGACATCTACATTGGTGGTGTCGAGCACGCTATTCTCCATCTGCTCTACGCCCGATTCATCTACAAATTCCTAGCCAGCACCGATTTGTTCCCGGATGAAGCCCGCACAGGTGCAGCACAAGAGCCATTCAAAACCCTCCTTTCCCAGGGCATGGTTCACGGCAAGACTTTCTCTGAACCATCCACGGGCCGATTCCTTCTGCCTTCTGAACTAGATCTTTCCAACCCCGATAGACCATTCATCAAAGGCACTGCGGTCACTCCTAATGTCTCATTTGAGAAGATGTCCAAGAGCAAACAGAACGGCGTGGATCCGACGACGTGCGCTGCCAAGCACGGCGCGGATGCCATCCGCGCCCACGTTCTCTTCTCCGCTCCAGTAAGCGAGGTACTGGAGTGGGATGAGACAAAGATTGTTGGCATTGAGCGTTGGTTTGGCCGACTTTGGAACCTTGTCCTGGACGCACAGCAGAGCTTTATTAGCTCATCGCCCTTGGAGTCAGGGCAAGGTGACTCGAGCGCGGTCGTTGATCTTGTAGCACGCCTTGCGGATCAATTGCAGAGCCTGGGCGACAATGACGCCGAAGCGGTTCTTTCCACTCACCGAACCATCTGCTCCGTCACCAACTGCATTGAGAACAACCCCTACGGGCTCAACACGGTCATCTCTGACCTAACCAAGCTGACGAATTCCCTCTTATCGTCACCCCCCACCTCACCACTCGTCCTCTACCTCACCGTTTCCTCTCTTTTGCGTCTATTGGCTCCTATTGCGCCGGCCTTGGCCTCTGAATGCTGGGAGATCCTTCATGCGGCTGCGGTGCCAAAAGTATCGGGGCGCGTGGTGCCGGCGATATTCGATTGCCCATGGCCTACCCCTCTGTTGAGCACGGAACAAGCGGATGCTCTTTCTGCACGCGGAGGTCAAATCGTCGCGGTGCAGATTAATGGCAAGCTTCGATTCACGGCCACCGTTCCCCGCCCAGTGTCGCCCACGACGACGGCCACGGAGGAACAGGAGTGGATTATCCGGCACATTCTAGAGACGGAAGAAGGGCGCACTTGGTTACGGGAAAAGAATGACTGGGAGAAACGCAGACGGGTGATTGTGGTCAAGGGAGGAAAATTGGTCAACGTGGTGTTCTAGGTTCTTTCTCTTGCTTCTTGAGGTTGCAATAGACCAACTCATTGTATTTTTTATCAAGCCGTGTAAATTAGAAATTCTCAAATACTCTTAAAATTCCTCTCTACCTAGTTTAAGTAATACCGCTTCTCTAAGGTACCACTACACTTACTACTATCGAGTAGTGAGGAGAATGGGGGAGTTTCCCCTCATCTCTCAACTATTATCTGAGTGTCCAAATATTGGTACTTCTTAGTAGTTGAGATGACAATCAAGAAGAATTGGTGAGGGGTACATTCTGTCAGCCCCGCACTGACCTCGTACCCCTCACGAGGGGAAGCCAGACAATACGAATACCTGAACACTACTCCGTGGTACTTTGTAGGTACTTTGTAGGTACTTCGTAGGTACTTCGTAGGTACCACCTAACTAAATGAAGCCAAAATATCCTTCGACTTGAGGTTCCCCGCATAGAGTATCCCATGCGGAGAAAAGCCCTCAACCCACCTTACGATAGAGGTATATATTCGAGTCTTGGAATCTTCTCAATCCTCTCAATCAATCTTTTCTATCCTCTCAATCTACTTCCATCCAATTTCAATACCCGCATTTGGTCAGACATCTTGCCTATTCTCCACACTGTCTCCCTCTATATACTGACCCTGGAAAACAGCCCCTCGCTATTTTATTCCACCACTATCCCTTCAATTGATCTTTCAAAATGGTATTTCTGCGCTCTTTCTCCCGTCAACTCCGACGGCCTGCCACCACTCTTCGCCCGTTCAGGGTCTCCGCATTGGCAAATAATGCGGCTCGCGGAGCTCGTTTGCTAACTGCTTCTGCACGTCTACAGGGCAAAGTTCTTATGGTCCTCTATGATGTGAGTTCCTCTCTCTCAACCGGATCTCTCCTCCTCGATCGCATCCAATGCTGACCATATACTAGGGTGGAGAGCACGCCAAACAACAGCCTGGTCTCCTCGGAACCACAGAGAACGAGCTGGGCCTGAGGAAGTGGCTCGAGGACCAGGGCCACACGCTGATCACCACCTCCGACAAGGAGGGCGAGAACTCTACCTTTGACAAAGAGCTTGTTGATGCCGAGGTGATCATCACAACTCCGTGAGTAACAGCTTTTTCTTTTTCTTTTTCTTTTTTTTTCTTTTTTTCACCCCATTTCTTCAGTCTAGCAGCTGACTTACTTCAGCTTCCACCCCGGATACCTCACCGCTGAGCGTCTGGCCAAGGCCAAGAACCTCAAGATCGCCATCACTGCTGGCATTGGCTCGGACCACGTCGACCTGAACGCCGCCAATAAGACGAACGGCGGTATCACCGTTGCCGAAGTCACCGGTAGCAATGTCGTTTCCGTCGCCGAGCACGTCGTCATGACCATCCTCATTCTGGTCCGCAACTTCGTTCCCGCCCACGACCAGATCCGCAACGGCGGCTGGGACGTTGCTGCCGCTGCCAAGAACGAATTCGACCTCGAGAACAAGGTCGTCGGTACCGTCGGCGTTGGCCGTATCGGTGAGCGTGTGCTCCGCCGTCTCGCCCCCTTCGACTGCAAGGAGCTCCTCTACTACGATTACCAACCGCTGCAGCCCGAGGTCGAGAAGGCGATTGGGTGCCGCCGCGTCGAGAGTCTCGAGGAGATGCTTGCGCAGTGTGACGTTGTCACCATCAACTGCCCTCTCCACGAGACGACCTACGGTCTGTTCAACAAGGACCTCATTTCCAAGATGAAGCCTGGTAAGCTAGCATCCCATTTTCTTTTCCTTTTCCCCCATTTTTTCCCTACCTATGCAACAGCAGCGTACTGACTTTTTTTTCTCTCTCTCTCTCTCTTTTCTTCCTAAAGGCTCCTGGCTCATCAACACCGCCCGTGGCGCTATCGTCGTCAAGGAAGACGTCGCTGCTGCCCTCAAGTCCGGCCACCTCCGCGGCTACGGCGGTGACGTCTGGTTCCCCCAGCCCGCTCCGCTGGACCACCCTCTGCGCTATGCCGAGCACCCATGGGGCGGTGGTAACGCCATGGTCCCCCACATGTCCGGCACCTCCATCGATGCTCAGATCCGTTATGCCAATGGCACCAAGGCCATCCTGGACAGCTACTTCTCTGGCCGCCACGACTACCGACCCGAGGACCTGATCGTCCAAGGTGGCGACTATGTCACGCGGGCTTATGGCCAGCGCAACAAGGCTTAGATTTGGGAGGAAGATAAAAAAAAAAACACATTACTATTTGGGATTATGAAATGAATGACTTTGCTTTTTTTTTTTCTTTCTTTAAATGAACTGTATTATTGGCGTATTGCATTTTTTTTTTTTTTTTTTTTTTTTACATCGAAGTAGTAGCCAATCTTTTTCTCTCTCTATATATTTTTGTTGAATTCTAAAATAACCCCATGGCTTAAGAAAGGAATAACAGAAGCATAATTAGGTAGATATATGCTAGTCTATAGTATATATATATATATATATTGTGAGAATATGCAGAGAAGGACTAGTTAACAATGCCAGGAACATGTCTAGCACAACACGCTTGTAAGATGCTGCTGCTCAACTTTCCCTAAAACAAAAAACGCCAGAAGTGATAACCCATTCGCACGTATATACAAATCGAATGCAGAGAAATGTAAACTTAATGGCGACGCCCGCGATCGCGATCCCCTTCCTCGTCTTCCTCCTCGCTGTCGTCCATGAACCCTTCCTCGAGGTCCCGGCTCAGCCGACTGTCATCGGCAGCTGTACTGCGTCGTCGCTCGAGCGCTTCTCGGTGGGCGGGATCCACATTCATGCCCACCATGATTTCGCCTTCCTCGTCGAGAATACTGATGTTGTCGTGGGCGTCTGGGAGGTGTGCTTGCTCTCGCCAAGAGGACGGGAGGAACCGGCGCATCACGGCATCGGCAATGCGGTCTCGGAGAGAGGAGGTGTGTGCTGAGATGGTTTCGAGCGGGAGATACTGAGAGTATCGTTGGTGGTAACGGCGGAAGAATGGGACGATTACGAAGGATATGAGAACGTAGAGTGTTAGGGAGATCACTGCCGGGATAAGAAGGGTCTACTCGGTAAACCAAGGGGGCAGGCAAGTATGTTAGAAATCAAAAAATAACATAAAATAAAAATAAAAAGCGCTGATAGGTACATACCTTTGCAAGGTTAGATGCAGACCCCATTGTATTTGATTGACTTGAGATTCTCTCTTGTCTTGAGCTCGCGCAAGGCAGCAGTAAACTTTGTACATTCACAGCGGCTTCCGACAAGCGGTTGTCATGACCTCCCCAGACTGCCACCAAATGGGAAAGCAAAACCAGTAATTGACTATACAACCCGTGGTTCGACCGAGTGCACAGCGAATCGCATCTTCATCTCCTCTCGTTCTCAAGATTGTCGTCGCTCTCGTCTTCTGTTTCCGGCGATGGCGCGGACGACGGCCGCCACGTGACGATGGCGTCTAGCCGTGGCGCCTGAGGCAGCCATCGCATTACACGTGACTGGCATTCCTACCGCGCTGTTCTAGAGCCGCCGCTTCCCTTTCCCCCTCAGCCCGCCCCTAAATGGCGTTACTGAGAAAAGAGGTCCCAGCGTTTATTATACCCTCGTTTTTGGGTGTTCAGGCAGATTGAATTTTTATTTACAGGGGTTGTTCTCCGGATGTCTGTCGGGCAACGGAGGAAGGGAAAGGTAAACCGTTTATTTGTGGCCCTCCCCTCTCTCGTTCTAACCCATAACGGAGCGGCGACGACTTAGTGACAAAATATCATCGCTCGTTGTGAACTTGGATGTCACCGTTTTTTTTTGGGCCCGGAGTTTTTGGAGCGAGGGTTGTTCTTCTTATCTGGTTGAGGGAGTGAACCAACCACACCGTCCACTTGTGTGCGCCGTGGACGACGCTCATGCTGCGCGCTCTGCATCTCCCCAGCGACGCTCGTCAAGATGCCAACGACCACATCCGCCTCTGATAAATCTAGACAGACTTCGGCGGGCAAATCGTTTTTTGGAAGGAAGCTGCATAAGGAAAGAGCTGGTGACGATCGGTATGATGCGCACGGAAGCTGGGAGAGTCTCGCCCCTCCTGGAAGTGCTGCTGGTTCCCGTTCGTCGCGACACTCGAAACGCTCCTCCATCCAGTCTGTAGACTTCCCCAACGATATAGACCCCGCGGGGCTTTCCATGACCGCTGGTGTCATCACTGCTATACCTTTCGACAGTCTCTCAACCGAGAACAAATCGCCCATCCCGATCGATTATCTTTCAAAGCCTGACACCTCCCCTCGAAAGGATCCGTCACCAGGCCTCCTATCGAAAAGTGCGGACTATCACCAATACCCATCGTTGAATTCATCCAATATGCGCGATAATCCACAATATTCACATCCTACGGGGCCCCGGCCTCCACCACACGCTTCGAATATGGCAATGAGCTCAAGTGCTACGGGGGATAGGGGTCCGCGATATCAGCAATGGGGGAGACCGGGGAGCGCGGCCGCCAATACTGGATTCAGTCACCATTCGTCCTCGACCGCGGATTCTTCATCCAATTCTCGCATGTCTATTGACCAAGCCAGCGTTCATTCGTCCCCCTCGTCAAATACACGTGGTTCAAGCTACTTTCCCTCGGATAATTCAGCGCGTACACTGACGACTTCGCAATCTGCCGATCGGAGTACCTTTCTCCCCAGTGCAAATTCGAGTCGACCCTCGACTGCGCAATCCGCATGGCCTTCAGCTGCTCCACCTGCCAGGGTCACGCAGAATCCGGAGCAGTACCTGACGAGGCCCAGAGATGACCGGGTCGTGGATCAGTTGTTCCTGGAATTAATGCAGAAGCGAGGTTGGCAAAATCTCCCTGAGCAAGCCAGACGACAAATGATGGCCTACCCGGCAGCGAAGAAATGGACGCTGGTCCACCAAGATCGATTGACGGAACTTCAAGGAGAGCAGAAACGAAGACAAAATGCCCGCCAAACGCATGGATATGACGGTCCATCGGGGATCCTTGAGCGAGCCGACGAGGAAGGTAGCCCGGAGTGGTATGTCAAAAAAGTCATGGACGATTCTATTACTTCCAAACAACTGGCGAGTTTGAGTGTCAGCCTGCGAACGCAACCGATCAGCTGGGTGAAAGCTTTTGTCGAGGCGCAAGGCCAGATCGCGCTCACGAATGTCCTTGCGAAGATCAATCGCAAGAAGGTCTCGGGTCCCGTCCCCGCGCCCCCCTCGGGAGACAAGGATTTGGACCGTGAGTACGATATCGTCAAGTGTCTCAAAGCCTTGATGAACAACAAGTATGGCGCGGATGATGCTTTAGACCATCAGCAGATCATTGTGGCCCTAGTTAGCTCTCTACTCTCTCCCCGTTTGAACACGAGGAAGCTCGTTAGCGAGGTTCTTACCTTCCTCTGCCATTGGGCTGAAGGACATGGCCACCAGAAGGTCCTCCAAGCTATGGACCATGTGAAGAACCAGCATGGCGAAACTGGCCGCTTTGATGCCTGGATGCGCATCGTTGAGGTGACCATCGATGGGCGTGGCAAGATGGGCAGTTTGGTCGGTGCCAGCGAAGAGTATCGCAGTGGTGGGATTGGGATGGAGAACCTCCTCATGGAATATGCTGTTTCTACCATGATCCTGATCAACATGTTGGTGGATGCTCCGGAGCATGACTTACAGCTCCGCTGTCATATCCGAGCGCAGTTTACTTCTTGTGGCATCAAGCGCCTGCTGACAAAGATGGAAGGCTTCCAATATGAGGTTATCGATAAGCAGATCGAGACCTTCCGAGAGAATGAAGCCATTGACTATGAAGATCTCCTACAGCGGGAGGGCAGTAGTATGAAGGACAGTATCGAGGGTGAGGTGAAGGACATGAGCGACCCGATGCAAATCACGGACGCCATTACGACCAGGATCCAAGGAACCCGAGCCCATGACTATTTCCTCTCTGCTCTACAACATCTTCTTTTGATCCGCGAAAACTCAGGCGAAGATGGTCTTCGAATGTATCAGCTCGTGGATGCCATGCTCAGCTATGTTGCTATGGATCGAAGACTACCTGATCTCGACCTCCGACAAGGATTGACCTTTACCGTACAGAGTTTGTTAGACAGACTTCATACAGACGCCGAAGCAAGGCAGGCATACGATGAATCCCTCGAAGCCCGACAGATTGCAGAGGCTGCACTCGCTGAACGTGATGAGATGAAGGCTCAGGTCGAGTTAGGCGCGGAAGGCTTGGTCAAGAAGCTCCAGAAGCAGATCGACGAACAGACCAGTATCATCGAGCTTCAGACTAGACAAAACGACATGGTCAAGGCAGAACTCGTTGACGTTCAGAGGCTTCGTGCTCAAGAATTGCAGCGGAACGAGCTTGAGACCAGAGAGCTTTATCTTATGCTTCGAGATGCCCAAGATATTGCCGCTTCGAATGCCAAGAAGACCAATCTACCGGAAGCCGAGATTGATCCCGCGCAGATGCGGGGAATTCTAGACCGGGAAAGATTGCTACATAGATTGGAGAAGCAGCTAGAGAGAACAAAGACTCAGTTCAAGTTGGAGGGCAAGGTCTGGGGTCAGCACGGTCCTTCAGATCGGCTGCGTGAACTTCGGGAGCAGATGGATGGTGATGCTGGTCCTAGCGAGGACTTTGAGGAACAAGCCCGTCGCAATCTTAGCATCAATCCTGTGGGGTCGGTTTACCGCAAGAGAACCTATATGCAGGGCATGGAGGACATGGACGACACCGTTACGGAGGAGCAAGGACTGATTCAAGGAAACGAAAGCAGCGAACTTATCTATGAAAAAGCGCGCCTTGTGGATTTCCATCGGCCGCGCATAGATCCAGCGCAGGCAACAGGCCTCATCGGTGAAATCGCCGCTAAAGTCCCCAAGATTGATGCCGAAGATGGGACGGAAACTCTCAAGCCAGCTGAGTCTAAAGGACTTGAAGGAGATGATGCTACCTCCAAGGCCGAGGAACCAGCCGTTGATGCGAAGAAAGCTGGGGATTCAGCTGGTGGGCCCCCTCCGCCTCCTCCACCACCACCACCACCACCTCCTCCTCCTCCTCCTCCAGGGGCTGGCGCGGGACTTCCTCCTCCTCCTCCACCACCACCACCGCCGCCTCCTCCGCCCCCAGGACTTGCCGCTGGAGCTCCACCTCCGCCTCCGCCACCCCCTCCTCCTCCACCTCCAGGGGCTGGGGCGAGACTTCCTCCTCCGCCTCCGCCACCTCCTCCTCCCGGTGGATTCGGTGGAATGCCTCCCCCGCCGCCTCCTCCCCCGCCCCCAGGTGGTGCACTTGGCGCCCCTCCCCCGCCGCCTCCTCCTGGCACAGTAATTGGAGGATGGAGAGCAAACTACTTGGCTTCTCAAAACGGTCCATCTCATGCTATGAGTCTTATGCCCTCTATTAGACCTAAGAAGAAGCTCAAGGCACTGCATTGGGACAAGGTCGATACTCCGCAGGTCACGGTGTGGGCGTCTCACGCACCCACTCCCCAGGAAAAAGAAGAAAAATATACGGAGTTGGCCAAGAAGGGTGTACTGGATGAGGTTGAAAGGCTTTTCATGGCCAAGGAAACAAAGATTTTTGGAGCCGGTACAGGCGCCAAGCAACGCAAAGACAAGAAACAGATTATTTCCAATGACCTGTCGAAGAACTTCCAGATTGCTCTGTCCAAGTTTTCTCAGTTCCCTGCAGAAGACGTCGTCCGGAGAATCATTCATTGTGACCCAGAAATCCTGGATAATCAGGTGGTCATGGACTTCTTGCAACGGGATGAGCTGTGCACGATTCCAGAAAATGTCTCCAAACTGATGGCGACGTATAGCAAGGATTGGACCGGCCCTGATGCTGCCAGCTCAGAGCGGGAACAGGATCCAGGTGAACTGACTCGCGAAGATCAGATCTATCTTTTCACCGCTTTCGAACTCAACCACTACTGGAAGGCAAGAATGCGTGCTCTTGCGTTAACACGCACTTTTGAACCGGACTATGAACATCTCTCCGCCAAGCTGCAAGATGTCGTGAGAGTGAGCGAGTCTTTGAGAGACTCGGTTGCTTTGATGAATGTTCTTGGCCTGATCTTGGATATTGGTAATTTCATGAACGATGCCAATAAGCAAGCGCAAGGATTTAAGCTGAGCTCCCTCGCCCGTCTTGGTATGGTCAAGGATGACAAAAACGAGACCACATTCGCGGATCTTGTCGAACGTATTGTCCGAAACCAGTACCCTGAATGGGAGGGCTTTGTGGACGAAATTAATGGAGTCATTGGTCTCCAGAAACTCAACGTTGATCAACTCCGAACCGATGCGAAGAAGTATATTGACAACATTAAGAATGTACAGGCAAGTTTGGACGCAGGCAATCTTAGTGACTCGAAGAAGTTCCACCCCCAGGACCGTGTCAGCCAGATAACTCAACGTAGCATGAAAGATGCTAGACGCAAGGCTGAGCAGATGCAGCTCTATCTGGATGAGATGGTGAAGTCTTATGATGATATCATGGTATTCTATGGTGAAGATAATACCGACGATGGAGCGCGACGAGACTTCTTCGCGAAGTTGGCTGCATTCTTGCAAGAGTGGAAGGTAAGCAAAAGGCTTTTTTTTTTTTTGTCGGAGATTCTGTCAGTATGGCTAACGTTGATTGATTTTTTTTTTTTTTTTTTTTTTTTAGAAATCCAAGGAGAAGAACGTAACATTGGAAGAGACCAGAAAACGCACCGATGCGTCATTGGCCCGTAAGCGTATTAACGCTGGTCTCGCCAATGGCACGGGCGCAGGCGGTGATGTTCCTGCCTCACCTGTAACTAGCGGAGCCATGGATTCGCTTCTGGAGAAGCTACGTGCCGCTGCCCCTCAAGCGAGGGATCAGCGGGACCGTCGTCGCCGTGCGAGATTGAAGGAGCGGCATCAGGTTCGCATTGCCTCGGGACAGATGCCAGATCTAGCAAGCACCGACAGCCCAGCGGACGGCACTGACGGCGAGAATGGTGGCTCTGGCGATGCCAACTCTAATGAGTCTGGGCTATTGAGTCCTCCACCCCAGGACTCCGAGACGGGCAGCTCGCAGCCTGTGTCGGAAAGCGAGGATGTGGCAGACCGAGCAGCAAGCATGCTCCAAGGTCTCAGAGATAATGTTGATGGAGACCGCATTCGGAGGCGACGAGAAAGTGCGGAAGAAGAACGACGAAAGCGTCGGCTGAGGAGGCGTAATGGGGCAACCAGCGGAAGTAAAGATAGCAACGATGCTACTCCTTTATCGCCTGTCGCCGAGCCAGCTTCTACCCCCCACACGGAGCTGGGAGAACCAGATGATTTGGCTCTTCCCGGTTCGCCCAACGGAGAAGACCCAACTGCCAATCCTCCATCGATTATCTTATCCACTGCTGGTCAATCAGTTCCCATGTATGGCGACGAAACCAACCACAATAGTCCTTCGTGAAGCTAGTCCACAGCTGTCGAAGCGATATCATGCTCGATTTCCTTTCGTTGTTGCGAGGAAAAGAAACCAGCAAAAGAAAGCATCAACCGCCCTAACCCTTCTAACCCTTTTCTAATATAATGTTTGATAGACCAGCGGATGTCGTCTCGGAGAACCCCTTTACTATGCCATTAAATGTATAATATTTCTTCGACCCTTTTCCCTTTTCGTTCTTTCCCTCTCTCTCTCTCTCTCTCTCTCTTTCTTTTCCTTTTTTTTTTTATATGTCTTTCACGCTCTTTCTTCTGCTAACTAGCGTGACGGGATCAGGGTTGATGTTATGATCATCTCTTCCTTCCCCGTGTTCCTTTTCCCCGATGCATTTCTTTCGAGAGTACGTTGTTTCTGATCTGATCTTCAAAGCCTTTCTTTCTCTTTCTTTTTTTTGCTCCTTCTTCATTTCATTTCTCTTTCTTCATCCCACGTCTGAGACGATTGCCGTCCCTGTACATAACTTCTCTTCCACCTATCCTTGTTGATGTCTGGTCTGTCTGGTTATATCCATGAAGAATTGAGCGCACGGTTCTGTTATTCGGCACGCAGGCGTGGCGAAGTGATTTATATATATTCTCGCATTATCGTCTTATGACAGGTAGATAGTTTTGATATAAAATAAATTCTTCTCCTGGACTGATTGACTGCTTCAGATTTCTTTCTGGCGTTGCAACTTGTACGGTTTCCTAATTGGGGATAGTCCGATTCGACTGGACAGATAGTCACGTGACACGTGGTCGACTTCCACTTCGCGACCTGCATGATCTCCTCGAATTGAGGATTTTCTGTCGTCGAATTTGGCTTGAAAGGGTTCTTCCTATTTCTCTGACTTCTAACCGCGTATGCGGACATCTCCGTTCCGACACCTGCGGTGGGTTGCAATTCCCTTTCGCCCGGCATGGAATCGACCTCTAAATAATGCGCACCTACTCCGGTCTGCGCCGAGCTCGTCTCTTCAACCGAGAACCCAACCCCGATGTTTCTCAGCGTCACAGTCTGCTCGGTTGATCTTCGACGGGGATTCCACCATATATGCGCTTTCCACGGCCCCAGGTAGGGCTGCAATTGCGGTGGTGCGGGTGTCTGGGCCCTCGTGTGTCTCGGTACGGCTAGGATCGCAAAAGTCCTCTATTTCCGACTGCCCCAATCGCTAATATCGTTTTGTTTCCTGATTTTCTTAGGTGTACCAAGCACTGTGCCCCAAATCCCCACTCCCTCGGCCTCGCGTTGCCGCCGTACGCACCCTTTACGATCCATCATCATCATCATCATCCGCAGAGCCCTCCGGCGCTTCCTCCGTTCTAGATGCCGGCGCTTTGGTCCTATATTTCCCGGGGCCCAAGACAGTCACGGGAGAGGATGTCCTGGAGTTCCATCTGCATGGTGGGCCTGCAATTGTTAGATCGGTCCTCGCTGCTATTGCAAGCGTAGGCAAGGACGATGGCCGTGTCATTCGCTACGCGGAACCGGGGGAATTCACCCGGCGAGCGTTCATGAACAACAGGCTTGACCTTCCGCAGATCGAAGCGCTAGGGGATACCCTAGTTGCGGACACAGAGCAGCAGCGTCGACTTGCAGTGCGGGGCGCGAGCGATGCGCTATCGAACCGCTACGAACGGTGGCGGCAGCAGCTACTCTATGCGCGCGGGGAAATGGAGGCCCTGATTGATTTCTCGGAGGACCAGCACTTTGACGAGTCCTCGGATGAGTTGGTTCTGTCTGTGGCGGGCCAGGTGCGTGCGCTGCGCGGCCAGATTGCGCTTCATATCCAGAATGCCTCCAAGGGTGAGTTAATGCGCCATGGGATTAAGGTTGCGCTGCTCGGCGCGCCTAATGCGGGGAAGAGTTCTCTGCTGAATCGGGTTGTGGGTCGGGAAGCGGCTATCGTTAGCACGGAAGAAGGGACCACCCGGGATATCGTGGACGTCGGGATTGATTTGGATGGGTGGTACTGCAAGTTGGGGGATATGGCGGGGATCCGGTCCGCGTCCGCGTCCGCGTCTGCGGCTGGGGATGATGGTGGGGTCTCGGTGGTGATGATTGGCGCCGTGGAGCAGGAGGGAATCCGACGAGCCCGAGCCCGCGCGTTGGAGTCCGATGTCGTGGTGGTGGTGATTTCGGTCGAGGATGGGGCTGGAGGTGATGGACCGCGGTACCGACTTGCCGTGGAGCCGGACGTGGTTGACGCCGCCAACGAGTGCGTCCATGCAGGCAAGAATGTGATCGTTGCAATCAACAAATGTGACCGGCTCCCGTCACCACAGGACTGCAGCGAATGGCCCGGCCAAGCCCCGCGCGATCTTGCATCGGCAGTCCGCCAGCTCTTGCCCGAGGTGCCGATGCGGCGCATCTTTGGCATCTCCTGCCTGGACCTCGACGACCACGCCGGATCTCGCCGTCCCGCGCAGGACTCGTGGTCGGTTTTCCTCAGGGGCCTCATCACAACGTTCGAAGAAATGGCCACCCCGGCCGGACTAGAAGGAGACGCAAACGGACAATACGACCGATCCTATTGGGAAGACTCTCTCGGAGTCACACATCGACAAAGCACTAATTTACAAAGATGCCTGGAAAGTCTGGACGATTTCCTAGCCCAAACCACCGCCGCCTCTTCTCCCAGAACGCCACGAACCTCTACCCCTTCCGCCACGAACGCCATCGAATCCGAAGTGGACATCGTAACCGCCGCAGAACATCTGCGCTTCGCTGCGGACACACTCGCCGCGATCACAGGCAAGGGCGAGAGCGGAGACGTCGAGGATGTTCTGGGCGTGGTCTTTGAAAAGTAAGTGCAGCCTGCTCTCTCCCTTTACTCCGCAAAAAAACCAGCCTTCTTCGCAAATGGTGATTAACGAAAGTGGTGTAGGTTTTGCGTGGGGAAGTGATGTTTTCTCTTCCTGGACCTTGTTCTGGAGATCACATTGTGTGTGTGTTTCTCTTCTTCGCTCTGGAGAGGAAACGTCCGGTCGAGAATTATACCCTCCTCGACCCATAGTGATGCTGAAGCTCCCGGCTGTACTATTTCACGGATATTAGATAATGTACAATATGTAACAATAGCAAGAGAGCTTGACGATGCCTCAGAAGGTATCCCTGTAGATATATTATGTATCTTTCTAGATATAGATATAGATATAGATATAGATAGATCGAGTAGACCAGACCAAATAAAGCAGTAAGAATGAACAGAGAACAGGAATTCTGTTATGGATTGTTGATTGACTGACTGATTCTAGTCTCGCATCTATTGTTGATATGTATGTATATATGTATATATACCTAGCTTGGTAACCATCCATCTATTATGACTACTAAGCAAAGCTGACTGACTAGTAACAAGGTATATATTATCAATGCTTGTTATTTTCTTCCCGTTCTATGATGATGATGATGATGATGATGGATGTGTCTGTCTGAATGCAAGGCCGTTTCTTATTCTAAGCTTGCAAGCGGAAAGAAAGACAAAAGAAAGAGAGGCGCTAGCTAGGGCTGGGGCTTATTTTGTGATTCTTACGGGATACTGCCCTGTTTCTCTTCTTTCTCTGTGCTGTGAGCTCACGGTAGCACTGACTGGTGGTCTGCAAGGGGAGGGAAGCGGGGGTTTCTTTCTGTGTACTCCGTATATTGTTGCGGCTGGTTGAGTTGGAATGGAAGGAATGTAGGGACTTGCGTTGGAGTTGACTATGTACCTGATTGGCTTGGTTGAGGGCTACAGGTTATCTGGCCATGTCAGGCCAGGGCAGTGAGTAGTACCAATATACCTTTGGGCTATATGTAAATCTATATATATGTATATATGTATGTATGTATGGATGTATGGATGTGTGATGAATAAGTCTGTCTCAGAGAAAAGTGGCTGTCTTGATCCAACTCGTTAATTCATTATGTATAGGGGTATACTATTCGTGGTTTGTACACGACCTAGGTAGATGGACACGTAGTGATTACAGTTGTGAGAGTCTGTTGGGTTCATCATTCATTCATTATGTCAGGCTGGAAGTTCGGCGGCGCCTTCTGAGGCAGTGTATACCGAAGTCATCGACTCCGAGTCCGTTTCCCAGCCCGAGTTGGCCCTTACGTTCGCGTCCCCAGCCGCCTCATTCGGACCTGGACCTGGACCTGGACCAATGGCTGAGGCTGCGGCTGCGGCTGGGTCTGGGCTGCCAAGTACTGATCGTCCCAGCCTGAGACCCTCGTTTTTAGGGAGAAGGTTGGCGGGCTCGATTCTACCTTCGCGGGTGGGGGTAGGGTGGCTAAGGGGTGGTGGACTTGGAGGGTGTGGCAGGGGTTGCGATGGCTGGCGGTCCCAGGAATAAGGGGGTTGTATGATCTGTTCGAACTCTAGGCGCGAGGGCTCTGAATATTCTGCGAATGCTGGATCGGGATCTTGGGAGTTGAGAATGTTTCGTGGTTCTTCCGCGTTTGGTGGACGGTGCATGCGTTCTGGTGTCTGGGATCGGCTTGCGGGCAGCCCTTGCTCTAGCGTGCTTGGAAGTTCCTGCGCAGGGATCGGGGCAGATCTGTGTGTGCTTTCTAGCACAGGCGTTAAAGAAGACACGCATGGCTGCATGCGTATATGGCTCACTCTCCGTACTCCTGACGTTGTTTGGTGGGGTTCTGTGGGAAAAAGAGAACTCCCGGGAAACGTGGTTTCTCGGACAAGGGACTCTGGCTGTTGCTGAGCCTGAAAAAGTAAATACATCACCTTTCTTTTGCGCTCCTCGGAAATATCGGCGGAGGGCGCGAAACCAATCCCATCGAATGGTAGCCTTAAAGTCTCCCCCCGGATAGACAACTCAGCGAGGCTCCGGGATAGGAGGACCTCGAGAACGCGCGGATGTCCATGGTAGGCTGCATACTGGTATGGCCACCAGTCGTTCTCATCTTGTTTTAGTACAGATGCACCACGCTGAAGAAGAAGGGTGACGATAGGAAGATGTCCACCCATTGCAGCCAGACATAGCGGAGAATCGTCTCGAGACCAGGCTTCGAACGGTAGATGCACGGGAGACCCGCGGTCGAGAAGATTCTGAACAGCGGCAGCGTGGCCAGATCGGGATGCGGCACTCAACGCTCGGTATCCCAATGCATCTCGGGACTCTAGAGAGGCACCTTTGTCGCAGAGAAGATTTAGGAGGCCCATCGACCCCTGGGTCGCCGCGATATGCACAGGCCGTCGTTGTAACTCCCCCTTCATTTGAGCTTCAATGTCTGCGCCCGACATGAGCAGGAGCCTTGATATCTCAGTGCTGTTCGCAAGACACGCGTAGTGCAGTGCTGTGAAACCGGACTGACATCGCGACTCTAAAGGCATCGCCTTGCGGAGCAGCAGCTCCACAACAGCGAACTGTGAGTTCATCGCCGCCACGTGGAGAGCCGTCCGCTCTGCAATATTCACCTTTGTCAGCGAGCTTTTTCTGCGACTGAGGACGTCTACGACATCTGCATGTCCGTTATACGCAGCCCAGTGGAGGGCAGTCATGCCACTGTCATCGACGCACCGACTAGATGCCTTCTTATCCAGGAGAAGCTGAGTGACTGAAAGCCCACCAGCTGCCGCTGCACAGATGAGAGGCGTCCTGCGGTCACAACCAGGTATATCGATACTTGCCTTGTTGTCAAGAAGAATCTTGATTACACCAACATGACCATTTTCGCAAGCATAATGCAAGGCTGCCATCGTCGTACCGTCCTTCGCTTCTACATCCGCACCGCCGCGAATTAAAAGCTTGACAATGGCCTCATCGCCTCGCATAGCGGCTGCATGCAGAGCAGTCATCTGTGTTTCAGCCCGGGCGTTGACCTTTGCGTTAAAGGAGAGTAGCATATGTGTAGCCTCCACCTGACCTCGTCCAGCAGCAATCCAGAGAGGTGTCCGGCCCCTGGCATCTCGAGCCTCCACGCTCAAGCCCTCCCAAAGAAGTAATTCGAGAACTCCACAATGACCACGCGATGCGGCGAGATGTAGAGCGGTGGAAACCGACCCATCTGCAACATCAAGACGAGCACCTTTATGAATCAAAAGATCGACAACAGCCTCGTTGCCGCAATGTGCTGCTACGAGGAGAGCTGTTCGACGGGACTGGAGGTGCTTAGCTTCCAAGTCACATCCGCTTTCAATTAATCTCTCCACGTCAGGCCTTGTACCCGATTGGGCAGTCTTGACAATCAGAGGGGCTCTCGCACCGTCAGGAGAGGTAAGGTCGATGCTGGTATTGACATCTTTATCATATTGTCTGCTGGCTGCTGCTCCTGCTGCAGAACCCCCCGTTAGACCTCGTGTGGGGATCCGCGGAGAGGCGTTCGGTTTGAGACTGGCTTGACTGAGCCGGCGAATGATAGACTGGAACTTTGGGAACAATTCGCGTCTTGATTTTGAGGCACGATCTAGTCCGGAAGTATAATTAGAATCGGACTTGGTTCTTCGCGTTTGGTTTGTAGTTGGGAAACGAGCCGTAGGTCTTAACCCGACGCTGTTGCTTTGTCCGAGAGTTGGACTGATCGCACTGGATGGGTGAGAGGGTAATGCTAAACTACTAGTCCGTGTGGTGGTGGTACTGGTTGCGAAACCACTTGCGTAGCCTTCGTCCGTCGTTTGGCTTTGACTGCCACTACCCGTGGTTGACCATATTTCGGGCCGTTGCTGAGATTCCCGGGGTGTGCATTGGTATGGCATAGATGCGGCCAAAGTCCCATCGAAATCAAAGACAGTAGTATCACCCGTTGTGGACTCGCGTTGGCTCAAGCTGGAAGCTGTATCGGCTCGGGAAACGGCGTACCTGTTCGAGGACCGGAGGGTCGCAGCATCGTCGGCAACTTTCCATATTTTGCGGCGATTTTCTGTCCGACGTAACAATTCGACTTGCTGGGCAAGGGTTTTGCTAAGATATGAGCTGTTAACACCCTGTTTTACGTTGTATTACTGGAGTGTCCTCACCATTGGCATGCTTGCACAAGTAAGTGCAGGGCAATCACCTGTGAGTGAAGACGCTCTTGATGTCCTTTCATGACATCTTCCTTCCAGATAACTCGTATGCGGGCTCGCATCCCCATTCCATTCTCGCTGACCGACAGGCCTTGGGTCAGCGCAGAAATCTCATCCGCAAGGGCTTCCATGACTGCGCGACAGCCATCGAGCGCAACGTCAAGACTTTCATGGTATTCATGTGAATCATGGAAACTGCCTCTTGTCCAATCCTCGAGCTGTCTGATTGCAGCTTTTACCGTGCGCAACTCCTGTTCCAGGCAGGCAATGGTGCGATCTGCATTCAAGTATTTCCCACGTAGAGCTGACAGTCCAATCAATGTATCGGAAATAGCCTGGACAATCTGGACTGCTCCCGAAGCCACCCCAAAGGCAGAGATAGGATCCATGGGGACGGCCGAGTAGGGACCATGATCCCCTGACTCGTTAATCGCAGCACCAGAGTGAAAACAGATTTGGGAGAATAAATCGACCAGCAGATTGAAATAAGTACTCTGAAGAGATCGGTGGGTGGTTGAGTGAGGCTGAGACATACCGGGAGTCAGAGTGGGCGTTGTGCACTGCCCCCATAGAACGAACGAGTTGTGGTCAGCTTGTAACGAGGAGCAAAGTACACATCCCTCTCAGGTGCTGTAGATACTGCCCGAGAATAGTAAATTATGCTCCAGCCTGTTCTCATTCAGCTTCTTTTGTTCGCAGCTTCCAGGAAGAGCCGGCGGGCTTCCGCTGTACAGAGCCGTGGTGGGTAGAGCCCGTCCAGGGCGAACAGGGGGCGTGTGTCCTCGGCCAGCAGCGCGGGCACCGCAGCCAGCTCCCGCGTCTGCCGGAATTGATTGCTTTTGTAGTGCGCGTTGGGGTCACTGTGGGCGGACATGTTATCTCGGTCTAGTTCCTCAAAATTACGCCATGTCTGCATCATGCAGATTTTCTCCTTCTCAGTTGCTAGTCCGCGGGCGTCAATCTCACGGATGCGGTCCTGGATGAACTGCCAGTTGGCGGCCGTCATGCGCGTGCGGAACCGATCAACTGCCTGCCGCATGGTTTCGTCCGCGTCAAGAGACAGCGGATTGGTGCTGGTCGGAACGGTCATTTTAATAACTTGGGTTAGAAGCCAAGGTTGCAGGCTTATACAAAGAGGTGGTAATGACTAGAAAGAGAGAAGGAATCACCAGAGTTCAGCAATCCATGAATGTCCCAGCCCTCATAAAAGGGGCGGCACCGTTCACTTATGCACTTGGACAGGCCAAAAACCAGCATTGAAGTCAGCAAGGACGCAGACAGGACCAGAAATGTAACCGGGAGAATAAAGTAGTATCGAGTATATGTTCAAATCCAATCTCTAATCTAGATTGCTGCCACGAAATCGCTTTTTGGTATGTATACACATCCAACACGGTAATCATCTCAATCACACTGCCTTTCAAGGTTACAATGGAAGTCCAAAAGCGAAAAAAAAAAGTCAACCAATCCATCAATGCTGTTCAAAATAAAGGGTGAAACGTTGGGTATAATAGAACACGCGTAGAGCCTCCCTACTTTACTCCAGTATTGGCGAGAAAAGCCTGTTTGCTTTATGCTCCGATGGCATTCTTGACCCATTTCTCGAGACCACCCTTGGCGATGATCTCCTGGACGTTTGGTGGGAGCTCTCCGACCTTGTGTGTCCACTTGGGGCCATCCTGTCCTTCCTGGACCTCGATCTGGCTCCTCCGCACATCCCAGGTGAGAGTCCAGCCGGTGCGGCGGGTGAGAACCTTGTCCCCAGAGCCAAAGGTCTCACGGAGGCGGCTGACCAGGCGTGGAACTTCGAGTCCCATCAGAGCATTGTTGATGCTGTTACGAGAGAAAATATTGCCGAAGCTTCCAGACACCACCAGCGGGATCTTCTTTGCCAGAATAGCAGTTGCTGCCTGTTCTCGGGAGCTTCCACAACCAAAGTTGAAGCCACTGACCAGGATATCCCCCTCCTTTGCAATGGAAGAAAATGTAGTGTCATAATTTTCCATGCAGACCTTAGCCATGGTCTCCGGTGGCACGTCATCCTGGTAGGTATACTTGCCGGGGTAGATACCATCGGTATTGATGTTATCTGCATCGCAGAAAACAATCTCGCCAGAGACACGCTCGGGGAAGCCAGGGTAGACCTCGGTCAGAGCTCCCTCGGATTCCTCAACAGCTGGGGTTTCAGAAGCGAAACGCTTCTCACCATCAGCGACAAGGTCATCCAGTTGGCCAATGATCTTTTCCAGGGCCTGCTCAGCGGTAAGCATCCGGTCTTCTTCCCGGATACCGTCGCCCTCCCCTCGCACAACTTCAGTCCAGCCCTCCGGGGACTGGTACCAGCCAGGACCGCTAAGCTTTCCACTCAGAGCGCTGGCAGCGACCACCTCGGGGCTTCCCAGATAAGCCTTCGCATCCGTACTGCCCATACGGCCTTTGAAGTTGCGATTGGAAGCACTAATACCAACCTCCCCGGGTTCAAGAAGACCCTGGCCCATTCCGATACATGGTCCGCATCCGGCAGGAAGGGCTGTGGCCCCGGCTTCCAAGAGTGTTTGCCAGTCTCCAGCACCCTCAGCAGCCAACTGCTCAGGAATCGAGGCGGCAGCAATGTAGAATTTCACACCGTCGGCAATCTTAGGGATCTTGCCTCCGTTCTTTTCGGCAGCCTCCTTGAATACCGCGGCAGCGGCAGCAATGTCAGAAGCTCGGGAGTTTGTGCAGGAGACGAGATAGGCCTTGTTGACCTTGATGTCCTGGGCCTCAAGCTCCTTGAGGGGGGTGGCGATCTTGACGGAGTTTGGTCCAGAGACGTAAGGAGTGAGGGTAGAGAGGTCAAGGAAGAGCTCCTTGGCGTACTTCGCGCCCTTATCCGCAGTCAGTGGGTTCTCGAAAAGCTGTTCCAGGATGGGGTGCGTGAAACGGTCGGCAGCCAGGGTCTTGAAAGGACCGTCTGCCAGGCCCATAGCCGCGGTTGTAGCCTTGCCCCTTAACCATCCCTTCAGCACGTTGTCGATGGGGAACAACCCAGAAAGCGCACCCCACTCAGTTGTCATGTTGGCGATTGTCAAACGGTTATCCACGGAGAGACTTCGCATCGTTTCTTCCGATCCAGTGAACTCAATGGCGTGGTTCAAGACGTCGTCCTTGTCAAATAAGCCACAAAGCGCAACAATCACATCTTTACCGGTCACACCTGTGGGCAGGATTCCGGTGAAGGTGACCTTGGCCACGGGAGGGATCTGCCACCAGGTCTTGCCTGTCGCCCAAATACTAGCTCCATCGGTTCTCACAATGGGGGTTCCTAGACAGCCAACACCTCCGTACATGTTACTGTGACTGTCAGACGCCACCACGAGAGTTCCGGGCCAGGCATAGCCTTCTTCCACCATGATCTGATGACCAATACCTCTCCCAGCAGGGTAGAATTCTACTCCATGGTGCTTGGCAAATTCTTCGATTTGGCGGTACTTCTGTAGGTTCTTGTCCGACTTGTTCTGAACGTCATGGTCAAGGGTCATGACAATTTGATCGGGGTTGTGCAGGCGGGAAGCTCCAATAGACATGAACTTGAGGGCCACAGGCCACGAGTTATCGTGAGTCATGCAGCGGTGCGGCGAAATTGTGACATAGTCGCCAGACTTGACGAACTTGTCCTTCCCCAGTCCCACGGAGTATTTCTGGACTATTTTTTCGGTCAGGGTCTGAGGTACGGCCCGGGAGCTCTGGAGGGTCGAAAAGATCGCCGCAGAGGCAGGATTATCCAACTGCGATTGGAAAACATCCTGGAGATGGCGTCTGGTGGAGGCGAATGCTCGTCGCTGGAGATTCTTCGAGGAGCGCAGGAGCGCCCATCGGCGGACAAGGCCGTTTGGCGACATCAATCGGGACTGTATATATGTTAGATACGGGCCTGAAGGTGTGTACATCCCTTATTTAAGACACCATGACAGAGGATACTCACCGTCATGATTGCTTTTGCGGATCGTGGAGAAGTTGAGAATCGCTTTTCTTCCCTTCGTTCTTTTTTGGTCCGCGGCGAATCAAATGTCGGGCATTATTATTGGTTCTTTCCGGGGAAGCGCCGACAACCGCGGTTAGCGCACGCCTGCCGGCCGACATCGGCGGTAAATCATTATATGTATTCATATAGTATCTGTGAATGGATTATGCATATATTACAGGTGGAAAGATGCTAATCTAAAGCTGGGGAAGCTGTCAAAGCTTCCATACAGCCCAACCCTGGAGATTGAGGTCGTTGATGATTCCTTGAACTGGGCCTTGGAGTTCCCTGCCTTGGGCCCAAAGCTTTGGTCCTGCCATGTAACTGATGAACCCTTCTGGCCCGGAAACAAGAATCATGTTGCGTCTGGGCGAAGTAGGGGAAACTACTGCAGATCTGGTGAAATCTAATATAGACTTCTTCCCAATAAAGGTGTTGTTCTCGTCAACAAAATACTCAACGGTCACCTGCCCAGGATACTGAGACTGGAGAGACTCCAGCTCCCGTATGACAAGGGATGTATCTTGATTATTTGACTTCTCGACCGGTTTATGGTTTGCATCGGGACTCGAAGTCTTGAGAAGCCGGGAGAGCCACGATCTCTGGGTCCCATCTGAAGAAGTCCCCGAAACCGCGTTGTAGCCGCCCTTACAGTCTTCTAGCATTCTATTCGCCCAGAGGATATGTATTCGGGGTTTGTGAGATTGGTCTGTACGGCGTAGAAGGGTATGTCCCGCCTGCAGAGCAGGAGCGATACCGGTGCCACCAGCGATGAAGAGTATAGTCTGCGTCTCCGATGGAATCTCGCACTCGATCCGAGGGCCCCGTACTTCAATGGGTGCACCAATTTTTAGGCTATGTAGGTACCGAGAAACCTCGCCAAAGGGATCCTTGCGAATAAAAAATCGTAGGCACTCCTCATCATCCCCGTCTGGCGATGAGGATGGCAGGGGGGTATAATCTCTTCCAATCTGCAGCTGCGGCTGTTTGAACATCACGCTCCAAACTCCGGTCTTCCATGCTTCATCGTATACCTCGCGGTTACTTCCATCCGACCGGGGAGGCTGCAGCGTAAATAAGCTACCTGTGGACGAGACTGGCTCTCGGGAAACCAAGTAGTAGGGAGTAAAGCGCAGGGGATTCAGTGTAGTAGATGACCCTAACCCGGAATCTTGTGTCCACCGAAAATACGCCCCGATCCCTGCAGCCGTGACGGTGACCAAAGTCAATCGCAGCCACCGCCGTTGGCCCGAGGGAGAGGTGGCAGATGATCTAGATGGCGGAGATGAGGAAGTAGTAGCATGGCGTCGCTGCGGTCGACTTAACGGCCTCGTCGCTGTGGGAGATACATCGCCCAAAGGAAAGAAGCCCCGCGACGGTATTCTAGGCTTCATGGGACGGGTGGAAGTGTAGAATCCGAGAGTGGAGAGAGAAGTTGAAGTCTTTTCTGCATCTTCATTTGCATTTTTGGTGATTTTCTGGGTCTATTTTTACAAGACGAATACACTAGTCCCGATCGGGAAATCCAGATGATCGTCGTTATTTCATTTCGTCTTCTTCCACCTCAAAACTTCATCCACCGGCTTGTTTTCATCTTTAGATTTACTGTGTTTATGCTGCTTCGTGTGCTTCTGGGATCGGCTCTTTCCCTCGGCTGGCCCTAGAGACAACTCCCGGTTGTGCTCCCCTGATTGATTGGCATGGAACTCATTCTCCCCCTCCGCCTCTAGACCACCGCCACTACGACTTCCTCAACCTCCTTTTAATTCGGTTTGTGAGGACGCGATGTCCCGGATCACCTTCTCGGCCTCCGGACCAGCATCGGATAGCCATGATGCTCATAGGGACTCCCTGGAACTTGCCTCTCTCGCCTCTTCCTCGCCTGAATCCGGGCTTGACCTTTCGCGCTCCTCGTCCCCGTCAGGCATTTCGTCTTCGCGCAAACTCTCCCTAGAAGATGAGGATCCTCTTTCCGCCTCGAGTTTACATCTGAATCACGAGTCCTCACAGTCGCGGTCTGGTCGATCTTATTCGATTTCCTCCGCCTTCGATTTTGGGAGGAACCTATTTCCCCTGTCCCAGACGGCAGGGGGTTACGCTCCCTTGGGGACTCCATCCGCGCTTGATCGAGAAAGGGGTCTCGGTGATGGCTCGTTGGAAAGAAACAAAACCTTGACGTATCTGAATGGTCTGTCATTGGTGGTAGGTCTGGTTATCGGCTCAGGGATCTTTTCGTCTCCTAGCCAGGTCAATGCCAATGTGGGGTCTCCAGGTGCTGCTCTAATTGCATGGCTCGTTGCCGGTTTGCTGGCCTGGACGGGAGCAGCTAGCTATGCGGAGTTAGGTGGTGCGATTCCTCTCAATGGCGGCGCTCAAGCTTACCTGTCAAAGATATTTGGGGAGCTGGCGGGGTTTCTCTTCACATGGTGTGCCGTCCTGGTGCTCAAGCCTGGAAGTGCTGCCATCATCTCTATCATCTTTGGGGAGTATGTCGTTCGCGCTGTCGTAGGCGCTCAGGTTGACCAGGTTAACCCATGGATCGAGAAAACAGTTGCCTTCGGAGGGCTGTTTGTCGTCACTCTTCTGAACTGTCTTTCTACCCGACTCGCAGCGCGCATTGGCGATCTTTTTATGTTCTTCAAATTTGTCGCACTGCTCGGAGTCGCAATTATTGGAATCATTGTGGCTGCAACTGGGTTTTCGTCGAAAGGGACTGCCAATCAGGAGTGGAAAACAGGTTGGTTTGAAGACACAAACATGGACATATCCGGCTGGGCTGTCGCGTTGTATGCGGGGCTTTGGGCGTTCGATGGTTGGGACAACGTAGGGAAACATTTGTCCCAGTCATCTTTATTTGCGATACTAACGAATGGCAGACAAACTACGTAACTGGCGAATTCAAGAACCCTAATCGCGACCTCCCTCGTGTGATCCATACCGCCATGCCACTAGTCATCCTCTCGTACCTACTTGCCAACATCTCCTACTTCCTTGTTTTGCCACACTCGACTATTGCTGCCAGCGACACCATTGCCGTTCAGTTTGGTGATAAGGTGTTTGGTGCCGTGGGGGCCTTAATATTCGCGCTGGTGGTTTCTGCAAGTTGTTTCGGAGCTCTGAATGCAACTATATTCACCAGCGGACGACTCGTCTACGCTGCTGGCAAAGAAGGATATCTCCCTTCACTTTTCGGTAACCTATGGACTCGCGACTCCTCTTCTAGCGGAATGAACAGGCTCCAGCGCCGGTCGTGGGCCAGCAAATTCATCTCGCGCATTTTCGGCGACGGAAACTGGTTCGGATACACACCCATCAACGCCATGGCGCTCAACAGTACGCTCACCCTCCTTTACATCATTGTCGGCGAATTCAAGACGCTGGTCACCTTCTACGGTGTCGCAGGATATACCTTCTACTTTCTGACGGTCCTCGGCCTAATCGTGCTCCGCATCCGGGAGCCTCACCTCGAACGACCGTACAAGACCTGGATCTCCACCCCAATCATCTTCTGCTGCGTCAGTCTGTTTCTGCTCAGCCGCGCCATCATTGCCGAACCCCTCCAAACCCTAATCGTGGTGGCGTTCATCGTCGCCGGGGTTCCCGTATACTTCTGGCGAATCTATAAGCGAGATGGCCGCAAGACGTTTCCGGGGTGGAAATTCTGGCAATCGCGATGACTTCCGAACATCTCTTTTTTTCTTTTCTTTTCTTTTCTCCAAGATCATCTTTATATATCTTATCTATTTTAACTATCATGTCAAGAGTCTCCCTCCCATGCCACACACACACACACACACACATATATATATATATCATGATACCCCATTCGCATTCCCCGGGTGTATAATGGATACCAGAGTTTGTTTTCCCTCCATGTATGTTATGTTATGCTGTTCTACTTACTCTACTATACTAATGAACTGAATACGAAATTTGTCTGTTTTGTCTTTGAAAGAGCTTTTTCATTTTTTTCATTTTTTCATTTATTTACTTATTATTTTCTTTTTTTTGGTTCTCGACATGTACGGAGTATTCTAGATTCTATTATTTATGATAGAATACCATGAGGACTACCTAAGTTACCTACTAGTAGTTAACTCACTGGTCCTACCTACGGAGTACGCATGGGCAAAATGATTTATTTCATATAGATAGATAGTTAGTTAGTTGACCACGCAGCTAATATTCATGAATGAATTACCACCCAATATACGGCGGCAAATTATACACTATGTACATTTTTTTTGGTAAAAAAAAAAAAAAAAAAAAAAGAGAAAGGAAAGAGAGAACAAGAAGCGATAGACAGGATATGAATTGTACGTCTCTTTCTCAGCCTATTCTATACCTATTTGAATCTGCAGGCAAATGCAACGCAGCGCTCGAGAATTGGAGAGATTCCCTTTACCAAGGGGTTGTCATCTTCAGAGAACAGCTGCAGATCAGGTGGCGTTCAGCGATATCGGGTCGTGTGTCGAATAGAGATATCTAGATCCGGGTTTGAGAAGGCGGGGGTGCTCTCGGTACAAAATCTTCCATTATACTCGTGCCAAAGACACAGATATGGGGGATGTATGGCCCTTCTGTTTCTGCCTTGGAGTCATTGGGGGGGAAAGAAAAAGAAAAGAAAAGAAAAGGATGGACGCTATCCGCTAGATCTCCTTCAGCGATCCCAGCAGTAGACAAACATTTTGCTTGGTGAAAGAAAGACTCGTCCCCAAAATGCGTGACTTGTAAGGGGTTTACACTCTGAGTGGACATTCGCGCGTATCCAAAGTTGAGCTTGGGAGAGTTTGTTCTCTGATCAATGTGGCCGCAGACAGCGCTCTCGAAATTTCCGGAAGCACTTTCATTTCCAGTAAGTGGAATCCAGCGAGCAACCTCACAGTTAATCCCCAATGAGACAAGACGGTTAGGAGAGTCCAATATTGACCAGCGGTCCAAGGTCTTCCATTTCCTGAAGTTGGAGGGGTTGGGTCATATGAAAAGACCGTCGAGGTCTGAGTAGCAATATCCCCAGAAAGAAGCGTCTCCGTGACGAAATGAGGAAATGAGTAAATCCCAATTTGGTTTTAGCCTCGATCTGTGCACAAAAACCGGAGGAAGCTTTTGGGCATCTTATCCTCTACTCTGCTTACACATCCGTCCTCTAAAACGCAAGTCGAGTTGCCAGAAATGGTTCGTAGGTGGCATGATCGCCAGAAGCACTGGGTGATCTCAACTGGAGGCACCCTTTACGTCGTGACTTAAACCTGATGTTCTGGATCAAGGTAAGTCTCAAATATCGGATGTGGACTATGATGTTATTGAGCAACATGGGTCATCCTCAGGAACGCCTTGAATTTGGGAAGAAAAGGATGTCTTCCGCCCCGAAGGTTGCTCAGCACGAACAAGAAGTTTTCTGCAAGGGGGTGCGATAATCGTGGAGTGCTACTGGTTTGCGTTATTGGAGGGGTCAAGCCTTGAGGAGGAGTCACCCCATCCGAAACCGTGGAGTCTGGGGCTCCTAGATCATTGTCATCGGAAGGCGGGACTTGAACATTAAAGAGAACACAGATTGCGCTGACCGCGATATCGTAGAGTTTCTCAACCTAGGTGGTTCCATGAGTACATCTGAGACACTACTGGTTCTTGGAGATCTTTTTTTTTTTTTTTTTCAAAACTTACGAGACCGATTCCATGCGCTTCCATAGAACTCAGGCGCAGCTTCCGACAAATTTGAAGTGTTTCTTCAGCAACAGTAATTGCGTAGTTGAAACAGAGCTCGCGGTACTCTGATGTATGAACCAACAGCCCGTGTGTGGAGCACAAGACCCAGACCCGATTCTGCAGCCATTTTTTGGTGATGAAAACATCCGCACACTGGGTTCCTCTGAGACCCAAGACTGGATGAACGTTGTGTCCTGTCGGTTGATGAAGTTTGGAACGCTCAAACCAGTCATATCCGCTCAAGGCTTCCGACTCGCTAACATGGTTGAGAATCTCATGGATAGATAAAGCTTTGGCCGCGGTGAGCTTCGGACAAAAGCCGGAGTTTATGTTGCACCGGCGGCTCCAGCAATCAATGACATCCTCATCAATAGCGTCGAACAGTTCCATTAAATATGCCAAGCCCAACATGCCCTCTGCGTCCTTTTCGTTATGGACAACGATACCGGACACCAAGCTGTTGGTGGCATTGTGGATGAAATCGTGGACGGAACTCATACTAAGGCTTGGTCTTCCCCAGAAGGTGATTGGATGTCGACGCTGCAATGCGTATGCCCTTTAGAAATCGCCCGTCAGCAAAGAACCGACTGTACGCATTAGTACGGGGTAAGCCGTTACCTCTCCGTGATGGACAAGACAAGATATGTTCGCAAATATTGGCCCCGGTCCACACTGGGTAAATCAGCATATAAGTGCGGATTGCTCAAGCCCAAGGCAGCAGCTAAATCCAAAGCTTCCCGCAAGCGCAGCCACGCAGCATTGTGTTGATTGCTCCCAAAAAGGCAGCCAAAAAGAAAGAAGCTGGTCAAGACGGCCTCAATGGTTGGGTGCTCGCCAAAGTCCGAACAGCTCCGCATCTTGATGGCTTCGTTCATCATGGATCGAGCCTGGTGGGCTCGCGATAAAGAAGTCGACCTTTCGTTTATGTCAATCGGCTGGGTAAGAGAGAAGGCACATAGGGCGAGAAGCATGGAGCCAAACTGGGGGTTGGTGCGATGCTCCTGTGACAGGAGACGGATAAATAACGAGGACCGATTCAGTAGTGGTAACGTGGCATGCAATCGGTCAAAGTAGACATCAATCCAAGGAATCATATTGGCCTCCACGATCGACGGTGGCCATGCCGATCGCTGGTTCGGTGCTGGCGGCATCATTCCCACAGGCGTAACGGGAGCTCCGGACGGCTCCACATGAGATGATCGTAGAAGCGTAGAATTAGGATCATCTTGAACGATCGAGGGAAGGGAAGTCTTCAGGTAGATATTGCTGTGGGGGAAGTTGAAGATGGGCATCTGGGCGGCACCACCAATTGCATCGGGTAACCAGTATTCGACATCATCCCGCTCAGGCCAAGCAGCCACTCCGTTCTGCCAGCCAGCTGGTTGAGATTGAGAGACGTCAGTGGGAACGGGAGCTTCACCCTGGGTAGGCCACGGAGCAACATTATTATTAGTAGTAGTAGTAGTAGTATTATTATTCTGTATTGACGATGGGATCGACTCAGGGGCTCCATGTTCTCCGGATGAGCTACCTCCTCCTGTCTGATAGGAGAAGGAACCTGTCAGAGCATCCACGGGGCTGGCATTGGTGGGAGTCTGCACAGGTGTCTGCTGCTGTCGGATCTGGGTTACACGACTTTGCAACCATCCACGTATCAATATCAAGGAAAGAAGACGAGAAAAAAATAATAATAATAATAAATAAATAAAAGAGGTCGAGGGAACTCACTGTCCAATGGGTCCCCGCTTTTTCTGGGGTTGAATAAAAGTGCATTCAAAGTTCATAGAAACGCATGCTTTGCAAGGCTGCGACAGACTGCACTGTAAGGTCGAATCACATTGTTAGTCTCAAACCCCCACGCTTTGAATCGACAATGGCATATTGTCAAGAGTTTAAGAAAGGACTCCAACATGGCAACTTATGGGGTATGTATGGGGTAGTTCAGGTACTAAAAGGATTTAGGGTGAGATGAGATGAGCAGAAAACGCGGGAATAATTTGCCTTGATTTTGCGGAATTTGCACTGATCGCAAGCTCTTTTTGCGATGGTTCCAGTTGTCTTTCTGCGAGAGCCAGATTTGGAGGAATGAGTGGGAGTGCTGGAGCTCATGATGGCATGATGAAGGAAAAGTAGCAGGAGGGGGTTTTCATAAATCCTGATTTCTCAAGCGGGAGAGAGAATGGAGAGCGGGAAAAGGAGAAAAGAAGGAGATTTCACTTTGGGTGTGGGTGGAGAACAGCGTATGTCAAGGGAACATTCTCAGGAATGAACTCCAGATTTGTAGAATAATATAAGACTTTAATATAATACTTTATATAATAATAGAATAATAGAATAGAATAGAATAATATAATGAAGAAAAGAATTTCAAGCCCCTCTTATGGTTTGAAACTGCATCTTCTCCTGAGACTTTCTCATACATTTTGACCACTTCTTCTCTTTCCACGCATTACCTACACTAGGATACTCTATAATAACGCAATTATTATTTTTATTATACTATTTCCGGCTCCACTGCAAATCATCTGATAATATGCGCAAGACGATGCTGCTTGTATTCTATTTAGAAATGAAATGAAATGAAAATGATAGTTAGTTACAGTTGAGCACCGCTGACTAATGTAAACTTCGTCCGAACTCGAGGAACCCCGCGCTTTCACTCATTCTCTACTCTGTATATCCTCCATTCTCTCTTGATCTGGATCTAGCATGGGCAGCCTTCAGCCATGGGAGCAAACCGTGGCCCAGAAACGCTCCTTGCGGGACCAAGCCCTGAAACCATATATGGTCCTCGATATCGACCAGCGTCCTCCTCAGGTGCATTCAGTCCATGACCGGTCCTCTTTAAAGGGTGACCCTCTCATTCAAGAAATCACGGACATCGACAATATCTCCAGTCTACTAGAGAAGCTGAAGAATGGAAGCTTTACCGCGGAGCAGGTAACTCGCGCCTACATCCAAAGGTAATTAATACCTCGACTACACCACGGGAATCTCTACCGACGCGAGTAATCTAGAAACGTTTACTGACTTGGTTGCCCTAGAGCTACAGTAGCTCACCAGCTTGTGAGTTGACTTGACCTTTGGTGCAACTCGCATACCGGAACTAACCCCGGGGGATAGACGAACTGCATCACAGAGGTTGTGTTTGCGGATGCCCTGGCTCAAGCTCGGGAATTAGATTGCGAGTTCAAGAAAACCGGCCAGCTCAAAGGGCCACTTCATGGAATTCCGGTTACCGTGAAAGATCAATTCAATGTCAAAGGATATGATTCCACTATTGGCTATGTGGGTCGGTCCTTTGCCCCCGCTGCAGAGGATGCAGTTCTCGTCCAGCTGTTGAAAGGCATGGGGGCTGTGATTGTGGCCAAGACAAACCTCCCCCAAAGCATCATGGTGAGTTGAGACATGCGCGACCGAACCGGAGAAACAGGGGATGCGATCGCTGAACAATCAAATAGTGGTGTGAAACCGAGAATCCTCTCTGGGGCCTGACAGTTAACCCCCGAAACCCTGCTTTTTCACCCGGTGGCTCAACAGGGGGCGAGGCTGCTCTGCTGGCCTTGCATGGGTCGATTCTAGGATTTGGCACAGATATCGGTGGAAGTGTGCGGATTCCACAGAGCATGATGGGATCCTATGGGTTCAAACCCAGCGTACGTTCTCAAATCCAGCTCCCACCAAAGCATCCATCCATTTTTTTTTTTCATCTAACCCGTACAATAGAGCAGCCGGCTCCCTTACGGAGGCGTTCCCGTCTCGACTGAAGGACAAGAGCATGTCCCTTCGGCCGTCGGCCCGTTGACGCGCGATCTCGCCTCCCTCTGCTATATCAGCCGACTTCTCGCCGACTCTCGACCGTGGGACCAGGATCCAAAATGCGTCCCTCTGCCCTGGAACGAGAGCAGCTTCCAAGACATCCAATGTCGCCCGATGGTGATCGGGCTGATCCTCGACGACGGTATGGTCAAGGTGCACCCGCCCATCGAGCGAGCCCTCCGCGAACTGGTCGCCAAGCTCGAAGCCAAGGGCCACGAGGTCATCGCCTGGGACACATCCGACCATCTGCGCTACATCCATCTCCTGGATCGATACTACACTGCCGATGGCGGCGAGGACATACGCCGGGACATCGCTGTTGCCGGGGAATCCTATATCCCACACGTGGAAGCCCTGGTGAACCGGGGCCAGCCGATTTCCGTCTACGAATACTGGCAGCTGAACCAGGAGAAGGTCTCCCTGCAAAAGAAGTACCTCGATAAGTGGAATGCAGTCCGGTCGCCATCCGGGAAGCCCGTCGACGTTCTTCTGAGCCCGACCATGTCGCATACTGCTGTTCCCCACCGAACCATGCGCTGGGTTGGATACACCAAGGTCTGGAACGTGCTAGACTACCCGGCCGTTACTTTCCCCATCGACCAAGTGCGCGCTGACAAGGACATCGCGCCACACGACTACCAGCCGAGGAACGAGGCTGATGCATGGAACTGGAATCTCTACGACGCGGCGGCTATGAACGGCCACCCGGTCAATGTGCAAGTCATCGGAAGGAAGCTAGAGGAAGAGACGGTATTGGGGGCTGCTACGGTGATGGAACAAATATGGCGCAGTAGCTGATAGTACGTACGTAAATACTTACCCTATTTTGAGCTCCACCGTTTTCTATAACCCACTTAGGTTATGGCGGAGGAGATATACCCTAGTATAGACGATTGCTAGTGGGATGAATATATATATATATGTATGTATATATATACCTTGATGCGAGAATAAAGAAGCATACCTGAATGGTGATACTACTACCACGTACTCAGATACTGACTATCAATCTCGACCTAAATCTCCTCCACGATATCCGATTTCTCCAGTTCACTAAGTACTAGATATAGTTTTTCATCGATCTGTCCCACCTGTAGTTATAAGAAGTGAAGAGGGAACTCGACAGCAGACTGTATGGATGTAACTTTATATTTCTTTCCTCTGCTGTATCTGCGCCTCATTCATACCAACCAGCCAACCAATCCAGCACAATATCTCATCTCTCATAATTATTGAACATGTCAATAAACATGCAGGCGTGGAATGGCAGAAATAAGCCCCAGTCGTGTACTCACTCTAGCTACCAGGACTAGAGGTAAAAGTAATATAACTATGAGTTTTTATTTTATGATTTTTCCTTTCTCTACCAAACTAGGAAATAATTAACATGTATCATATCATAATCTACGTGCATCCAACTCCGATGAACACCAAATATGCCAATATAAAACACTGAATCCCCCAGCTCAGGATCGCCGTGGTTCAAACAACTGCGGCTTCATGTTGATCTTGCAGAGCTTCGACACACAGCCACTCAGCTGAAGAAGTGACTGCACCCCATCTAATATCCGCATGTGTGTAAACCCGATCTCACGGATAAACTCGAGCTTCGAATGTTCCGATAAAGTTGGGATCGTCTTCGTCACTCGGAACATCGTGCTGATGATATCGTGCGAAGAGTAGCCGAGGTCCCTGCATAATCAAGATTAGATCGGCCCACATCAGATCGACGAGGGGGTGGGATTTAAATACCAGAGCTCATTGAGGGTCTCCAACGCGACATCGACCTTGCCTTCCCAGCAAGCCTTAATCATCGCCTGCACCTTGATTGGATGAGGACTGTCAACCACGCGGAAAACATTGTCCCCGCTAACCAATCCGAATCCGGACCATGTGCTTTGCAGGTTATTAAGAGCTTGACGCATATCGCCTTCGGCGCTGAAGACCAACGCTGCGAGTCCGTCCTCGGTATGTTCCACGTTTTCGGCATCACACACTTGCTTCACTCGTTTCACAACCTGCGCATCGGTCAATCGTGAGTAGCGGAGAATGGCGCATCGGGACTGAATAGGTTCGATGATCTTGTTCGATTGGTTGCAGGCGAACGCAAATCGCGTCGTAGAAGAGTAGATCTCCATCGTACGACGGAGCGCCTGCTGAGCACCAGATGTCATGCTATGACCACAAGTTAGTGATCTAAATTTATCAACACCCCTGGTACATACCTGTCTGCTTCGTCGAGGATGACAATCTTGTGACGGCCGGGAGGCAGCGTAACCTTCTTCTGTGCAAACCCTTTGATCCGATTCCGGACCACATCAATACCTGGAAAGCGGATCAGTCTAAGCTCCTCCAACTATGTATTAAACCCAGATGTACCTCTTTCATCACTAGCATTCAATTCCAGCACGGCCTCCTTGTACGCATCTCCGAGCAACTGCCGCGCCAGACACAAAATTGAAGTTGTCTTTCCGATACCAGGCATCCCCGAGATAATCAAGTGAGGCATGTTCCCATCCTTTGCGATAATCTTTAAGCGCTCAACGGTCTCCGTATTGCCCACAATATCGTCAAGGAAAGTCGGGCGGTACTTTTCGACCCTAGACATTGTGAGGGTCAGCGTGGGGGAATTAAGCTTGCGGGTTCGTTGACATACCAGGGCAGTTCGTAATCAGGGGGAGCCCCCGCTGTGTTGGCTTTGAGCCCGTTTATAGCAGCACTGGCTGATGATTCGGCTTTAACCATGGTGATGTTTCTGTGGTGGGGATATAGACAAGAGAGAAAAGTTGCCGCTGGGGAAGACGCGAAATTCGGCCGCCGACGCGTCGAGATGCGGATTACCTAAATGGGAATGGAGCTTGTCGTCCCTTGAGCTGAGCGTCTATTGCGTCAGCCTGCAGATGTAACTAGTTAACGGACGCAGTACTTTAAACAGACGAATATAACGGCATCAAATAGATTATGTTTTAATTGTACACACGTTGTCTTGGTGGTCGCAGCTGCGTGATGCTCATTTTACCTCTTTCGGCGACCATGCCATGTTTGCTCTGTTTGTCAATCTCCTCGGCCTCTCAGATGTTTAGAGATCCTTCCTTCCTCACATAACTGAGGCACTCCTCCTCGATTCCTTCTATTTGACCTAGTATTACCTTAATTATCTTATTCTTTTTAATCTTTTCTTCTTCTTCAAAAATCTCAATTCATCCTCAATGCATACAAAATAACAAAATCTTGCGCAGGAAATTTTGTTTCGTTGAATCGTTCTAATCCCAATTACCCAAGCACCTTTCCAAGTATAACGTCGACTCTGGATGATACAAAGTTGCCCTGATATAGATCTCCCCTCTATCCCCCAGAAGAAGAATATCCATCCGCAATGGGTACAAGCTCGGTCCGCCGCAATCTCTTCCACCACCATCTCAGCAGACGTCCTGTCTCAGCAGCTCCTCCCAATGCCCCCACTTCAGGTCCTGGAATGTCTGGTCTTTCTTCCCAAATACTGCAGTCTACTGCGCCAGACTCCAGCTCGTCCTTGTCCTCTGGTCCTGTCGATAACGGCGAAATTGTCGTGAAAGACAAAAATGGCGGGTACAAGCTGGATATCCCGGTATTGCCCCCGCTGGTAGGAGAGGATGGGGAGGAGATGGAAGGTATCGAGGGAGGGGGAGGTACCAACTCTACAGCAGCTACCGAGGCCGGGCAGGGAGAGATTAACGGACGCGAGAAAGAAAGTATGGCTACTTCTTGCTCTCTTACCTGAAATTCGCTTTGTATTGGCTGATCGGACACTGACTGCTCTTTCTTTAGAGATTGAAGCGAACTTGGTAGAGATGATGTACCGAAACAGGAACAGACAGATGAGCAGTGAGCCACATGGTGAGTTGCTTTCCCATTCGATATCTAGAATTACCAGACTGATCCCGCTAGAAATTCTGAACCTCATCTATCAGAGCCTACGAAACAAAGTCGCCGCATTGGAAGAGGACAATTGGATGTATGAGCCGGAACCCGATACTCGCGTCTAAATACCAACCGTACCCGTCAGTACACGAGTGTCATTATGTTAGTCTCGATGATATGTTCAGTCTGCATGTTCTACATTCAAAATATTGCATTTCCCGGCCAAGCCTAATCAAGATCGATATTCGATGGCGGCGCCTCGACCTTTTTTGGCTGGCCGCGTCCCTGGGCCGGCCGCCTTCCACCCGCACCACTATCTTGGCCACCGCCTCCAAAGAACATGCTGCCCATCATGTCAAGCAAGGGATTTCCCTGTCTCGGGATCTTAATCGCAAAGTACTGCTCCCCAATCTGAGCCAGTGATTCGTCCAACATACCAGCCTCCCTAATTTGTGTCGCGTAATGCGCGGTCAACTGCTTAAACAGGTCCGCACTCCCACGCTGGATCGTAAGCAGCAGCATGCTAATGAAATTGACTAAAGGCAAAGCCGGGAAGACTTTTACGTCTGAGCTAGCGCTGCTTACTTCCTGCACGCCGGGCGAGGGGTTTGCAGATGCAAGTCGGGATGTGAATATCAAGAAGGCCTTATTGGCGCTGCGAAGATTCCCAATCAAAAGGAAAGGGATAACAGCACGAGATGCATAAATACCAGCTGTATGCGGCTCGTCGTTTGTGTACCACTCGTACTCAAGCTTGGCCAGTGTCTCAGCGGATTCAGAGGTACCGAGGATGAGATGCTTCTCTGCATCATAGGGTTCGTGATCTATGGACTTGGGGTTAGAGGATAATGTTTTCTCCTTCGAAACTAGGACAGTGGCTCCCACCTTCGGCATACACAGAACCAGCAGCATGATGCAATTCCGGGTCACCTCGTTCCAGGGGCCCAAAACGCCCGCTCCAAAGAATTATCTCCTGGATGAATCTCCTTCGTGTGGGTTCTTCTGGCGGGAATTCATGTAGAAGTTCGATCAAACGCTCTGTAGTCAGAAATAACTTGTTAGCATTATATAATGTCTCTACTAAGAAGAAAAAAGACACCACAAGAAGAATTTAAGACGCAACAACATTCCACTTACTCTTGCGAGCGCGCCCCACAACGTCATCATCTCCTCCAACAATTTCCCAGCCTGCCTTGGTGTACACCTCGACCACCAACATGATAGCTAAATCTCCTCCACTAGCTGCAGCTCCCTGTTGCGAACCAGCTTGGAGGAGGGCAGTAGCTCCGCCAGCCAGGATCTCAGCTGCTGCATCATAATTAGCCTGTTTAATGTATCGCGCAGCAATCACTCGCAGCTGCTGATGGGCTTCGTAGTAGGCTCCAGACGCGATCCTGTAAGAAGTAGCAAGTGCGGATTAGCCTCGAGAATAAACTTCTTGTAACCAACCGAGATGCGCAGTTCTCAAACGAGCAACAAAAGGGGTCGAAATACTTCTCTTGCTGTCGGGCGATTGTCTTCTCAATCCGTGAGGTCATCTTGTGCTCGGGGATCACCACAGTCGGCGATCCTTCGACGAGGACAAAAATAAATTAAAACAGATGACTAACTAGAGAGAATTTCACAAAAAGAAAGAAGATAATGGATGTCGAGCCGGCTGGCGATGAGAAGAAGCTGTTCTTTTGCGTGGAGGGGGAAGGCCAGTGTGTTACCAGAACAACTTTTGGTGGGGACTCCGGTTCTTCCACAGGCGACGGAAACGACTAAAAGAGTAAAGAAATAGTTGATGCGATCAACGAACGTCCCTTCACTCCTCTCCTTCCATCAAACGTCGTGGACTTACTTTTTACAAACCAGTCAAATCAATTGTCTACTTCGATTTCTCAATATTACGAAGAAACAGAGAAAAGTACTCCGTACCTACTACATCTAGGCGATGAATCGAGCAGCTTTCGACATCCAACCTATTGGTCGCTTCTATGGATCCAGCGCTGCCATTCGACGACCCAAGGTATGTGAATCCTCTTTCAGCTCCGTCCCGTTTATTGAATTATGTCTCTACAAGTAAATATAACTATGGTTACGCATAGGAAGTTGCTTGTTTCTCTTATGATGACCAACACAGCTTTTCTCTCGGGGAATCATCCCTGCGCTACTACTATCCACCGCAACTCCCAGCGGATTTAAACCGCGGCTTTGATACCTTCCAGAAGCTAGATGATTCTGCCGATGAGCACCTAGACGCTCTGCTGGACACTATCATAGCTTTGGAAAAAGAGACGGGGAAGAGATGCGAATCTGACATCATTACCTGGAGAGGCATGATGACCAAGGTGTGCTTGTGCAGACTTGTCCATTCCTATACGGCGACGAACAACCATACTAATCTGCCACCTAGATTCTAACTGCACCATTTGATAACATGAACGGGTGGGTTGAGATCCCTTGCTATATTATCTGGATCCTCCGCTTATCGACCTGTTTGTAGATTCGAGATGAATGCAACTTGCTTTCAGGTGAGCTTGAGCTAGTGACGCCGATTACTTTAGGTTTTAGACTAATATCCAACGTCCTAGGGAACAATGTGCGTATGTTCATAATTGGCACTGAGGAGTAACAAGAGGCGACTGACGAGCTTATGATTCTTCAGATTCATTGAGGAAAACAATGCCTACAAGAACGAACAGAAGCGTATCCAAAAGAACCAGCGAATGCCTCCTGGGATGGCTTCCCAAGACCTAATGGCCTACTGGGGTACTGTATCCATTTCCCTTTTTTTTTTTTTTTTTTTCTTTCTCTCTCTCCCCACTAACCCGTTCGTGCAGGATACAAATTCGAGACGATATCTGTTCTCGACAAGCCATGGGATGAAACCTCCCGAACGGAGATCGAAGGTCGTGAAGACCTAGTCGTGAACAACAATGCCCAGTACTGTTCCGTCGCGCGTACTGGAATCGGCCAAATAAAGCTGGTTCTGGGTGGAGAAGTTGATGCCAGTATGATGCTCACTTTTCTCTCTCCCTCAAAAGGATGTCTCTGACTATATTCCTTCCGCTAGTTTGGGACTGCAAGCCCGGCCGCAAAGAAGACCCCATCAACTGGGTTGAGCTGAAAACCTCAGCAGAGATCCGGAACGACCGAGACTCTGTAAAGTTTGAGCGGAAGCTTTTAAAATTCTGGGCGCAGTCATTCCTTCTTGGTGTTCCCAAGATCATCGTCGGCTTTCGCGACCAACATGGCATCGTCCGCCGGCTGGAAGAGCTCGAAACGGCAAACATACCGAGCAAAGTGAAGAAATCCGGCCGCGGTACATGGGATGGGAACATCTGTATCAACTTTGCCGCCACCTTTCTAGAATGTATGTGGCGATTCTCCTTGTTCCGTTGCTTTGTACTGCATCGCTTACCTTTGCTATGTTCTAGGGCTCAAGTCCACTATCCAAGAAGGAGGGACGTGGCGGATCCGCAGACTCGAGAAATCATCAGTCATTGAAGTCTTCAAGATGGAAGAGAGCGGAATGGGAGATATCATCTCACCTGCTTTTGCCGCTTGGAGAGCTACAACATGAGGTTATCTCAAGAGGTTTTCTTATCGGACTACATGAAGAACAACTGCACATCAAATCAAGTGTTCTTTCCCTGCCACAGCTAAGAAGCCGATTTACGCTCCGCCTGTAGAGGAGGCAGCTCAGACTCTAGGTCTCCAGGAACTACTTTCCCGAGCGCTGGGGTATACATAAATCTTGCAAGCTAATTCAGCGTCCAGTGAGAAATCTTACTACCATGCTACCTTCTGCTCCTACATATTCATTGCTTGCACTAGCACGATTGCAAGTCAATCATTGATGCCAAGTTTGATTGGATCTACGTGGAAATGGCCGCCGGCTTGGGACCGGGGGGTGGCTGTTGCAACACTCAAAAAACTGATATGCACGATAATAATAATACAGGATATCTCTTTTAATTTAATATATTTTGAAAATCTTCAAGGTGGAGGTGTTTTAGAGTCCTGCTCTGATGCGCCACTGTTGACCTTCACCTGATCATTATCCAAGCTTTCTTGTTGCTTGCGAAGATACTCGTCGCGCTGGGCTCTCCTCGCCAGTGCCTTGACAACCCTTTTATGGGCGTGTCCGTTTATATGGACATTCCACTGGTCTTCGTTTGTCATGGTCTTCTGACATACTTCGCAAGTCATGCATTTTGTTATGGGATTAGCATCAAGGATTTGGGGTTGTGCTTCCTTTGCGCCTAGAGTTGTCCTTGCTAGATCAGACAGAGATTTTGGATCCGGGAGGGGTTCGCCCTTCAGAAGAGACTGGACGAGGCGCTCTGACGGATCCGTGATGTTCTTAGCCCAATCTTCAACATTACTGCTGTCCAAGACAAAAAGACGACCAGTCAGTCCCGCCTCCGCAAGGGCGTTCCATAGTTTATTTCGAATCCACTTAATCTGGGACCCGGAATACTGTCTGGTTGCGGTCTTGACCGACTCAATACATGTTTGCTTGAGAGTCTCTAGCTCCTTGTCGGTCTTCGATCCATCCCGAACTGCTTCAAAGTAAGGAGCTAGTTCTTTAAACCCAATAGAGACCCAGACTCCACGTGTCGAGTCAACAGTGACGCCCTGGCTTTCTTTCTCCTGGAGATAGTCCGACATACGATTCGCTTCTGACATTAGTCCTTGATCAATCATATCGTCGACGCGTTTGTTTAATCGGTCGTTCAATGTAGCTTTCTCCGAATGGACCCAGAATATCATAGTCTCAAATCGAAGCTGTCCCACGCCAAGAGCAGACTCATCCTTCGCGGCAACAGCCTGTTTCAGCTGCTTCTGCTCAGCGTAGACCTGGGAGGCTGGCTTTCCGGTTTGAAAATAAATTTCGAGGGAACGACGGATCTTGCGCGTGTCCTTCGGATGCCATCGATCTGCCATAACGGGGTCGACCTCGCGCAATTTCTGCATGACCACCTCCGGGTCCGCATCGAGAATCGGCCACTTAATTGACGAGTCAAGATCCTCGGCTGGAATGGATTCTAGCTCTTGGTCTTGCGTGGATTCCTTCCCCACAAGGTTATCCTTGAATAACACAGACTGGGTATAGTAGTGGGTTCCGCCGACGAGGATCGGAAGCTTCCCTCGCGCACGGATATCATCAATAAGTCGTAAGCATTCCCTTCGAAACATCCCCACTCGCCATGACTCCTCATCCAGTTCGACGCAGCTGATCAAGTGATGCGGAATACCGTTTCGCTCTTCGAGAGGGATCTGATTCGTGATAATAGGGAGGCCACGGTACATTTGCATCGCATCGCCGTTGATTATTTCACCATTGAACCGAGACGCAAGATCGACTGCAAGCTATCTGTGGTCGTCAGTCCTGGTACTCCAAGATCCCCATCGAACAAAGCAAATTGCCCGCTTAGAAACACGATAAAGAAGGAGGAGGTAGATTCACCTTAGACTTGCCTGTGCCTGTGGCACCGACAACGGCTATCAGGGACTGCATGGGTCGGGGACGTTTGACGGAGAAAAGCGAGGAGAGAAAACTGCGCATGGAAGACACTCAAAAATGGATTTTGACATCCTGGGCTTCTCCTAATGACTCATATTCCAGAACCTAAATATAAAAAGCGCGGAGAAGAAAAGTCGAGGGAAGTTGGGATGGAGAGGAAAGTCGAAGGCGAGAAACAAGAAAAAAAAAAAAAGGTGAGGCCGTGGGGACCCTTTACATAGGCCAGTCCAGTCATCCCCGCATCTCATCTCGATCGGCAACAGACTCGAAAAAAAAAAAATCTCAGGTCTCTTTGGTTAACTAACTACATCGCGCCATTGACAAAGATCCTTCGTGAGTCATTGTCACGAGCCGTTTCAGATATATACCGAGCGTTTACCACAATCCCCATCCAGCATCTACAATTCTCTCTCCCACCTTCCCTCTCTCTCGACCTCCCGCTACCTACATACAATGTCCGACTCCGATTCCCCCGCCCCCTCTATCCAGGTGCAAGATCTGTCGTACAGATTCCAGGATGGATCCTTGGGTTTAACAAATGTGAATATAGACTTGCCCGCAGGAAGCCGCACATTGTTCATTGGAGGTAAAACCTACACCCCCCCCCCCCGCCCTTTCTCTCCTTTCTGCGCCGTATCATTCAAGAACCGCAAGTTCGCTAACCATCGCAACCCGACTACTCCAAACAGCCAATGGAGCCGGCAAGACCACCCTGCTACGCTTACTCGCAGGGAAACGGCTATCCCCCAATAACACCATCACCATAGGCGGCAAAGACCCCTTCAAGGAAGGTCTCGAGGGCGTCACCTACCTAGGCATGGAGTGGGTGCTCAACAGCATCGTCCGCTCCGATATCGACATCCCAACCCTCCTCGCCTCTGTCGGAGGCAACGCTTATCCCGAGCGCCGGGACGAGCTCGTCGAGATCCTCGACATTGATCTCCGGTGGCGCATGCATACCGTGTCAGACGGCGAGCGTCGTCGCGTGCAACTCGCCATGGGCCTCCTTCGACCCTGGCGAGTGCTCCTCCTCGACGAAATCACCGTCGACCTGGACCTGTTGACCCGCAGCAATTTCTTGGCCTTTCTGAAGCGCGAGACGGAAATTCGCCCCTGCACCATCGTCTATGCGACGCATATCCTGGATAACCTGGCCCATTGGCCGACGCACCTGGTGCATATGCATCTTGGCAATGTGCGGCAGTTCGGGGAGATGGAGAAATTCAGGTCCGACACCCGCGAGAGTTCGGAGAATAGCCAGCTTGGAGAGATTGTTCTCAAATGGCTCAAGGAGGACTTGGAAGCTAGAGGTCCTCGTAATGGACCCAGGACGGAAGCTAAGTCTTACGAGGCCTTGCAGGGCATTGGGGGATATGGCCTTGAAAAAGCCGATAGATAGCAATGGCTCGACGAGCCTATTTTATCTTCTTCTTCTTCTTCTTCTTCTTCTTCCATTTTTTTTTTTTTTCCTTTGTCGTCTAACTTACATGTTCTGATCTTCTTAGCGATTCAACAATAATGTCTCTCTTCAACCAACATGATAGGGTACACCAGGGGGGGGCTTTACGGGGCATTTAACATATACTATCGGTGTTCAACATTTTCAGGAGTTCAACATTCATGAGGCTATTTAGGATTGGGTTGGCTGGCTGGCCTTTTTTTTTTTTTTTTTTTTGTATGTTTTTTTTAACATAGACATCTTGATCTTGTTCATGATATGGGTATCATATCCGCGATGCTGTATATACGTATCGAGGTATCCTCGCTTGCCACTGCAAGCTCGAAATTCAACTTATCGCCTCCCACCTCACCACTGATTTGTGGTAGAGGCCGCCATAATAGTTCCGTGATCGTTTTAGATGGTGACACATCTTTATCAAGGCTCGCTACTGGAGTGGATTCAAGGGTTTCGGTGGAAACTTGATGGATTGATAGCGTGCCGTTATCCTCTCCCGTTGCAAGGAAGAAAGCACCATTGTAAGTCTGTGCGAGGAATGCAACAGCAGTCACTGAGCTTTTCATGGAGATAGTTGACTTGCACTCGAACGACTCCCCGACTAATTGCCATAACTTAACCGACTTATCTCGGCCAGCCGTCGCAAATATCGGGGGCTGGTTCTCTAGCATGGGAGCCCAGTCCGCGTCGAGAATCATTCGGGAATGGCCCCTCGGGTTCGATGTCATAAGGGCAAATGTTGAGGGATCGGATTCGCTTCGACGGTAAACTGCCCACTGACGGTCACGTCCAACACTCAGAAGATATTTGTCATCCGTAGAGAAGCACAGATCTGTAATGGTCAAGGTGTGTGCTGCAAGGGAGGGTCGAATCTCGTGCCAATCCGAGGTGTCGTACAGTCGCACTACGGCATGATCTATCGAGCTTGCCTTGCAGGCGGTAGCGATGAGAGTGCGATCGTGGCTAACAGCCACGGCTGAAATTTCGTAGCCGTGGCCGTAGAGTTTCTCGTGCTCAGGCCACAATGTGTAACGAGCCAGTTGGTCTTCGAGAGGGGGTTGCGTGGAGTTTGATAGAATCTCTTGATTCGCATGGGCCTGTCCAACATCCACGCTGTCCACAACATCTGCGTCAGCAGGCGCTTGTTCGCCGACAGCTTGATTAGACAATCCTAGAACCGGAATATGGGCGGTATCCGGGAGATCTCCCTCCGGAGACTGGTGGAAATCACATAGTCTCTCCAGGAGCTGCGCAATTGGCTTGGGTTCGTTGAATACTCGTAGGAGTTTTTCTTCTGCGCCCGACACAAAACGTGTGGGACCCAATGTGTCGACGCAGTTTAGATCATAGCCGTGGATTTGTGGCCGCGAGAATTCATGCCATGACTTAATGCCGTGTCGATTCCATTGTGCATGAAGGCGTGTAGTTTGGTCAGCGCTTGTTGAAAGAAGATATCCACCAGAAGGCTCCCATTGAATTCCGTTGGCTGATCGTACATGCCCAGTGATACCGAGTATCTGAACCCAGACATCCATTTCGGCTTCATACCTCCACGCCCTCCAGCTGCCTGTACGCCCGAGACTCACAACCTGATTGCCGTCTGGAGACCAGAGGCCAATCCAAAATCCACCGGTACTTCCCGTAGCGGTAGTAGAACCCTTCTGCACGCTAATCTCTCCCATCCTTTCCGCCGAAAGCCACACTCCAGACACCGGATCTTGCTCCCAAATAGTCAAAGTATTGTCAGCAGAGGCGGTGAGAAGCTGTTGACGCTCGGGGTTGGGGTTCCATGTAGTGGTATAAACCCAATCTTCATTCCCAAATAGAAGGGCTTCAAATGTGACGGAGTATTTGGATCCAGCGGCTCCAAATTGGTGGGCTTTGTTGGACAAGGTTGGCTCAAGACCGCCCAGAACGGCATCGGCGTCATCTCCTACTGACGGACGAGACACTTCACCGCGATTGAAGCGCCATAGTCGAACGTATTTATCCTGGCTAGCGGACGCAAGCAGAAGGTCTCCTGCTTTATTCCCCTTGTCTGCGGTGAAAGAGAGCGAGCGAACCCAAGCTTCATGCCCCGAGAGTGTAGCAGAGATCTTGAAATTAGTTGTCGCAATGGTGCTTTCAGCAGCGTAAACCTGCACGACGTTGGTGGTGCCTGCAACTGCCAACGCCATGGGCCGGTCTTGCGATTCTGTCGGAAGTAGCGCCAAGGCCAGTGCTAGAGGGAAATACCGGGGCTTCATGGGTATAGTTTCCAGTAAATCTGCCTTCACCGATTCTCCAACGGTTACCCTCCGTATTATCACCGTCCCGTCTGCTGCGCCAGTGGCAATGACGTCTGCGCCTGCGGTTGTCGCAATCGCATTTACCGACCCCGTGTGGCCCTCTAGCGTAAGGACAGGAGCAAATCGTTTGGGGTCGGATTGATCAGCTTGCCATATCCGAACAGTATGGTCGACAGCGCCAGTCAGAAGAAGTTTCGTGCCGGTGGTGGGACAGGTGTAAAATCTAACGACGTTGACCTTCTCAGTATGACCGACGAGGACGGAGTACGCCCCACGGTTGGATGCATCCTGTATTCAATATCCATCATTCAGTCAGGTACGACCATTTTCAAAAGACAACCGCCAGAACTACATGGAGTACATACCCTGGGCTCCCACAAAGCGACATTATTATCTGCGCCATAGGCGAGCACCCCAGACTGAACATCCCAATCCGCAGCAGCGGGGTGCCTATTTCCGCCAACGCTGATATACTCAGCGGTGATCGAAACCATGAAGTAAGCAGACTTGAAACCAATCTGTCTCTCAGACGAAGTTAATGGGAGGGTCGTGGTGGAGGAGTGTAGAAGCGGAGAAAAGACAAGCTCCCGCAATTGGAGCCAGACTGGGCAACGACCGACTTTTTCCTGTGCCTTATCGATAACGAGCAAGAGAGAGACAGACGAACCCCTCCATCCATTCGTCTTTCTCTCCCCCGTTTTTCTTTCTTCGATCGAGACAACAAGGGACAACCCCTCCGTTAATATTTATTAAGAGTAATCATTGCTCATTTTACCGCCCCCTTTTGCTCCAAAGTATGGCTACAGAAGTCCCTGCAGGCTCCCCTGTGGTGGGGAAAGACTCGGAGTCCATTGCATTCACAGTCGAGTTCACGTACAGTTTGCCCGTTGGTTCGCAATTACTCTACTTGATGAGATGCTAACCTACAGATTACAGAGGTGGTCTAGAAATCCTCTTCGCCAACGAGCGCAAGCATAAAGTGACTCTACCGGCTCAGTTGAGCAACGGCAGCCGACCAAACCTCGCCTTCCTTCTCCAGTACCTCGTCAATAACCTGATGAAGGATCAGAGAAAAGAACTGTTTGTAATGGAGGAGAACGTGTAGGTGGCTATCAAATTAATTGGCCTACAATCCCAGCTAATCATGATGACAGACGACCGGGCATTCTCGTCCTCATTAACGACGCCGACTGGGAACTAGAAGGAGAGGAGAAGTATGAAATTCAACAAGGAGATAATATCGTATTCGTTTCTACGCTGCATGGAGGATAGGCTTAATCTAATATTCTACGCAAACGACCAACCCGTCCATGTCCATTTCCAGGCACTATATATACTCAAAAAGAAACCAAGTGGTTTGGGATCAAACCACGTCCTCCACGTGCTGCTGCGAGATTCGCTCCGGCTCACGAGGGGTCCGAATGCCGCCTTGTGGTGTTGAGAAACCTTCCTTTGGGCTTCCTATTCCTTGGAACAGGGGTGTTGTAACTCCACTCGGAGGTACCGGAATCTTTATATCTTCGGGCGAGCCGGGAATGATTTCATTGGGAAGACCAGGAACATGGATTCTGCGCGCCTCATTCTGGTAGCTTTCGGGGATAATCTGAACAACAATCAGTCAAATGTAGTTTGGTTTTATGCGGTGAGAATAAAGTACCTCAATGATTTCATCCCGTGGGAATTCTAGGAATGGAATATCTGCTGCATTGCATGCCATAAGGTACCCGTACAGAACCCTCAACACGCTTTCGTGAGCGATAATCAACAAGTCATTTTGCTCGCGTTCGAGCTCCAAAATGATAGGCTCAAGTCGTACCGCAAGATCATGGTATGACTAGCAAACTAATTAGCCCACATCATGTGTACAATCGAAAGATGGTCTCACCTCCGCGCGGGGATATCTATGGTGGTAAGGATCAAGCTCATGTTTGGCTACCTCTTCGGGGTATTCTTGGCGAATTCTTCTCTCTGACTTCATCTCGCAAACACCAGGATTCAGTTGGCTCAGTTGCGACCTTTGCCGAACTTTGTAGCCTTTTTCGTGCAAATACTTTGCAGTCTCAACGGTCCTACGTCTTGTTGAGGTCCAAACAGTCAAGGGTTTCAGCGCGTAGTCCGGCTCTGCTTGATCCACCATTGCCTGTTTTTCAGACTCTCTATGCTTCAGCAGAATCTCAGTCATCTTCTTGGCATAATCTTCGCCTTTTTCAGAGAGAGGTCCATCTGCTTTGTAGGAATTCGCATCGACCGAAACACCGGCCTAGTAGTCCAAAATTCGTCAGAGAACCGTTTGTATACTTTGGATTAACCCTTAGCTTGCGACTTACCCGTGCAAAGTACGTGTGTCGAGACTTGATATGAAGATTAAGAAGGTAGAACACAATCCGATTCGAAAGATAACCAAAACTTCTGTTGTTGACTATCAGTCTTTCTCCCGCATTGATCATCCATAGAAAAGTTAGCCAGAACGCGAAAGTTGGTGCCGTGGAAATTATACTTTAATGTAGTTCAAGTCCTTCTCTTCCATAGTATGAAACTGAGGGATACGAGCAGATATCCTCGCCAGATAATGTTTAACAGCATCTTCCGACGTCCACCCAACATACTGCTACTGAATCAGTGTGACTGCTCGATAGCTCCGCTGCTTTAGCAATAATAATACTGACATCAGGAGATGAAATTTTGACCCTCCGCACGTTCTCTTCGATAATGCGGCTATCATCACACCATGATTCGATGAACAATGTCTATATAAGGGAACTAGTTAGTCGACCTATCAGTCCGTGGAGGAAAGCGTAACGCACCTCAAATTCGTGCTTAGCGAACTCATTCGCTAATGACCTCCGTCCCGCGGCTGATGGGTTAACAGCGTCATAAATTGCAATTTGTCCATTTTCTTCATTCAGGAACCGGTAAATATCCTCGCGACACCTTTTAACAATCTTTTGCCTCAGCAAAACTGACGACGCGGAGGCTAGCACGAGATTAGTAGGGGAGTCTTCAAAAGTAAGATTCAAAGAAAACTCCCTGCCATACCGTTCACAAAAAAATAGTCATCCGGAATATCCTGGCCATAGGGAATCGTAGCTCGTCGGTAATCTCCTAGGTGGAAGATCCGTGTCTTAACACCCAACCTACACGGCGATTAGACCGAATCTAAAGCGAAATATGAACTAAAGGAACGTTCTAACTCACCAGCGAAGATAGCGGGCCATTGCGACAGACATATGCCTAAGACAAGTCAGGTAAAAAGCATTCGAGCAGTGCTAATCCTGTATGGTCAAACATACGTCTTGCCCCGCGCAGGCAGGCCTACAGTGATTATGACAATCCGACCTGAGTGGAAAAGCCTACCAGACTCGGTACTGTAGAGCTGCGCCGGCGCCAGGTCGGCCTTTTCCGGTAAGTCATGAATTGCATCGACAAATGTCGACGACTTGCGCCGAAATCGCGGGGAGCTGGCGACAATGTCTGCGGTTCTATTTACTGATGTTAGGTCACATAAGGACTCGTTTTCTTCGCAGAGGACCGGGTAGAATATTATAGGATCGGAGAAATGCAACAAACACAGATTGACAAGGCTTACAAAAGAGTATCCATGGTGATAGGTAGCGGTAAATGCCCAACGTCCAATTCATACAAAATGGGAAGCAGGGATCATGGAAGTCGTCGGACAGCGGGCAGAATGCAAGAATAATATTAGTTTTTTCTTTTAGCACAAGTGATAATAATGATCTGTCCAAAAGTCTAGTTTCAAAGTGAAAAAAAAGAAAATCGTTTCTCGTGAAAAGCTTGGTTCGAGGGGAAAAGAAAGGAGGTACGTTAGCCCAACCAGAGTGCCAACTAAACGATGTCAAAGTTAAGCATCCAAAGGGACGGTCGGGGTCGCAGAGAGTCACTCCCAATGGTGACTAAATGCAGCTGAAGACGGGATCCATAAGAATTCCGATCGAACTGTCAATCCCACAAAAGCAGGTCAAAAAAAATGAAAGCGAAGAAAGCGAAGATGAGAGAAGTAAATACGAGAGAGAAGTATCGTCATTCATGATGCATTATATCATCTCGGCCAAACAGAAAATCCCGATCCGAAGTCCGACACGGCGACGCATAGTAACCAAAGACGCAGGCCGGGCGGAAAAGCAAAACAGGTGACTTTTTTCAACGCGGGACTGAAGCTTCTGGATGCGAATTATTCTCACCAGCCATTAACCCAACCTGCCCTGGTACTTTTTCCCTCTTTGCCATCTCACTCCCTCCACTTGAACAGGCGATACAAAGCCTGTTCCCTTGAGATCGTTTAGCCAAGACTCCTGATCTTGTTCCTTTAAACCCCAGGTGCAATCTCGGAGCTGATCTCAAATTCTTTCTTTCCCTTTTTACCACCGACACCGGCCACTTCTCACCACCACCGAATCCCTTACCCTCCAAGTATCTCGTGTCGACATCGACTCCTCTCTAAATAGCCATCATGGCCGAATTCCTGACTCCCCCTTCTTTCCTTACGGACAATGCCGTCGCCGCGGCTCTCAAGGATGCATACACCTCTTTCTCAGACCGCAGGGCGGCCCTCGGCCTGTCTAACCCAGGAACCATCGATAACATCTCCAGGGAGGTGCAGAAAGAAGTCCTGCTATCCAATTTCATGTTTACCGGTCTCCGTGCGGACTTGACAAAGGTTTTCGGCATGTCTCCTCTCTTCCGTGTGTCGCATGCCTTCTCCATGGGCTCATCGGGAAATATGACCCCGTACGCGTTCTCCGCCATGTACGGAACCCCCAAGGTAAGAAGAAACTCAATTAATCCATATTTTCCGCGGTATTTGATGCTGAGTGATGGGGTTGGTGGATAGGTCTTCATGCAAGGTAACTTCGGCAGTGACGGTGCCCTTGCCGCCGTCGGCAATTATCGCTGGACCCCCAAGCTGGTCACCAAGACCAACACTCAGATCATGGCTGGAGCCAGCCAGGGTCTGATGCAGATTGACAATGACTACACCGGCGATGACTTTAGTGCTTCTCTCAAGGCGTTCAATCCCTCGTGCTTGGAGGGCGGTCTTACTGGAATTTTCGTTGGAAGCTACCTTCAGTCTGTTACCCCCAGCCTGGCTCTTGGTTTCGAGGCGATCTGGCAGCGACAAGGCATGACTACCCGTCCCGACACCGCCATCTCATACAGCGCCCGATACAAGAGCGACGACTGGATCGCCAGTGCTCAGCTGCAGGCCCAGGGTGTCTTGACTGCTTCTTACTGGAGGAAGATCTCCGAACGGGTGGAGGCTGGAGTTGATATGAACCTCCAGTTCGCACCCAACGCCGCTGCCGCTATGATGGGTGGGCCCAGCAGAGATGGCACTACTGCCATTGGTGCCAAGTACGACTTCCGTGCTTCCACATTCCGTGCTCAGGTTGACAGCACCGGAAAGGTCAGCTGTCTCCTGGAGAAGCGGATAGCGATGCCTATTTCGCTCACATTCGCTGGTGAGATTGATCAGGCCAAGGTAAGTCACGTTTTTTTCTCTCGTCCCAGTGAGTTCAGATACTAATCCGAGATTTCCTTGTAGCAATCGGCTAAGCTCGGTCTTGCTGTCTCCCTTGAGATCGCTGGCGAGGAATTGATGGAGCAGCAAGAGAAGGTGGAGGCTCAAGGAATGACCCCTCCTCCTTTCTAAAAAAAAAAATAACAAAAAGCAAAAGATCTCTCTTACCCATCTCTGAGGCTAATCAAGTCCACCTCGCAGTGAGAGGGTAGAGCTATTGCTCTTACCCTGCCTTTCAGCTTATACCTCTTCACCCATTGTTTTACTAGCTCTTCACCCCCCTCCCCCGTGTGCATGTTTGGAAGATGGAGTGTTGCCTCGGTTTATCCACTATTAAATACGGTTTGTTGGTCAATGGAGGCAGTCATTTGGCGCCACGGAACCAATTTTGTATAGATCCGATCTTCGTCTCTTTTTCTTTTTTTCGTCTGATGTTTTTTTTTTTGTTAATGGCCTTACCTATGGACTGTTGACCTGTTTTCTTGTTGTTATTGTTATAGTTCCTTCTGATGACTATCTTGGCTGGTCAACGGGGGCTGCTCAGGATGCATGGAAGCACTCGCAGGAATGTCTTATTCTTTGTTTATGCATCATAGATGGGCAATGTAAAACATATTTGTTAACTTGAAAGAAAAGAAACTTTAGATGCTAATATCCACAAGGCAACAGTTCCTCTTGTTTGGGTATGGTAGGCCCAGACCCTCTCAGTATATACAGTGAGTAGACACGTATAGAGTACTAATCCTCAGACTAACCAAAGGAATGACCCTTCCATGGAGAAACCGAACCCTATTACTATCTGTAGTTAGTGACCACCTCTCGCTCTTTCTGTGTGTGGCTCATACAGACAACTGGAAAGCACTACGGCATTACGGAGTAAAAGCTGTAAACAACTAATCTACCTAGTTAACCTAAGTAACCCCCACTGTACTAAATAGTTACTAGTAGTAGTAGTAGTAGTAGTAGTAGTAGTAGTAGTAGTAGTAGTAGTAGTCTATAGGTATATATATCCAAGTACAGCAGCAGGTACGGAGTACATGGACCGTCGCTAGTAGGAGAAGTCAACAGATAACCTCGGTATACTCAGGTATATCCGACAACGGTTAAACGGGTTTGTCGATCCAAGCCCAAATGGTGGGTTTGTCGTGGGGATATTGTTGAATCACAATATCCGTATTTATCTTTTTTTTTCCCGCTGCGAGGGGAAGGGAAATGAACCATACCATCCATGGTCGAGGATTTTTTTTTTACGACCTAAGGATACCTAGGTAGGTAGTAGTTAAGTACCGTACGGAGTACTCTGTTGATGAGATACTGAATGGAGCAGTGTGATTGGTGATTAGCAAGCAGAGCAGATCCACTGATGATGTCATTTAGTTTTCTTGTGATTTTTTCCTTGCTTGTCTCTATTTTTTTTGTGTGTGTGTGTGTGTGTGTGTGTGTGTACATATCTTAGGATCATGCATTATTTTATATACTCTCTATAAAATTAACTATATCCATTGGAGCCTTTTGAGTTAAGGGTTATTATTCTGTAAGTAACATCCAGGAATACCCCCCTTTTATTAAAAGAACAAAATCAATGGACTCGACTCGGATGATCGCATACGCATACCAAAGAAAGGGCAGCAGCAGGATAAGCGGCAGTGCACATTTTGTACCACATCGTCTTCAGCGTTCGCTTGCTGACCGCGCAGCGTGCCATGATCATACCTAGGTAGGTAACTTGTACTCTGCAAGTTGTAAGCAAGCCAAGAAAGGGGGCGACAAGCTGGAAACTACCGATATCTCGAGACAAAAACGGCTTCCGGGAGATGTTGTAGTTATATAGTTATACAAAACATCGCTCGCCTCGCCTCTCTATGACACACGATCGATAACAGATAACTAACCTGTATGGTTCAATATAGGTCTAGAGCGTAACGTGTGGAGTTTCCCCGTTGCGGATTACCACAGCCGAAACACTTAGTTAAGCCACATCAATTATATATAGCTATACGGGATGAGGGTAATTATTACGGCTTTGCAAAGTAGGGCTGTATTCCGAGAAGTACGTATACCTGCCTAAATTACCCGAGTACATCCAGCAGACTCAACGTCGAGGGCTACTGTAGTTATAGTAACAGCCGGAAGCCGAGAGAACGCTCAGCTAGATTCCCGTCCCGGGTCGTAAGGTAAATCGAATATCGGGATCCAACCGATCATGGGTTGAAGGGGAGAAACAAAGGGGGAAGAAAAAAAAAAAAAGGGGAAGAAAAAGAAAAGAAAAAGGCAGATGAATAAGTTGATCTCTACTCTGGTCTGATTGAGCAGCAGGACAAGGATTATACATAGTGGGGGTTTAATTTCTTACAATATCAAGACTCCCAATGCTTCGGGCCTGTGATCACCCGGAACATGAGACTGGAATTTGATCTGCTGACCGTTGTTTGGTGCAGTGATTCAGGAAGAGCACGAGTCTTAGTATGTCCAGTTGTTGTAGGTAATTCTGGCTTGGGAAGTAACAATAAAACAGGACTCAAATAGTCCGGATAGTCTTTTGATGATACAGAGTGGATCAAAGAGTTGAACTGCCCCGAAACTCAATTTGAACCTTGAATGACAAGGAATGTTATGATATGGCTTGACAGAGATCTATAACAGTAACAGTGGCTGTGAAACCTTGACTGTAGCACCGCCGGCCAGCCTTGCTAATGTCCTATGTACACCCACACTAACTAGTTACTCAGTACAAGTATTACATATCAGAGTACAGCACTGTGGCATTAATAGGACTTCATTGTCTGAGCTTACTATAGTGGTGTGTGTTAACTATTCTTGTCCTCCGGCCGATGACAGACTCAGACAGAGTCCAGGTGATCAACGGCGATGCGCCCTCTGACAGAATAGTTCGTGAGGAAATTGATCGACTTGGCTTGATCATGTCGTACGTTTTCCGAGCATACCATTAATATAACATTCACAACAGCCCAATTTTTGGTGTATTCCACCTTACTAAGCCAGAGTTATAATTCGACTTAAGTAGTTAGTTTAGTGAGTTAAGTTACAAATAATCAATGACTTTCACACTGTTATCCTAGCCCAACAGCTCTGTGGTGAGAGGCATGTGTTGGGTATTAAGAGGACTGTTATAAGGTACCTAGGTAGGTAGGTTAGGTAGCTACTAGGGTGGTTAGCAGCGCTATACTCACAGGACCAGGAAGTAAATACTTAGTAGTACATAAAGAAGTATTATGATTTGGTAAGGTACTCGTATTTCTTGATGTTCAGCGAAAAGTACAGTAACCATTCACATGTAGTACTAGTAGTAGTTAGTAGTAGTAGAAATGTATTATTGGGTACCTATGTAGGCCCATAGTACTAGTTAAGGAATCGGAGCACGCTCCAGGATCATACTACTAAGTACTTAGGTGCTCTGGCTTGAAGTACTAAGCAGTGCAGCAGAGTACAGAAACAGACATTGCATATAAATATGCCTCAACAGAGTTCAATAATAAGTACAAATTCTACCTGCAGTGTTACGAGGATGAGGTTCCTTCCAGATGAATCAGCCACCTCAATGCCCGCCGGTGCTGCAAGAGGATTAAAAAAAGGAAAGAGAAAAAAAAAGACAGAAAGCTGCCCCTGAAAAAAAGTACGAAAAACGGTCTAGACAAAGCTATGACTGGATAAAGCGAAACCACGACGTCTCCTATCATTATTTCCTTATCTTAGATTCCAATCCTAATTCTTAGCTTCGTGCTGGTCCCCAAGACCTGGGATTTGGGAAGTGGTACGTTCCTCTTTAGCGTCTCTATCCCTGTACCTATCTAGGTAGACTGAAGTTCCCGACAGTTTTGGATTTTCCTTATTATAGACTATGAAGAGAGAGAGAATGTGTGCGTGATGTCAATTATCCTGGTACTGTGTCAAAATTTTAGCCAATAGGGAAGGGAATCTGAGGTTCCTAGTTATCGCTGAGGCATTATTTTGATGACCTATGTTTCATCTCGAAAATAATAGGACTTTGTTTTGAGCTGCCTTCTTTTCTTTCTCTTCATTGTTCTAGAATTCCGTAACTCCAGTTAGGTGGTCATGACTGACGCCTACTTCGAATCCGGAGTATTTTTGCGTCACGAGCTACTGGCAGACAGCACACCAAAGCGCTGAGGATACTTGCCACCGTTGGCTGATTTCAATCTATTGTCATAAACCACTTGGATGTACATTTGTTGGGGGTTTGTCTCCTTCCTTTTCTTCTTCTTCTTCTTCTCCTGATTCCATACTATCTACAATCCATATCAGGGGAGATTGTAAAATTAGATACGATAGTATAAAGTTGACCAGCTCCCCCCTGAGAGGTTATCAACAATAGTTTGGAAAGTGGCCCAAGATCGGCCCGAGAAGCGAGTCTCGATCCTAGTAGGACGGAGACAAGCCGTTTCCCATCCTGTATTTCAGTTCCAGAAAAGTAAGCTGGTATGCAAGGTAAAAAAAAAAATAATCATCCTACATATGAGATGATATTGACAGGCAAGGGAGCAGCCAGAGTCGCCTCTCTCATGCACGAGGAACACCTGGCCCAAATCTTGTTCTTGTCATAGAACAGATGGCGCGGCATCGGACTGTACATCCTTTTGGCTGGATGTACGGAGGACGATGTAGTACAGTGCACATCGTACATCGTACACACATACACGCATACGCAGCCCTGGAGGGAAAATGTATTTGTTGGACAAGGATGCTGCAAGTTATTGGAAAATGCACTAACAAACTCTGACCACTTGCATTTGGACGGCCGCTGGATTAAGAGGCATTAGTTGGGATGCTGTGCTTCAGGTGATCAGCTGCGGCATGATTCGGGACTAAATAAAGAACCTCCCTGAGTCTGATCTGGTCATTCGCCTCGTTAGTTGTGACTGAACGAGCTAAGAACAGAACACGGCGAAGGGGAAAGGTAACGATACCTACGTCGGTCAGGCCTAAATTCTTCTTCTGGACTTTCTGTTGTTGATAATAATAGTTCTAAATATGTAAAAGCTGACCGTCGACTCGTTGCTCTATCCATTATTCAAGGACTATTGCTCGAAGCTCATGTGGATGAATGAATCCTGGCTGAACTCCACTTGTTACAATAAAACATGGGGATCAAAAGCGACTACTTTTTAGTCCTGGGCGTTGGGAAATGTACTCCGTAGAATCTAGATTAATCATACCCCGGAGTCACAGCTCTGCCATTCCCAAGGTTGCACTATCTAGTACCTAGGTAATCGCGAGGCTAACAGATATTTATCTCTCTATTTACCTCTCAAGCATATAGAATATTACTTAGTGCTCACAGAAGACAAAGAGCTGATGCATTTTAGGAATTGATAGTTGATTGAAATCAATCCTAAATTGGTCACCGGACCACCACTGATCCCAGTGACTTTTGTTAAGAGCATGGCATTGTATGTTAAAAAAAAAAAAACCCAAAAAAAAAAACAACCGTTCAAACCTACTTGTCCTGAGATCATCACGAAACCCTCGTCATATCTCCCGGAGATGGAGGGAGGTGAGGACACGGTGCTCTTCCCAAAGCTCTCTAGTCCTAGGTACTCCGTAGCATGCTTGTCACAAGAATACCCACCACCAGGGTCTGTCTAATTTGGAGCTTCTAACCAGTATCCACAATCAGTAACTTGTTTACGGTAAGTAGAAAGCGCTTCGAGGTTCTCCTTTTCTGGCGCCGCCCAGACAATGAGGCTACTAGTACGCACGGAGTATATGCCCTGGCGAGAAGTGGTTCTTAATATGACTATGGAATATGGATGGAGCGTTTAATCTGAAGGTATAGTAGGTGTTACCTAGTAGGTACTAGTAGTATTGTCCGATCGTGTAATTACCTAGGTACGGTACGGAGGAGGCAACAGGGGCAACCAATAAAACCGGTCCGAGTGAAAATCAGACCTGGTCACTTGACACTGCTGGACCAAACACATGGCACGTCTGTCTCTGTCACCGGAACTCCCAAGTAAGCGTGTAATCTTCTCCACTACGTCTTCAACCTCTTCGTACTAATTAGTAGTTACGTGAGTGAGCTGCGACATATATTTCATGATCCTTGGCGTTTTGGGGGGGGGGGGGGGGGGGAGAGGGTTATTGACGAGGAATGAAAACAAAGCGAGGCAATTGTTCAATGGGTTCTTTTATACTATATATACTATTATCAAGAGTCTACCTAGGTAACTACCTAGATAACCTTTCCTAAGTAGAAGTACGTAGTACTATATTCTCCAATCCAAGCAATGGAATATAGAAGTTGAGATAAGTCTCAATTAAATCAATTATCATGGCTGTCACGCATTGAGCTTCTCCCATGGTCCAAGCTCGACTCCTTAGCCCCATCTTCCCTCTCGGGGGGCACAAGAACATCGTGATCCTGGTGGCCCGTCAAACCACCTCTGGACCTGACATAACTACCTAGGTATCTACTACCCAGGCTCAACAAATTTCTCTCCCGGATTGGTCAAGGCCAAGGGAGAAAATTCCCCAGCCTGTTGATTCTCAATGGTAGATTTAACGAGGGCCGTCATGTCCCAACCAGGGAAATTTTTCTGTAGCATTGGTCCAAACCTCATAGTTTTGTTCACGACCTAGTACCTTCTCGGGTAGTCTCAACTCAAGCGCGCTTGGGATCAAGGTCATCTGGCCTGTCGTATGGAGCCTTCTCCCAGCGCAGTAATTGGTTACCCACTTTGTGTCTTACGCTCAATCTCAGTGGTTCCACATCAGCCGCTCCCGTCATTGAGTGATCTACCTTTCCACGACTGAGGATGAAAGCTCGTCGTAGGTATGATGAGAGACAGAGAGAGAGAGAGAGAGAGTACCTAGGTATGTGTGTGAGAGAGAAAGAGAGAGAGAGTTCCAGATTTATAATTTAATGGATTTTTTTTTCTTGTTTCTTCATAGCTGGAAACTTGGGTCAGATACCAAAAGAATTTATTATTTTTTAAATTAATATTTCTTATATTCTACATAGTACTCCGTACAGCAAAAAAAAAAAAAAAAAAAAAAAAGGACTGTAGTCATCCATGTCGTAACAGTACCTTGCTTTCGGTAAGGGCAGGTCGCGTCAGAGGTTGCGGCTCGCCAGGTCGCCAGGTCGCCAGGTGGCTACCAAATTTGACTAGTTGGGACCAGTAATAACCAAATTTCATTACCATATGTGACAATACTAGTGGTAAGTTAGTAATATATTCTGTAAAGCTGCGGGATTCAAAATCATCTATCTGGTAGTACTGGTTATGACCAGTCATGCCCAATTTAAGTGGTAAAATACCACCTGGCGAGACAAGATTTGGTATGGTATACTTTTCATGGTATATTACAGTAGAATATATATCTAGTTATTACTAGTAATATCTAGAAGTTCTAGTACTACTAGTAATTACTAGTAGTACTAGAACTTCTAATTATAATTAATAAAAATAAATATATACTAATCTTTTCTAATAATCTATATCTTTTATCTAGATAGTAGTAACTAGAGATTCTAATAATTACTAGATATTACTAGTAATAACTAGAATTTCTAATTTTATTAGTAATTACTAGTAGTACTAGAACTTCTAATTATAATTAATAAAAATAAATATATACTAATCTTTTCTAATAATCTATATCTTTTATCTAGATAGTAGTAACTAGAGATTCTAATAATTACTAGATATTACTAGTAATAACTAGAATTTCTAATTTTATTAGTAATTACTAGTAGTACTAGAACTTCTAATTATAATTAATAAAAATAAATATATACTAATCTTTTCTAATAATTTATATTTTTTATCTAGATAATAGTAACTAGAGATTCTAATAATTACTAGATATTACTAGTAATAACTAGAATTTCTAATTTTATTAGTAGTTACTAGTAATTACTAGAACCTCTAGTTATAATTAATAAAAATAAATATATACTAATCTTTTCTCGTAATCTATATCTTATTATCTACATAATAGTAACTAAAGATTCTAGTAATTACTAGTAAATACTAATAAAATTAGAAATTCTAGTAATTACTAGTAATACCTAGTAATTATTAATAAGATTAATTCTTTTTTAAAAATAATTATAATAATCTAATCTAGATATATATTTTACTTAAGTAAGTACTAGTCTTGACTAGTCTTAACTAGAAATAATATACTGTATTATACCATGAAAAGTATACCATACCAAATCTTGTCTCACCAGGTGGTATTTTACCACTTAAATTGGGCATGACTAGTCATAACCAGTACTACCAGATAGATGATTTTGAATCCCGCAGCTTTACAGAATATATTACTAACTTACCACTAGTATTGTCACATATGGTAATGAAATTTGGTCATTACCAGTCCTACCTGGTCCCAACTCGTCAAATTTGGTAGCCACCTGGCGACCTGGCGACCTGGCGAGCTGTACATTCGTCGCGTCATACCCTCTCCTCTCTTCCCATGACCTCGGTATTGTATTGTAAGTTACCAGACAGTACCACTACCAACCATACATACCCCTCTTTTTTAGACTTCCCTACAGAGAGTATCGCTCACTGCCGGAAATCGAGAAACCAAAAGGTTGGTTCTGGTTTACTCTGAAGTACGTTAATAATCCCAGTGCAAGCACTTAACTATTAGATAGGTTCCCTCTTATTCTCCCTTCTTCTAACCGTAGATTCTAGAGGAAGTTGCAGGAGGACGATTTATTATTATCTTAAGAACTAACGCTACTGTGTAAAATTTACTATCTATATGCCGGCGTCCATAAACAGAAATCCTTCAATTCTAACCATGCGAATAATAATCCCAGCCATCATCATCCACACCCATCCTTTTGCCTCTCCACATACTGTCACAGCTCCGGGCTCATTACCCAGACTATCCCAAGTCACTAACTCACTAACCACTCACCATTCCCGCCCCTCCCAAACTATCGTAACTACCAGATATTCGGACTGGCCCTTTTTTTCCCACCTTTGCTTTTCTTCATTTTAATTCTTTTAGGAATCTCTAGAAGGGAAAAAAAAAAATTCACTCTCCATTGAATTCCTTTTCCTCCTTCCTTGGAACAATTTCCCCAGTTTTGTTGGAATTCTGACTTGTCTGGAAGTGGGCTCTTTGGATCTGCTTGCCCTCCCTTCCTCCTCTCCTCCCGGTGCTTTATTCCCGCGTTCCTGCAGCCCTCGCGTGTTTGGGCTTCGTCGCTCCATCAACGTCACCTGCTCACTCACTCTACTATTACCTACTTTACTTACTGTCTCTCTTATTATTCTTCCCTCTCCGTCCATCCCTCCCTTTTTAGCACCACCTGGGCTTCCTTTTAATACCTTACCCAGAAACCCGCCTTTCTTTGCATCTTCCCTACCACGCTTTCTCTGTGTCTTTCTCTCTCTCTCTCTCTCTCTCTCTGGTTTTGGCTTGAATTAATTCCTCTCTTCCTCGAATCATTATCTACTCTTCTTTTTCTCTTTCATTCTCCCCCTCCCCCTTCTTACTTTTTTTTTCTCCTCTTTCCTCCTCCCTTCCCATTATTACCTAACTTCTCCATCTCTCTTCCCTCCCAAAGAAGACCTAACCTACGGCCGGCTTTCCCTGCTCTGCACTGGTCCGGTATCTGTACTTCTTGGCATACCGTTCAACTCGATTGGTCCTGGGTTTAAGCCTACTGCGATTTGCTCGTCCCTAAATCTTGAGTGTCGATTCTCAACCTTTCATCTCACGCGCACCTCCACCCAACATCCACAACATCCACCGCTCGGAGATTCCGCCCATCCAGCACACCCCTCCTCCCAACTCGTGCTCCACCGATCACAGTCTGCCCACAACGGACCTCACACCTTACTTTTACCTCCTCTCCCGTCACCCGCTATTAAAGTGCAGTCCGCCGTACTCTCGATAGCACTTCCCGATTCCTCGCCCGCCGTCACCTCCACCAGATTGCCCGTGATGTCACAAAAGCCCGGGGTGTTTTCGAACTTGCGCATGGGTGGTAAGAATTCCCGTCATTCTTTTCCTGCCGCCGTGGTATAGGTTACTGACTCATACCTACTTTTGCGGCCTCCAGAAGTGGTTCGTGAAAAAGTCCAAGATGGGCTCACAGGGGAAACTAAAGAGATACAATATTCGCAATGCAAAATCGTCGGCAATGGATCGTTCGGAGTAGTCTTCCAGACAAAGATGATGCCCAGCGGCGAAGATGCTGCCATCAAACGAGTTCTCCAAGACAAGCGTTTCAAAGTATGTACCTAGTGATGTCCTTGTGTCTTCTCAGTCTTTGGTCCCTGACACGACACCAGAACCGTGAGTTACAGATCATGAGGATTGTGCGCCACCCAAATATTGTAGAACTCAAGGCATTCTACTATTCGAACGGCGAAAGAGTACGTCCCCCCCCTCCCCCGGGCGAATTACTATGTCTTTTTCATGTCGGGAGTTATTTGGCTGATCGCATGACGATATCATTATAGAAGGACGAAGTCTACCTTAATCTAGTCCTAGAATACGTACCGGAAACCGTGTATCGGGCGTCCCGCTACTTCAATAAGCAGAAGACAACCATGCCGATGTTGGAAGTGAAGCTCTACATTTACCAACTTTTCCGTTCCCTCGCATACATCCACTCACAAGGCATCTGCCACCGTGACATCAAACCCCAAAATCTTCTCCTTGATCCTGCGACCGGTATTCTCAAACTTTGTGATTTTGGATCCGCCAAAATTCTGGTCGAGAACGAGCCGAACGTTTCGTACATCTGCTCTCGCTACTACCGAGCCCCAGAGTTGATTTTTGGTGCAACAAATTACACAACCAAGATCGGTAACGACTGCGTCGCCCCAAATTATCCGTGTTGGGTAGCTAACAAGTCCCAGATGTATGGTCTACCGGTTGTGTGATGGCAGAGCTGATGCTTGGACAACCACTTTTCCCAGGAGAGTCCGGAATTGATCAACTCGTCGAGATCATCAAAGTTCTTGGTACTCCTACTCGGGAGCAGATCCGTACGATGAACCCCAATTACATGGAACACAAATTCCCCCAAATTAAGCCACACCCGTTCAATAAGGTACGGTCGCCCCGTTGAATGTTAGCGATAAAGCGATGCTAACTCGATGGCAGGTCTTCCGGAGAGCCCCGCATGAGGCTATCGATCTGATTTCTGCACTACTGGAATATACCCCGACTCAACGACTCTCCGCTATTGAAGCTATGTGCCACCCATTCTTTGACGAACTCAGAGATCCGAACACACGGCTGCCTGACTCCCGGAATCCTAATGGAGCGATAAGGGATCTTCCTAATCTCTTCGACTTCTCAAAGCACGGTATGTTTGGGTCCCCCCCCCTTTTTTTAATTCATGACTCGTTGCAATCAGTGGTTTGCTAATTTTTAATTCAAGAACTCTCGATCGCTCCTGCGATGAACAACCGACTGATTCCTCCCCACGCTCGACCTGCTCTCGAAGCCCGCGGGCTATATATCGATAACTTCAAACCCCTCACGAAGGAGGAGATGATGGCCCACCTTGACTGAGTCAGTGGTATGAGCCTATGAATTTTTACGCCTGTTCATTGTGCATTTAATACATGCACCCCTGTGCGAAGATTTGATGCCATACCATGCCAATTCATTTCCATTCATCTGGTGGTTCTTGAACTAGCAGAGGTTTATTTACACCTGTAAACCTAATCCATTGGCGAGGCATCCGGGAGCTGGCTTCTGAGTATGAGGAAATTGGGGCAAAGACAAAATGCAAGCATTTACACAAAAAAACCAAAAAAAAAAAAAATCCAAGTGAACAAGGCGGTATGATCCTTTGACAATGGGGGAAAAAAAGTTCTTTAAACCATCACAGGTTTATGCAATGGGGTGGAGATGGTGGAATATCATAGCCTGGAGTTATTGAGGTGTCTGAGACAGCTCTTGGGAGGAAAAAGTGATACCCTTCAATACTACGTGAGTCTGCCTTCCGGGATTTAAGTCTGCATAGCTTCATGTCTCGATTGAAGGGGCCATGGGTAGAGAATGCCGCAAGTCTTATGGAAAGACGGGGATGGGATGAATATCTTACAAATGGGCCTGATATCATGATGAATTTCTTTTCTTTTCTTTTCTTCTTTTTTTTTTTTTTTTTGCTTGGACGCACATCAAATGTGTACTTGTGAGTGTGCTTTGAATATAGGTGTTGGAGGTCAATCCCCCGACTTGCAGCTTTAGAATTACCCCCTTTTTTCTTCTTCTCTTTCTCATGTGCATGTATGCATCTTTATTATTGCGTTGCTGTTATTCGTGTTCTTACACTCGCTTCGCTCGATTTTAATCTCGACATTCTCATGCCTACACCCGCTCAGTCGCTACTAATGGCCCAACTACGTGACTTGGCTGACCATGAAGCTCCCTGTCGTTTAATACCGAAGCAGACAACTCCGACTTTGCATTGCGATGGCTGTTCGTTTTATACTAGAGTCTCAAGTATTACAGCAGGATCCCTGCATTTACTCGGTGTACAATCACTGTCATGTATTCTTCTCCCTCTTTCAGTCGATCCTCACATTTGCTATTTGGGTATATACTTTGTTTCCCTCTCCGTATGAGCTAGTTCAGATTCACCAGGATTTCAAACCCAAAATTCACTGGGAGCTTTTCTTTCAGCTGATCACTGGAGAGTTGACGATCATGTGTATAATAATGCTCGCTCGGGTCTTCAAGGAAAGAAAGGTCAATTTAAAAATCTTTAAAACAATATCTACCATCCACCACTCCAGTACTAGTACCGTATAGTATTTGCTCAAGTATATCCTCATTAAGAAGCAATCAATCCTATAAGAACGTCCTCTAAATGACGACAATTATCCCCCTCTGGCCCGGTGGTGATGTTAGATAATCAGCCGGACCGGAGAATTCCACATCCCGAACTGCTGCTCATGGTGTTTTTACTGCTTGACGTACGTGACCTACAGCTCCGACAATACTCCATCCTGCAAAAGAGCTTAGAGCTCTGCCCGTGTGTGCCGAATTGGCCAATATTTATCTCCTAAATCATTCTCGCACGGAGTTATTGGTGCACAAATAACCCTCGGGAGATAAACAGACCCCATGGCCGACTACGAGCGTCGACATAACGGTCCTAGGGGTGGTGGTGGTGGTGGTGGTGGGCGCAAGCGGCGCTTCAGAGGTGAGATCTCGATCCTTTTTGCAAGTGAATTAATTATTCTACTGGTTTTTTTCTTTCTTTCTTTCTTTATGTTGGGTTTCTAGCTCAGTTGGCTAATTGCTTTGTGGCATTCGCTAGAGGACGATGACTATGATCGTCGCCAGAGACGCAGATATGAGGAGCCTCTTGTTGTTAAGGTCCGAAGACAGCTGCTTACAATTGCTGAGTCGGTATGCGTGTCTTTCTTTGTCTTCGTGGTTGTTGTTTAGGAAGATATCAATTGGCTTACTTTTTTTGGGGGGTGGGGGGGTTTCTTCTAGGCTGCGAGACGGGCAGAGGATGATGCTTTGAGCATCGCGAAAAGCGTGACTGAGAACTATGAGGACGAGGAGTTGAAGGGAACTTATATTGATATTGTTCTTGATCTGTAGGTTCTGGCTTGATGGGTTCTTCCGGGGGGGGGGGGTTGGATGCGCTATCCCTTGACGAGAGGCTAATCAGGTTGTCATTATAGTATCTTAGAGCAGCCATTGAAGATCCCCTTCATCGCAACGACCGTTCTCGTCGCCAACACCCTGAAGTCAGAGGTTGCCGCTGATGTATTGAAAAAGTGCGGCGAATGTTTCCAGAAGCATGTTAATGCTGGCGCCTGGCGCGAGGTCAAGCTCCTACTACGATTTCTGGGTTGTCTACAGTGTATATTTGAAGGGGAGGGTGTGTTTTTGGTCCTGGAGGAACTATTCGCTCGTGCTGTCGACCTCCAGACGGCCTCTTCTGAGGATGTATGTGGTTCCGGTTTCTCGTCTGAGGTGTGCGTACGTATGCTGACATGTCTTTTTCTCTTCCTAGTTGCTCGGGTTAGAACTCGTCAAGGCTATCCTTTTCACCATTCCATACATCATGGCCTCGCCGGCAAAGGGACTTGAGAGCCAGGCAGCTGCCTTGCTGGAAAAGACGGATATCATTGCATCCACCCCACACGCGCTCGTGGATCTGGTGAACCCCTTCGGCCCGGATACCGAGAAGCCAACGTCTGTCCATAGCGTGATTAGCCTTATCCAGACTCAGCTACAAGCAGAGTCCGCTCAGGGCTGGGAATTGGCATGCCTGCCTCGGCCGTGGAACCATGTGCAAGACGGCGATGAAGAACCAAAACGCCTCGAAGATGGACCCAAGCACGCTTTCCCTGAAATTACTATCCCTAACCCTGTGCACAATGGAACGCGGGCGATCTTCCCCGAAGTGTATTTCTCCGTGTATGCAAACCAAGAGATTGAGACAGTTCCTCCAACGTCTGATATTGCTTCGTCTCTAATGCGAGACGTCCTCGTTGATACAATCAACATTATGGACTTCAATCGCATTGCTGCTGCCAAGTATCTGATTGATGCCGATTGCTATTTCACGCCAAAGACATTCGTGAAGCGCGCTACCCCATTTGATAGACTCCGTGATCTCGCGGGAGACCATCCGACGTGGAAGCCTGAGGACGTGGCCGTGGATGCCGTCTTCTCGCAGCTTTTCCAGCTGCCTTCCCCAGAGCACAAGCTCGTCTACTATCACTCAGTGCTCACTGAGTGCTGTAAGATTGCTCCAGCCGCGATTGCGCCAAGTTTGGGACGTGCAATCCGCTTTTTGTATGGCAGTCTTGATACAATTGACTTGGATTTAAGCCATCGTTTCCTGGATTGGTTCACTCACCACTTGAGTAACTTCGGTTTCACCTGGAAATGGAGTGAATGGTTCGTTGTATTTTTCTTTGTACTCACACGCTGTTCTGGTGCTGATATTTAATACAGGGTCGAAGATCTAGAACTTCCTGCAATCCACCCACGGATGGCATTCATTACTGGCGCTCTGGATAAGGAAATCCGGTTGAGTTTCGCGCAGCGCATTCGCGGGACGCTTCCAGACCCCTATCAGGATCTGATCTCGGAAGGAAAGGAGAAGGACACTCCCGACTTCAAGTACGCATTAGAGAGTAAGTTATCTTGATCTTGAAATTATGGAATCTTGACTAATTTCGCGCCCACTTTAAGCCACACCATATGCCAATGAAGGCAAAGAAATTATGCAGCTCATTCGCAAGAAGGCAACGGACGAGGAAATCCAGCCTTTTATCACCGCCATTGAAGAACAGGCAAAGGAACACGGGGTTGAGGATCTCTTGCTTCCCTCTACGGATGCTTTCGTTACCGCCATCTGCTTCGTTGGCTCGAAATCCCTCTCGCACGTCCTGTCGTGCATTGAGCGAAACAAGGAGCGACTACTAGCAATTGGACCCCAGTCGCCCGCTGCACGCCGCCAGATCATTACCTCCGTCATGGAGTACTGGGTCGATCAACCGGGCATCGGTATCAACATCATCGATAAGTTGCTGAACTACACCATTCTTACTCCTCTCTCCGTGATCGAGTGGGCCCTCGTCGACAAGCTCGATGCCGGAACCATCCTGGCAAAGGCGCCCATCTTCGAAATGATTTCGGCCACAGTCGGCAAGGTCACCAACCGTCTGCGCCAGATCGTCGCTGCACGCACCCAGCCAGGTCTCTACGAACCCCAACTCAGCGTCCTCGACGAGACCCTCACCCGCGAAAAGGCAGACATGCACGCGCTCTTCCGCGTCATCGAAGACTCTGTCGTCTCAGTCGCAGGCGGCTCCAACGACCAACTCATGGAACGAGGCGACGGAAGCGGCGACCTTCCCGAAGATGAAATCATCCGCCAATGGGGACAACGCTGGCTCCGTGTCTTCCGTCGCAAGGCTGCTGTCGAGGAGTCCTATATCGCAGATGCAATGGCGACCGCTACTCCGGTTGGTACAAATGCGCCTACCCCACCCCCACAGAACGAGAGTGAGAATGAAAATGGTGCCGAGGATGCCCCAGCTGCAGATGGGGACATGGATTTTGCCGATGCAGATGGACCCGTTGAGCTCTCATAGAGAGATCGGATCTGATATCCATCCATCCATCCATCTTATCTCTTTTCTCCCACCTTTTCATCTTTTTTTCCCCTCTCCCTCATCTCTGTCTCTGTTCTCCCCATGTACCTTGACTATTACTTGTTGGGCTAGGTTATCAAAGTAGCGTTGTCTGTATTGGGTATATCCACCACCATGATAAAGTCTTCATTTCATTTCATGGTCATCATTTCGTCCTGTATTTTTCCCTCTTAAATATTTGGCTCCTTGTATTCATAGCTGCATTCTCATCGACATGTCAGAAAAAAAAAAAAAGAAAGAAAGAAAGAAAGAAAGAGAAAAACACCAGACGAATATTAAACAATTTGCAAAGGAGGCTATCTTGTTCGGGGAGTTTTGCATAATATATATATATATATATATATTTATTTTTTAAGCTCATCAAAGTAACTATATACATATCTATGAATCACGGAAGTTATTTCAGATTACTTTATACTCCTGTATATCGCAATGTGATAATACTGGTGGGGACAGTCTCAGGATAATGATTTATTTCTAGCATTATTGTTCATTCTTTTCATAGATGAAGTTATGTATGTACATTCAAGAACAACCAAAAAAAAAAAAAAAAATTAAAAAACAGGATGAACAGTGATCTCACGGGATCTTTTTCAGAAGCCCAATTTGTTGGCCTCACTGGCGTATTAAAATACATAAAACGAAACCAGCATGTGGTGTAATTAATATACTAGAATTAGTGTTATACAAGACGAGGATTAGTGCCAATATTCAATAGGAAGAATGGGGGAAAGGAAGTGTTATAGGGGGGGGGGGGGGGGGGGGAAGAAAAGAAAGAAAAGAGAAAAAAAAAAAAGATAATACATCAACCTCGTAACTCACTTCAAAAGTGAAAGCCAAACCGTGTAAAAAGAGGGAAGGAAATTCGATTCAACAAGGTCTCATCTAGAGACAATGTGGATCGTTTCTTTTTGGGAACACGCTTTTGTTTTCCACAGTTTTGTCTATTTGCGGAACCCAGCCTAAACAAATCACAGGTTCTTCTTGGTACTCTCATCAGCCAGGTACTTGCGGTCATCATCACCCTCCACGGTCTTGAGGATGGTCTCCATTTCCTTGGTCTGTCTCTTCCATTCCTCCTGGTCCATCTTTGTCTCGCGACGGAAAAGCTCCTCATTAGGCTTGCGGTAGCTTCCTCCCAGGCGATCCCAAAGCGTCGTGAATTGACCGTAGTTGTAGTTAAAGTACAGATGGTGCATTGTGTGGCAGGCAGCTCCATTGACGATAGGGCTGTTCGCAACATATTCACCGTCGTGGATCATAACGGTCCAGATGTTGATGAAGCCGAAGAGGATGACGTAGGCCACCTTCTGGAGCGGGAAAATGAAGGGGAATACGTGATAAGGAACGCTCTGAGACCAGCCGTCGATGGGGTGGAAGGCATGCGAGGCGAATGGGCTAGGCATGATCCACTTGTGATGAGGCTTGTGAAGAGTCTTGTAGATCAGAGGGTGGTGCAGGCCACGATGAATCCAGTAGATGAAGAAATCAGTGAAGATAATGAAGATCGGGAACTGGAGAATGCTGTAGTAGGGGAAGGGCTCCTCCGAGAAGGTATCGTAGAGTTTGGCGTATCCGCGGACTTCGGCAACCAAGAAAGGGGCAGTGAGTAGGGACATGATGGGCATTGAGCGCATTGTTTGAGCAATTTCCAAAGGGATTTGATTCTTGAGGAATTTCGGGTGGTTGACCGTGGTCTTATCCCAGATGAAGATATAGGACAGGGTTGCCGAGATGAAGTAGACGATGATGCCGAAAATCCTATGATGGCGCGGCGCGCACGGAAATTAGCCATTGAACGCGAATATCAGTATAGGTGGAATTGGAAACAGCATACCAGACAATCAGGAAAAAGCTCAGGAATTGTCGATAGATGTTGTTTCGAGGCCAGGCGCTCAGGTAGGCATATTTGGAGGGCTCCAGATACAATATTTGAGTGGCAGGTTCATAGACAAAAGGCTTGGATGCGCCAAACAGCGACAGAGTAGTATTGGCAGCGGTAGGGAAGCCAGAGAAGGAGATTGTGGAGGGAAGTGATGTTGGAAGTAGGGATGAATAGAGACGATCCCCGATGAAGGTATCCCAAATTTCTAAAGCGATATCCATGGTGCAGAAGGAGGCGCGAAAGTAGGGGAGAGAGGGAGGGAGGACTTTCTCGGTGCGGATAGTGTGAGGAATTGATCGAAGGTAGATTGATAAGATGAGAGAGGGAGAGAGAGTCTACCTGGGGAGGGAAGAAGAAGAAGATGTGTATTGATAGGTAGAAAAGAAGAGAAGAAAAGGGAGTGAGATAAAAAGAATAATAGAAAAGAAGGAAATAATCAATGATAATAGTATTTAAGCCTATAAGAAAGGAGAGCGGAATCACACCAGGCGGAACGAGGGGAGCCGTAGGATAATTAGTAAGCTGTGTACATAAACCAACATAACTTTCTTCCCCCCAAAACCAAACCCCACCTGACTAATGTTAAGCGCGCCTTTTCATTCGCTTCTCGCTTCGGGCGTCAAAGCGCTTTCTTCTCATTTTTTGCCGCCCTGCCCTGATCTTCTCCGGACCCAACTTAAACCTCCTCCTTCTCATTGCTACCTCCGTCTCTTTCCTCCTCGTTCTTCTCCGCCTCTACATTGTCGCCTTCCTTCAGCTCTCGTCTCTGCTTCCTTCCTTTCTCAACCGGATCGCTTACATCCTCCCATCCTCCCATCCTCTCTCCTCTTACCGTCACACTCATCCTAAGGGGTGCGCTGTGATGCGGCTGCATTGACCACCTTCCCTCTCCTTAGCAGTTCCTGTCCTCCTGGTCGCCCGTACTTCTGTTCCCGACTGCTTCGGACCTCGTTCTTTCGTCATTGTCGCAATATAAATTCTAGCGCTTGTGCTTTGACGAATTCTCGCTTCTTAGGCTCTTTCGCATTCCTTTTCTCTTTCGTTATCCCGAGCCCATACGTTCCGATCACGGCTTGATACCACACCATGTATAACACACATCGCGGGATGGTTCCCGCTCCCAACTCCCGTTTGAATGAGTTGCTGGACCAGCTGCGCCAAGAGTTCGAAAATCAGTCGCGGAGCACTGGCGAGTTTGAGCATCAGTGTACGTTTCTACCTGTTTCCCCCGGTTCCTCTCTCTCTCTCTCTCTCTCTCTCTCTCTCTCTCTCTCTCTCTCTCTCTCTCTCTCTCTTTTCCCCTTCCGTTCATTCCTCTTTAATTGGGGCTTCTCATCATCATCTCCATCATCGGTCGGGCAAACTACGCAGAGGAATTCTTCGTTGTACCTCTTTCGCCCGGCCTTTTCCATATTATTTACTGTCTTCTAAGTATAACTATCAATACCCACAACTTTCGCTAACGATCCATCACCTAGTAACCGGTCAACTCCAGGAAATGGAGATGATTCGACAAAAAGTCTACCAGCTCGAGCAGGCTCAGATTAAGATGAAACAAGAGTATGTATTCTGATACGGGCCACTGGTCGCTGTCGCATACTGATCACTTTACTTTCCCTAGTTATGAGGCGGAAATTCGCGTCTTGCGCCATGAACTGGAGTCGCGCGGCGTTCAGACCGTTTCATCTCACATTGGCGGCCCTGCACAGCATGCTGGTCCCTCTCAAGCGCCTCCACCTGCATTGGGTCATGGCCCTAGCAATCTGTTTGGTGGCATTATGACCAACCAAGGAGGTAGTGGCCCCGGTCTTGCCCCTCCCCCTCCCCAGGATCAGCAGCCTCCCCAGCATAGCCTTCAACAGCCTGCTCCGGCGGCCCAGCAAGGAGCGCCGCAACCCCCGCAGAGCTCTTTTGGAGGATATCAGCCTGGTGCTGCTGTGAACGGTATGTTGCGACTGTATGTGTGACAGATCCCTTTTAACGTCTGACCGCGGTTTTCTTTTCTTGCAGGTTATGGACCTCCCCCTCCCCCTACCGCCTCCCCTGGACCCGGTAAACGTCCTCGCGCCCCTCCTGGACCTGCCACCCCTCAGCAATCCCACCAACTGGCTTATCCGGACCCCCGAGTTTCCCCTCAGCTCGCCAGACCTACCCCTCCTAGCGGACCCGTCGCCGTCCGTGATCGGCCCGGTAACATGCTAGCCAACTGGAACCCCGATGACCTGCCTGCTTCGCAGAAGAGAGAAGGCGCCGACTGGTACGCCGTTTTCAACCCCGAGGTGCAGCGCGTTTTGGACGTCGAGCTGGTTCACCATCTCGTCCACGACAGCGTTGTCTGCTGCGTTCGTTTCAGCCGCGATGGCAAGTACCTTGCGACTGGTTGCAACCGTTCCGCCCAGATCTTCGACGTGACCACTGGTCAAAATGTCGCCACTCTGCAGGATGAGAATGTTGACAAGAACGGCGATCTCTACATCCGTAGCGTGTGCTTCAGCCCCGATGGCAAGTATCTGGCTACCGGTGCTGAAGATAAGCAAATTAGGGTAAGTTACAGAGAAACTTTGTTGAACCTTGATTGCTTTCAATTCCGTACCTCTCGGACCTAAAAACCGGTGGTCTTCGGAACTCAGCGCAACCTTAATTTTTTTTTTTTTCGGCTGAATAATCGAAATTTTGATTGACTGATTGGATATGTGAATTAGGTTTGGGATATCAACTCTCGTACCATCAAGCACATTTTCACCGGCCACGAACAAGATATCTATTCTCTTGACTTTGCCGGCAACGGCCGCTACATTGCTTCCGGCAGTGGTGACAAGACCGTGCGTCTTTGGGATATCCTGGATGGCAAGCTGGTCTACACTCTTAGCATCGAAGATGGTGTGACTACCGTCGCCATGTCCCCCGATGGTCACTATGTTGCCGCTGGTTCTCTTGACAAGAGTGTGCGCGTTTGGGATACCACCACTGGGTACCTAGTTGAGCGCCTGGAAAGCCCTGATGGCCACAAGGACAGCGTGTACTCGGTCGCTTTCGCACCCAACGGAAAGGACCTTGTCAGCGGCAGTCTTGACAAGACCATCAAACTTTGGGAGCTCAATGTGCCCCGTGGTGCATACCCTGGAACTGGTGTTAAGGGCGGCAAGTGCGTGCGGACGTTCGAAGGACACAAGGTATGTACAAATAATATACGGGTCCCGATTCCCTTTTTATTTTAGTCGCGTCACTGGCCGCTCCTTTTTGACGGATGATGTTGTTAACGGTTGGAAATTAGGACTTCGTGCTTAGTGTCTGCTTGACTCCCGATGGCCATTGGGTCATGAGTGGTTCCAAGGACAGGGGCGTTCAATTCTGGGATCCCATTACTGGTAATGCTCAGATGATGCTCCAAGGACACAAGAACTCTGGTATGTATCTTCATTATCAAATTTTTCTTTTTGAAGCGTGGCTAACTTGATGTAATAGTTATTTCGGTTGCGCCTAGTCCTACAGGTAACCTGTTTGCTACTGGCAGTGGTGACATGCGTGCAAGAATCTGGAGGTATGTTCTTTTTTTTTTTTTTTTTTTTTCTTGGCCCCATACACATATATCCCGTGTCTTTTGTCTATATGCATTTTGGCCTGAATATCTGGGGCTGACTATGTCTTTCTAGATACTCTGCGTACACTGGACGGTGATAGGATTTGGTTTGGGAAAGCTTCGGCGTAAATGTGATTTCGATTTATGTTGATTTTTCTTTGTCTATCTCATTTTATTTTTAGTATTATTATTTCTCTTTTTTATGACCTACCCGAGCCAGTTTGATTTGGGTGAGAGGGGGGCTTTTGTGGTGTGGTCTGTGTTCTCTTGTCTCCAGCTACCATTTCGTTACATCGCAACTCCTACTTGTGTGAGTGGTCTTCGAATGATCATGTTTCAACAAAATATTGGAAAAAGAAGAGAAAAAAAAAAAAGGACCAAAAAACATTGACTTGTATTGGTAAGTAATCATTGATTGGTTCAAAGGGTTCTTCTCATTTTGTGATGAGGCTTCTGGCAAGGGCCTTCCCAGTAATGAGTAGTACATATGGATTTAGCGGGAGGGAGAAAGCTGAATGAAAGCAACCATCACGAGATGAGCTTCAATACCCTGACCCTAAACATCTGCCCCCAGCTTTAGTTGCTGGAGAGAAGAAGAAGAAGAAGAAGTACCTGCTTTGTTCCCCCGGAAAAAAAAACCATGTAGCTATTTCTAGTTAATAGTAGGGTTATTCGGATGTGCCTTCCATCCACAGTTAATTTAATTTAATTTAATTTCTTTCCTTTTTTTTTTTTCAAAGAAAACCAAAACCGGTTTATCCATGGCAGAACAAGGAAAGAGTAAAGGATTGGAATTCAATTCTACAAGCCGCAAAAGTCCCTGGCTGGCTGCTTTTGGTGAAACTGCAACTTCCCTTCTCGTCCTCGTCCTCGTCGGGTCGGTCCTCCTCCTTTAGTAGCTGCTACTTGCTAAATGCTAGTTGCGTCGTGCCAGTGTCGTAGAGGATCAATTGAGCTCGGATGATGATCTTGGAAGGGATCCCGGGATTTCTGGATGATGAAATCAGTCTTGTACATAGGCGGAGGAGGAGCTAGTTGCAATCGGAGGTTTTGTCTGACCTGAGTAACTACCTAGTTAGCTAGTTAACTAGTTAGTTAACTACAGAGGATGTAGGGTGACAAATCTAGCAGTTTTGAGTAGTTAACTAACTACCTAGGTATAGGAATAGGAATAGGAATAGCTACCGACGAAGCTATGGATAGTGATGACTAGATTTGGATGTGCATACATTGCATTGCATGACTGGCGGGATGAGATCAGCCTTGATCTATTTCTCCATTTCTTCACGATGAATGAATGAATGAATGATCAGCAAGGTCAATGCTCCCTTTTTCCTTTTTCTTTTCTTCCCCCCCCCCCCCCCCCCCGGACAGTCTCGACAGTCTCGACATATCTCGGTATCCCACACTTGTAATATAGTGCATTGTGTAGTGGTGCATTAAGTCAGAAAAAAGGAGCTGGGTCCTCCAAGGCTCCAGTTAGGAGCATGTGACAAGCGTCCCTCCTCTCCTGCACGATACAGGGGGAGCGCGGGAAGCAGAAAAGGAAATAGTCTGTGATTCAATGTCCCGATCGGTCAACTGACTTACTATAGAGAGCGTTCTTGAGGAAGGCCAGGTCGGGTACATCTTCCCGTAGATGCAGCATAGTTAGCATGTACAGATATGTAAGTAAGTTATGTCAGGATCAACACTTAGTCTGCCATGCCATGAGGTTGAGTAGCGGACGCGAGAGTGGAGAGAGCCCCCCCAATTTGGGAATGGTGGATTAGTGCGCTTCCCATTGTTGTTCGGACTTGGTGGTCAAAGCTGGCTGACCTACATGCGGTTGTGTAGCCGAATGACGAGACTGTTTCTTTATCTCTAGGGTAGGAGATGGACATGTCTGCGAGTCTATCATCCGAAAAGGAAAGAGATGACATCTTCGTCTTGGATAGAATCCTATCGCCAATTGTACCGACATAGGTGACCTTGTGAGTGGAAGGCAGGTAGGTCGTGCAAGCTTCCGTTCTGGACATGCTCTTTTTTTTTTTTTTTTTTTTTTTTTGACGCGATGTGCAACACCCAATTTAGACCAGCTTCAATCAGGCGGCTATTTGAAGATCAGCCATGTTAATGTCAGTTAGATTGTGATCAGGCCAATCTCCTCTGATTCAGCCTCGAGTGAGCACCTTCTCCATCCTGGATGATGCATGTCTCTTGTCCGGCTCTCTGTGGCATTTCTTTCATCGAGAGGGTTCAATGAGAGAAATTCCATTGGTTGGGGAAGAAGTGGCCGGTGATTCGATCCTTAGTACGAATGACAACTTGACAGGTCCTGCTTGTTCGTCGAGTGAGTAATTATTCAGCAGGATCTAGTCGCCTGTACCTACATGAAAGGGGAAATTGGTCGGCCAGTGCTTCCACTTTAGAGAGGACCACCGTGCAAATCAAATCTATCCCCAGTAGTTACGTTACCCCATCTGGCTGTCTTTGGTAAGCTAGTTGAATGATCTTTTGTAGGTAGGGACAACGCTGGTGTAGCTCAGATCCCTGGCGCTGCGCCAGTAGGATTCATGATTTAGACCCCCCTACAATGGATAGGGAATCAGGGATATGATTTTGGAGTTTCGGGGGAAGGGGGCACCTGTATGACTGACTTACGGGTGGCGATCCTCCAGTTTTCTCCTCCACTACTGGTGCTAGAGGGACGATAAGCCAGGTGAGAAATCGACGGACTCGGTGTGATGAAACTGCTGGGCTGCATTTTGTTCCTCACGCAGCAGACGAACTATTGAAAAACCATGGAGGCAAGCGGGAAGATAGTACATATGGCAGAATCAAGCGGGATTCGAATCTATCAAATTTTATTGATCATTTTTTTTGGTTAGGTAGGAGGAGTTCCTCTCCTGTTCCCATGGTTCCTGAATAGTCCTAAGACCGGTCGTGAAGGAACGATTCAGACCTGCGACGCCAAGCAGGGGGATGGATTATCACAATGGAGACTTCGTTGTCCGAGACTCTGTAGACTAGGTAGGCACTAAAAACCGCCCGTCAGGTTCTTGCGATTGATACCGTACCGGGGAGATGTATAAACATTACCCAGCTCACCGATGCTCCTGCATTTCCTGACAAACCCTGACCCGACGATCACGAGGAGGAACTGTTTTGGTTCAAATTCAATGAAATATATATACTCTGTATGAAGAGGGCGCACGATCTTCGCGACTTAGATTGTTTGCTGCCTCGTAATTTCGGGGCCATGGGATGGGCGGCTATGCGTAATTTTCTTACAAGAGGAGAGGTTAAACTGGTCGAGACTCCATTCTTGCGCGCTGAAGGTGGCTGGTGCGGCGAAACAAGTCAAGTCCTCGGATTTTCGGGCATTGAACATGGTCCTTTTGTTGGCTGATCATATCTTCCTGGAGGCTGAAGAGCAGAAAGAATGTGACTCGGGGTTTAGAGGAAGGAAAGCAGAAGATGACCGAAAAATCCGAGAATCTTGTCTGTCTGAGAGTGTGAGGTGAGGCATTTCGTTGGTTGGTAGTACAAGTGATTCCTATTTTCCCATGTACAGGGGCTATTTTGGACCAACCTCCCTCCCCCCCCCTCCCCAAACAGACCGCAGTTCCAGGTCCTGAAAAGCGATTCTGCCTGTCCTTTCAGAGCTGAAAAGCCGGGGAACGTGTACCTCGAGAGAAATTCACCGAATATGCCAGCCAGCTTAACGAGCTAGGGTTGTGTTTCTATAGGAACAGTGTGATATTTGTTACGGCAACCAGGGTGTCAGCTCTGCACAGACTACGGAGTACCCTGAATTTGATGAATGAGGACAGATGTCGATAAACATCTCTGCACATGAGCGATCATTCATCTTGGGTTGGATCATACGCGATAGACAGGATTGAGTCGAGGGGAAAAGGGCTTCCACAGCTTAAAGTACTCCGTACTACCCCATACTGTCGCGTGCAGGTATGACCAGATCCGAGGAAAAAGAAAGAAGGGAAGAAAGAAAATAACTTGAATACGGAGTACCTAGGGACCTTTGTGATTATGAGCGAACGAACCCACAATATGTGACACGTCTCATCGTGCGCTCTCGAGCTCTCGAGCTCTTGTGCTTGAGCCACATCGTTCTCACTTGGTCTCCTTTTCGACTGATTTCTTTGTGGATCAGGTACCATCTACCTACGGAAACAGGAGTCGGATCGCCACCTTATCTACATGCAAAGGCAGGAGAGAAAGGTATTTGGTCCAAATTTTGAGTAGCGGAGGGACTACTGATGTATGTCCATCCGGACTTATGTACGTTTAGACTTGCGTATGTCAAAGATCCTGAATTTCGGGACAGACAAATGGAAAGGATTTCTCCAGGCAGTGGCTTTAATTTCTTGTCTGGCCGGAAGGGGGGGGGGGGGGGGTTGATTTTGATACTTAATTCCAGGAGTGATTACGGATACAGGAAGGAGGAACCTTGTTAGAAATAACTCAAGGACTGCGGAGTATAAATCGTCCGCTTGAGTTCCCCTTGTGGGAAACAGGCTGTTACACATCTGCATATAATAACTATCAATAGTAAGAAGAGCCCCTACCTCCTCCATCGACGATCTCAGATCCCAGGATAAGTTCAGCCTCCCCGAGATGAAGGGCCGGCCCGTTCCTAGGTGAATAGGAAGAAGAAGAAGAAGAAGAAGAAGAAGAAGAAAAAAAAGGTTGCTTACATTACTCGGTATCAGTGTACCTAGATAGGTATATATAACTAACAACTACTCTGGAGTCTGGATTTTGCCACAAGAAATATTATTTATTTGCCTTTGTATCTCACCAAGCTGACGAGAAGTTTTCCACTTGGAATGCTGACGTTTGACATCATTGCTAAATACTTAGTTACTTACCTATCTACTTACTTACTGGATTTTTACTCGATGAAACGACAGAGGGCCCCTAACCAACTCCGGATTAAAATAGGGATCTTCTTAACGCAGGCATGCGAAGAAATCGGCCGCCGATGTTACGCAGGAAGAAAAGGAGAAGCCGGTTGAACTTGAAGTGTCTGTCACTCGAGTCAGCCGGCTCATTCCCCTCCTCCCCTCCCACACTACTCCGTACTCCGTATAGCAGCTAAGCAGACAAAGCTTCCCAGCAGGGGTTCGGTATCAATACGTATCCGATACTATCGTACTACGTACAGGCCCGAGTTCAAGCATCGTATCGTAGTGGACGTCCAGTCCAATAACTGGGGGCCGAGGCATGATCGGACGCTGGGATTTGTTTCAAGTGTTTCTTACTGGTCCAGCCGGGCTGTATCAGCGTGCACATATATCTAGTTATTTACTTTTAGCGCGTGGTGGTTTGTATCGGGAAGAGAAGAGAGGGAGTATCTCGGCCCCACACTGAAGAGTTTTAGTAAAATGAAAAGAATCGGGTTAAAACCGGATGGAGTTAGTACTTTCTATCGGTAAATGAAAATGGTTCTGACGAGACTCGAGAGTACGGAGTAGAAAGTAGTCTACCTAGATAGTCTAATGTAGGTAGTACGGACTAACTGGGAAGTTCTCCGACCAACTGGAGCTCCTCACTACGTACTCCGGAGAGAATTGCCAAGAGAAACAACCTGATATCCTCTTAAGATCTTCTATTCGATCCCTTGATGTGAGGCTTGAAGCTGTTGACATTATTATTTCCAGCCCGCCAGCCGCGGCTGTTACGATGAAGAAACGAACACCGACTATGCCAAGAGGGGTACAGTTAGTGGGACTCTCTCCGTACCGAATGAGCATGCGAGAGATTTTCACACTATTGATCTCCCGCAAGCGGTCCGTTCTGTAGCTCTGCCGGTGAACCCTGTCGTGGATTTTGGGTTGGGAGAAAAGTACGTCTTTTGACTTTGACTTGGGGGGGGGGGGGGGGAATCTTTTGGAGGAGAGATTTCCCTGACAGGATGGTACACGTCTCAAACCATCGAGGTGAAAAGTCAGTGTGTGTGAGTTAGTTACCTCTGTCATAAGTCAAGTTGACTCAGCTCAGCTCAGCCAATAACTCCCTGCTTTTCTCCGGAGTTCTCGGGCATGCTGCAGACAGCGTATGCAACCAGTTTGGATATTACCGTGTCCGTACGCGTAACTTGTGAAGTTCCCAGTTTGTATACTCTGTACGTACCCACCCAACCCAGGTACGTCTCCGTATGAATGTGGACTCGGAGCTGGGAGCCTTCCGAAAAAGTTTGTGACTAATGTGTTTATATTTTCTTTTTTCTTTTTTTTCTTTTTTTTTTTTTTTTTTTTTTCGAATCTCAGATCTGTTCATAGGATTTGATTTAAAATCGAGGAACTTCGTAACTACTCCTCCGTTGTTATTTGACATCCTGCACGATCTACACCCGCTCAGGTGATAGTGATGATCCCCCCCCCCTCTCCCCTCCAGTCAAAGTTGACTGGTTATGAAACTGACCCCCAAAGTGGGAATCCCAACAGCTCAGGTGCCTGCGTGGGAGACGAGGGTATCCCAGATACGAGATAGATACCGGAGCAAGTAAGTCAGGTAGTCCTGGAAGCTTAACTCTGGCAGTAATGTCCTAGACTCCTAGGTAACTTAAGGTGGTTTTTGGTATTTGAAAATCGTCCATGTTTTCTTGCCACCATTCAATTATTTTAATACCTAGTTATTTTATTATCATTATCAATACACTTTGGTAAAAAATAGTTTAATGATCAGGTTTGCCTTATCACTCCAAATTTTACTTGTCTAGTAATAATACCGACAAACACCACCTGTTCTACATTTTAATTACTCCGTACCATCAATGTGGTATGTGATGATGATTGTCACAGCCCGATCGGAACGTCACCATGCATCCCGTGATTGGACTAAAGGTCGAGGAAAAAAAGCCAGTGGCTCATAGGAATCGACGGATCCATCGACTCCATCCATCGCCCCATCGTGTCGGGCGGGAAGGAGAAAAACTTCATTTTATTATTTTTTTTTTTATATATATATATTTTGGCATTGTGGATAAGAGAGAGACACCCGGGGAAGTGACTAGTAGTTGAAGCCCTACCTAGTTAACTACCTAATAATAATGACTCCTATGTAGTATGTACGTGCCTACTGGGTTCTCCTCGTCTAAACTACTCGTCTGTCTAGTGGGGATAATTATTATTATCTTTATTTTTATTCTTTTTATTATCATTACTGTATATTTATATTATTTATATTATTTTTTTTATTTGAATATTTGTAATAATCAAGAACAGACTGAGACTAAGCTATTCACAGTATATCGAGTCTGACTCTCTGGTCAAGCTCATTTCCCCCCCCCCCCCTTTTTCTAAGGTATTTATGTATTTATTATATTATATTATGATTATTATGATTATTACTATTACTGTATTGGCCCTCGTACGCACGCATTCTGTATGATTACTGACCCCGTACATCTAGACCTCGTCCATACAAACTTGGACGTTATACCACCACCAGAATAAATCATACGGATTCACGATAAACACACAATTTGTAGACCCCTGTCTTTGTCCACCCCGCTGCTTCCACTTCACTGGGACTCCGGGAGTCAAAAGGAATGGTTGACTAGACTTGGTGGTGGGTTGGTGCGCACTATGAAAAAAATAACTAGAAAAAAAAAAAAGGCTGTATGTATAACTAGTTGTCTAGTTCTAGATCTCTGTCAGCCTTTTTTTTTTTTTTTTTTTTTTTTCAAGGGTGCAAGGAACCAGGAAAAAAGAAAATAATTGTTTAATTATTATTATTATTTTTTTCTTTTAAAAAAGAAAATGGGAAAAAAAAATAATAATACTAACAGTCAAGAAAAAGAAGACCATAATTGCTTATTAGCGATCCCCATTGTCGGGATTGATTCAAGATCATAATCCTCGTTGTCACTGTCAATCAAGATCGACCTTTCTTCTTCTTCTATTTCTTCCGGTGACAGTATTACAATATCTCTGATTCAAGGGATTCTCGTTCCTCTTCTTCATTCGTGTTTGTGGAGTCCTCCGAGTCTTATATACTTCGCTCTTATCAAAGTCCCTCCCTGCTACCTACTCTGTATTTTCGCGCCTATACATACATCCATACAATCTTCCCGGACGGCGAGGCCATGCCTGATCAACAGTATTTATTCTAAATCCTTCTGCTTGGTTTCTTCACGATTTCAGTGCTTGCTTTTTTTTAAAAAAAAAATCTTGATCTTGCTGCGTCTTGATTTTGACTCGATACGCTATATCTTATTTGCTTCTTTTCTTGCGGTATACAGAGGGGGTCTGCAGAGCAATTTCAAAGCTACGGCACCTGGAAGAGAAAAAGGAAATAAAAGCCACAGGATCATCATCAGTGAGGCACTCCGCTTATGACACTATCTAGTGCGTGAATGCGATGGCTGATATCAAATACCAGGTTTCTCCCGTGTGCCTTCGTTTCTTTTTCTTCCCATCTTTCCTCATCGAGAGAAAAGAAGCAAAGCGAGAAAAGGGAGCAGCCTCTATCCCAGAACCAAACTTCAGCTCCCTGCTCAGCTGCAATGGAGACTGCAGAGCCGGTTTCATATGAATTCCCTGGCCATGCTGTGGGTGCTGTTGCGCGGGGCCGCATGATGAACTCCAACCTGAACCATAACTTTTCCTTCTATGCCAACCCAACAACCTCCTTTCCCTTGCCGTATCAGTCATCTTCCACAACTTACGGGTTTGGCCATACGCTCAATAATCACCACCATCATCATCATCATCACCACCCGGGCTATCAGCATTACTTCGTACACAACCAGCCACCGATCAACCCGCAACCCGTGCGCCTATCCTCAGAACCACCGACAATCCAGCCGATTCCTGATATTCGACCAGCCAAGAACGCTATCAGCCGAGTGGCTAGAGAGCAGTTACCCAAGGTCGAGCATAATTCAGGATCCAAACCGGTCTCCGCGGCCCAGACATCGGCTAATAGTGTAGCTGCACAGGGAAAGAACGCTAATGCTAATGAAGTCGAGTTTTCCACAGAGGTAGATATCCTCATGAAAGCAATACAGGCCAAGGGGGTTGCTCAGCCGGCAGCGCCTATGCAATCGCTCCCACCACTCCAACGGCTGACCCATCCGGTGGCACCTACCTACTCCCAGCCTTATATCCCGCCAGCGGCAGCGAATCCACGGAGTGTGGGGATAGCTGAAGATCCTCCATCTCGATCTGGAAAGAAGCGCAAATATGTCTGTACTCTACCACAATGCGGGAAGAGCTTTGCCCAGAAGACACATCTGGACATTCATATGAGGGCTCATACAGGGGACAAGCCTTTCGTAAGTCCAGATAGCCCAGATTGATACTATCGCCATGAGAACTAGAATCCATCTAACACAGAATAGATCTGCAAGGAGCCCTCGTGCGGACAGCGGTTCTCACAGCTAGGAAATCTGAAGGTACTCTCTCTCTCTCTCTCTCTTTTTCCTTCTCTTTCTGCGAAAGAAATGATGAAAAAAAAAAAAAAAAAAAAAAAAAAGATAGCCATCTAACGAGTAAACCGTACAGACTCACCAACGACGCCATACCGGAGAGAAGCCCTTTTCCTGCGACATCTGTCAGAAAAGATTCGCCCAGCGAGGGAACGTGCGCGCGCATAAAATCACGCACCAGCATGCCAAACCCTTCTCTTGTCTTTTGGACGATTGCGGAAAACAGTTCACCCAGCTTGGGAATCTCAAGGTAAGATAGTCCACATCACTCTGCATTTATATAATAATGCTTGGGAGAAAGTCAAAACTAACCGAGTAAATAACCAAGTCGCACCAAAATAAGTTCCATGCAACCACGCTCCGAAACCTAACTTTAAGGTTCTCCCAAGTCGTCGACGGAGACCACATGAACCCGCAGGACCGCAAGCTGTGGGAGTATTTCGCCACTCTATATAAAAACAGTAACAAAGGCATCAAGGGCCGCGGAAAGGATCGTCGTATTTCTCCGACCTCCAAGTCGGACCCTGGCTCGGATGCTCGACGACGAGCTGCCGGTGGCTTGAACGGCACCGGCACCGGCAAGAATAGCGGCGATGACAAGCCGAGACGAGCGAGCTACGAAGACTCCTCTACCTATACGGGGGGGTCGAGCAGTGAAGAAGAGGACGCTGAGCCCTATTATATCGATAGACAGGGGTCATTGAATGATGGATGATGATGATGATGACTCTTCCTTCCGTCTTCTACTACGGACCTTTTCTTTTCTTTTCTTTTCTTTGCTTTGCTTTGCTTTGCTTTTTTTGTTTTGTCATGTCTCTTCTGTGCTTCAACGTTCTCACGATACCATATTTGCCCGCAGTCCATTTTTTTCTTTTTCATTTTCTTTCTTTTTCATTTTTTTTTTTCTTTCTTTCCTTTTTTTCTTAAAGGAATCATATCATATTGGATGCAATTGCATGGAGGGCGCATCTCGAGTCGGCCTGGATGGGTTTACTATGTATACATCACGAGTATTTATTGTGTACCTATGTGTGGAAAGGGTATATATTGTTTCACTGTAAGAACCTTGCGTTATTATATATACTAAACCACCATACTGGAGTTTGAATTGGGCCCTCTATCCATGTTGGAGGGAAGTCAGTCATGGACCATACTATACATACATACATCTAAACCAACCCCTGTACTACCCTACCTACCTAGGTACTCTTGTAGCATACTCGCTGGTTATTACTGGTATAAGTGTATACTCACTACGAATCGTCCCAAAAAAAAAAAAAAAAAAAAAAAAAAAAACCATTACCAATCAGTCACCCTTCACTAGTTTTGGTAGATACATCTTGGTATTTTCATACACCAGGAACGTCACCCACGTACTCGGGAGAACCCTGAACAAGTTCGGTCCCAACCCCTTATAAAATCCAGCTACGCCCTCCTTCTTCCAAATTTGCACGACTGCATCCCCGATCCCGCGGTATACAAGATGCGCATCATACGTCTGCAGCCGCGCCCGCAGCACTTGGTACGGATATGTGATCGATCCCGCAAAGATCTTCGAAATGCTAGAGGTAATGAAGAAATCCAGGTTTCCGAGTTGCCGACTCTGCTTCTGCTCCCCAGGTGTGACGGCGGCGGCAGCAGAATGATGGCGTCGGAATAGTTGGAATTGGAGTTTTAATTTCTCGTATGCCATGAATTGGAGCGCCCCGTGGCTAACACCGAATAACGAGGGGAGAAGACCTCGGTAGAAGCCGGGGATACCCTCTGAGCGCAGGATTTGGGCAGCTCCCGTGGTAAAGGAGGTGTATGCGCCGGGGGTGTTGGAGCCAGTGGATAGCATTCGGGTTTTTAATACCCAGATTGGGTTTGTGAGGATTGATGTTAGAATGCCTTTATTTCACTCGAAGAAAATGTCTTGTTAGTCTTTTTTTTTTAGTCTGTTTTTTTTTTGGGGGGGGGAGGCCGGAGAGCTGGGGATTCGTTCGTACCTGCGGATCCAGAGGCTATGAAGTAATCGGAAGATGTAAGATGATGGTCCGGATGACCGCGCAGATCCCGTATGGCATCTTTGATATTGCTGTAGCAGAGGAAATACAATGCCCAGCTGGAGGAGTTTCCGATGATGTTGGGTGTCAACCCGCGGTAGAATGCGGCGAGTCCGCCTTCATTGTGGAAGATCTGGCGGATTACTCGGAGAGAACCACCGACCCGCGAGGAGGATGGGGATCGATCGACTAGGGTTTTCCGATGAGTTAGAACTTGCGCTTGCTTCCCCAAGGGAGAATGGGAGGAATGTATGCTGACCTTGTAGTCGGGTCTTGATTAAATCCAGCGGATGTAGGCAGAGTGTCGAAACTATACCTGCCGTGAAACCCGCTACGGTCTCCACCAAGGATGGCGACAAGCCATCTTTCCTAGTCATGAACCTTTAAGTCGAGGGAGTTCGAGGGGAGTAGAGTGAGTTGGGAGAGATATATCGAAAATGCTGCAATTTGACTGATGGAGCTTTGCAAAGAGAGAGAGAGAGAGAGGGCCTGCGGATTCTTTTTTACGGTTAGTTTTCCACTTCTGGTATAGTTGACCACCGCCTGCCATAACCTGAGAGTCCTGTTCTTCCAATTTACTTACACTTCTAATGAATTTTTCTCATTTTTAGGACTTGTCGTAATGCATTCTTTGTACATCAGGAAGAGTGAAGTGCACTCGATTTTGCGGGATGGGTGTTCTATATACATTCACTAGTATATGTACTCCTACATCATTGCTTCCCATTTCCCTGAATATACCAGCCTCCCAGCAAGTAAAAAGCATATGATGTGATGGGTTATAGGAAGATAAAGAGGACTGGCCTTCAGCCCGTTGTGTAAGGAAATTGGTCTCTGGCAACCGGATAATGTGCATACCAGAGCAAAACACAGTCATACACTCGAAATACGAACTGATCAACCAGATAAATCCTCTAATTAACCGGTACCAATCATGATAGAATAAGTAATGTTAAAAATACACGTTAATCGATGTCAAGTCGCAGACACCGACATGAAATTGAAAGGGTACGGTTGTCGAACCCACGCCCCACCAGCTCCAGGCCCTGCACTATATGTAGCCGAAGCTAAATGCGTCCATCATGGATGATAAACCCGTATTCATTATAAAAACTCAAAGGCCGCATTCTGTTTATGCGAGAGGGGAGAACAGCCTGTTATCGGGTTAGCGGGAAATGTGACCTCATGGGCGGAATCCGTGAGAAGTACTTGAACAGGGAAGGTCGGGGCTCGCTATACGTGTAGCCTATTCAAAATCTGTCAGTATAAAGCAAGATATATAGGTTTCTTAAGACAGGATGGTAGTTCCATACCGAGGTAGACAATCAGAGGCAGATATCCACTGGAAGGAGGAGACGTGAGTCTTGAACTAATATCAACTCAATCAAGACATAAATGGTAGCTCACTAGTGAATAGCAACCCTGGAGATATCGATGACCTTGGAAATGCGTTCCTATTGAAGGAAAGTTGTCAGCAACCTGAGCTACACTGCGTGCATTGGAGCCTCGTTCTCACCTTGGTTTCCTCGGAGAACTGAACCATTTTGAAAGTAATATTTTGCGTACTAGTATGAACTAACGGGGAAAAGAAGATTGCCGGAGATATATATCCAGAAAAATGCAAGTAGGAGGAAGGGATTTGGGTGGAAGTTGGATGAAAGGCGGAGAGACGGCGGAGTGAAATTGGGAAGACTGAATCTCAAAGTTTTCCGGAGCTAATGAAAACGACTCGCCGCCGATAAAGCATCACCCCCAAGTTTTCGCAGCATCACCATACTACACCTGTCCCTTCCCCTTTTCTCTCAGAAATACCTTAATTCCACCCCTCTCATTCTAGGATTCCCTCTGACGGGGAGTTTTTCTTCCTTAAATCTATTTGCTTTACAGCTGAAAATTGACCTATTTCCTTTTACCAGCCTTCTCCCTTCAGCGATTCATTAGATCTGACCGATCGTCTCCTTAATAATCGGCGCAATGTCAGGCGCAAGGCATTGGTACGTGAATCCTCCTAGCTGTCTGCATTTTAAAATGTTATAGCTAACTAGCAAACCAGGGAGCAAGATAAAGAGGCCACCGTCTATATTGGGAACCTGGATGAACGGGTCTCAGATAGCCTGGTATGGGAGCTCATGCTACAGGCGGGGCGCATCGTTAACGTTCACCTGCCGAAAGATCGCGTCACACAGTCGCATCAAGGATATGGGTTCGTGGAGTTCATTAGCGAAGAGGATGCCGAATACGCGTCGCGGATTATGAACGGGATCCGACTCTACGGAAAGCCTATTCGCGTGAACAAGGCCTCTGCCGATAAACAGAAATCTGTGGAAATTGGCGCAGAACTTTTCGTTGGAAATCTTGACCCTATGGTTACGGAACAAGTTCTCTATGACACATTCAGCCGCTTTGGTAACCTGGTCAATCTACCAAAGGTGAGCTATCCCGATCCTCTGCTACCTTTGATTGATAGGACGCTAATGCTAACACGTCGAGTAGGTCGCCAGAGATGACAGCAATCTATCAAAGGGCTATGGATTCGTGTCATTTGCCGATTTCGAATCTTCGGACGCTGCCATAACTAACATGAACGGCCAGTATCTCATGAACAAGCAAGTCTCGGTACAATACGCGTATAAAAAGGACGGAAAGGGCGAGCGGCACGGAGATGAAGCAGAGCGAATGTTGGCTGACCAGGCCCGGAAACACAACGTACGCCCATCAACACAAGCACCCCCACCACAATTCCCAAATCCCGGAACACCCGTAGCACCAGGCGGAATTCCCAACGGCGAAACCTCACGGCCAATGAGCACCGCACCGCAAGACCCAGGCATGGGGAGAGGACCAGTACCTCCACCGCAAAATGTCGGCTTTCAAAATGTGCCTCCACCCCAGCAGCAAAACAGACCTGGCCCTCCGCCGCCGGCAGCACCTCTCGCAAACCCGCCCCCGGGCCTACCCGCACGGCCTCCCCCTTCACAAGCTGGGTATGGTGGCCCGCAAGCGTTTTTACCTCCAGGTTTCAACAATGCAGGCCAACAGGCACCCTTCTCTCCGCAGAGCGCACCTCCACCTGGATTTGCAGCGCCAGGTTTTGGTCCTCCCTCGGGCACATCTGGTCCTCCACCTCCCCTACCGCCCGGTTTCCAGCAGCAGGGATATGGTCGAGGGCGCTGATTTCTGATTTGGAGATGCATGAATACAGCTTACAATGAAAAAGAATAAACCGATGGGCAGAATTTCCCTTCCCCCCCTAAAAAGAAGGACTAGGAATGCGAGCTCGAACTCGGGCCAAGACCGCTTTCGAGTATGATGTGACGAGTTTGAACAGAACGTCTGTCAAGCCGAGGCGTGAGATCCCGCGCGACGCGGCAATATGTTCGCCCTAGCATGTACTAGCCAGTCCAGCACCCAACACACTCTTATTATTACTGATATGGAACGAAATGTAATTCTATTCTCACTGGTTACTACGCGCAGTCCAAGTTACCCAAAGCCTAGAATGATAGACCGAGTAACTGATGAGAGCCGTTTTGAATGGTGTTATATATGGCTAAATACAAAACATAAAAGTGGTCCGTAGAGATCTCCATAAAACAATACGCAGAATTATTGGGTTGAACCCATTGAAGGGTAGACCATCCCAGGTCGACCCCAGAGAGCTCATCCTCGAAGTTGAAATAACCAAAGAGAAATTTCAAAAAAAAAAACTACGCAAGTAAGCGACGACAGCTGCAACGACCAAAAGGTAAAAATAGCCTGATTAATGGGTTGCAAGTTAACAATAGGAAATGTGTCCGAGAGAGAGAGAGAGAGAGAGAGAGAGGAAATAATGAAAATGAAAAAAAAAAAAACCAAGAACGTCACGAAAAAGATACGAATTTTGGATCCCTGGGCCGGCCATCAGCACCGATGTTGTTTTTGGCAAATCGCTGCTCAGTGTAAATCCGGCGTGCTTCATCAAAATTGACCTTTTGGCGTTTCATGATCCTCAAGACTTCACGCTTAGCTCGGGCATCTAAGCCGGCCCTTTGGTCGCCATTCTCAAGATTGGCGTTGAGATCAAACTCCGACGACGTAAGGCCCGCTTCTAGATCCCCGGCGAAGCTGGATGGGAGACGGTCATAGATGTAATCGGGTACAGGTAGGAGGGGTATCCATCGAGATCGGGTCAGATACAGAGCTGTAAGTGGTTCATTGTTAGTACCTACCTCCCAGGTACCTACAGTGCCTATGCAGGAGACGTACCTGTACCGCAGACCACAACGGAGATGGTCAGGAAATAAAAAAGGTAGTAAGTCATAGTGTCCACTGTTATTCTTATCTGTATTCAAGCGAAGGGATAGGTTTGCGATAAAGAAGGATCTGTGATATGTCGAACAGTAGCACTGCTGTTCAAGAAGGAAGGCTACACAGGCCTTTTTTTTTTTTTTTAAATCAACGAACGCCTAGTAGTTAAGATAAAATCGATATAAGGCCCCTCTGGCAGGAGTCTGCCACAGCCAGCAGCATCTAGGGCATCTAAAGTGTGAGAGAGATCAAACGAATCGCCGCAGTCGGGCTGACGGCAGCCATTATGATCGTTACCTAGCAGGACATAGGAAGCTGGCGGAAGAGGCCAGTGTGGCCCGTGCACCAAAGACGGCGGCTCCGATGCACGTGCTTGTGGCCTTGGTTCTCAGGCAACAAGGCTATTCCAGAACGGGCGCTTAGCGAGATGGGCAGGCTGACGTTCTTGGCGTTGGCGCACACAATCATCTACGGGAATTCAGTAGTGGTCCCTAGCTTGAGGAAACCGGACTTGCGACGAATTCGATCTGTATTCATATCTCCCCACGACACACCCTTCAAAATGGCTGTTGAAAGATCGAACGTTTCCAGCGACCTCGTCTGGCAGATCACCCGTATGTGAATTCACTTCTACGCAATCGCTGCACAATTCCCGACTGTTTTTTTTTTTTTTTTACACTTGAAACGCTCTCTCTCGACACAACAAATGCATGGCTAATTCGAGGGTATCCCAACAGGCACCCAGAATGCTTTTCTGGTCAAGCGCAAGACTGCTGGTGGCTCCCAGTTCTCTCGCGATCCCCTGAACGTGCTGAACAAGCACTCCTTCAAGGTACGACATTCGACGCAAAAATTCGGGTTGATATTCGAGGCCAAAATCCTCTACAATCAGTCATACCTCTGGGGGAACACTTGCTAATGTTGAAATTTTCCATCCGGATAGTATGCTGGATACGCCAACACCAAGGTAATTTAACCGCCGTTCTCGACGATATCGAATTATAAGAAATTGATTATTAACGACAATTGACAGGCCGTCGGTGTCCAGGCTACTGAGAACGGTGTCGTCCTTATCACCAAGAAGCCCGCTACCTCCCAGCAGCCCGCCAAGAGCATTGCTACCGTCTCTTACGGCCCCGGTGCCTCCACCCGCAAGTAAGCAGATACAGACGATCACCCAACCAAGGGCATTCGTGAACGCACGGCCTTACTGACTGGTCAATTTTCTTTCCGTATAGGATCTACAAGGGTGTTGCTGGAAAGACCGCTAAGAACGGCTACCGTGCCGACCTCCGCGAGGAAGCTGTTGCCCGTGTCAGCGCTATCCGCCGCTCCCAGAAGGCCAAGAAGGACACCCCTGCCAGGAAGCCCCGGGGTGCTCAGGCCAAGAAGGCTGCGGAGCAGGATTCCGAATAAATGCAACACAAGTTTGGGTGAGGAATCAGGGATATGACATCGCAAGGGTCGACTATACTAGCACAGTGCTGGCCAGCGCGGGAGTGTGACGTCCGTGTAGTCTAGCAATATTAATTTGCTATTATTCACCCCGCCACAATTGTTCCTGCAGTCGGGATCAAAATGGCAAAAAAAAAAAACAATGAAAAATGCAATTTCATCAAAATTTTACCTTGTTGTATGGAAGCTACTAGAGGGCGATGTCAATCAGCCTTTTTTTTGGTGTAAAGCAAGGAAGGACCTGTGAATTCCCGCTTCAAGTTACTTTGCTGTTTTCGAGATAGCCACCTTATATCATGATGCCATGTTATTATCACTACCCACCAGCTTCTCTAAGTATATAAAACTATCCTTGCTATTCTAACTTGCGTCGTTCAATTTCAGGATTCTAGCAACAGCTAAGCAAGGTTCTCAGCAGAGCAGAAGAGTACTGGATTAACTAGTCAGAGGCCCTAAAGGTTTAGAGAGGTGGAAACAGAATAAATTGCTTAAAAGCCTCTAGCTCTAGTCGTTGCTTCACAGATCCTATATTGGCAACAACCTACTAGGTCCATGGAACCCGTCCGGTCTCCTTCAGTGGTTGGTGAGCAAGCTTTCCCTGACAAGCTCTATTTAGGGAAGTAATAACTTACATATACTGCCTTCTTATAGTCGCTGGCATAACATTTGATGTAATGCTCCTTTAGATTATCACTATGGCTACTAGTATGGAAATTGTAGCTTGTTGATATTGGCTCATTAAATCTTCGCTGAAATAGTGATCCTACTGACATTGTGAAGTGATTAAAACTAGAGTGTGATGCTAAAAATGACCATTAGTTAGTTAGAGGCTTTGCTGGACTTTCCTATTAGGGGATATTAGTCAGGTATGGCTGAGTTATGCTAACTAACTAGTTAACTAGAGAATGGGATGGAGAATGTTCAATGGGGTGAGACTTGAGTGTACAGAGTACTACGTACTTAGATTAAGATATTTGTTAAGGTCTTTTCCACTGCCTCTCCAGTCATGATGATGTAAGTTAATTATCAACTCTTTTCTAACATCTTTTCTTTATTATACCTACGTACGTCCTTCTTTGCCAATATCAACTAGACAAACGGGAACGAGTTCTTGCACTCCTCTTATATTTGTTTGATAGTATTGTTTTTCTAATCCAGATCCCTCTTTTCTCTCGTATTTGTTTAGTTTGTTTCTCTGATCCGGATCCCCTCTTTCCTCATAACACTCTCACTTACCGAACCTACCACCCTAACCTGCAGGAATGGATCTTAACCCAACTTTTCATACATATCCTTGTCCGGGTACCCTCTGAAAATCACGCTTATGGAACCAACCTCTCGCATAATGGGCACTGGGAAGTGTACTGCACATGGATTATTTGGCATGATTAATGTTGCATGTCCATGTCCAGCAGGACTCTTTATGGTGTCGGAATCAGCCATTGAAACGATATGTCAGCGCTGTAGCCATCCCCTCCAAGATCACCGTGATTTTTCCCCTGAACCAGCTCTAAAAGAAGAATCTACATCTGCCAGCAACTCTGAGCACGCGCAGGAACATGTTATAAAAGGTAGGTATCAGATCCTATAACCTACAAGGTCATAATTATAGCTAACAATCTTGTGAAAACGGATAGTTACCCCTAAGCCAACAAGATGTCGACGCACTAGCACAGTATCAGAGCTTGCAACTGCTCTGGATGATCAAGATGTTATTCACGTACGCGGAACACCAGCAAGTGGGAAAACAGTACTATCCCAACTCTTAAGGGACTATTACCTGGAAAATAATAGGAAGGTTTTTCTACTTGAGTACTGGAAACCATTAGATCTTTCCTATAGCCAGGATGCCTGGACCGAGTTCTTCTTGCGCCTGCAACATAGGTATCCTGGCTATCGTTCTACAGAATTTTTTGCCTCAAAGAATGTCATCCTTGTGGATGAGGCTCAGGGTTCTTATACAGATTTTGGCTTCTGGAACACAGTTATTAAAGACCGACGGTCTGGCATAGGCTATGATATAAAAATTTGTCTTTTCTCTTCTTATGGAAGTCCGTGGACAGGCCTGGATTCAAATAAAGTAGTTTTTACACCAGCTACTTTTGGTCCCCCGCAGCGCGTCACACTAACCCCCCAACCTGATGAAGGGGCACCTAAAATCGGTTTATTTTTTACTGAAGAAGAATTCAATCAAGCTGTGGATCTTTTGACTACCTGTCAATATGAAGAGAAGTTCAACCTTGATGCTGAGGCTAGAAGGTACTTGTTTGCACTCACAGATGGGCATCCAGGGGCCGTATCATCATTAGTCAATCTTGTTCATTATGTATGTGCTATTCTTCACCCCAGCCCGGAAACTAAATGAATCAGCTTAGGGTTGGACTGCGTAACTAACTCTAGATTAGATGCATCGTCATAACCTCAAGCACGGATGTTGTAGTACGATAACAAAAGACTATATACTTGATACTTTAAAGGACGATGCAAAAGTTTTTACATATCTTGAATCTCAGGCTGTTTTTCGTTCTTTTCCTCGAGGAAGAAGCTTCACATCCACAGCTGCTGCAATATTAAGCACAATTTTAGAGGAGGGGAATATGCTATTTGAGGATGAAGATATTGGCATGCAGACTTGTTACCAGAATGGCTGGATTAATAGAATTACTATGGAAACTAATAATACAGCTGATATTGCTATCCTACCATCACGCCTGCATGAGAAGTAAGTCTCTTATATAATATTTTCTTTTCTAGTCTAATCTAGTCTTAGATATATTGAATATACTATCGGCCAGGAATCAAGATCCTTACCCGCAAGATTCACTAAACTGGATGACTTATGCCTGGCAGTTCTTGGAAAATTCTCAACAATCAACCTAAGATATGCTACTAAAGGCAAGAAAATATCTACTGCAGCAAAATATACACCTATAGAGGCACAATATCAGGACGAATTTTATAGGGCATTTAATCTTTTAGTAGGCCGAGGTGTACCAATTTGCAGTGAATGGTCAAGAACCAGGGATGGTCGAGTTGATTTCTACATTCCAGAGAAGAAGTGGGCGATTGAGTTACTCAGGGATCACGATCGAGTCTATGAATATGTGTCTCGATTCAAGGCAGGAGGGAGTTATTATTCCTGGATAGAGGAGGGTATGATTGATGATTGGATTATCATCGACTGTGCGACCTCTCCGCCAGCTAGTGGTATATTTTGTATATGTCTGTTATTTGACTGATCCTGCTGACAACGTTATAGGATACCCCGAGCCGAGACTATGGAATGCCGTTTTCACCGATGATTATACTAATTTGCGGGTATATGATCACCAGGAGGAGCTTTTAAGCATTCGTCTGAAAAATTAAGATAGTGTCAGCAGCCTGCTCGAACTCTGCCTAGGCTTTGTCCTGATGACCTCGCTGCCAGACTACAGCATAGCTTAGTTTACCAATAATCATGGAATATTATTTTACTCAGGAGCCTGTAGACCCTTACATATAGCTCATATAGTAGTGTGAAGCACATGAGGCGGTAGCTTATTGCTGGGAGTTACGGAACTTACGGGTGGAAATACAGCCGTTTATTACTTTAATCGCAGGTATTTTCCGCATTGGTTTCACAGGTCCTTAAATTCTAGTGGGAAACATGAATATTCCTGCTCCCCATTCACCTTTGATCCATATACATATGCCTAGGCACAGCGTAGGCTGGATGCTTCATAGCCGTTTGTCGGCCCGAACCAAGTCAAAAAGTTGGAACCACCAGCGTGAATTCATCCTCCATTTGCTGTAGAGGGATCCTGATACCCGCCTTTTCCCGATATCTCAATAGATCAATGGACAAACCCGGCATGTTCCTTGTGAGCGGGTATCCAGAAATCGACGAAAATCGCCGGAATCTGGGGGGTCAACCCAAATCCAGGATCATGTTAAGAAAGGTGGGATGAAGACTTGGATGCATGGTAAAATTACAGCCGCTCAACCTCTGGCTATGACTTGTATAACCTCGCTGTTGTTTTGCCCCTCCCCGCTCCGGGGCGACAGGGACCGGTAGGTGAGAAAATGGTCGAATGGAAAACAATAGACTTCTAGTATCATCGGGTATAGAAGTGTAAGCCCACTAGGAGGACCCGTCGAGAGCTTCTCTCCAGGACGGAATAACGGAGACAGAGCAGGAGGAGGAGTGAGTAGCAACAACCCCACATGTGAATTCTCCAGTCCTGCGACGTCGGATGTAATCAGAAGGAACTACTAAGATAAATACACCACCACCATCCAACCCTCAGTCTTCTTCCTTTTCCCTCTCTTTGAAGCTTCAAACTCATAATCCCTTAATCCCACCCTAAACTACTTATTCCCAACTATCTGCAGGGAATCTTCACCGAAGTAAGTAATCGGTCCTAGAACCGCCACCGGAGTTCTTGTCCCACCCGTTTTTTTTTACCCCTCAATTTACCCCCCCCCCCCCTTTGGTCTTTCTCTTCTTCCTTCCTCCACATCTTTCATCCCAGCAGCTACTTCCTTGAAGCTTTATAAAACTGATCTCATCATCTTTTCTTGTCAGAGAACTCTTTGCCTACACCATGGTTAAAGCCGGTAAGCTTGGTCAAAACATCCCGTTTCTTCCACACCCGCGCTGACTTTCTTGTAGCTGTTCTCGGAGCCTCTGGTGGCATTGGCCAGGTCTGCATTCCCATCTCTCCCCCAAACTGTTCCCACTGCAGTCAAATTTACCATGCGGTGCCGTGATTCTAACCGATACTTCTATCTAGCCCCTTTCTCTTCTGCTCAAGACCTCCCCCCTCGTTGATGAGCTAGCTCTTTACGATGTTGTCAACACCCCCGGTGTTGCGGCCGATCTGTCCCACATTTCCTCCGTTGCTGTATGTGGATGTGCCCCAGGAAATGGGTTTTTGCTCAGTACGCCGATTAACAGTGCTTTGCTTTTATAGAAAGTCTCTGGATACCTGCCCAAGGACGATGGCCTGAAGAACGCGCTCACCGGCTGTGATATTGTCGTCATCCCCGCTGGAATTCCCCGTTAGTTGATCCCAACACTTCGGTAATCCTATAAATCCGTGAGTTGTACCAAACTAACGCCTTTTTTTTTTTTTTTTTTTTTTTTTTAGGCAAGCCTGGTATGACTCGTGATGACCTCTTCAAGATCAACGCCGGCATTGTCCGTGATCTCGTCAAGGGTATTGCCGAATTTTGCCCTAAGGCCTTCGTCCTCATTATTTCTAACCCCGTTAACTCTACCGTCCCCATCGCTGCTGAGGTTCTCAAGGCTGCCAATGTCTTCGACCCCCAGCGTCTCTTCGGTGTCACCACCCTCGACGTTGTTCGTGCCGAGACCTTTACCCAAGAATACTCTGGCCTCAAGGACCCCTCCAAAGCCAAGATTCCTGTCATTGGTGGCCACTCCGGCGAGACCATTGTCCCTCTCTTCAGCAAAGCTGCCCCGGCATTCCAGGTTCCTGCAGATAAATATGAAGCCCTGGTGAAGCGTGAGTAGACCTTTGATGCATGGATGACACCTTCTTGATTGTGCTCATACTTGCCTAGGTGTTCAATTTGGTGGTGATGAGGTCGTCGCGGCCAAGGATGGTGCTGGTTCCGCTACCTTGTCCATGGCCTTCGCTGGCTTCAGGTCTGACTTCTTGTTGCAAACGTAGCGCAATAACGAAAACTAAATCCATGACAGATTCGCCGAGAGCGTCCTCAAGGCTTCTCAGGGCCAATCCGACATTGTCGAGCCCACCTACGTTTACCTGCCCGGTGTTCCTGGTGGTGAGGAGCTTGCCAAGGCAACCGGCGTTGACTTCTTCTCTACTTTCGTTCAGCTCGGGGTGGGTTCATAAGTTTGAATATCTTTCAACCTGAAGATGGGACGCTAATTCTATCAAACAGAAAAATGGCGCAGAGAAGGCCGTTAACATTCTCGGTGGCGTGACTGCCAGGGAACAGGAACTGATTGATGCCTGCGTGAAGGGCCTCAAGGGCAACATTGAAAAAGGCATCGAATTCGTGAAGAGCCCCCCACCAAAGTAAACGCGCCCACCCCCCGTCCATCCAAGATAGGACTCCCATGCATTAATCGGTCATTTGTCATGTGCCGCATTTTCGTTCCCACCGAAAGCACATCTCTCGGCGGTTACAGTATAAACCCATCGCCATGGAAAGAGCATCGCTAATCATTGGTATCCCGGGAAGATAGGCTTTGAATCATTAGGAAATTATGAAGACGAATAACTGGAAGTGGCAATGAATCGTTTCGGTTAGACTTGCAACTGGGGGAATGCAGACACAATGCGTACAGAATTAGCAAAGAACTTCTTTCTTTTTTTCTTTTTCATGCCTGCACTCTGTTGTCGTAAGGATTATAATATGATGGGCGGAAGAAAAAAAAAAAAAAAGGTTGTAGAAGAAGGGCTAATTCCAGCCATTCCCCTAAGCATCGCAATACATGCTCTATTGTTCCGCAGTATTGTCCAGGGGGGTGCCTCATGTGTGTCCGTGCCTCTGCGTCTTGAGTAGAGATGAGTTATTTTTTTTTTAAGATTTGTTGATTGTTTTGATCTGGAACGTTGCGCCCGGAAGCTCGGTAGTCTCGGCCTGAACAGTAGTGTTGATACCCAGGCTAGACAAAGCACCACGAATGACACCGCAGGGGAACCATAGATACTAGAACTTGATGAGATAACAGACTATAACCAGAAGACAAGAGGTAAAAAGTGGCGGGTTGCTTACCGCCTGCGCCATAGTGACAGCTTCACTTCTCACAGACATACTCATTCTTGCAAACGGTCGAAAAGAGTTATCCGTTAAAACATAGACCCCCTAAATGAGATCATGTCAGCCCCCGACCTCAAATTCCCAACATCCACCACCGGAGCAGACAGAACGGGGAACCCTTACCCGATGGTTAGTTTTCAGATTATCCACTTGTTTTCTAAATAGCACAGTCCATAAATCTTTGCAAAGGAACTTGATCACGTCAAGATTATCCGTAAATCGTGGTCGATCTCGAGAGAACCTGTCAAGGAAGAAGAAGAAGGGTTGTGTGGAAATTCCCTAGTTATTAGCTTGGGTGGTTTGTAACCTCCTGTTGCAGTTTTACTTGCGCTTCTTCCCCCCTTTTTCCTTTTTGAGTGCTAGATAGCGTAGGTTCTCGGAAGGACAGCATAGCATACCTTTCTGCAAGCCCTTGTCCGACCCGATAGCCCAAAGACTCGAGGCGGAAGAAGGTCGTCTCTTTGACCTCCTCGTCATCTGGGAGCTTCTCCTGTGTAGCGAGTTCCTTCGTCAATCGCTCCGCCATGGGGACCAGCTCGATGAGGAGGAAATCTAGACATGACGCGCTTAGAACGCGGGTTCGCGGATCGGAGGCATTGAGGGGGGAACCGGACGCATCGAACGACATGACGGCGGTAGGGAGTGACGGAGATGGCGAGCTTGCAAAGAGGGGTGTAGGTAGATAAGAAGATGTTGATGTATAAAGAATCTTAGTAGTGGGAACTTATCATGTCGAAGCCATTAAATCATATAGACGAACTTGCGCGACTCGCTGTTGAATATGGTGATTGCGGCGTAAGGAAGGGCCGGTTGCGATCAACATCATGGCGAACGGGGGAGGGTTTGGAGATCAAGGCCCCCCCCCCCCCCCTCCCCTTTCCCTCCCCTCATGGGACCGCTCTCTACTCGAATTAAATCCTCCGTTGCAACTGCTGCGAAGAGTACTCCGTACATACATAACTAACGTCCCTTACATACACCCTCATAAGATTTATTTATTTATTTTTGGTCTTAATTTTCCTGATACCCAGGTATGTTTGGTTTTGATAATAAAATGGCTTTGGTCCTATTGGCCAATTAAACTAGTTCCAGCGAAATCCACCTCGTCCAGCAGATTCAAAGGGCGCTCGCTATATGCGATAATAATTCCCCCTCCCTTGGAACCAAGTACGCCGCAACGCCACATAAACATGCATTAATAGTTAGAATCATCCTTTGAATAGCTTGTTCTCATCAATCAAGTATTCGAGGATTCCTTTTGTCTAGATGACTGCCCCCGTACGAGCTTCGAGATCGTGATGCGGTACCGGCCGATTAAGCAGTTCTATCGCAGGGCGTTTCGCTGGTCTTACTGGAGAATCATCCTCATTGTCATCACTCAAAGTGAGATCGATAACCTGGGCAGCAGACCGCTTATTGGTGGTATGGTGGGACCATGCTGATGAGGTCTCCCGTGATCGTGCCGGAGTTTGGTGCAGTGCATCTGAGGCTGGTAAAGATTCTTGTTTTACAGGAGTAATTCCAGGTTCCCTTATTTCAATCAATTCGTCGTCTTCATCAGTTGCAGGCGTGGCGCCAGAGGGCCCAACTGGGGTTTCCTCTTTTGGTCCCGACCATTGGCCGTCCGGTTCAATAATGACCTGGTCGACATCTGTGGATGTTGAACGAAGAATATCCTCGACGTACCTATACTGTTAGGGAGAAAATAATATGAACTGGTAGATGTAAAACTTACTGGTCAATATGCAGCGATTCATAACTCGTTGCCTTGAGGCAAACTGGGCAAGTCCAGGTCGGTGCTTGTTCTTGCAATTGAAGGAATGAAGATGCATCAAAACACTGATTATGCGTGCACAAGACGGAGCGGCAAGGAACTTGTATTCGAAGTGTGGATAGCGGGCACTTCAACGACATGACACTCGACGTAGCAACAATATCAGAGTCCTCTGCCTTATTTTTCACTAAGAAATATTAGACATGTGTTCAAGTTGGGAGGTGCTAGTATTCAAACATACTCTCTTGTATGACTTGTTCCTTCGTGATCGTCTTTCTCTGCTTTAACTTTTCCACCAGCTCCTCAACAGGTGTACACTCGACAAGATTAGCGAGAACGAAGAATCTCTAAAAGATAGATTAGCAGGGATATCCAACTTATTGTATCTTAAATACAACCGGGAATAGCTTCGACTTGAACGAGAGCAGGGGGAGGTTGCTTACCTTTTGGGTGAGGGCATAAGTCATCACAATATGATTAGTGTAACCTGCTCTCTTCCGGATATAAGTTGTCACATCAGCGGGCCTTGTCGTGCCAGGTTTGTTTTTAAGTCCTCTCAAGTTAGCCTTCACCTCGTCCAGGTTGGCTTTTAGCTCTACTTGATGAGGGAAAGCAATATCCGACTTGGTGAATTGGTTGAGACCCGTATCTGCAGCGCAGAATACCATTATTCTTAGCTTAGGATCTGTCTGCAGTCGAGAAGCCACATCAGTGCTTAGAATAATCTTGAGTTCAACGCTGTCTCTAGTCTGTTCACGTGCTTCATAATTTTAGACGATATTCACAACAGCTTCAATAGTAAAGAAAACTTACCTTTACATTCTACTGTTGGGGTAAGTTGGTTTAGTATGTTGTAGAAAGGGCTCTCTTTGAAGCTCAGGGGTCCTAAATTTATCATAAGACATGAGGGATTGTCCACAATTGAAGTGAGGGTTATGTAAGAGTATACCGGGTGCGGTCCCATGAGAAGGTATCGACATTCCCAATGGGGACGGCCTATGCTGTGATTGTACTGATTGACTGCTCGAAGTCGAGTGGTAGTGGTGACCAGGGGCTGGTTGCGATACTGATGGTGAGGGAGGTAATGAACGATGGGCAGTGGTGTATATGAATTTTCTCAGACTATCGTAGCGATCAAGATAACCCGCTTGCTGAAGTCTTTCAATATCTACAACGACTCAAATGTGTTAATGGCTCGTGTATAATTTTCAGACCCATTGTTCGACGGCCAAAGAGGTATTGCTTGCAAACACAAGATGAGGAGAAGTACGAACAATCGATTATGCGGAGTTGGAGTGAAGCTTTCACCCCAGAGACCGCAAGCCTCTCATTTCTCAGGATATCCTTAAGTTGTACATTGGTCAATGTCTTGACCAAAGCAATCACACTCTGGAGCTCGGGCGACTGGCCGACAGAAGCCATAGTTGGGATGATGTTCTTTGTCTGCAGGCGAGGAATCTGGGCGTCCTGGAGGACTTTAGGAAGCGTATCTCAAAACGGCGCCTTTCTGCTACCTGAATACATGAAAAGGCATTTCAGTATCTGCTTTCGGATCAAGTATGATGATATGAAATAATAAACAGAGAAGGTTCCGGCCAGGAAACCCCATCAAGTGTTGTCCCTATCAACGCGACCAGGCTCCCCGGCGAGCAGTGCGGAGGTGAGAAGAATCTCCGATATGATGACATAAGACAATTTTGGTGGTGGGAGAAAACTTTTTTTTCGTCGACAGCCGGCTGGCTCACTCTCACATTAGCATCTACCCAATTTTTTCTCCTCTTTTATTCCTGTTGCGAAATTTAATCTTTTTATATTGATCACCAAAACATGGCAAAAAGTGTCCGTGCCAGTGTTTCTAAGCGCAATAAGGCGAAGCTGCGTGCGACAGTATTTGGGCCCGTGGTGGATGCACGCACAGAGAGATTGTCTGCCAAGCTACAGGAGTTGGCAGCCCAACCGAAACCAAGCGATCAAGAAAAGTCGAAGATGAGCATGGATGTTACAGAATCAGGTATGCTATCATACCTCACATGTTGGTTGATTCCGCTGGTTAACAGGATCCAGACGCACAGAATAGCAGCGCGAAAACGAACCCAGCAGAAAGCGGTGACGGTAAGCAGTCTTTCAATAGTCCCGATCCTCTTATTGTTGATACTCATGTAATGTCTTTCTCCAGATATGGATGTCGATAACGGAACCCTCAAGAACAATGCCGGTCGTTCCCAACGGTCAGGGCGCATTCAAAAGCGCCGTGGGAAAAGTCGTTCTTCTATTGTTTTCCGACCCCATCCATCGAAAACCAAAAAGTTCTCGAAGAAGAAATAGAAAATTCTTTGTTTTGTCCAGTTATGCAATTAGGAGAAGACGGCGTTCAAACTAACGGCATTGGATTGGGTATTATCGATTTTTTGTTCATTTTATGGTTGGGAAGAAAATGAATTATCAGCGGCTCAGCCATGCGGATGTAGTCCCTATATCTCGAGGATCAGCGACTTCGAAAGAAGGAGATCGGCTTCTCAAAACGGTGAAACGATCATCAAGGAACATTGAAAGGGGGCATCGCAGCCATACAGAATAAGATCCTTCAAATAACTCACGCCATGCCTTTGATACCCCATATCGAAATTCGGATAAGATAAAGATATCGTCTTAAATTCAATTAAAAACAAACCACCCGTCACTGATGTATGATTTCTCTATAACACCTGCAGAACTTTTGGTACAAAATCAATTGCTCAAATAAACTAAATAATTGAATAAATAACCTATCCCATACAAATATAAAGAGATATGCACACAGGCACCTGGTGAAAGCTTAATTATGTTTACTTCCGATATATACGAAAGGAAGGCGGTCAAGGACACGGTTGTCAACTATATGGAGGAGAATCATGTCCGAGAAACACTACAGACAAGAACAAATTCACTATTTTCAAGTCCGTATGGATTTTGGTTGAACATGTTCATATAGGAGTGTAGCAGCTTGTGCTCATTTCACAGTGCCCAGTGCGCATTTCACAGGCCATCAATGACCAAAATGGCCATTAAACCAGCCATTTGGCCGGTACTCCTTGCCAATATTCTTATTCCTATTTCTATTCTTATCTTCTCCTTGGGATTTTTTCCTTATAAGCCTTTGATCCCTGGGCTTGCGACATTTGAGGAGGCTCGGAATGCGCCAGCACCAATCTTCAATAAGGTTGTCTTTATGGTGGTTGATGCCCTGCGGAGGTAAAGCGATGCGCACCCCTATCTCGATGCTTCTAACTAACCAGCACTCTAGCGACTTCGTGTATTCCGATAAGTCCGGCTTCCTCTTTACCCAAGGGTCCGTTACCACGTATCTTACCTACTCCGAGTCCCCATTGACCCAAGTCAAACAGTCTGATTCGGTCCGGCGCCGCAGTCCCTTTTACCGCATATGCAGGGTCCCCCACAGTTACAATGCCTCGACTGAAGGCTTTAACTACAGGATCTGTACCCTCTTTCCTCGATGTCATCCTGAACATTGCAGAATCCGATACTTCTTCGACTCTTGCATTTCAAGATACCTGGTTGGCTCAAATTAAAAGGAGGGGAGAGAAGCTCATAATGTATGGAGATGATACCTGGTTGAAGCTCTTTCCCGGAATGTTTAGCAGGGCAGATGGTACAACAAGCTTTTTTGTATCAGTGGGTTGCACTTGAGCTCTCGGACTCCCAGTTCACCAAGGAACTAACTATTGTTTTAAGGACTTCACCGAAGTAGATACCAACGTGACCCGCCATATCCCTCATGAGCTTCTCCAGGATGATTGGTCTGCACTAATTATGCATTACCTGGGCTTAGACCACATAGGGCATAAAGCTGGTCCACAGAGGTAAGTTGACTTATCTATTGTCTCCGTCTAACCATGTCCTAAATTAAATCTAGTCCTTATATGATAACAAAGCAGCGCGAAATGGATGCCATTGTTAGCCAAGTATATGAGGCTATGAACCAAGAAGCTCACTTAGAATCAACACTATTTGTTGTGTGTGGAGATCATGGCATGAATGATGCTGGGAATCACGGTGGTTCTTCCGTAGGCGAAACTTCGCCTGCCCTGCTTTTCATATCACCCAAATTTCAGACGATAGAGGGTATGAGACAGAGCCCAATCGCTGCATTCAAAGATATGCAATACTATCGTGTTGTTGATCAAACGGATATTACACCAACCTTGGCTGGCCTCCTTGGTTTACCTATTCCTTTAAACAGCCTTGGGGTCTTCATACCGGAACTTCTTGATCTATGGCACTCTGGTAAAGCACGCCGTCAAATATCCATGGACTCTGTCAGTGGCTAATTATCACTATTATCGGAATTTCAGGGTCCCAAAGAATCCAGTTGCTTATTGAGAACTCCAAACAGCTGCTCGACACGGTTAAAGAAGCGTACCCGGGCTTTAGTGTTGACCGCGATGCAATGGAGGCTGGCTGTAACTCCAAATCTCAGACAAGTGTCGAAGAAACTCGATGCGCTTGGTTCCACGCTCAGGAATTACTTCGTCAGTTTGACGCAGATAACGGAAGTGCCAGCCAGTCTGAGGTTGAATCCTCCCTTCTGCACTTCCTCAAAACTTCCCAGAGCCTGATGAGCAGTGCAGCTAGCAATTATAACCTCAAATATCTTTCCTTGGGAATATTTGTGAGTGGCCTTGCTGTCTTGTTCGCCTTGCCTGCTTCGTATAGAGTGCTATCAGGCGAAAAACACGCAGGATTGTTCTTTGCCTTGAGTATCCTAAGCTATGGCGCCTTAATGTTTGCGAGTAGCTACGTGGAGGAAGAACAGCAATTTTGGTACTGGATATTCACCGGGTGGGCATTTTACTTGCATATCAGGTCGTCCAGGAGATTGACTGAGCGCCATTCCAAGGGCAGAGGAACATATGGAGCTTTAGCCACTTTGTTCCCAAAATTTAGCCCAGTGATACTCGCAGTGTCTCACCGAATATTAAGACGGTGGAACCAAACTGGCCAGAAATTCGCAGCTGATCCAGATATCTCCCGTACATTCTTCCCGAATCACCCAGGAAGTCTGTGGGTATTGGTGGCTTTAAGTTACGCCGATATTAGCCTCCACATCATCGGTCATACTTCTTCCTCTATGGCATGGCGTCTACTTTGCTTTGGTGTCACAACACTAGCTTTCACTTTCAAGCTAGTCTTTGCGGCGTCGGAGTCACCGGAGCTTATCAGCAAACCGGTATTGCACAATGTCACTGTTTTACTAAACCAGGTACCTCTTCTACTATACGCACGCCTTGTTTTGGGTGGGATCATGTTACTCGTGGTGTTTTCCACTATTTCCGCGAGACAGAACAAAAGACCAACTAAACAGAGAGGTATGCAGGGAAAAGGCTTAGGATCATTGCGTCGAAATACTGATAAGGCAATAGTTTCGCCAAGTGCGGTTTTCCATGAGGCTCTCGCGCTGTTCCTCATGACCCAGTCCAGAGTCACCAATGTTCCACTCTTCTTGATTCTCAGAGTCCAACTCAAAGCTTTGGCTTCAATGGACCTATCACCCAACGAAGTAACAGTAACGTCCCTGTTCATGCAGTACATAACCTTCTTTGCATTTGGCGGTTCGAATGCGATTTCTTCCGTGGACCTGTCTAACGCCTATAACGGCGTCGGCAACTACAATATCGTACTCGTCGGTATTTTGACATTCGCAGGCAATTGGGCTGGTCCGATATGGTGGGTATCAGCAACCAAGCTTCTAAGATCTAGTCAAAGCGGAGATGAGAAACGATCTCATTTCACTCTTCTAACATTCTCTACGGCGGCCACATTGCTGTCTGTTATGGCCGCATGTACTGCTCTGAGGACCCATCTCTTCATCTGGACCGTTTTTTCACCCAAATATCTGTATACAATATCCTGGGCTATTATTCATCATTTCGGTGTAAATTTGCTATGGGAAATATTTTAGTTTGTTATACGCAGTCTACTAACAGTGTAGGGTTAGGTGGGAAGAGACTTTTCTTGTTTGTTTGTTATGCAATGTACATATATGCTTTATATAGCCCAATAGAGCGGCGTGAGTCCTTTCACCGATGATCATGACACATAATTCATATCCACTATATTAGAAGGTAAATATATCGGCCAGAACTTCAATATATCACATTAGCCCATCAAAAAGGTCGTCGATAGCATTCTTTTTCTTGCTTTTCTTCTTTTTTGGTTTAATCACCACATCCTCAGTCACGCGTGACTTCTTTGCAGTGGCCTTGCGGGTTTCTACTAAGAGCGGACTAGGAGTTATAGTCTTTTGAGGATCCGGTAAAGGGTCTGAAGTATTTTCTCCTTCTCGTGCCAGAGCTTCTCCCAAATCTTCCTGTGCTTTGGGTGTCTCGATGTGGAAGGTAGAAGTATTCTCGGGAGCGGTTTCTACAGCCTCACGGAAATTAAGCTCCTTGTTGACACCTGTTATCCTTGAAAGGCGAGCTAGAGTAGCAATTAGTACAGTGCCGAGGGTAGAAAACTGCGAATCCGCTACAACGACCGAGAAGGCCCTAGAAAATGGTTAGAAATGGGGCTTCTATCTTTCGAATGGCAAAAGCTGTCGGGGTGAGAGAGAGGAGGAAGGAAGGAAGGAAGGAAAAAAAAAAAAAGGGGGGGGGGGGGGTTCCGCTGTTCGTGTACACTTACAGGTAACATCTTGGAACAACACGAGTTGCCAGATACTGTTTATAAAATTCCGCGGGAGACTCTGTCCGGCTTGAAATGGACGGGCGGGAGTTAAGAGACACAGCAAGGTTCCAAACAACGCGCTTTAGGATCGATAGCCATTTCCACCATTTTGTCTTTCCATGTTGGTTCTTATTGCGGTGGAAGATAAGATGGAGCATGGAGTGGATGCGAAGGATCTCTTCTCCGTCCATATTTCGTTGTCGTTATTGTTGCCGCGACGGATTATACGAAAGAAAATATGATCAGCCGAGGATGGAGAACATTATTCCTTTTTGTGTAGCGAGTGTGCAGAGAGGACAAAGGGCGCCGGTTCGATTGACTCCATGAGGAGTGTGATTGTTCCAGATTCCCGAGGTCTCTTGAATCCCCGGGAAATGCTTCTTTTGCGCTAATACTAGAAAAGTTAGAACTACAATGCGGTGGGTACTTAGATGTACCGATATGTTCCCGTCCACATAATTGGTCCTCTCCCACAATACTCCGTAGGTATACATCCTTACGAAGGAATAAGGATAAATTTCATGCCAACGAGGCTAACCGCTGGCACTGAGATATTTGATTTACTTCAGAGCTTGCGCATGGAACTACATTCAAGAACGACGATGACGCTATAAATCTTGGCTCTTTTTTGTAACCTTTCAAAGTACATTTTGAAGTTTAACACGCCGTGTTGTAGGCAAGAGAGGAACCCTAAATCTCACAGAGATACGCTTCCAAACGGAGATGAACCCAACAACTTAGACTCAAATCGAGACACCACATCCAAGCCAACCAGGGCGTAGAATGGCTTTCTCCTATGGGTCAAAAAACTGCCGGTTGCCTTCTCCAACATTCATGATGTACTCGGAACAAGAGGAAGGGAAGAGGCGACAAAGCAAGGAAGAACAAACGTAAATCGAAAAAGGAAAAAAAAAAGCCTCATCACTTGCAACACCAGGAAAGATCCGCTGTTGTACACAAACATGTATTCTTGTCCACGCTTTCCTCACAAAGGGGGCTGGTCTGAAGGATAGGATCAAGAAGTTTTGGGGCCATGTTCATCAGCAGTTGAATCATACCACATTCTCATCCCAGGGTAGGTGCATGGAGCACTTTTTAGGCCGTTGTTAATACCAATGGAGCGTCTAGGAGCAAGGGTTCGAACATATACTATTTCACGTTCAGCTGCGGTAGTTCCACGATCAAATTGGGAACGACGGCGGCGTTGTTCATCACGATACTGTTGACCAACACGAGGAGCAAATAGGCCTAGAACAAGGTTTGGGTCAAAAGTGTTGTATTTTGATACCTTATGATATACTGACCAACATGCTCTGCATTTTCAATACTGCGCCTCATCTTCGATGGATTGTCTGGACCTGGAAACCGATCCTCGGTTCCCATAAGAGGGCCGGGGCCGGTATGAAAAATCTGCTACATGAGCTTCCACTATCCTCATTCATGACTTTTTGCTGCGAGCTTCCTACCTTCGGACGAAACGATGGATGCTCCAGCATCACTGAGCTATTTCGAAACTTTTGAACGAGACAATCTTTGCCTTGAATTGCTACCCAATGCTCAGAACAAAATACGAGAAATCAAGTAGATATTTACTTACTAGCGTATGATACTTCCGCAACTTTGTCGCTGTTAAAACAGTTCCTGAGACTTCATCAGTTTAGGGGGGAATAAGACATCATTGTGGACCATACCAGGTGCGCCCTGCTCGCGCCTTGACAAACTGGGATATCATTAAAAAAAAAAGCCAGATAAAGGAAATGGCTTCAAACCCACATCAATGATATCAATCGGCTGGAAAATAATTTAGAGTCGTTTGAAAAGCTAGGGCGAAAATTTACTTACATCTTCGAAATTTATGAAAGCATAGCCAACACTAAAAAGACTTATCGGTACAAAAATCATGAGAACTGTTCCTTACTGTATTAACTTACTTGCAATTGTTTGCAAAATCTACACCGGGGATAGTTAGCATCTCGCTTTCCAATAGAGAAGAATGGGTTTCTTACCAATGCGCAGGTACATAAAGTCATATTTTCCGTGACTCGTCTCATCGACGATAGCTTTGAGCATAGTCTGACCGTGTCAGAGAGATGTATAAAACCTCTTTTTTACTTTCATACTTACCTGATCAATTTTATTGGGAATGTTTCGAAGCATTATCTATTATTTAAAAGGTTAGTCTGGCTCCCCACTACCAGATTCATAAAGAGATACATACCGTAGTCCGGACGTCTAGCCCCAGACGGATACGCTCAATATCTACAGCATTCTGATTGCTAAGACGCAAATCAGGATAGCGTGCAGCTTCACGGCGTGGAGAAGGCAGGATTCTTTCACCTGATCTTGTCATCCAGTCCATGAGGCCGGCATGTTCACCAGGTGGAATTGTGGAGCGGCCAGTTGGACTAAGTTCCATGTAGGGACCACGAGCAGGGCGAGGTGAAGTCCATGGTGCGTTCTTCTGATTGCTCTGGTCAAAGCACGAGACATCACCCTTCACAGAGCAAGGGCTTTGAGGAGAAGGGTATGTCTCACTTTGTACATCTGGCGTAAAAAATGAGACTTCAACAACACAGTCCTTGAGATAATTAGTTAGGGCTGATTAGGATGTGTTAATTTCGGAAACGAATTTGTGTAACTTACATCAACTGAGGTGCCGTTGAGTGTGGTCATGACATTCTCCGCATCTCGTGTATTGAAAAATTCAATATGAAACTCTATGATATTTTCCTGGTCAGAGGGTAAGGGTGTGAAAGTTTTTATATCCCCAAAAGTCATGACAAGAGTTTCAAGCGATCGAGAAACTGCATGTTGACTCAATGTTGGGTTGCGGCTGTCATAATAAACGGATGCAAGCAGTTGGCCCTCATAGTCTGAGGTTTGTGGCAAACGTGATGGATCTGAATGCTGCGTAAATTCTCTGGGTGTAAGAGGGAAGACATGCCATTCAGGTCTAAGCAGATGGACCTTTTCTATTGCCTTTTTTGCCTCCCGACAATCAGTGAATGCTAAATATATCTTGCCCATAGAACTGAGTTCAGAAAGTATGGGACCTTTGAGGGAGGTAAATTCACGCCGCTTGATTAGACACGGATTAGTATGCAGCAAAAGCGAAATATTAGATTCCTTAGATGTCTACTTACGTTGAAAAATCCTGCCAGCGACATATACGTCAAGTTTGTGGGAACATTCTCAATGAGTAAGGCGCGGAGATTCCTGTCCTTGTCAAATTGTCCACGGACTGGGCTAAAAGAGAGGCTTCTTCTGGGAATCTGAGCATTTCCAATGGGGCCATATGCGGGCATCGTTCCCTCAAATTCATGCCTGAATCCACCTCCCCCCACATTGGAGATTTGACTGGAATTGATTGGGAGGAAATTGATGCCCTTAGTAGGAGCCATGAGCTGGGCCCCATTTCCGCTTGAAGTTTCCGCCATCCCAATGGGGGTAAAACTTGCAGCAGTCGGAGAGAGTTGTGCTCGATGAGGCATGCTGTTTGGAACGAGAAATGGGTCAGAGCTAAATGATATTAGCTTTCGGACATTACAATCGTTGGGGCTACGTGCACTTACGAAGAGTAGAGTCTTCTAAATCCGGAATCGTTCAGTGGGCCACAGACGCTTGAATCCGAGCGACCTTTGGACCGTACATCTTCTGGGGAGAATGCTGTAAGTTTTGTATCCGGCGAACCATTTGGAGAGGCCACTCCATCCGTTGAGCAAGGGCTACTTAACCCACGAGAGGAGTCAGTGGCTCTCATTTCGTGAGAAAGGTCTAGATTTCAAGTGATATTTGGATCAAAGGTTCATCCACCAGACAGTATTGGTAGGAGTTTAATAAGGTATCAGTTGATAGTATCAATCAATGATGGCAGTAGGGCTATTAGGTTGAAGGAATTCACGTAGAGTGAGTAGAGACAAGGGGGGGATGTCTTTCTGCAAACATGCTAGACAGAACACAAGTTTTGGGTCCACAACATCCCAGAACGACAGGCCATGGAGAAAGTAGGGGTGCAAGAAAACATGGTTTGGAATCAAACACGCCGAGAGAAAAGAAACAAAGGTGTACCTAGATAGAATAAGGCATGCTGTAAGGAAATTTTGACATTTCTTACTTTAGACATTAACATAGAAACAGGACATGTACCTATATACCTTTAAGCATTAACATCAATTATCTTCTGCAGTAGAGTAGTAGAGGCACGTCAAATCATACCAAGATGAAGTAATATCACTTAGGTTGTATATTCTCCCGGGAGAGAAAGATGTCCTAGTTAGATTTAGCTATAGATAGATATTTTACACCAAAAAGGCCCTGGAACTTCTTGGCTGGAAGAGACTATCTTTTATTACCTAGGTATGAACAAATCATCAATAGAGATTCCAATTATTAGTTGGTGTATAAGAGTTGTAAGCCATAGCCACTTGTCCAGCCAGGTGGTCTCTAGCATAACTATTCATTCCTCTAGTAGTACCGATAATTCAAAGAGGAGATTGGGACAACCCTAACTAAACATAGGTAGACCTATGCCCTATTTCAAACAGAAGTCCCTTTGAAGTGTGCATGGGCACATTCTTATTCATGCCTCAAGCAAGGCTATACTGAAGTTAAGGTGCAATAATGTGGTGATACCTATAGGTATCTACCAGGAGCCCAGTGGTATTCAAATATGGACAGATCAGGAAAGTGCCGCTAAGCAAATGATTGATGCCGTTTCATACTTCATCCAGTATATCTATAGGCTATTCTCTTCATCTTGAATACCGCTGCAGAGTATACTGATGAGATCTGTTCAATTGGTTCAAATTTAACTCTCTATGTGCCTTCGAAAGGTAAACAAGGAATTTGAACTATATGCGACTAAGAAGCTGGGATTGATTCCCTCTTCGGCGCTTTGGCTGGGGACCTGCAAACCAGATTTCAATTATAGTCGCTTCACGAGTAGTTATATATGGAATGATGAGATATCGTATAAAATAATTCCAATCATAGCTTGTTAAGGGTGCTGTTAAGAATCCTTCACCGCCCGGGTAAATGATAACCACCGTTGGGTGGGCACTACCTGCTTATCTACCTGCATACGGAGTAGTACAAGGAGAAAGCTGCTGATGAGCTACCTAAATTAGACTGGGAGCTATTTACACTTCGCGAATTAAGAGACACCTTCTCTTTCACAATATCAATCCAGAATTGTTTCTGGAAGCATCCAACATCCAGGTATATATTCCAACAGATCAGCCGCTAGTCAAACAAAGCAGCAAATCGCGTGGGTAGGTATCGTCCAGGTCGCAACCACAAGGCCACCATAACTACCTAGGTACTGTGCCGCCTATTCGGATGCCGCTACAACCCACGATCCAGCAACATGCCGTCTATGGTTCCATCCCGGAGCGAATCCTCATATGTCCTAAATCAGGTCAGTATTGTGTATTTGTGCTTGATTCAGCCTGCTAATATGCGGTGGTTCATAGATCATCATATCGCCGTCCGACACAGACTATCTCGATCAGTTGATCCCGTCAATTAAGGAATACAGTGTTGGCAATAAAACATCCGAGCTACTACAGTCTCTTTCTAAGTTTGCTAGTGATAAGGAAGCTGAAATTGAGACAATATGCAACACAAATCACCAGGAATTTGTCACTTCCGTCAACCAGCTCCTTCATATTAGAGAGGATAGCGTCAGCCTAACAGCGGAGATCTTGGACCTGAACCAATCCATCCAAGCTAGTACAGAGAAGCTAGCCGAGCAGAAAAAGGCTTTGGTGGAATCGCGAAGTCACCGACAAAACATCGATGAAACATCCCGTGCTATTCAAGATTGTTTGGAAGTTCTGCGCCTTGCGAATCAAGTCCACGATCTACTAGCCAAGAAAAACCATTACGCAGCGCTTCGTGCGCTTGAAGAGCTTCAAAATGTTCACCTCAAGGGTGTGACTCAGTATCAGATTGCTGACATGATCCAGCGCTCTGTCCCGGCAACTCAAAGAGCTATAGCTGAAGCGGTGATGTCGGACTTGAACACTTGGCTGTATAGAATCCGGGAGATGTCACAATATCTCGGGGAGATAGCATTGTATCACACAGATCTGCGCAAAACAAGACACAAGGAAAGAGCTGCAAAGATGCCGTATCTTGAGCACTTCAAATTAAATTCTGCCATTGAACTGGTGTCCGACGAGCATGAGGAGTATGACCTCCTTCAAAACGAGGAACTTCAAGTTGATTTCACCCCACTTTTCGAATGCCTTCACATACACCAGTCCCTCGGCCAAATGGATAAATTCAAGGTCGAATATGCGAATACCCGCCGCCGACAGAAGGAACTTCTGATACCGGCCTCGATAACCCTGGTCGACGAAGACGGTGCTAGCCTCCACAATCTATTAGAGGAAATGGCAGGTTTTGCGATTGTTGAAAGATCCACTATGAAGAAGCTCCCAGGCTTGCGATCTCCGGTTGATGTGAGTTTTCTCTAGGTTGAGTTCCGCGTGTACTTCTGAAACTAATAGCGTGGGACTAGGTTGATGAGCTATGGGACTCCATGTGTCAGACAGCCGTAAGCTTAATATCGAAAGCCCTTTGCGAAGTCGACAATGCCGAAAGTCTCTTGAGAATAAAGAATCTTATTGCCCTGTTTATGCAGACAATGAACGTATGTATCTTCGTTAGTCCCAACCAGTTTGAATGACGCTATTAACTTCAATGATAGGCATGGGGCTTTGCAGTCGGAACTTTCGATAACTTATTCCTAACACTATTTAGGAAGTATGCCGAGCTTCTCAAAAGAAGGTTCAGCGATGACTTTCAAGAGGTGAGAAAATGGGTGGTTTTAAGTCTGCTCAATATACTGATTGATTATTTGAAAGATTGTGTCCACGGATGATTATATGCCTATGCCAATTCAAACACCCGAAGAATTCGATAAAGTACTTAACGTCAGTTGGTATAATCCTGAAAACCCTCAGGAACAAGTGTATGTTTCTACCCCGCCGCTATCAGTCTTATTACCTGGTACTAATTTTGTAATAAGTTTCCCTTGTGTTTTACCCTTCTCGCAGATGTACCCATTATGTTGCATTGATATTCGAAATTTCCTGAACCAATTTTACTTCTTTGCCAATGACGATTTCTCAAATCCGGATGTTATTGACGAAACAGTGAAAGACGTAGGTTCAATGTATCAAGTGATGTTAGAAAATTGCTAATTACTTTAGGCCCTGGATGAATTATTGTCTAGCAAAGTCTGCGACACTCTCGTGGAGCGCCTCAACTCGCAATACCTTGGCCAAATCGTGCAGATCCTTATAAATCTAGAGCATTTCGAGCTCGCTTGTCATGAGCTTGAGCTCTTGCTTGCTGCAGCGAGGTCGCAGAACACCTCTGGGGATCCGCTAACGTTAAAGGCAACCGAGAAGTTTAGAGACAATAAGAAAGTGGCAGAGAAACGTATTTTCGAAGTGGTTAATTCTAAAATTGACGACCTTATCGAAACCGCGGAATACGACTGGGTGGCACAGGTTGCACCTACAGAACCGAGCAGCTATATGCAGACACTCACCCGTTTCCTATCGAATATCATGAATTCAACCCTCCTTGGGCTCCCAACAGAAATTAAAGAGTTGATCTACTTCGATGCCCTTAGCCACGCAGCAAATATGATTCTAGTGGGGCTCTGTATGCAAGCTATATTTCAGTACCAAGTTGACTGACCGCTTATCTAGGCGCTTCCTCTTTCCCCAGATGTGAAACGAATCAACCCCAATGGCGTAATGGCTCTCGCAAAGGATGTCGAATATCTCTATCAATTTGTTGACGGCCTCAATGTACCCATTCTTCGTGAAAACTTGGATGAGCTACAACAGACAGTGCAGCTGATGCAGGCGGATAACGCTGATGAGTTCTATGATATCTCAACGCGGAACAAGAAGTATGGGCGAGTAGACGCTATTAATGGCCCAGTTCTCTTGGAAAAGTATGACCATCTATGTTGGAAAGACATAGTGACACATGTTGACTTTTTGCAGACTTACACACACTATTCAGAGCCCGGTGAAGACGGAAAAGTTCCCAACTCTTACTTCGAGGTTCGGGAAGAAATCGTGATTTGAAGACGGGATGCAGATATGTGATCACAGGTTTATGGGGTGTGGTTCTTGCTCGGCTCTCTTTGAAGCCTCGGCCAGCATCCAGGAGTATTTCTCGAGACCTCATCTTACTAGCAGTACAGGCACGAGGAGCATCGAATAATTTCAATCAATAATCTGGGTATGTTCGAATATAAACTCAAAGATCAATAACAAAACTAGTAACATCCATTCCCTCGGCGCCCACATTCATTAAAACCTCGAAACCCGATATTGATACTAAAAATGTCAACCGAGCGGACAGCTCTCAGGCAAAGGGTACTGAAAATCCATGATATTTTTTCACTTGGAAGAATGTATTTGGTTAGCTTCTGAGGGGGGAAATTAAGCATGCCAACTACTAAGCAAGCAAGGGCTCGGGACACAAAAACGAGTGAAGCTGCGGGATCACGAAAGGCATACCTGTTGTGGGGGTAAATGGGGATATGCGGTATACATTCCCTCAAACATCTGAGACTGAGGTTGAGCATATGCAGCTGTTGGGTCCGGCTGCACAGCTTGTCCGTATATAGCTTGCTGTCTGTATTCCTGGTCCTGAAGAGGATGTTGGCCTAAAGAACCGTAATCCGGTGGCCCCATGTGATGTGGATGGTGCTGGACTCCATGTTGAGATGGAGGCAACTGGCCAGGAGCGCCGGCTGGGCCCGAGGGTCCGGCTGGAGCACCTGCTGTCTGGCTAGATCGCTTCGCATGCGAGGTAGCTTCTTCACGTGGTACTATATCGATGAGAAAATCGAACATGTCGGACTTGGACAAGGCCGCCGCAATATCTGATCGTTGCAAAGTACGCCGCTTGTTGTCTTCGGCGTGGATCCAAGCTCGCATAGTCAGTTCAGTGATGAACACATCACACCCCTTTGCGAACAGGATTGGCGCCTCAGCTGAAATCATCTTAACTTCAGGATCGGCTTTCATAACCTTCTTTATCCGAGCCAGCGGTAATTGATGGATTTTATAGTCATGGTTGTCGGATTCGAGGTGGTTGATAACGTGTTGCCAGTACGTCGTCAAGATATCTCGGGCAGTCCCTTGTAAGCCCTGGTTGACCTGGTCCCGTAAGTCATAATTTCGCAAAGTCCCTCAGGGGGTCATGGCGCAGGAATATTTACATTGGCCCATGTTCCGGTATAAAGCTCGGCAACGGGTGCATACCCTTGTGCGGAGAGCTAAATCATGCGAGGTCAGCGCGAGGACTAATGAAAAGGCTTTTTCGGGTGGACATACCGCCGCGCTGGCACCTAAAAATTCTCTTAGCTTTAAGCTCATTATATCAATGTGAATATCAAAACCAGATATTTCGGGCTCTAGGAAGCTCGGGGTGATTACCGTAGTGTCCACCATTCCTAGTGTCATACACAGGCTGTTGCCTGCCCTGCTGTTGTCCAGAGCCTTGTTGAGTTTGTTCCATAGTCTCAATACCAGTACTTCCGGATAAATCAATATAGGTAAGGGGATGGAATCGCCAGTTTGGTGAGATGAATTCGGGGGCGCGTGGATCGGCGGGAGGATGATGAGCTGGGCTTCGAAACAATGGCGTTCAAATATAAGGATGAGGATAAATTCCTAGATACAACAGCACAGTGACATACAGAAGATGGGTTTCGCTACTGATGTCAATTATCTAAGCACGCGGGGAGGTTTTGGGCAGGCAATGAGTATCTTGAACAAGGCGCCTGGGTAGCAGTTGGAGGAGGTCAGCGACTCAGCGCGAGGCGCGCCAAGAAGGACGCTACCACTCTCTAAGTGACGTTTGCGGGCATGCGCAACCTCGCTCTATCAAAGCAATCGCGAGATGAAGAATCTCAAGAATGGAAACCAAGAATCTTGGGTCTACATATGTATTCTAAATCAATAGTTATTTGACAAATATCTTGTATCAGTTGCTAAAGGGAGTTTCAATTGTTCAGGATTTATCTTGCTTGTCTCGCGTAGACACAAAGCATCCTGTGGAAGAAAATTGGAAGAATATCTCTACGGCGGAGTAATTAGGTGCCTACCGAGTAGGTAGACTGTAGTAAAGATGTCTCTAGTTCAATTATAGTCCAATCCGCGTCTTTAAATTTAATAGAATGCTAACTTTGCAATTATATGGCGCTGCTAAAAAGACGACGTTTGGAGAGGATTATGACTAAATGATTGTTGAGTTTCCTAACTAGTTACCCATTGAGGCTAGATATTGTTGTTGATGACTAAGGTAAATGTTTCCATTTTGAGGTCTAACCTCTCAAGCTCGCCCCACAGAAGAAATTTTCTCGCAACTGTTTAGACATCGTGCCCCGTCACCATATAAATTGGGGTCAAGTCCGAAATTTTCCCTCTTTCTTCATTATATCTCCGGTGCTCTCCCCTTCCCATCAGATATATCATGACGGGAGGAACATCGGCCCAATCCCTTCACAATGTCAATATGACAGACGATGACATCCAACAGCTTCTCGCTGAAGCTGATGAGCGACTACGAAAGAGCGAGGCAGAAACGACCGAAAGCTCGATTACGCTCACTCCATTAGACAAACCTCTTCCAAAGTATGTGTGCATGCCAATCAATAACCCCATATGCGTTTCAGGCCACAAAGGCTGATTCAGGCTACCGCAGTATTCCCAAGTTATCTGCCGAATTGTCTCTCAAGCCCTATCTTCGAAAACAAAATGAACTTGCAGTCATCGATACCACTCAAATGCATGAACTTGTGCATAAAAAAAATGTTATTCAGGCAACAGCGGGAGAACAAATGATGCCAAAGCCGTCAAAGTCGAAAATGGTAAGATTTTATATACCTTGCCCCCCCTTCAACCATGTTATGTGTTACTCCTGCGTTACACACCCTTTCTGTGGATTGCTATGAGGAAAATTTACCCTACCGCTTAAGCGCTCGATGCAGTTTTCACAGTCCGTCTTGGGCTGCACTGCTATAATGAGAGTACTTTTATTTCATAGTTACTCTGAGCACCACTTTCCATCGTCCATTTGTACCTCTACATATATACGTTGATGGATTATTAATAATATTCTTCTTTTACAGGATAAACCAACTGCGGGAAGTGATTGGTTTGATCTACCCAAGACAGAGTTCACACCAGAGCTGAGAAGGGATCTGCAGCTTCTTCGGATGCGTTCCATCTTAGACCCAAAGAGACATTACAAGAAAGAGAGCGCGAAGGCCCAACCACCTAAGTACTCTCAGGTTGGAACCATCATTGAAGGCGCGACCGAATTCTTTAGTGGACGTATCACCAAGCGAGACAGGAAGAAGACATTCGTCGAAGAGGCCCTTGCCGCCGAGAACTTGACCGGACGCTTCAAGACTAAATACAAAGATATTCAAAGCAGCAAAACGAGCGGGAAAAAGTCCTTCTACAAAGGCTTGCAAGCTAAGAGAAAGGGTGGAGGTAGTCGACGCTGAGTGAATCTATCATTGGCGTTAGAACATCCCCAAAACTGAAAACCAGTGAGTATGACGACCAGCCGTTACTGGCAACTACCAAGAACTCTGCGTCACCGAACACTGGTTCGTACATCTCATTTGTGCAGTCTTCCTAGTTGTCTCTGAAGATAGTAGAGACAACATGGACAACAAGCCTCTGCAATAGATGTTATTATCGATGCGGGTAATGGATAGGCTGGTAACATACCTGCATATCGGAAGCCGCGGATTGTCCAGCCTCGAGCACCTCTTCGTGATTTGCTTTTCCTTCCTGCAAGATAGCATCCAGCTCTTTGACGTCTCTTCCTTGGATTAGACTATCATCTCCGCGAGGAACAGGTGACAGAACTGCCTGGTTTGTTACCAGGCTAAATGCCATGATTCGAATACCGCAATGCCTTGCAACAACAATTTCTGGTACGGTTGACATGCCTACCACATCTGCCCCGAGCATGTGGAGCATGCGGCATTCCGCTCTAGTTTCGTAGCTGCGAAATTGAGCAAATGGTCAAGAATAGTACAGGAAGTAGACATTACCTTGGACCCCCAACGAAGACATATACCCCTTCGTGCAGCCCCCTTTTACTCTCGTTGCCCATGACTGCCTTCCAAGCTTCGTGTACATGCCGACGCAATTCTAGATCATAAGCATCTGACAAAGATGGAAAGCGAGGTCCGAATTCTTCACAATTGGGTCCGCGCAACGGATGGATTCCCGCCAAACCAGCAAGGAAAATATGCTTTAAACCTTGATTAGTTTACATCGGTCATCTTATTATGAGAGATTGAGCTTACGTCATTCAACAGAACAATATCACCCACTTTATAATCAGGATTAAGGCCCCCAGCAGCGTTAGTTACTATGCAGCACATTGTTAATAAAATTATCCAAAATATGTGTCCTCCGTGTTTCCATGTTTCCAGGTATTCAGGGTTAGCTCACAGACAAGAGTATCAATTCCTAGCAACTTAAAAACGCGGATAGGAAACGTCACTTGATGAATGGAATGGCCCTCGTAATAGCTACATTGCGAGATGTGGGGTTTAGCAATTGCTTTCAGTAATTCTCAGGGTTTCTTACTGAGCACGGCCAACCATGAGGACCGCAGGAACAACCCCATCGAGAAGCCCAAACACAAGCTTTCCCGCATGTCCAGGTACTTCATTGGTGAGCTCAAAGATATATGTAGGCATAAAGGGTGGCCTTGGACTTACCAGTTAGATGAGGGAAATGAGGAATGGAGGAATAATCAATCTCTACTCGGAGCTCGTTGTGGATTGTGCGTTCAAGACCGCCTAACCCAGAGCCACAGATAATAGCTACACGAGGAGCCTGCAAAGGCGCGGGTAATTGCTTTTTAATGAAATCATGCGCCTCATTTGCTTGCTCAAAAGAAAGAGACCTCTTCTCCTTATCCATTGTGTACTCGTTGGGCAGTTTGCAAGTTCTTCAGCAGGTGGGGAAGTAGTTGGAAAGCTGGCGGGGAAGTAAAAGAACTCCAGAGCATTAATAGTTAGGAAGACCGTTTCTAGTTGATACCACTTTCTGTAAGAATAAGTCAATAAAATATTTTCAAATATCAATTCAATACCTGATGGTTACAGTTCTTTCAGACACCATCAAATTAAACAGCCTCAAGGATCATTGCTTTAAGAGTTCTTTCGATTGTTCTATCTGATAGTTCCTTGATAGCCATGATATGATGGTCACGAGATCCGCTGAGTAAGCAAGATTGGCCCAAACCCCGAATGTCTTCTTGAAGATCACCTACCTATACAAAATTTTTGCAATTTTAGCACGAATTACTGGGCACATTCCCTGGTGTTAGACGTATTCTTCTTAAGAAGCAGCTAGAAGGATGTCTTTTGCTCCAGCGCCTCAATTGCTTTCCCGGGCTAGCAAGCGATTGCAGGTATTTCATAGCTGAAAATTTCGTCCTCGAAATGAAATACAGACATTAATGATATTAAGCAGCTTGCGGTTACCTCTCGCGCGCTCAGTTCTTCCATTCAACTCCGGGGCACTGCCAGCCCTCCATCCGATATATCCAAGTTAGAAAGCCCAACAGCGAGGTCAGGAACCCTTTGCTCGTCCGAGCGGAAGCTCACCCATACTAATGAATACAGTTCAACACAAACTCAACAGCCCCTCGAGTCGTCCGTGACAAAATGGTCCGTAACCAAGCGCTTTATCTTAGATTAAGCGCTCAGTAGTGCAATTCAAACTAAAAGGAAAGAAAGGACTAACGGGCTTGCCATATGATAGGGGAGAACGCCTTACCACCATCAACAGCACTGCGCGATTACCAAGGAGTGTCCAGGCTTTGTACCTGCGGCCGCTTCGAAGAAAGGCCGAATACGGCCTTCCAGTCTGTGACCTCCAGTTAAGGTCCTTCAGTGTGCGCAACGTGGAGTTTTTTGCCGACTTCGCTATACGCGCTGCCTATTACCTGAACCTTCCTGTTTCCGGGCCTATACCATTACCGAAAATTGTCGAGCGCTGGACATTTCCCCGCAGCAATTTCGTACATAAAAAGAGTCAAGAGAACTTCGAGCGCATAACCCTACGCCGATTGATCCAAATCAAAGATGGTGATCCTCATGTCGTGCAGGCATGGCTTTCCTTTTTACGAAAGCACGCTTTCTACGGAGTTGGAATGAAGGCCAATGTTTGGGAGCATGAAAGTCTCGGTAATATACTCAACCACATCATCAGTCTAATTTCAAACGCGGCTAATTTCTTTGGATACAGATATTGCGAAAAATATGGACAAATCTCTTCCAGAAGTTGAAAAGATCCTAGAGTCTCACCTTGCACATTTCGGCCGTCAAGAGGGAGCAGCTGACCCGCCAGGCTCAGTAGAGGATTTTCTCGGGAATGAGCGCCTATCTCTGAAAAAAGGGCCGTTGACTGATGTCCGCAAATGAAGAAGCCCCGTGTAAACCATTTTTGTTTTTCTCATGGTACACCATTAATTGTATATTATTCCGTCTGTCTCGGCCGTGTTAGAATCTAGACTTTGCTTGGTATCCGCTTCTGTATTAGCTAGATGTCATATCGCCAAAAATTTGCCAGCGATTTACCTACTATCTTCTTCATGTAGCAATATATATTTCCCAGTAGCTACAGGGACGATCACAGTAAAAAATAATTTGTAACATCAAGTAGCTATAGTTAGCTATCTATGGACGTAAATAAGGTCAGAACAAGTTTAATCACGTGATTATAATCGTGGCTACCTATGTTTTGCAAAAGCTCAGTAATCAAATATTCTCCCCGACTACTCTGCAGTTGGACAATAAAACATGCAAGCTACCACAGGCCGGTACGGCCAATGCATTGCTATCTCTCATAGGGCACATAACAAAATTTGCTACAAGAAATTTTCCCACTCTAACCTCAGGGCACATTCCCGAAGATGGAACAGCTCGCTGAGTACGCAGCCACCTTCCACAACCACAGTCTTCTCTGGCATCCAACCCACGGGTGTCCCGCACATCGGGAATTATCTCGGAGCTCTGCGTGAATGGGTTACGCTACAAAATAATGCTGCGAAGGATACCAAGCTGCTTTTCTCTATTGTTGACTTACACGCATTGACTGTACCTCAAGAAAGTCGCCAACTAAGGAAGTGGAGGAAGGAGGCGTTTGCTACATTGATAGCTATCGGTTTGGATCCAAATCGCTCGACGATATTTTACCAGTCTGCTGTATGATGAGCCGTAAAACTCAGCTGAAGCTGCAGTCCGATAATTGCATCCTTGGACTAATGATTACATCAGGTTCATCAACATGCTGAATTGTATTGGATTCTTAGTACGGTGGCATCTACCGGATACTTGTCTCGAATGACCCAGTGGAAGGTCAGTAATCACTGTATAAGTAGTGTTTCGATGGCACTCTGCGCCTTGAATTATGGACTTAGCCACTATTCCCCTATTATTTTACTAACGCCGTATAGAGCAAACTTCAATTGCCGGATGATACAACTTTAGAAAACTCAGAAGTGCGGTCGAAGCTACGACTTGGCCTCTTTTCATATCCTGTTCTTCAGGCGGCAGATATCTTAGTCCATAGGTTTGGCTGCCTGTCAATATTTGGTCAAAGAGGCATCGCTAATTAGGCCCAGAGCTACCCATGTCCCGGTGGGGGAAGACCAGAGACAGCACCTGGAATTTTCGAGATATACTGCAAATAGCTTCAATCATATTTATGGCCCAATATTTCCCTCGCCGGAAGCACTTATTTGTGAGGCCGACATCCCTATATGTCATGAGAGTGTCCTGATACTGACAATCCGACTCTAATCAGCACCCGCCAAGCGAGTGATGTCTCTCAAAGAGCCAAAACTGAAAATGTCCAAGTCTCATATCGACCAGCGGTCGAGAATTATCCTCACTGACTCCCCTGAGGATATCCGTCAGAAGATCAAGGTCGCGCTCACAGATTCGCAACCGAACATCACCTACGACCCAATACATCGACCGGGTGTATCTAATCTTATAGAAATTATCGGCCACTTAGAAGGGGTGTCTTGTCATGACATAGCCTCCACTTTTGAGAACGCAAGCTTGCGAGCCCTGAAAGAGCATCTCGCCCAGAAGCTTTCGGATGCGCTAAGTCCAATTCGGGAGAAATACTACTCGCTTATGGGGGACAAAAGTGACTATTTAGAATCCGTGGCAGAGCAGGGAGCTCGAGACGCACGTGCTAATGCTGAGATCACTATGAAGAAGGTCAAGGAGGTGATGGGGTTGTAAAACTCGAGTCTCATGTACATTATTTTTCTTTTTGAGGTTTGCCAAGCCATATTATTGTATACTAACTGTAGTTACTCTGTGACGTAAGATACCAAACATTTATGCGGGGTTAGACGGGATTGTATCTGGTAGGTTGACAATCTTTTATTTCTAACGGAGTAAAAATTCATCGTACTCAATTACGCTCTCATACACAAGAATAATACTATCCATTGGACACTATATGTAGTCAATGGCAAGCATGTCAAGAGGCTTCATCACTATAATAGTACGAACATTGACAATTTCCATGTGGCGAAGATAGATGTCTTGAGTACGTAAGACGCCACAGTTCTGCATAAGATTAGGTGAGATTTGTGTGATTACCAAATTTATGACATCGAAGTCACGGATTGTAGTCTAGATACGTGCCACATAGGGAATAATCCTATATCCAAAAACTAAGTGAAAAAGTCGGATTGATTCTTGGCTGCAGAAATAGTTAGTTCACTAACTAGCCGCTGGCCTAACTGCCGATTAGCCGAAGCTTCGCCCAACCAAACTGTTTTTAAGTATCGAGTATGAGAACGTTGTTGCCTACTCCGTACTGGTTAACAAATCTTGAAAACTTCAAATAATGTATTAGTATTGACCGCCCCACCAAGAATAGGCTGTACAACCAACTGATCATATTACGCATCCAGCTTGTTGGTTGCGGACTTACGGCACCCCCAAGGGCCAAGACCCCAATCGGACCGTTTAATGTTCTGCATCCGAACGATCTATTACCTCCCCAATCCATGGTTTAACTACGGAGTAGTAGTAGTAACAGCGGTAACAAAGCACATTATGATGTATCCTGGGTGATATAGACTCCGAGTCAGTCAAGTCACTAACTGTTGGTGTCCGGCTGCTCCGACTCGCCGGTGATTACGTAGGTACCTACCTAGGTATGTAACGCTCCTGTGGAGTTCTCCCTCGATAGTTCGCCTACTGGAGATTTCAGAGAAAAAAGCAGGATCCTTTGCCTTCGTCGCCCTTCTGTCTTTCCCTAAAGAAAAAGGGAGGGGTTGTGATATACGGAGTACCGTATACTGAAAGATATATTTTCTTCCCCCAGGCTAGAAGATCCGAAGCCACAATCGTCTACATTGACTTGCGCCACCCTCTCCAGCTGGCCACGCAATACCCAAGGAGTAAGGATGGAAATAATTCTGCAACCCGCACTAGCACAATGATGACGACAGCAACAGGATGCAGCATAGGATCATTGGATCTTGCGCCCCATTTAATTATTGAGAAGGCTTAGTGGAGACTACTGATCTTGAATCTAAGGATCAGAGTACTGCCCAGGTCCCAACTACAATACTCCGCATGCTAGTACTCCGTACAAAAGGCTCATGATGCCCGCCCGAGTCATGACAGCTTCTCAATACACCCTTTGAATTTCTGCCTTCGCCCGGTCCGTGCTTGATTTCCGACAGCAAGTTCTATGGAAGTTATCTCGGGGACGTGGACCCTTTAGTTACTCACATTGTCTTTTCAAACTTCAAGCCCTCTTGGAGAGGCGCTGGGAATCCGCGGGCGGAGAAAACCATCGAACTCATTATGCGCGGTGGCGCTCTTTTTTCCCTAGGTATCTCCCTCCTTGTACAAGGCACTAGAGGTGCCCTTGTACTTCGAGAAAGAGATGTACCTGCAGTCGTCACCTTGAATATTCAACGCAATGACATTTCCGATCCTGTGGCTAGAGACCGTGTAAGACGCAAGCGAGATTACACGGTCGAGCAAACAATCGATAATGAAGTATGTATTGTCATCTTGCCTTTCAATGTTTGCCCGTTGTTTACGGTCCGATAGGAAACACTGTACTTTTGCAATGTAACTCTCGGCACCCCAGAACAAAGCTTGCGCCTGATTCTCGACACTGGCAGCAGTGATCTATGGACAAATGCCGCCAACTCAAGTTTCTGCTCCTCCTCCAAGGATCCGTGTAATGCATCCGGGTCCTATGACCCAAGCTCCTCTTCGACGTATACATACGTCTCATCCGATTTCAACATCACCTATGCAGATGGTTCCGGAGCAGCCGGTGATTATGTAACGGACACCATTCGCATCGGTGGCGCAAGCCTCGAAGATTTCCAGTTTGGAGTCGGATATACGTCTAGCTCATCAGGTATGTTACAGAATTATTTCGCCAAATTATTCCTTCTTTGTATCCTGACGTCTCTCAACTCTTCCAGAGGGTGTCTTAGGCATTGGTTACACATCCAATGAGGCCCTTGTTTCTCAAAACGGAGAGACCTATCCTAATTTACCACGATCATTGGTGAAAAATGGCTTGATACAATCAAACGCCTATAGTCTGTGGTTAAATGACCTAGACGCGAATACAGGCTCGATCTTATTCGGAGGTGTAGATACGAAAAAGTATCACGGAGAGCTACAAACTCTCCCCGTCCAAACTGTCGATGGCGCGTATTCAGAGTTCATAATCGCACTAACGGGTGTGAAGTATAGCAACAAGTCAACAAGCCGCTCATACTCTTCGAGTTCACTCCCTGCTGCAGTTCTTCTTGATTCCGGAAGCTCTCTCACGTACCTACCGGACTCTGTTGTGGAGGATATCTATAATGATCTTGACGTGGTGTATGAAGAATCTACTGGAGCCGGATACGCACCCTGTAACATGGCCCAAGATAACATCAACATAACATTTACATTTACATCGCCTGAAATTACGGTTAGCATCGATGAGCTTCTCATCGACGCCGGAGACCTTCATTTTCGGAGTGGTGAGCGAGCTTGTATATTTGGTATTGTGCCCGCCGGGGACAGTACTGCTGTTCTAGGGGACACATTCTTGCGCAGCGCATATGTCGTATACGATCTGTCAAACAACGAGATCTCCCTCGCAAACACGAACTTTAACTCGACGGGAAGCAATATTAAAGAGATTGGAAGCGGAAGTGACGCTATTCCGGGTGCTACGGTGGTATCCAATCCTGTCACATCCGTCGTGGCGGATGGGTCGGGAGCCAGAATTGGGGGTCCAACAGGCAGTGGATTCACTTCGTTGCCATCAACAACAAGCACGGGGTCTGCCGCAAGAGGGCCTTCTGATGTTCCGAAACACCTCGCTCTTGGGGCGGCGGCTATCGGGTATATGTTTACGTTTTAATGTATCTAGGGATTTTTTTTCTGTACGTCTATTTTACAATTTATTTCTGCTGCTTAAGTGCAGAATCATTGAGATTTAAGGTGGAAATAGGATAGGGGTCAAAGACTGAAGTACTCTCTTCATGTATGGAACATCTACTAAGTCAACTATAATATAGTTTATAATATATATATAATAATACTAATTACCTTGGTGACGACTTATAACCCTGCTGGTGTAGGCAGGCCCACATAAAGAACCTGGGGAGCAGTAGGCCGAGGCTTATCTCACAGCGTGCCTGGCACCAAGCCAATCTAAAAAAATCCTATCATATATTGACTCAGAATTATTACTTATGATCACTTACCACATTCACATTCACCCATTTTCCCTGATGCCACGAATCTCTATACCAACAATTATTCGAGCATATCATCACCATCGTCTTCTTCCACTACTCTTGAAGGAATGCCGCACCCTAGAATCAGCCCGAAATGAGCTACGATGGTTACGCGAGAGAGCTCTCCAGGTTACTCAGCAAAAGTGTACAGGTGAACGAACGATATCAGGACAGTCTATCGCCGGATGGAGGAGTCTGCTCAGGAAAATGTGCCAGGTCCGGTCAAGAGGAATGCCTCTCCAGTACATTCTCGGGGACCAGCCTTTTGGGGACCTGGATATCATCTGTAAGAAAGGGGTATTAATTCCAAGGTACTCTTTGCTTGATCCCTCTCCTAGCCGACTCCCCAAACCTCTCCCTAATTGCATGAGACACCAGACCTGAAACAGAAACAATCACTATGCACACTGCAAATCTAGTCTTGAAAAATATGCAGGGGGGTCAATCTCAAATTTTGGCCGGGGACGAATCAGCACCTCTACGTATTCTAGACTTATGTACAGGCACAGGCTGCATATCACTCCTTCTACACGCTCTTCTATCACCCCATTTCCAACGCCTATATATCTTAGGCATCGATATAAGTGATGTGGCTATTGGGCTAGCAAGGCGGAACACGGAGCACAATATTCGCCGTGGTTTACTCTCGAAGCGCGCTTTAACAGAGGTCTCCTTCCAGCGTGGCACTGTGTTGGGTCATGACCATAATAATGCGCCCCTAGTTGAAGATTTGATGGGCGATGCCTTTCGTGCTAACTCCCCATGCGGGGTTCGATGTGATGTTCTCATCTCAAACCCACCATATATCTCCCCTGAGCATTTTCGTGATGGAACCACGTCACGTAGTGTCCGTATTTTTGAACCAGAGCTTGCGTTGGTCCCTCCCGATGAGCATTTTCCACACACGGAAGAGCCTACCCTGCGTGAGGATCTATTCTATCATTACATCATATCTTTATCTTTTAGGCTTCAGGTAAAGTTAGTGGTGCTCGAGTGCGGGGATGGTCCCCAAGCGAGGCGTGTGGCTGCTCTCTGCAGGCGGGCTCTAGATAGGGACCAGTTGGCAGGTGAGCTATCAGTTGGGGTTTGGTCGGTTGGTGGGACAGATGCTGCTCCACATGCGGTGATTGTTCAGCAGCATGTCAAGATAGATGTCTAGTCTATCGGCAGATGTATGGGCACTAATAACACCGGGTTGGCTCTCTTGAGCATTGCATTAAAGTTTATTATTACATCCACGCCTGAGACTAGAAATAAATGGGTACCTATTATAATCATCAGGCTTTACAATCAAAGCTTTAGCAGCTTAATATAGGCTATACTACAATTTACATGAAACACAAGTATAAGCATCTGCTGGCGGATGCAGGAGATGGCAACAAGACACTAACTATATATAAGAAGGCTTCTAGAATATTAGTTAAAAAAAGATTGGAATAAACTACTTAAGAACCTTGAGTAATCCTATGTGTTATTATTATTTATATCTTCTAGTGAATAACTAGTAACATACTAGAGACTTCTAAGTCTAATCATTATTTAACTCTTATCTTATTTAGTATTATAATCTATATATATCTATAAGTAATTCTATTATTAATTTTTCTCTTGATTTTAATCTCTAGCCTATAATATTATATAACCAAACCCCCAAACTAAGTCTCCAGGATCGCGCCATAAACAAGAAGGTTAGCTTAACTGTAAAGGTTTTCTACTTGACAGGGTAGATAGCCCGTTGACTAGGTAAGGATAGTAATAAGGCAAGAAGTAGAATGGTATATAAATTATATATGTGACTATATAATAAGACTAATCCTAGAAAGGAAATAGTGGCCTAAATATATTAGGTCATGTGATACTAAACCTTACTTAGTAGTAATATTAGTATTTACTAAATCTAGTACTCTAATATACTTCCTTAGTAATATATATATAAAGCTATTTAGAGTCTATATTTAATATACTAAATTCTAATTTTTTAATAAATTTAATAAATTTTATAATTACTAATAACTTAATAAGTTTATTAATAATATTATCTTCTCTATTTATTATTTATAATTTAATATTACTATTCTTAATTACTTTCTTTATAAAAAAGGATTAATTATCTATTTATTATAGAATAGATATATAATTTAGTTTTTTTAATAAATATTATTATTAATAACTTAATAATACTATACCATATAAGATTCTAGATAAAGAGCTAAATTACTAATAATCTTAATAAAATAAGAAAATTTAATTTAGAATATTATATAATAAATCTAGAAGAAAAAGAATATTAATTAATTCTAGAATATAGCTGTCAGGGTGCAGAGTCGGATTCAGATATTCATTAACTAGGAGCTAACCAGACAGAATAGCAGAATAGTAAGTATTAGATAACAGACAGGATATAGCTTAAAGAGCTATAATAAGATTAGAAATAATATAATTTAAATATAAAAATAAAGATAAATAATCTAGATAAAATTTTAATAAATAAATATTATAATTTTATACTATAATAGTACTATCCTTCTTAAGATTAAGTTTTATCAAGATCTAGAAAAAAAATAGCTAGGGCTTCTTAAAATAATAAAGATAATAATTATTTATTAATTAATAAGTATTCTCTAGATATTTAATAAATTTTTTAATTAAATTATTATATTTAATCTATTTAATAATATATTATAACTTAAGTTTATTATAATCTTAATAAATTTATTAGAAATTAAGAATTTCTTTAATTTCTTATTTTTCTAGTTCTTTAATTTTAATAAATAATAATAAATTAAGATATTAACTAAATAAAGAATTATTAATAATAAAATAGAATAAAAATATATTAAATATAAAATAGATTTTTATATTTTTAAATAATTTAAATTTATAAATATATAAGCTAATAATTTTCTTAATATAATATAATTTAAAATTTTTCTAGTCTAATTTTTTCTATAAATAAAATATTTAAATATTATAAATATTTAATTAAATTTTTTATTTTATAGTATAATAATATATAAATTATTTTTAATAATTAATTTATAATTTATAATAAGCTTAAGTAAATAAAATTTTAATATAAATAAATTTATAAATTTTATATATAATATTAGTAAACTTCTTAATATTTTTCTTAATAAAGTAGATAGTAAGATAATTTAATTTAAATCTTAATATTAGATAAAATCTATAATTAATTATAAATAATAATATTCTTATATACTTAATATAAATAAAGTTAATAATAAATTTAATTATTAATAATTATTTAAATTAATTATTTTATAAATATAATATATATACTTATAAATATTATTTTAAGATAATATTAATATATTTAATTTAATTATTAATTTTAAAATAATAAATAATAAATAATAGATTATAATATAAATCTTTAAGTAGAATATTAAGTATTTTTAAAAAATAATAATAAATTAAATTCTATAATTTAATATAATTATTTTAGGAATACTGTCATGGCGGGCAGGCTGGCAGTAGGTGTAGCTAATAGTAAGGTATATATTCAGGCTATTTATATATAGGTCTAATAGGTAGGGATTAGGTTAGGATAAGGACATAGCTTAAAAAGCTATAATAGGATTAGGAGTAATATAACTTAAATATAGGAATAAAAATAGATAATTAGGGTAAAATCTAACTAGATAGGTATATAACTATACTATAATAATATTTTCTTTCTTAAATTAAGCTCTAATAAAGTATTCTTAAGATTTAGGCTTTCTAAAGTAGTAATAATAAAAAATAATAATATATTTAGTAATATTCTTTAAGTAATTAATAAAAATTTTAATAATAATAAAATATTTAATTTATTTACTAATATATTTTAAATATAAATAATTATTTTAATTATAATAATCTTAATAAGAGTTAATTATTTTTTTAATCTCTTATTTTTTAATATTATTAATTTTAATATATAAAATTTTAATTTTTTTTTATTTAAATAATAAATCTTTAATAATTAAGTATAATAATTTAATATAAAATATTAGATATATTTTTATATTTTTAGATAAATCTAGTTTATAAATATAATAATTCTTTTAATAAAGAAAAGATCTAGATTTTTTTAATCTAATTTTTTTTAAGAATATAGAATTATAATATTCTTAATATTTAATTAAATTAATTAGCTTTTAATATAATATCTAGTAAGATAATATTTCTAATTAATATAATATTTATAGTAGGCTTAAATTATAATTATAATAATATAATAATATTTCTATATTTATTTTATAATTATAATAAACTAGTAAATATTATAGATTTATAAATAATAATTAAATAAAATAAATTTAAACCTTATATAAGGATTAAAATTATATAAAATAAAGAATAAAAAATATTTAATAATCTTAAAATTAGTATTATTAGTAGTAAATTCTATTATAGATAGCTATTTAACTTAATTATCTTATAAATAATTAATATAAATCTATAAATATTATTAATTTATTTATTAGTCTTAAAATAATAAATAATAAATAAAAATAATCTTATTTTTAAAATATAATTTAAGTATATCTAAAATATTAATATAAATTAAGATTCTTAAATATAATAAATTTAAAAAATCTATAAAATTTTTAAATATAATTTTAAAATAAGTAAATAATTTTCTTAGTATTATAAGTATTATTATAGGAAATATAATATTAAAATTTTATTAATTAATTAATTATTACTATAATAATATTAAAGTCTAAATTTTAAAATAAATATATAATAAAATTAATAAAAATATTTTTTTAGAAATTTTTAAATATAAGTAAGAAATAAAAAATAATTTAATATTTATTTTAATAAAGTATAAATTATTTATAAATATAATAATTATAAACTTATTACTTTATAAATTATAATATTTTAGACTAGTAATATAATTATAATAATAATTTATAAATCTTTAATTTATTTTAATAGCTAGTAACTATATTTTTATAATATTTATATATTAGTTCTATCTTTAATTCTTTTATATTAGAGATATATAATTAATTATAGTAAAATAAAAATCTAGAATAATAAATATATTTAAATAATATAATTAATAAATAATAATTATAGCTTTTTTCTAGACTTTCTAAAATATTATTAAAAATTAGATTTTATTTATAATCTCTATCTAGATACTTTTTTAATTATTTAAGAAGCTAGATAGTCTCTTCTTCTTTAAGCTTAAGTAACTAAAAATATACTAACTTTCTTCTAGTAATAGCTTAAAGCTAGATTAATTATAATATTTACTAATTTTATAACTTCTTTAAGTATTTAAGTAAGAAATTTATTAAATTCTTTTTTTTTAATATTATTTAATTCTAGTATAATAAGTATTTATTCTCTTTTTTAGGAAGATTTTATAATCTTTTAATTAAATTATTTAATTTTATTCTATATTTATTTAGATAATAATTAATTATAAAATTAAAATAAAATATAAATTTAAATTATTAAGCTTATTTTTAGTTTAATATTTTAATTATTATAAAATATTCTAGATTTTTATAGTTAATTATAATCTTAATTAGATACTAGTATTCTTTTAATTTTAGGATCTATTCTTTTAAATAATAAATAATTATTAATAACTTCTTATTATATATTTTATAATTATATTTAATTAGAATTATTTTTTTTAAGTAGAATCTTATTAAGTATAAGATTTTATTTTATATTATAATAGTACCCTAATAAATATAAAATTTAAGATATTAATTTTTAAAATAATAAATTAATTTTAATTAAAGAACTTTAATATTAATTTCTTAATAAATTTTACTTTTAGTATTTTAAAAGTAATCTAGTAAATTAAAGTTTATAAAAATAAGATTTTTTTCTTTTTTAAGATAGTAATAAACATGAGAATTTATAAAAAATTTTTAATAAAATATTAATAAAATTTAATAAATCTTATAAAATTCTTAATATTAGTAACTATTTTAAGTAATTTCTAATTTATTATAATCTTAATTTTCTTAAGATCTATATAAATACCTTCTTTTCTAATAATAATATTTAAAAACTTAACTTTTAATTAATAAATTTTATATTTAAATATCTTTATATATAAATTATTATTTTATAAAATTTATAAAATTTATTTTAAATATTTAATATATTTTTTTCTTATAT